ACGTGCAGAGAATACTAAAATTGGCAGTACAGTATAAGCCAAGAGGAAGACGATCAGTGGGACACCCGAGAAAGAAGTGGTCTGGACGATAGATACAGGTCAACAAGGCCTAAACCGTTAAGTAGACGACGATGACGTCGACGACAACGAAACAGAAAAAAACAAAACAAAAAAAACTGCTTCTTCCTCTTCAAATCACACACAAATGCCGGCGTTGCATCACATCCTACGCCTATGCCATCCTCCCAGATCCAGATAGGCATGGCCGATGCACATTAATCCAGACGAGGAAGCCAGCGACACAATACACTACAGTACTAAACCAGAGAATAAAGCCAACACAATGCCACTCATTTAAAAACTGTTGAATCGGTAATACCATAATAACAATGATTTGAAGAAAGGAATTCAAAAATTATTTTAAAACTGTTGAATTACTACTGTTAGAAGAAGTAACTGATGTAGTGGAAAAAGAATTAAAAAAAGAAAAACGGATTTGGATGAGAAATTGGATAAGCGAAAGAAATAAAAAAGAAAGGGTGGTTTGATGCTTTTGCGACAGCTGAAGTCAGAAGATCCTCCTGAATTTTGAAAATTTTGAGTTATCATTAATTTCAAGTAATATTCAACGTGGCTATACGTTATTCAGAGATACTATACCTGCAAAAATACAACTAGAAATCACTCTTCCCTGTTTATCTACTGCAAATAGTGAAGCCTCAGTCCGAAAATCCATATCCAGCCCTTGATTGGCCGTCTACACTAATCTAGTGGCGCTGGAGTGAAAAAGTAGACCGTTCAATCTAGTCACTGGACTGGATTGCTTACTGGAATGAGTGCATTCCAATACTTGTTCACATTATTGCAGTGGAATTCCAGGACTAGTTTTGATCACTGGACTTAAATACTACTAGATTAATGTGACCCGGGCATTATTCTTGCAATTCGTTCCTCTGTCATACGATCTTGTGCTCATTCAATTTTTTCTGTCTGTTTAATACTCAGTGATTGACGTTCTCATTTTTTTCTCTCCCACTGGAAGAATACCCATCAGTGTTCTTCGAGCTAGTCTACGCATTACTTTGATTTCTGTAGTCGCAAGTATTCTTTTTTTTTTAATGTCCCGAGCCGGGTTTCTGCCGTATAAGTTAGTATAGGTCTAATTGTAGTCTTGCAGATCCGGGCTTTAGTTTCAATTGAAATAAGTTTATTTCGTCATTTAGGTACACCGGCACCCTTGATGCTCTTATATCCGTCTCTATAACTTAACACAACATATTTATTGTCGCATTTCCAAATGTTAGAGTCCTTGGACATAATTGTTACCGTGTTACTTAGTGGGAGCATAGTTGTGCCATGTTGTGAATGCTGTTTGAAAATGTATTGCATACTGCTTCAAATTTGCATTTATTTTTGAATTCAAACCTTTGGATTGTGAGATCCACAAATGCCAATTAGTGTTCCCTGGATATTAAACGATCACTTCATCAGGTTATTGCATGTTTCTATAATAAAATAGGTAAGTTCGTATTTTCACTATAATGTGTGACAAACTCGTACAGGTTTTCTTGACAAAATCATTGCCTTCAGTAATGAGACATATCTTTCTGCACTCAGTTCTTTTGTTGCTTCATCAAAAACATGTAATAAACTGATGTGACATGACATGTTCAATTAATATCCAGTCATTCGTGTTAAATTTTACTGTAGTGAATTCTAGAATGGCAAAAGGAGATGGCTTTCAATTGACAATTGCATTGGTTTTTGCGTTTCATGCAGTTGCGAAAATGTATGTGAGCTTTTCTTAAAATATTGAACTACAATTTATTTAGTACTAATTCGACAGGCCGCATGTTAAACGTTACCATCAAATTAATTAAATGGGCATAACAAGCAGTATGTTTCCATTTTGTTAATTTAGTAGCTGTCACAATATTTACCACTAAACAACATTTGACCACTAATCTTTCTACCAAAATTTGGATATTAATTGACATCTAACTAACGGCTTTCAATTTTATAAATAATTCATCATGTAATAAAGTTTTCGACTGAATAATGTATAGTTTGAGTAAAGAACTCCAACAAATCTCATAAATTCTTCATTTTCCACCAAACTAAACGGATGATACTCTTTATAAATAATTTTTAACAGTTACAAATCTGAACTTTTGTGCTTGTTAGATGGAAGAGGCTTTACGTTTTTAAAACCTGTTAAAGATGTTTGCTGCATTTATTTTCGCTTAAATCTTATTTTATGAATATATATTCCACTGTTTTAATGGTTTGTGGGGTATTTGTCTGTCATAAAGAATAGTATATTGCATCCTTTAACTGTATTCGGTCGAAAGTCTTCCGAACATCAATAAAACACATGGTCAACTTTTCTGTCATTGTCTTATGACAAAGATGACATTCGTGCAGGATCTCTCTAATCTGAAACCTTGTTGTTCGACTGTTTTTATTGGTAATGATATCAATATATTCATTTATTTTATTTGATTGATTCTTGTGGTTAACTTCAGAGTGATGCAGAGAAATTTATTCCTCTATAGTTTTCTGTCATTTCGATGATCGCCATTCATCTGGGATTATATATTACGAGAATTTTTTTGATGAAGTTATTATGTTCACTTTATGGTTTTCGTCAATTCAGTTGATTTTTTAAATCGCCGTAGAATTGCTTCATTCCTGATTCTATATACTCAACCAATCTTTAGGATCCTTCTATACTTCCACATCTCAAAGGCTTCTGTATCCCTGTAATCTTCTTAGCAGGGTTTCCGTCGATGTCTAGGACTCGACCTCGTAAAGGACCACAGGAAAAATATAGTATCTTAGCATTCTGATTTTTAAATCGTAGTTTAAGTCGTGTGTACAAAAGATTTATTTTATTAAAATTGTTTGTGCTTTAGCTATTCAACTCTTAATTTCCTCACTTGGGGTTGCATCGCTCATTAATAATGCTTCCCAAGTATGATATTCTGTTTACTCGTTGGAGTTGGATGCCATTCACGTAAATTCCATGATTCTGATAGTTATTACTTTTCTTTCCAATCATATATTTAGTTTTACTGGTGTTCAATGTCTGTATTAGTATACCATCGTTACTATCTTCCAAAGCTTCATTGACGAGTTGCTCAGCCTAAAGATCATCTGACATCACTTATGTTTCTACTTCATCCAAAGATTAATTAGCTTAGCGTACAACTGCTGTTTGTTTCCAGTATAAATTTGATATTATCATTATGTCTTTGACATCAACATCTGTATCTTTCAGCATTATATCATTTTATTTTTGTTTACGATCTTAAATTAAGGAATATGGAGGATGTCCCAATTTCATAGCATTCTATAGATGTCACATTTATGTTTATGAGACCAAAATATAATTCAATTCAAGTAGCTTGTAAAATTACGTCATCTCAATAATAAATTACGGTACTTGACTAGCCTTCCACTTAGCTCTCATATGCGAAAGACTACGTCAATTTGCTCATAACGGTTTTGAGACGTAGAAACTCCAACAAATTCGCATTGTACAATTCACAAAAGAAGTAAATCTTACAAAGAGAACGAATTAAATGGATAATAAAGCGGTGCACAAAGAAATTATACTCCCGCTCCCTAAACGGACCATTCCTACTTCTTTCCGCCGATCATAAGAACGACGAGTTCTCTCGTTGAACTTTCACAATGGATAATCATTACATTGGCGTAGAGCGTGTGGCAAGAACCGTAGTTGATTTTTATGGTACCTTTGAAACGCTAAATATCAGTTGCGTGACTGTCTCGCGGGTATTATTTCGAAAAATTAGTTCCGATCGAAAAAAGATTAAATACAAAAAAGAGCTTCAAGAAACAATAAAAAATATTTAACCCAAATGTAGCAAAGAAATATATTTTAGCCCATCCACGTTTAACACGTTTGCATCATCGGGGACGCTTGTTGACTAGAAAAGAACATTGCTAATTTATTAACCAGACGTGTTCGATGTCGTAATTGTGAAACCGTTGGATGCAACCTTGTTAGAACGGTTTAGAACGAACCAAGAGGAGTCCGAGTTTACCACATAAATTTTAGTTATTGGTAGAAAAGGATAGATTAATTGATTCCTACTTAAATGGAGAATTCACACGTTATAATCTCTAGGAATAAGATTTATGTAATTTTCTCATGAAGCGGTTGAAACATCATTAGCAATTGAATTCAAATTTGTTACTAACAAATACGGAGTAATTTAATAAAATAAAATCAAAATATTGTGTTGACATTAACATAAATAGATCTCTGTATTGAATAATTCATAAGCAACGAGGCGTGTGAGCTTTAAGAATGTGTTATATACTGTCAGAAATCATTAACCATATAGAATGTTGTTCGTTTACACCATGATAAAAACTTTATGTACAACAAAGTATTAAAGTTTAACTAATAAATCATTGTAATTAGATAATACATAATGTAAACATTTTTTATGTACAAACTTTTAAAATCATCACACGATATAACAGTATAAGTACATTGTAACTGTCGAACGAAGAAAACGTGATTCGAATGACACTAAGAAAACGTTTCTTGTTGGTAAAAGCAGAATGTCAACGACTGATCCAATTCCGCATTGTCTCTATTAGTAGTCTCTTGGAATGTTGCACGGAGATGGATAGAAAATGCATTTTAACGGATCGTTTCCAACAGACAATAACCTTTTTACATAATACTTTTTTTATAAACGAATTTTATTTTTATAGACGATGAAATCGAAAATAATTGCTTCCATATTGTTCTGAGGTGAACCGAAGTTAACGGAGTTTATTACGGGCAAAAATTACGAGGAGAAAGTGATGAAGAGTGCGTTTTTGCGTATAAAGTCGAATGAAAGTTGAATGGAAAACTTTGTAATTTCTTTAGAAACCTACATGAATTTTAATTTTGAAATTATTATATTTAAGTCATTGTTACGGTTATTAATTTTATATATTTTTATTTTTTATTACAGACATCGTTTGTGGTCATCCGGCTGTTCCACGAAATGCCAAGGTGACACTGAGTTCAAACTCTTTAATATCTGGGACTACAGCAAAGTACGTTTGTGACGATGGCTACGAAACCTTTGGAAATACGTTATTGACGTGTGGAGCAACGGGTCGCTGGGACGGTGAATTACCATTTTGCGGTAAGTCGTGTCTCAACTGGCATATTTACAAGCTTCAACATCGATTTAGAACTTTAAAAGTCTCGAAACGTTCTCACAACACGCCCTAAGCTGTGAAAGTCAGGCGTGCATTTTGAATTAAAAAAACCGTTTTCTTACATTTTTATTTAGGTACGAACATTGCGTATAGAAAACCTGCAAATCAATCGACAACAGTTCGAGGTGGAAACCCACAAAATGCTAACGATGGCGAGAAAAACACCGAACATGATGGTAAAAGGTGTACGGAAACGCAAAAAGAAGTTAGTCCGTTCTGGCAGGTGGATCTTTTAAGACCTTACGCTATCAAAGTCGTTCGAATTACGACGAGGGGTTGTTGTGGTCACCAACCGTTACAAGATTTAGAGATCAGGGTCGGAAATAGTAGCAGCGACTTACAAAGGAATCCGCTGTGTGCTTGGTTTCCGGGAACAATAGGTACGTTAAAAAGTCACAAAAAAGAATTCCGGCTTTTAGTGGTACTTAATTATATTTACTCAACCGAAAGAATTTTTAGACCGTAACAAAAAAATGTAAAATAGTTTATTTTATAGTGGTATTGATTAATTTATTGGTCGTTTACATGAAACAATAAAAATTATTAATTAAGAACTATAATTTTATGGAAGCTTACTATTAGTAATTAGACACATTACTATTTTTATAGATTATTTGTAAATAAGCGTATAAATGAAATTATGAAAAAACTATCTAAGGTCCACTTTTACCACCTTTTGATAAATTTATCCGATAGATAAATTGGCGTTCTTAGCCAATGAGAGCGCTTAAAACCGCTGTAACCATGGTAATTATCTATCGGTTAAATTTATCAAGAGATGGTAAAAGTGAGCCTAAGTGAATTTGCAACTACAAAATGAAACATCTTCAATGACATGTCATTTCTGTTTCTTTTTCATTCAAAATAGAATTTTCATCAAAGTAAACTGTATGGTTTTTACCAACTAAATTTTTCGTTAAGTCTTTTACAACCCGATTCCTACATTTCTTTCAATCTAATCACTCACTTTTGTTTGTATCTAAAACTTACACATGTAAAGCTTCGATCAGCTCGCATTCAAACCTTGTAACCTCATTTCATGGGTTTCCTAAGTATGTATTCACAAATACTGCTTCGGCCTTTGTACTATATCATTGATTCACAAGCGCATAGTTTTCAATATAACATTTCAAATCTCGTTAATTATTCCTTATATTAAAAAAAATAATAATAAATACCCGCATTACGATTTTTTAATAAAAGCGGGTTATCTAGTTCATTTCCTGGTTGTTAGTACCATCACCTGTAATCAGTTAAAATAAACGCACAACTTAATTTAACTTTACTTATCAAACCATCATCTTAAGACACAGTAAAATAATATCTAGAAGATACCGTATACTGTGGTCAGTAACACAATCTTATCCTTGAAGATGGCCACGCACCGAAACGATTTAGTAAGCAACTTTTGCGAAATTGTATTGTTTTCTAATTCCACAATGTATTGCGCAATGGAACTCCGTGTTTTGTGCAAAAAGATAATACCAACAAATAAAACCTGGAAATTGGTTTCCGTTTTTAAGCGCTTCAAAATAATACCAAACACATATTCATTTCCATTCTAACAACATCTTTGATCTTTAATTATCTTCATTTCAGACGAAGGAATCACGAAAACCTTCACCTGCGCCAGAGTTCTTATCGGACAACACGTTTTTCTGCAATTAGTTGGTGTTGAAGGTTCATTATCTGTTTGTGAAGTGGAAGTATTTACAACTGATGGTAAACAAAAATAGTTTAATAAAAATTTATTGTTTTAAAATAATGTATTTCTTTTAGAATTTTCGATTGATCGGTGCGCACCAAGATTAGCGCCGGAAGATGCTCAACTCGCCGCGTTCGATCACACGTGTTACGAGTTTGGCGTAGGTCGTGGTGGTTCTTTTGACGAGGCCAGGTCGTACTGTCGTGGACACGGAGGGGATTTGGTCCACGGAATGACTCAAGCAGCGACCACGTTTTTATACGCGGAACTCGAACGAAGAAAACCGAGCCTAAAGACGCAACTGGTATGGATCGGAGCGCTAAAAGATCCAGGTCTCGTTGCGAAAACATGGAAATGGGTCAATGGTGAGTCTCTTCTTTATCGATTTTCTATTGATAGTGTTCGTCTATCTCTTCCTGCGTTATTAGCTTTTAAATAGAATTTGAATACAATATCCGCTTTGTTAACGAATGGAAAGGCGCGATACGAAGGTTGTGCTTTCGACCGTTTTAACATCGAAATGGCCTCAATCGCGGTCCCCTTTTTGGCGTATTGCTGTAAAGGTGAATGTAGTAGGTTCACGAATATATTATGGAAGCAATTTTACTTTCGTTCGTGATGTTGCACCTTTAAACACGATAAGTAATGGGCGTTTTCTTCGAACTCATGCTTGAGTGGGTACCGTAATACTTATTAATTATTGTTGTTATAGTTCACGGATTTCTAGATAAATAAATTGGAAAATATTTCATTCATATGTAATAATAAGAGGTTAGAATTTAAATACAGTAAAACCTCGATATTACGATATTAATATTATCTACATGTATTTAATACATCAGTATATTTAAATATAAATGTTAGCTTTGGTTAGCGCTCATAGATAGAATTCAACTCGGGTTATTCCTCAAGTTGCTCTATTTTAGAGGTGTTAACCGATACTTGCACCTGTTGCTGTGGAACAAATATTTGTATGTTGTTCCTTGGAACAGTTACTAAATTTAAAAAATAAAAAATATCAAGTAAATTGTGCAATTTTGAAATTTGGTGATTTATGCCATGTTACTAGAAACTGGTGATAGATAAATATGAAATAAATATGGATTATGATTTTTTGATGCATAAGAAATATTTTTTATTCATAACATCTTTCTCCATCAGTTTAAGTACCTACGTAATAATTGATTTTATTAAGATGTATCGTCGAATTTTTACATTTTGGGAATTTATGCTGTATAATTAGAAACTGCTGATAGATACATATGAAATCAATCTATTGATGCATTAGGAACATTTTTTATTCATAACGTCTATCTCCATCAGTTTGAGTACTTACGTTATAGTTGATTTTATTAAGATAAATCGTCCAATTTTGGCGGATTTATGTTATATCATTAGTAACTGGTGATAGATAAATATGAAATCATTATGGATTATGATCTATTGATCCATTAGGAACATTCATAACGTCTTTCTCCATCAGTTTTAGTACTTTCGTTATAGTTGATCTTATTAAGAAAAACCGTCCAATTTTGACATTTTGGGGATTTATGCTATATCATTCGAAACTGGTGATAGATACATATGAAAGCATTCTGGATTATGATCTATTGATGCGTTAGGAACACTTTTTATTCATGACGTCTTTCTCCATCAGTTTTAGTACTTACGTTATAGTTAATTTTATTAAGAAAAATCGTCTAATTTGACATTTTGTGATTTATGTTATGTATATCACTGAAAACTGATGATAGATAAATATGAAATCATTCTGGATTATGATTTATTGATGAATTTGGAACATTATTTATTCATTACGTCTATCTCCATCAGATTTGGTACTTATGTTATAGTTGATTTTATTAAGAAAAATCGTCCATTTTGGGGATTTATGCTATATCATTAGAAACTGGTGATAGATAAATATGAAATAAGTATGGATTATGATTTCTTGATGCATTAGAAACTTTTTTTATGCATAACGTCTTTCTCCACTAGTTTTAGTAGTTAGGTTATAATTGATTTTATGAAGAAAAATTGTTCAATTTTGACATTGTGTAATTTATATCATGTCACTAGAAGCTGGTGATAGATAAATATGAAATAAGTATGAATTCTGATTTCTTGATGCATAAGGAATATTTTTTATTCATAACATCTTTCTCCATCAGTTTTAGTACTTTCGTTAAAGTTGATTTTATTAAGAAAAACCGTCCAATTTTGTCATTTTGGGGATTTATGCTATATCATTAGAAACTGGTGATAGATACATATGGAATCATTCTGGATTGTGATCTATTGCTGCATTAGCAACAATTTTCATTCATGACGTATTTCTCCATAAGTTTTAGTACTTACGTTATAGTTAATTTTATTAAGAAAAACTGTCTAATTTGACATTTTGTGATTTATGTTATATCACTAGTAAATGATGACAGATAAATATGAAATCATTCTGGATTATGATTTGTTGATGAATTTGGAACATTATTTATTCATAACGTCAATCTCCATTAGTTTTAGTAATTACGTTATAGTTGATTTTATTAAGAAAAATCATCCAATTTTGGGGATTTATGCTATATCATTAGAAACTGGTGATAGATAAATATGAAATCATTCTGGATTATGATCTATTGATGCATTAGGAATATTTTTTATTCATTACGTCTTTCTCCATCAGCTTTAGTAGTTAGGTTGTAATTGATTTTATGAAGAAAAATTGTTCAATTTTGACATTATGTGATTTATATCATGTCACTAGCTGTCACTGGCTGGTGATAGATAAATATGAAATAAGTATGAATTCTGATTTCTTGATGCATAAGGAATATTTTTTATTCATAACATCTTTCTCCATCAGTTTTAGTACTTTTGTTATAGTTGATTTTATTAAGAAAAACCGTTCAATTTGGTCATTTTGGGGATTTATGCTATATCATTCGAAACTGGTGATAGATACATATGAAATCATTCTGGATTATGATCTATTCATGCATTAGGAATATTTTTTATTCATGACGTCTTTTTCCATCAGTTTTAGTACTTACGTTATAGTTGATGTTATTAAGAAAAATCGTCTAATTTGACATTTTGTGATTTATGTTATGTATATCACTAAAAACTGATGATAGATAAATATGAAATCACTCTGGATTATGATTTGTTGATGAATTTGGAACATTATTTATTCATAACGTCTATCTCCATCAGTTTTAGTAGTTACATTATAGTTGATTTTATTAAATCATCCAATTTTGGGGATTTATGCTATATCATTAGAAACTGGTGATAGATAAATATGAAATAAGTATGGATTACGATTTCTTGATGCATTAGGAATATTTTTTATTCATAACGTCTTTCTCCATCAGTTTTAGTACTTAGGTTATAATTGATTTTATCAAGAAAAATTGTTCAATTTTGACATTGCGTGATTTATATCATGTCACTAGAAGCTGGTGATAGATAAATATGAAATAAGTATGAATTCTTCTTGATGCATAAGGAATATTTTTTATTCATAACATCTTTCTCCATCAGTTTTAATACTTTCGTTATAGTTGATTTTATTAAGAAAAACCGTCCAATTTTGACATTTTGAGGATTTCTGCTATATCATTAGAAACTTGTGATAGATACATATGAAATCATTCTGGATTATGATCTATTGATGCATTAGGAATATTTTTTATTCATGACGTCTTTTTCCATCAGATTTGGTACATACGTTATAGTTGATTTTATTAAGATAAATCGTCCATTTTGGGGATTTATGCTATATCATTAGAAACTGGTGATAGATAAATATGAAATAAGTATGGATTACGATTTCTTGATGCATTAGGAATATTTTTTATTCATAACGTCTTTCTCCATCAGTTTTAGTACTTAGGTTGGTGTATAATTGATTTTATTGAGTAAAATCATCCTATTTTGATATTTTGGGAATTTATACTATATCGTTAGGAACAGAGGAACAGGTATTTGGAACTATTACTTTGTAGGAACAGGAACATATTATATCTAAAATTTTTCATATAATAGACTTTCCATATATTGAAATTTTACTGTATTAAACAAAATAAAATAATATTAGAAACTAAGTCTGAACTAGTCTAGTTTATAACCTGGTTAAATTTTTTTAAAATTATTTGTATTAATACATGTTTTCACTTTAATGACGAATGAGGTAAAGGCAATGTGTAAATTAGAAATCACAATTTTCCTGTTTGATAAAAACGCACTTATAGTATGTGCAAGAATATCTAGAGCGTATCGATTTCAGACGTCTGCTTACACACAGACCTCCTTAAGTAATCGCGCATCCTAGTTTTATTTAAATTTACTCTAATTAAAGCCGTAACACTTACATATCATCAATTAGAACGAAATTTCACACCATTCATGGATTATTAAACATAAACGGCAATAATTTATGACATTATGTTCCTTTAAAAATTGCTCAACCATAAAATGATTTAAGTCTATAACATTTTCATAACCGTTACTAATTCTTTCATTTCTTTACTTTATTAAAGTTAACATTTTATTTATTATATTTAACGTTAAATTCATCAAATATAATTGGAGTCTTTAAATTGGGTATGTTTCCACAATAATTTTTTCTCAAAGGAAACTTTATACTCTATTATAGAAGTTTCTCATCAGATTAACAACGATGATGATACTTCTTTTCCGTTATATTACGTGGTTTTCCTTTTTCTCCCACCATTTCTTTGCACTCGGATTTTTTCCGACCTCAATTCCTCCTTAACAATGAAATTGGGAAAGTCACAGCTCTATATTGAAAATTGAAATATACACGAAGATAAATAAATAAGTAGAAATCATTTATCTCGTCACCTCGGTGTCGTTGCGGTTCGCCTTCAACTCCAGTTTGTTATTCGATTTACAGGTGACCCTGTATTAAGACCTTCGTGGGGAAAAAATCAACCCAACAACTATAACGGGGAACAGAATTGTGTGGTTTTAGACGGAGGAAGCAGTTGGTTATGGAACGACGTGGGTTGTAATCTAGATTATTTACATTGGATATGCCAACATAGTAAGTTTATTTATTATCTATTATATGTCTAGAATGTTTGAAGGATAGATTGGGAGGTAAGAATTCAAGCGAGACTAATGGAAAGAGGTCAATTCTTGAGACAACAAAGAAAACTTTCTTATATACCTTATTTTGTTGATTGAATTATATAAGAAAAATTGTATCAATAAAATTAAGCCATTAATTAATTTTGTCGATAACATCTTATTATTAAATCTTGAATTGAGTAATGAGGGTGTGGTTAAGAAAGTTTATAATGCTAATAATTTAATTAAAATTCTTTTAGAACCGCCGTCATGTGGTAGTCCGGATAAATTGCTTAATACCACAATAATAGGAACTAATAACAGCATAGGAGCAAACATTAGTTATCAGTGTCCATTGGGGCATATGTTAGAGGGATCCGGAAATAGAACTTGTGGGCGAGATGGATTTTGGACTGGAATGGCTCCAAGTTGTAAATGTAAATAAAAAATTTATTCAAACTTATTCTTTTTTGACACCTATTTTGCATTTAAGATATTGATTGTGGATCACTACCACTATTAGAACACGGCACAGTTGAATTAAAGGATAAAAGAACATCGCACGGCGCGGTAGCAATTTATTCTTGTCATGAAAACTACACTTTATTTGGAAAGGAAGAAAGAACCTGTGGTGACGGAGGTTTATGGACGGAGTCCGCGGCGAAATGTTTATTCGATTGGTGTCCAAATCCGCCTTCAAGTCAAGGAGGTCTCGTTACTACAACGGGAAATAGAGCTGGGGATACAGCTACCTATACTTGTCAACCGGGTTATATCCTTTTTGGTCAATCAATTTTATCATGTCGACTTGGCGGGGAATGGTCGGGAAAAGCACCTTCTTGTAAATTCGTCGATTGCGGGGCACCTCCAAATATCGACCATGGAAGATACAAATTACAAAACGATACAACTACTGTTGGAAGTTATATTGAGTATACTTGTGATGAAGATTACTGGTTGGATGGCGAACGTGTACAACATTGTACTAGAGAAGGAAAATGGTCTGCGGATGCACCATCTTGCGAATGTAAATAAATCAATAAATATATTAATACTTAATACATTAAATTAATTTTTAGTAATTGTTTGTGATGAACCAGGAGTTGCGGAAGGAAGTTATGTAGTTGGATATGATTTTAACGTACACTCAATGATTGAATATCATTGCGAAGAAGGTTTCTTATTAAGAGGAGAAGCTGTAAGAACATGCACAAGGGAAGGGGAATGGTCTAAATCTGCACCAACTTGCGAATGTAAGCTAATCTAAAAAAACTTAATTAAAAAGCCATATTGATCAAAATTTTTTAGATATTGATTGTGGAAAAGTAGCTGCTTTACCAAACGGAAAAATAACATACGTTAACGATACAACATATTTAGACAGTATAATTCATTACTCATGCGCAAACTACTACAGACTTAGTGGCGTCCCAAGAAGAACTTGCTTAGAAACTAAACAATGGAGTGATAATGCACCGAAATGCGAAGAAATAAGATGTAGTGAACCGAGTATACCAGAACACAGCATTCTTTCGGTGACCGGCAACGATAGGATGTACGGTCGAACATTAATTAGAACATCCGAATCTTCAAATGAAGGGGCGAGGTCTTATAAAATCGGTGCAATATCTAAGTATAGATGTGAACGTGGATATAAAGTTATTGGGGAACCTCTTAGAACTTGTGAAGATACTGGTAATTGGAGTGGTGATGTTCCTCAATGTGTTTGTAAGTTATTTGGAGACTTAAATAAATATAACTTTTAAGATCTTTTTGCTACGTGGGGAAAAATGCTTTCAAAAACGGATTGTGGGGTTTTTATAAGCAGCTTTTCTAGTTTTAAAAACGTATTTTATTTATTAACAGTAATTAAAATTGTGCCGGCTAGATGTCCGCATTGGTGTGCAGGATTTCTCCTAAACCGGAAGTCGAATACTCAAATTTCGAGAACGATTACTTTTTTAAACTCAAAAACTACGGAACTACGTAGGATTTTTTTTAAATATTCAGTTTTGGCAAAATGGTGCCAATTTTACCAGAAATGTCATAATGTTTAAAGTTGATCAATACGAAAACTTAAATATTTTCTGTCGAAGCCTCTAATTAGCGATTCGTGCATTTGTCCTTCCTGATGATTATTCTCTCTTTCTGCAGCTAATCGTCTGACTATAAGTTTCTACGAGCTTCTTTAGCCTCATTGGTCATGGAGCGTACAGCGTGGGCAATGCGACGTTCGTGGCAAAACTCAAAATACTAACTTTAGTACTTGCATTATTTCCATAATACTTGTAAGACCGTCATTAAAATTACAAGAGGCAATATCGGACGAGATGCCAACCACTTTCTTGCTACCATGAACCGTTTTTGGTGCCATAGACCACAACGTTGTAACTTTCATTATAACTTTTGTGTATCCCCTTAAACATCTTGTCAAAAGATCTTCTCTGGAAAGTTCTTCATTGCTGGCTTTTACACCCATACGCCAGCATATTGTACGTCAGTTTGGAGTCCATAATACCTTTGAAAGTTTTGCTGTTTCCATCTCCTATGTAAAAACAGTACGTCAAATTATACTTTTCTTCGGATCGTTGAAACATCTCTATAACGGAATCCACTTCCATTTTTCCTGAAGATCCCGTATTGTTTATATCACATTTTTCTTTATGATCTTCCACCCAATCTTGGTATTCTGCAGTGTCTTCTTTACCTTTCCAGTAACTGAACTTTCTGCAAATTTTTGACTTTATTTCCAGATCAACTATTTTATGCGTACGCCAATCAATGTTGTTCCACCAAGTAGAGATGAAAATCCCCTCTTCTTCCATGTTCCATCACCAGAAACTGTTATTCCTCCTACTTGGTTATTCTGAATGGATAATTCTGTTTCTTTGCTGGCTGCCTTCGAAAAACATTTGTCGTGCACGGCTCTTGTTGCAAGTGCAATTATCGTAATTACTTTATCATAAAAAGAATGGAAAACACATAAAAGCGCAAAACTTTGTAATACCATTCCAATATCAAGTAGTCTCATAACAAATATTAATTTTTTGATTCACCTTCTTTGCAAAACAACAATATTAGCAAATGCAGTAAAAATAGAAACAAAATCAATGAAACGGTATCCAAATGCTGCATCAACGTTGATGTTGTAGTTATCTTCGCTATTTTTAACTTCTTAGCTGCACTGGTCACACTCTCACTTTGATGTTTCAAAATATGACGATTAAAAGGTTTTCTGTCACGTACTGTACGTCTCACTGCACGATATGAAGAACCTCGCATTCCTTTTTTACCACCCATACTTATTTTTAACTTTCACCGTTGAAATGTGCGAAAAGGAAACTGAATGTCTAACTAACGTCAAAATACCTACATATACATATAATCGAGTAAAAAGGAAACACAAAAAAGTTATAGGTGGCTTGGATTCTCATTCTAGACAATCTAAAATACACTTTAAACGAGAAAAAAACACATTTTTTAAATTTCAAAGGTAGCATACCTCCTTGAATCAATGAAAAAAGCATATCAAATCATTTCTGATCCATCATTGACATTCAATTTTAAGTTATAATTAATCTCTGCTAATTTTCTGTCACAAATATATCTCTGTAACTTGAATCTTAAGTTACTCGATGTTAGTTAACATAAAAAAATGAATTATTTTTAGTACCTCTTACTAATCACGTATTTCTAAATAACAGATGTTAATTGCGGTGTTCCTGATAACTTAATAAACGGAAAAGTAACATTAGCATCAAACGCATCTTATTACGGAGCTTTGGCACTTTATGAGTGCGACTCAAACTTTGAAAGAGACGGAATTTCGAGAAGATTATGTTTAGAAAATGGAACGTGGAGCGGAGAAGCACCAGTTTGTAAAGGTAATCTCATTCAGTAAAGAAATAGAACTCAATCCTTATTTTATTTTGTTGTTTAGAAATTCAATGTAAAAATCCCGATTCATTGGAAGGAGTTACATTCCACGTGAGTACATTTAGTGTGGGCGGAATTGTGCATTACATGTGTCCAAGAGGACACGTAATGCAAGGAAATTCAACTAGGATTTGTTTAAAGAATGGAATTTGGAGTGGAAGGGCCCCTGTTTGTACTCGTAAGAAATGTTATAGACTTATTAAACATCATATTGAAATTTTTTTTTAAGCTGTCAATTGCAAACATCCACCGAAAATTGAGAATGGAAGAGTTTTGGTAACGAACGGAACTGTTTATAACAGTGCTATAGAATATCATTGTGTGCCTCAATATAATCGTATTGGGCCATATTTGAGAAAATGTATGGATACCGGAGATTGGTCTGGTGATGAACCTCGCTGTGAAGGTACAAATAAATCATCAATCTATTCGTTATTAACATAATTCAATTTTAGTTGCTGTTGAAGAACCGCAAGATTCCAATATTGGTACTAATATTGGTATTGGAGCAGGAGTAATCTTCTTTTTACTATTAGTAATTGGATTAACCTACTATAAATTGTAAGTTATTCATCTTTAATTTTCAAGTTTAACACACTAATTTTTTTTATAGAAGAAAAGCTGTACCTGTTAAAAATACGGAAAACGTTGAAAGTGCCGAAAGAAAAGAAGATAGAAACGCGGCAGTGATGAGTTACGCAACATTAAGTGATAGGAATGGATATGCGTCACAAATATCAAAGAATTTATATGAAAACGCAGAGACGTTGTACGATTCTCCGTATGATGAGTCTGGACGAGATAGTGGTACTTATGAACCAGAACCTGTAGGAAGAAATGGTAACATGGTAACAATAAACGGAGTCGCTGTTAGGTAGAAAACCTAAAAATGTGTAGAAAATGAAATAATTACGATTTAAAAGGAATAAGTGGGATTAGAACTGAGATTTAACAACTCTAATAACTAATAAGTGAAGAACAAAGTCCTAAACATATGTAACTTATGATTAGTAATACAATCGTTTGTGATCCCTACAACTAAACTGTCATCTAAAAACATTAATATTATCGTAGATGATTCAATATTTCTATGTAGACAGGTAAAACTTAAGATTACCACACCACAAAGAATTTTTTTAAGAACTCGTATGAATAGAAAATGTATATTTTGTAACATGTAAATTATTTGTACTATATGTCTATAGTTATTTGCACACAGTATGTGATTTAAAACTTGTTTTCTACATTTAAAAGTTTGCGTTAAACGTTTAAAACCTGTTTTAAATGGTGTGATGTATTGTGTAGTATAAGTATGACTGAGAATTTTTGTAAAAGATGTAAAGTAAATAAAGATTATTTTTATTAGGTTTTAATACTAGATTTTACTTAAACTATATCACAAAATAACTGTTACTATACCGATGTAGCCCTTCAAACTTTAAGTGATTGAGAAAGTGCCTCAAAAAGGCAACTACTATACTATTCGTATTTTGTAATGTTATTAGTTTCTTCTTCTATTTTCTCCACTCAGGCTTAAAGCCAGTTCTTCATCAATAATGCCTCTATTCTGTGCGCAAATTGTCGCTCCATCTTTTCCTTGGTCATTCTAGGCTTCGTTTACCTAGCGGCGATTTATCCCTGGCCCTTTTCACTAGCCTATCTTATCCCATTTTTTCTTCCATTTATGTGTCCAAATTGTTGATATTTTCCACTCCACAAAATGTTCTTATGTCTTCGCTTCTTTCTCTACCGTTTAGAGTTCTGCGAAGTATCTTCATTTTTGCTGTTTTCAATATCCGTTTTGTTTTAGACATAAGATCGGTAAATATGTAGATATTTGTTCTTCCATAAAGTATTGTTTAAGCAGCCTGCGGTTTTACTAGCTTTCCTGACTTGTCAGGATACTTCCTCTTCAATATTACCGTAACTTGATAGTTCAACTGCCAAGTACCTGAATGTCATGACTTATTCTATTATCTTCTGGTTCACTTCCATTTTACATCAAAGTGGCTCTTTCGTTGTTGTCATGCACTTAGTTTTTTGTGCAGCAATGGACATGTTTCAATTGTTTCGCTATGTTGTTAAATGTTTGCAAGTTTCTCTGTAGATCGTTCTCGTTTTCCGCAAAGAGGATCGCGTCATCAACATAACAGAGATCACAAATTCCTGATCACCCATTTTGTAGCCCCTGTCCATCTTGACTTTTTTATGATTTCATCAATCACAAGATTAAATAATAGAATCCTATTGTCGAATGCCAGGATTTAATGTTAGTTTTATATTTCAGTAAAAATAGACAATTTAACGCTTAGTAACAATTAAAACTAGAACTAACACTAGACCTAGAACTAGAAAGTATCGGGTTTAGCCGTGCGTCTTCAGACGCATTTCTAGTTCTAGGTCTAGTGTTAGTTCTAGTTTTAGTACAATAAAAATGTACAACATAGTGATATCTAGCAGCATCATGTTTGGACTCATTTTAATGGTTTTTTTAATAAAGAATACATCATAAAAGAACACCATGAAGTTGTCCATTTGTCTATTATATGATAACTAACTTCAGATTTAAAATGTCAACCTCAATTTTGACATATTTGTAATCTTCATTAAAAATCCTTTAAAATGAGTNCACCTATTTCCCATGAATATTTTATTTTGTATTTCTTTGGTTGTGTCATTTTGGCAGTCTACAAATGACTCTACATACGTAAAATTCTGCATTATTTCTATTGATTCACCGTCAATGTTTATCCTGTATCGACGTGATGTGCACATACGCATACAGGGTGTCTCACGTAACTGGTTCGTTAGAACTTTTTCAGGTTCCACTATTCGTAGAGGTTTGAAATTTTGGTAGCATGGGTTGTTCATTCGGAACTTTCGATGTAAAATATTTTCAAGATGGCCGCCACTTCTGGTCTACCGGAAGTAGACCATAACTTCGTTATTTTAAATGGAATGCTGTAGTTCTTATTACACCGTTTAATTGTAAGTAGAAAATAGGTTGACTTTGATAAAAGTTATTGGTACCTAGCGTTTTTCGTTTTCAAGTTATTTGGAGTTTGGAGTATCTTATACAGGTGGTCAAAAATTGAATTACTGTTTCTCCATATTCAATGGCGAGAAAGTCGAAAATTTTAAATGGAACGCCCCATATTTTTTAGCCTGTCAGAAATGGAATTTAATTCTCTATAAATTATTTATAAACATTCCTCTAAGACGCTCGGCTAAACCTAAAACTTTCTAGTTCTAGGTCTAGTGTTAGTTCTAGTTTTAATTGTTATTCAACCTTATATTCTTGTATATTTTAATATTTTAAATATCATTTTTTTGATTTAATCCACTTACCGTGCTTATAATTTCATCCATTTACCCATTTTGAATTAAATACAACCTTTAAATCCAATTAATTATGTGTTTTTCATTAAAAAAACTTAAATTCAACGTCAATTTTGAGAAGCAACTACAATGGCAATGTTTGGATCTTAATCACCATGGTAACCGAGTCAAGTTGGATAACCTGAAAATAATAAAATTTTATTTCGATTTTTTATCAATTCTAACCAAATTTTTATTAATTTTAAAACAATTCGAATTCTTTACGATTATCTTATTATTATTATCTTTATATTTTTGTGTATTGCTTCTTAAGTGAAATACACTGTGTAAATAAAAACTTAGAAATGTCAATTCTTCCAATGACGTCACAGCAAGGCCTTTGCGGGGGGATACGTTCATAACAACAGCGTTTATAGGGACTTGGATAACCTTATACTATTTGTAGCATTTTAGTGTACAAACCATCATAACTTTTGTTATTAATTAAAAACCTCTGCTATTTACGCCCGTATAAATTAGTTGCAACCTTCATTCTAGAAAATCAAAAGAAATGTAGAAAAGCAAAAAATTATTTGAAGTTGTAATAAACATGAATTACAGTTACTTACTGTTAAGTTTATTGAGGTTTAAGTTGGTATCATTTGACAGATGTTGTCAAAATATTATCCTTTAGATTCGGTGACACAACAAGCAGTTTTTCACATTAAAAATAGAAAATTTCCCAATAAAACCCAAAAGATAGCACAAATGTTTTCGCAAGAAATCACTCAAATGAATTTATAAAGTAATTCTCGTAATGGCAATCTTTAAGACGGTGGGTAGAAACTTGCCCTATCTAAAGCAACAGTCTGCTGCTCTTTTAGGCAATACAAGCGCCTCCGTGAAGTTTATATGTGCCGTAGTGATCTTTACGTATTGTCTTTCGTATTCGGAAACAGCGGTACATGTTATTTCGGTTACACCGGGGCTATTGATGCCACCATCGTTTTGGATATGGACTGCATTTACGTTTTGTTTCTTGGAAATCCATTTTTGGGAGGTTTTAGTCGATATTATAACGGTGGGATTGTGTGGAAAACTGATTGAACCGTTATGGGGCCAGATGGAGATGTTAACTTTTTTTGCTATTGTAAATCTGGGAGTAGCAATTATAAGCACTACGTTTTATTTTATCTTGTATGCTTTTTCGTTTAATGCATACTTATTATTTTCTGTGCACATCCACGGATTGGCGGGGTACATAGCGGGAGTTAGTGTAGCTGTTAAACAAATCATGCCTGATTTAATATTGATTAAGACACCTTTAGGAAAATTAAGCAATCGAAATGTACCTTTACTTGTATTCTTTTTGTCATTATTACTTTGGTTGGTGGGTTTATTAGAAGGGACTTATCCAACCATGTTTCTTAGCGGGTTACTTATTAGTTGGATTTATTTAAGATTTTATCAAAGGCATTCGAATGGTACTAGGGGAGATATGGCTGATTATTTTACTTTTGCAAGGTAAAATTAATATTAATTAATTTTATTTTCTTTTATTAAGAATATTTTGTGTGTTAGTTTCTTCCCAAATGTAATTCAACCACCTATTGCTATTGTTAGTAATACTATTTATGGGCTGTTTGTCAAAATTGGGCTTTGTAATAAAGTTATAAGGAGATTTGATATTGCAAATCCTACAGGTGTTACTATATCAGTTTCAAGTGCTGATCAATTAGATACAGAACGTAGAAGGTAAGTTTAATTAAATTTTTTTTTAATTTATGCATTTTTTTCAAAATTGTTTCAGACAAATTGCTTTGAAAGCATTGAGTGAACGACTTTCAAAATCTCAATCTCAAGATAAACAACCGTTATTACCAAAGTCAAATGTAAAAGTGGCGATGCCCAGCGTTATGCAAGGGACACCACCAATCCCCTCAACTTCTTCGAATGTACCCAGTCCAAAAACCCTCCCAAAATCACCTAGCGCACCATCTACAGTAATTCCAATGACATAACATTAACTTTCTTTACATATGTACAGAACAACATTGTTATTTTATTTTTTAATATATAATTTACTGTTATTTATGGTTTTATTAAAACCCAAAAATATAATACATTCTTTTTAATTCAATTTTATTTCAATTAATAAGAGTACAACTTTATAATGTTAAAACTTATAAATTAATCATCAATTTTGTTAATAAAAATTATTAATAACCTGATTGCAAATTTAATAATCCAATAGATTTCGTTAAAGCATTTGTTGTGTTCAATTGAGAAACTAAACCCAAACGAAATATACGCCTCAAAATAACCATAGCATGTTCCTGCATACTCACTACCAACTGCGGCAACTTGGTTAAAATATTTTCGACAACGTCCGCGTTTCTACTTTCCAAACATGATAAAACGGAAGGCAAAGCTTCCTCGCTAACACTTGGATCAAACTTTAATAATTTCAACAACATGCGAAGTGCAAGCTCGCGAACAGCCCCGTTTGAACTGTTTATGTTATTATAAAGGTATTGAGAAGCTGGTTGAAGAAATTGCGGTTTTTTATTACAAATATATTCCAACTCTTGCAGCGCCAATAGTGGGTCAGCAGATTGAAGACCGTTTATAATCATGGGCCATTGTTGTGGAAGGTGTTCAGCATCGGGTGGTGTTGGAGTCCTAATAACGATTTGATCTTGATCTTCGTTACGATCTTGAGAAGGAAATGAAACGCTTGACAACAAAGATCTAACGCTCGGTTGAACCGATTGGATTTCATTCAAAATGTGTCCCTTTTCTTGTAAATATTTCAACGAATATTGTACGTCTTTTATCATCCAGTTTTGTAAAAATCTTACCAAACGATTTACAGGAGTCGTTAATTCTTTCATATGACCATGATACTTTAATAATTGAAAATACGAATCCAAAATGTTGTATAAAACGTCAGTTTTTTGGAAAATATGGGGTTGTAATAGCTCTAATAAGCCTAAAACTTTTGCGAATAACGTTAAATGGCCGCGATTTTTAAAAACGGGCCAATCATATTGTGCTCTTCCTCTTAAACTTCCCGCTATCATAGTTAATTGTCTTAAAATTAATTCGGGATGCATTGAAGCTAACTTTCTTACGCAACGTTCTAAATCGGGATGTCTTGTAGTCCAATCTTTGTATTTAGTTGTAGCTGTAAGCGAACTGATTAAAGTATGTGAGATTATATCAGCAGCGCTTGGAGTCATATCAGATTGAATTTCGCTTAATAAATAATCTTTTGGTAAATATTTTCGAATATTCGGCTTTTCCATGTAAGAAATTAATAATAAATGTTTTGCCATTGGATTCGTTTCAGTTTTTTTCATCAAATGTTTAACATAAATCGATAATTGAAGATTTTCGCAACTTATTAAAACGGGAAGACGTGATTCCATTTTTCTTATAAAATCATGTTCTTCCAATTCGGCTTCTTCTAGTATGTAATCAACCATTTTTAAAATTTGTGGCATTGTTAAACACAAAATATCTTCACTATGGTAATGTTTCGGCGTTGCTTTATCTCGTCCTTGCCATAATTTCGGACTTTGTGTTAAAGCTGTTAAAAAGTCCAAAACAGCAATGGGACAATAAGATTGAGAATCATCTTCTAATAAATGTCCAACGACTTTCCCTAAAGTGTTCCAACTTGCTCTTTGAAGTAAAACTGAAAGTAACAACGGTCTAAATCGCAAATTTTTCTTCGAAAATAACAATTCCATTTGTAATTGTTGGTTTGAACCCGAAACGTGAAGCTCCGTGGCCATTAACCAATCAACGAGTGAACCTGCGTTTTCAAATTGAGGATTTTCCATGAGAACTTTTCCAAATTCTCGTCCTAATTCTTCTAGTGTACGATTATCTTGAGGATCTTTATTTTTTAATTTTTTAGAAAAATCGTTCTTTTCAGCTTCGTGCGGTTTGGATTGTTTTAGATTCATTTCTAAGAATTGTGCAAAAACGATCGCTAAAGGGCACGATTTATCTTGAATAGTATCAAGTAAACGACTCGCTAAACGTAAAGTATCTTGGTTACAATTTTCTTTCACAAAAATTAAACGTAACAGTAAAAAAAGAGATTTCTTCTCTAAAACAACTTGAATCACCGCAAGTGGGGGAATTGAACACAATAAATGAATCACTCTTTGCGTGAAATGTGAGTCCTCTTTCATTTTTTGTGTTATAGCAATGATATCTTCAAAAGTTGATCCTCCGGAATATCCACTAAATATTTTAGCTAAACAATTCATTAAAGAATCAACTGAATTATCGGATAACCCCGGTTTTTTCTTTTTGATGGGTAAAGTTTTCCTCGCTGGAGCTACATTGATAGCATCATCATCTTTAATGAGGGGACTTTCCATTTCTAAAGCTCTCACAAAAATTTCACCACCAACGGCTCCTCTTCGATTTTGTACCTCAACTAATTGAATCATATAATTTTTATCTAAAACATGATGAACCACCAGTTTTGGATCGCTAGTTGTCGCCTTATCCAAAGTTTGAAGCAATTTACTGATTGAAACAACCGGAATTCCAAACGATTGGATAAATAAAACTAATTGTTGTGCGTTTAATTTTTCAACGGCTAAATCAACGAGTCTCAACACGTTCGAACGAATCATTCTTAATTTTAACCAATCGGGTAAAAGAATCGAATCGTCGGCTGTATCAGGGAAGAAAGTAATCATTCGATCTTCGTTTAATGGAAACCACATATCCAAAAGCGCGTTAAATTCTTCAGAATCTTCAAGAGGACCATATGTTAGTAAAATAATCGATGCTTGAATGACCAAGACTTGTATAACACATTGATCCCCATTACCCCAAGTTACCACTACCTGATCTTGATTTTCAGCGGGCCACATAAAATTTTCATCCGGCGGTTGGCGTACTTTATGTAAATATGTGTAAAATATCGAAATTAAATCTCGTAAAGTTCTCATATTTTCACCAGGCAAAATATAAGTCGTTATACTATTACGTTCAACGATAAGTGATGCTAAATCAAAAATTAATTCTAACTCCCCCAAACCATCAATACCTTTCGTAGCTAAATAGTTAATATAATTTGAAATGTGAACAGGATTCGTTTCAACTAAAGTCGCCTGCATCAATAAATGAATTAATATATGCCTAACATTGTTTATATTTGGAAGGTACGAAATATAATGAGTCAACCAATGCGTTTGATTTACATTTTCAGCGGTAATTTCCCCATCTTCATTCGTATTTAAAACCAGCGTTAATCCTTTAATCGCGCGATTTCTACTTGAAGCATGCGGAGATGTTAAACGTCGCAAAAGATATTCTAAAACTTCGGTGGAATTCGAACCATCAGATCCATGAACGACCGTTCGTAAATGAGCGAGTAATTGACTGTGTTTAGTTAACTTTTCGGTTGGTGTGTTGGTTAATAAATATTCGCATAAACATTGAACGGGAAGATGAGCTAATGCCCCTTCGGAGTTATGAACCAATTCAGCTAACCACGGCATATGGGCCACGCCACCTTGACTCGACATTATATCTAAAAGAAAATCTGGACTTCGAGAACGACAAAGTAAATGGCCCAATCTGTGGGTGTTATTTAAAGCTTGTAGTTGTTCTAATACTAAAGGTGGTGGTCTGCGAATATCACCTATTAAAATGAATAGAATTAATAATGCGTTTTGATGATTTAAAAAAGATTACCTGTTGGATTTAATTCAATTAATTGTGGAAGTAGTAAACTGGTTTGTTCGTTGATTTCTTGTTTTGTACTAGCTGCTGCTAAATGGGTTTCAAATTCTAAGATCTTTTGCCTCTCTATTGCCAACATTTGTTGTTCTTTTCCTATAAATTCTTCTGTCGCTTCGGTTGAAAGCATTGTTGATGGAGGAAACGTGAAGTGACTAAAAACAGTGATTTATATAAATATTTTGTTTAAATAAATAGTTATTAAAAATAATTAAAGAAATAAGTTGAGTAATTTCAATTTCTTGCTACAACTTTTGTACTAAAAGATTTTTTGTAATGTGATCCATTATAACTTGTAAAAAGCGAAATTCAACAAATTTTCTCGATATCTATGCATCTGAGAGCAAAAGTGCAAGAGAGCAATATTGTTCAGAATAAAATTTGCAACAAGATTTGTTGTAAAAGTTTTTTTATAAAATGATCCGTTTCCCAAGTGTTACCATTAACAGCTGATAAAACAACGAAATTCATCAATTTTCATATTTTCGTATTGTTCTTGATATCTATGCATCTGAAAGCAAAAGTGCAAGGAAGCAATATTGTTAAGAATAATATTTGCTACAACTTTTGTTCTAAAAGTTTTTTTATAAAATGATCCGTTTCCCAAGTGTTACCATTAACAGCTGATAAAACAACGAAATTCATCAATTTTCATATTTTCGTATTTTTCTCGATATTTATGCATCTGAGAGCAAAATTGCAAGAGAACAATATTGTTAAGAATAAAATTTGCAACAAGATTTGTTCTAAAAGATTTTTTGTAATATGTTCCGTTATAACTTGCAAAAAGTGAAATTCATCATTTCTTCAAATTTTTCTCAATATCTATGCATCTGAGAGCAAAAATGCAAGTGAGCAATATTGTTCAGAATAAAATTTGCAACAAGATTTGTTCTAAAAGTTTTTTTTGTAATACGATCCGTTTCCCCTGTGTTACCATTAACAACTGATAAAACAACGAAATTCATCAAATTTTCATATTTTTGAATTTTTCTTGATATCTACGCATCTGAGAGCAAAAGTGCAACAGAGCAATATTGTTAAGAATGAAATCTATTACAATATGTTCCGTTTCCCGAGTGTTACCATTAATAACTTGTAGAACAACAAAATTCATCAAATTTTCATATTTTCGTATTTTTCTTGATATCTATGCATCTGAGAGCAAAAGTGCAAGAAAGCAATATTGTTAAGAATAATATTTGCTACAACTATTATTCTAAAAGTTTTTTTGTAATATGATCAGTTTCCCGAGTGTTACCATTAATACAACGAAATTCATCAAACTTTTGTTTTCATATTTTTCTCGATATCCATGCATCTGAGAGCAAAAGTTAAACAGCAATATCATTAGAATCAACAAAAGTAAAGTTCATATTTCTGGTACTATGATAAACAAATGAGATGGTATCTTACTTGAGTTCTACTTCATAGTAATTCTTCAAGTAGGGACACGTATAATCGAACAATATTTAAATATCAATTAAATAAATTATTAATCTGACATAGAGAAGATTAAACATAGGATACCTTATGAATCCTCACCCTATTAAGCAATCGCGGAAGTGTTAAAGATTGAAGATTTTGATTATTGAGCTTAAAATGTCAAATTTCAAGCATAAACACAAACTATAAAAGATTTAACATTCTTTTCTCAAAATAACTCAGATATTAAAAGTTATTATTCAAATTTGAATCAAATAACATTTTCAACCTCAAGATACCCCACTGAGATTAAACTGAAAGATTAACAATGCTTAAAAATCTTTTAAAGTTTTGTCTGGAAAGTTAATATTAAAACGTCAAGTTTTATATAATACCAGGTTCCAATCAATTGATCTATAATAAACACTAAAAATAAATTTTAAGTTTGATTTGACATATAACATTCAAAATTAACAAACGTCAAAATCTACGTTTGAATGTTAAATAAAATGTCATTTTCAAGGTCAAGTGTGACAAAATATGATTTTGTACTTTATTTTTTATAATTCGCGACGGTAATGAAAGCTATTACAGTACTTAAACGGGTGCTGTAATGAGACTCCTTACAGCATCCGATGCTGTAATGAGATTTTAGTAACATTTTATGGAACCAGTTCAAGTTGGTGACATTTTATTACTTTCTTTAATCTTCTTCTCTTCGCACCACGCCTTAAATTTAGCGTACTGTTGTTCGTACCTTTCGTGGAACTTCTCTGGAAGTAGTGTTTTAATAGAACTCTGAGCAATTTCTCTTATTTCGGGAGGTGTACATGAAACATTTTTTCAGGTGAATACATTTTGTATTTTGACAATTCAAATTTCTATTTTCGGTGGTAAGTATTACAGTGTTGCCAACTGCTATATTTCTAGACATTCCTAGATTATCAACATTTATTTTATTTTTGTTAAAAAAAAAGTATTTCATAAGACTTAAAGCACTCATTCATTAAAAATAATTAAAATTAAAATGCATTAAACTTGCATTGAATTTTTTAATATACTATTAGGCATCTCTGTATTCAAATATCGTTTAAGGACGACATGCAAGCACAAAAAATCATTTATAAATGGGGAATAAGTTTACCATAATATAGTTCGGGTATATATCATCGTTTCACGCAACTCGAGAATTGTTGTTTCCAAGAAATCACAAACTACAATCATAAATAATATAGTACTTACTTAGTTATACACATTTCCATAAACATCCTTAAAATTCTGTATTTACTCCATGCTAAACTTCCAAACGTACTCGGATTATGAGCAGCAATAATTAACAAAATTAACCAACTTTTCCAATAAATCGACGAAATCGCCAATTTAGGCGGGGTATATCCAACAGGTAATGTAATATTTTCCGGATAATTATAACAGCATAAATTAAAGAAAAGATCGACAATCTCAAGTTTATCCATAACCAAAGGCATCACCGAATCAGTCGTCAAATTTCCGGCTCTCCTCACCAATTGATCGCAAATATCAACAATGTCGTTAGCCGAAACAGGGTGTTCTTTAGAAATACCAATAACCAAAGTTCTAAATAAAGTTTGTTCTAATAATGGTACTTCGCTTATTAATCGGAAAAATAAATTTCTTTCGTTTTCTCCAGGCCATGAGTCAACCTTGCAGTATTGTTCGACTGGTTCTAATAACAATACTTTATGTATAGCGTATTGAAAGTCGCTAACGTGAGGTCGAAAGGTTCTTAAAGCCCCCTCGTGAAGCCATACGGCAGCTTCTCTTTGAATATTAGAAACTTGTAATTGGAAATGTTGGAAAATGCTCGCATCTTTTTTACTTTGTGAGGCCGCATCACGAACTTGAGGGCTAATGCACAAAAACATGCACATACAAACCAAATCGACGAGAGATAAAAATATTCTGTCTTTGAATTCTGAGTCTCTAATTAAATTCGACATTTCTTTGCGTTCTTTTAAAAGCGAATGAACAACGTTGCATAAATTGAAATCTTGTTTTAATACTCGGTTAATTTCTTTTAATAAAGTACGAATCGATCGTAAATAATCGTCTTTGTTTAAAAGTAATTCTAAACAAATATCTGTAAAAGCATCTGCCCCACCTTCTGGAGATACCTGAAACATCGCTCCAACAACCAGTAAATTATTCGTATTTCTTGTATTTGAGAGTTCGTTATAAACGGTGTATTTTAATAAGGGATATAAATTCTCTGGAAATGATAACACCATCTCTTTTAAACAATTATTAAAAAACGTTATCATAGGTTTATTTTTAATTCTCAATTTGCTTAAATGTGCCACAACTTCCAAATCTCTTTGAGTGTTTGTCGAGCAATTATAACAAAGATACGCTAAAAGTTCCTGGGCAGGTTTCATCAATTTATGATTGTGGAGCCAATTTTCAATTCTAGACACCGCTATTATTCGTATCTCAACCAAACCTGATGCTATACTTAAAAATCGAACGAAATTTTTTGTTATTGCATCCGGTTGTTGTCGCCTAGTCAATTGTTCTTTTATGGCTTCAAGGCATATTTGTTCAACAATTTCTTGTGCTTGTGTATATCGGGAATATGTATTTATATTCCAACTACTAACTATTGATTTAAATTCATTCATACCTAAAACAAAAAGTTTATTTAAAAATAAATATAGTGAAATTTCGATATAACGGAATAATATGGGGAAGGAAGTGGTCATTATAACTAAAAGTTTGTTATAATATGACAAATTTTGGTTTAGCTGTGTGTCAGTTTAAAACTGAATCAGTAAAATCACTGACACACCAAATCACTGACGAATTGAACCAACATCGAATAGATTCTTACAATAACTTAATCAAAAATCTACGACCAACGATCCAGGAATATGGAAAACAACTAAAAGAAATACCAAAAAAAGGGAATCAATTCCAACATTAATCCATCAAGAGAACACTCTTAGCACAGATGCTGATAAAGATGTAGGTTTTTCAAAGTATCTTGAAAAAATATTTACTCCACAATTTTCAAAAACGAGTTACACATTCACAAATAAAATTCGATAGTATATAGAAGCTAATCTTCCTGTTAATAAAACCACTATTGATCATACCACCCTTGAAGAACTTCGAATGCTTACCAATAGACTACCTACTGAAAAAGCATCTGGTCACGACCTTATTCCCAATTCAGTGATCAAAAATCTACCCAATCAGACCTTAAATATATTAAGCTCCATTTTAACATTTGCACTTTCTTAACACCTGGAAAGAAACTGAAATATTAATGTTTAGAAAATCAGGCAAAAATAAACGTGAAATCGAAAATTACAGACCTATTAGCCTGTTTCCTACCATGGCTAAACTGTTTGGGTTTAACTTTTTGAATCATACCTAATATTCGATACGGGTTTAAAATTGGTCACACAACAGTAAATCAACTCACAAAAGTAATGGAAATAATAGAGCGAGGATATGAAAATAAACAGTATACAACAGCTGCTTTTTTAGACATAACAGAAGCCTTTGATTCAGTATGGCTATATAGTTTAAAATATAAGATCTTTAAAGCTAATATGCATGAATACCTCAAAGCCCTAATTTTCTCATTTCTGGATGATAGAAAATTTTACGTCAGAGTTAATGCCTATAAATCCGAATCAAAACCCAATAGAGCTTGAGTTCTTCAAGGAAGCATCCTCTCACTACTGCTATTTAATATCTGTTTACCACCCAAAATAAAAATCTAGAAAAATCCATTCAAGATCTCCAAAACTCGGTTAATGAGATACATAAATAGTTATTGACTTGGTGCTTTCACTTTAATCCAAGTAAATGTGAAGCCTAAATAATATATATACCCTTAGACAAGTTTTAAATCCTACAACAATAATAATCAAAGATCACCCTTTAAACTGGAATATGAAAGATAGCGCTATCAAATCTTTGGGAGTATATTTGGACCAAAGACTCACATGGAATTACCATATTAACAATAAATTAACGAAACATATACAAGACTGAAAGAACTTTATCCCCATCATCAACAGAAAATCGAAACTGATATTAATCTATTAATCTAATAAGATCTAATATTAAAAAATTTAAGTGCTACAAAATAAAATTTTAAGAATGTTTGTAGATACCCCATGATTTGTGAGAAACTCAATAATTAATTTCAATTGTTATCAAAGCCATGAAGTAACATTTAATGTTGAACTGGTTGACTCTGTTAATAAAAAAAATATATAGACAGGTATTTCTAAATTGATGCGAAAGATTTCAAGAAGTAATTTTTCAGCACAAATTAAGGGAAGTCTTTCATATCACTTTTTGTTCAAACTCCCTTTCCCACCGAGTTACAGCACTCTAAAGTTAGGGGAAAAAATTGTTTTTATTTAATAAATCCACCACGGAGGAATTTAGAAGAACGAAATTTGGCAGATAACTGTTGCTAATAAAATGAAAAATAAACCCATAACCTCTTCAGATCCCACAAAAAACCCTTCGACAGAATGTTTTGAAATTTTTACCAACGGTTTCACAGAGGTCAATTAGCTTAAATAAATTTTTTGAAATTTAAAAAGAAAATATATTTCGAAGAAAACAAAGTGTCCATTAAAATGGACCTGGGATCTGAAGAGGATATAATACTTTGCATTAGAAGTTTTTAATGCGTCTACATTTTGTTATTTAAAAACTTGATTTAAATAGAGGCATTCAATAAGCAACTTCTTTATCTCTTGACATTTTCTCCTAAAATTGTAAGTTTGATCACAAAAAAATAAAATAATACACAGGCTCAAGTGAATTAATTCAGAGATTGGTATTATTAGTCAAAAAAATGAGGTTATGTCAAATTGACCTCAACATTATTTTATTTTTTGTGATCAAACTAACAATTTGTTAGTTGTTAAATATCAAGAAATAAGAAAGTTGCAGATTTTCTCCCTTAACTTTACAAGGCTATAACTTGGAGGAGAAGGGGTTTTGAACAAAAAGTTATATGAAAGACACCCCTTAATTTTCGATGAAAAATCGCCCCTTGAAATCTTTCGCATCAATTTAGAAACAGCCTGTATATTTTGTCCGTTATATCGAAGTAATAAAATAATTTCATTTACAAAGTAATAATTAGATAATTACTTTCATCATCATCATTAGAATTAATAGTTAGAGGACTTGAAGTATCACGTCCTGCTGGAGCCCATGTTTCAGTAGCTAAAAGTAGTTTTGGTGGCTGTTTAGTATTAAAAGCTGTGCTTATATTATCCACAAACGGTTTACAAAATGGGTTATCTATCCAAACTCGATCTCCAACAGCATCTTCTACATACAGCTATACAAAAATAAAATTAATACATAATTTTTAAATGAAATAAATAAGTTTTATACCTTAACAAAACTTTCTGGCCAATGCCCAACTGAATTGAAAGCATATAATAGTATGTTTATGAATAACATTTGATTATGTGGATTATTTTTTGTTGGGGCTTTAAGTCCAGCGATAATATCCCGTCTTATAGAGCTTATTAGAGCGGCTACAACATTCTCATTAACGAAAAGTGTTGGTTTTGAATAAACCAACAGTAATAGATTACTATAAAGTACTTTGCATGGTTTAAATCTTTGTACTTTTATAGAACGAATAGCTCCTAAAATATATGACACCTAAACAAACAAACAAAATTACTAAATAACTAAGAATATATAATAAATCATACCGCTTTTTCTGTATTGCCAATATGTACACTATTCATAACCAACTCCATGAAATCACATGCTTCACAATCAACAGCCATAGCTTCCCAAGCTTCTGCACTAGATTGTCCTGGATTACTTCTTTCAGTTGGGATCAAAGTGGACATACAAGGGGCAGGGGTTGTTGTTGGTCGTGTAGGTAATGCCACTTTCATTTTTTTTAATGCGGGCCCAGCTGGTAAAGGAGTTGTATTTTCCCGTTTCCTATCAATTTGTCCTTTACCCGAAGTTGAAGGTTTTTGTAAAGAAGGTCCAGTACGTTTTGGGTCATTATCTCTTGATGCGGACTGTTTTGAACCCAATGCAATGAACATATCAGGGGGTTGTTGCGTTATTTTCCCCTTTGGCCCCCTTGAAGCCATTTTTAACGATTTTTCCTAGTTTTAAACTACAACATAACCTCAATTTTTTGTTTGGGTTTTTTATAACAGATTATGGGTGGGATTCTAAAAAGGTTTAAATTAATGAATAAGCAAGTATGAACCAATTAGTTTTGGTGAAAGATAGCTATGATGATTAAGAATATAAATTAATATTTTGCATGTGTTAAACGTTTCAAAGACACCTGACTTATTCACTGATTGGTGAATAAATGATATAAAATTAGTGTCAGGGAATTTACGATAAGATAATAGCTTTTAAGATATTCCTCGATTATTTGAGTTATTTTAAAGATATTTGCAAGTTCTTCAGGAAGTGGTAAGACAAAAAATGTAAAAAATAAGTTATTTTATTAGAATTTTCTATTTTTAAACAAGAATAAGCTATAATAATAATATATTTTTTTTAGGTTGAAAGAATATATATTAATTGTAATGTTATATAAAAAAGATTCTTTAATATTTTATTAATATCTGACAGAAATAAACCAATTTGACACATGATGAAATAGTGCCCTCTGTCTGAATGATTATTAAAATAGCCAAATAACCACAAATTCCTTAAAACCAAACTGTTTTATTATTTTATTCTATAAGAACACTCTGTGAATGGAATTGAGATCTATATAACCGGGATTTTGCATTACTGGAATACTTCTATAAGAACAGTAAAGGTTCTTATTCAATTTCAACTGTAATTGGTCGTTTCCATACACATCAACAAGTTGTACGATATAACATGTAATTAATAAATTTAATAAACTTTCCTTGAATGTATTAATAATATGAATACTTCGAATTACTAAAAAGCCTTAAAGATAATGTTACATACAAAATTTTATGAAAAATATTTAAATTAATTGATTTTTAGCGCCATCTCTTACAGACTAAAAACTTCATACAATTACTGTCAAAAATAACTTAATAAATTGTGTATGTATGATATAACACCTAATTAATAAATTTAATAAACTTTCCTTGAATGTATTAATAATATGAATACTCCGAATTACTAAAAAGCCTTAAAGGAAATGTTACATACAAAATTTGTTGTAAAATATTTATTTTAAATTACCAATTGATTTTTAGCGCCATCTCTTGATACTGACTAAAAACTTTATACAATTACTGTAAAAAAATTTAATAATTAGCTATAAAAAATACACGAAATATGGTGAAAATAATTTGATAACTACTTAAAATCACTACCTATAGGAACATTTATACTTATACGTATAGGAGAGAGTTTGAATAATTGAAAAAATGGCATATTCTTAAATAAAGATTGCAAACAACGCCCTCTAAGGGAATAAATAAAAAATAGACGTCAGCTTGTCATTAACAGTAGCTGTCAAGTGTACCGGGTTGGCGATTGGTGGTCGTGGGTTGTGTACCGTTGCTGGCATCTGTCGGTGTTCGATGTAAAAATCAGGTATTCCCCCACCACGGTGTGTCCGTCCTTGTCCCGTTCCGTGCTTACCTATATTTTTAATCAAGTGTGGTTGGCATGTAAAACCTGTCACAACTGGGACTTTGGGAGACCCGCATTTTTCGTTTTGTTTTTGTGCGTGCGGTGCCGTGGAAATGGTACGACCGAAAGTGTACGGACCCGCAACGAACAAAGACGGTACTTCGGTCGGTTTTAAGGGAACGGGGCTCCGTTGTTTATAAAGGCTACCGAGTGTTTAAATATGGAAGATAATGCCGAGGCGAGCCCTAACCCCATTTCTCAGGGGTGTGGCAGCCGATCGCAAATCTCTATCCAGATTAGCCCTACGACGGGCGGCGACTTCGCCGTCTTGGTCGAACCCAGCATCACCGTGGAAAACCTCAAGAAACTTGTGTCTAAGAAACTCAAATTGTCCAGGGACAGGATATGCCTATTGTTTCGCAACAAGTAGGACTTTGAGAGCTTTTATTATTTTTTTTTTTGAGAATTTATTGAGTCGTTTTCGTCATTGTTTGTTACTCCTTTTCTTTCTTTTCTAGGCAGTTGCAGGAGGGACACATTGCCCAATATGGGATTTCTCATGGATCTAAAATTACCTTAGTACCTAATGTTGAAACAGGACTTATTGTAAGTATATTTATAATTATTATCATTTTATAATTGATAAATTGATAATTAATTGTTAAGAATGCACCTATTTTAATTGATAAAACAATATCAAGAATTATTAATTATAATCAATATTCATATTTATAAAAACATACTTCTTTGTTTGTAAGGGGTAGTGTAAATAACCTCAACTTTAGGTTTTGCAACATTTCACGCGTTCAGCTAACTTAATTCTTATCAATATTAGTCACTTTATGTTAGGTAAGTACTTTGATTATTAATAAGATTGATGACAAGTATAGCTTACATTTTAATTTGTATTTGAATTAAAAGAAAATTCTTTATTATTACTTCCCTAAAAGTTCTTTGTTTTCTTCCTCGTGTAATGTTGCAAGAAAATTTTAAATTCTTAGCTATTCCTTATCAATATTAATTACTTCACATGTTAGATACCAGTATTATTAATAAGATTAGTGTGCCAACAAAAAAATATTTTGCAACAAACAAGCCCTGAAATATATTTGTTCATTTAAGTAGTAAACAATTCTGATTATTATTTTTGATAAGCATTTTATTAAAACAATGAGTAAATTTTAATAAGTAAGTTGACAAATGCAGAAACCATACAATAGGGCAATTTCGTTATTTTATGATTAACATCAACCAATGATTAATTGATTGGTTTACCTAGCTTAACCACGATATTAATTTGATTTGGAAATTGATGCATCCTTTGATATTTACAATAGGATTGTAGAATAAGATCATTTTATTGAGATAAAGTGCATTATATTTACTTTCTTGAATATAAGAAAAATGTAACAAGAAATATTGTATGTGTGCAAAAATAGAACCTTGGTATTTTGATAAATATATGCTAGGTATGTATGGATATAACAGATAAATCAGTATCAATTTCTAATTGGTAGTTCTGCCTATTTACTGTCCTATTTAGGCAAAATGTCGCTGCATCAGAGAAAAAGATTTGGAAATAAAGCGTGGCCAGTTGAAATCTTCATTTAGTTCATGCACTAGTCACACTTTGTATAGATAGTTTTTTTTCTTTTTGGAACACACGTAACACCGACCGCTGTGAAATGTGATGGTTTGCTGCAATTTGTCGTGAACTGCTATGAGGAGCATCTTCAATAAACTTGTAAAATATTTTGTTTGACGTTTTCGTCAATTTAAGAACGCCCTCGTTTGCCATCCAATAAGAATTAAAATTTCTATCCGTTGAGTTTCAATTAAATCCGACATAATTATTATAAACAATGAAATTGCTGAATCACTAATAACAAAAAATAACGCCAAATAACAACAATAAACACAAAAATAAAATGGAATTATTGCTAATCTTTCAATCACTAATTTAATGGGTACAGACACATCTCCCCATTTCCTAGTTGTCCACGGTGTGAGTGTGGGTATCAGTTTCTTTGTCCATTTTGCCCGTATCTTCCCGCCATCTGGACTCCCACTCTTCCATTGCTTCCTTAGTCGCTTCGTTTTTTTCGGTTGAGTTTACGCTTCTTCTTTTAACTAGCAAGTCAATGCAAAGATGCAGTCTCATCCAATCTATCTCAAGAAGGTCCATGGGAGATGGAGTTGATCAGCTTTGATGCTGCATTAAAAGTTAGCGGTACAAACGATTCAGGGGAAACCAGTCTTAGCCATCCGTTTCGCCAACCTGTCCGCATGATCGTGTCCCTTATTTCCGGTGTGTATTTTCCGCCACTTTATCGTGACGTTGTTATAAATATTAGCCTCCTCAAGTGATTGCCGGCAAGACTTCACTAACGATGATATAGTTCGATGCCTACTAAGCACCAGCATAGCCTGTCTGCATTAGTGCAGATTACAACACTTCTGCCAACTTTTTTGTAGTCGATGATCACATTACCTGCTGTATTTATAGCAGTTATTTCGGCCTGAGCAGTCGTGCAGTACAACCCTAGCGGAATAGAAAGGTGCAGCTGGAGATCCCGCTCCGGAGCCTCTAGCCTTCTTTGATCAATGTGGATGGTCAGCGTTTTACCTGCGCTAAAGTTGCTTTGGGGTATCGTCTCAATGCTAAAGTGTGGCCTGTTCAAGAATGTAGGTGTGTTGTAGTCTGCGTGAAGTTCAAGAAGGGGTGGTTTACGAACAGCCTCACTTCAGAGATCGCTCCGGACTATCCATGGTTACCACCAACTTAATTTATTCCTTAATTTTGCCGCAGACTGTATATCACTAGGCGTTTTGTAGAATTGGAGAAAGTTGAGTGTAGACCTTACTTCTAAACACAACCTTAGTTGCTCCAGGTTCTCTTTGTTTTCTTTTCTTATAAAAATTAAAGTAGAAAGACGCATATTAGTTTCCAATAAATAATAGTTGTAAATTTTACAGATTTAATTGATAAAAACAGCGTTTACGACATTTCTTTACGTCATAATGAAATAGGCAGTTGCGCAAACTTTAAATCAATATTGTACTGATTGAAGATTGTTTGCGGTTATGCCGCTTTACCTTTTGAATGCAAATGTAAAAATCCTGCTCAACGGTGTAGCCAAGTCAAAAGTGACCATTTTGGCGTTTATACCATTTTGGCTTGATAGCGTTGATGTAAATTTACTAAAGAAAGATCTAATTCGAAATCACCATGCTGAATGAACTTATTTTGGCGATTCGTGTTATTAACAATTTTATTAAATACTCCAGTATTTTATCACAAGCTTCCGATCGCTCACCAGGCAGGAAATCGCGATAAAATTAGGAATTATCAGCATAAAGATGACAAGAACAATACATTAACTTTGAAAATAAATTGCTGGCATAGATTGTAAATAAGATAAGTCCAAGGAAATTACAATGTCTAGATTACTGAATTTGTAGTAATATTAAATTTATTAAAATAATTGTTTGTGGTAATCCATAATAATCAAAACATTTCTTAGGTTTATTGCCTTAATGAAAATATAATAGAAGCAAACCCAAAAAGAACAAAACATGATAATTTAAATAGAAATATTTGAACGAAGGATTTGAAGGAAACTGCAGATTATGATTACCAGAAATCTTTTTTGGGCTTCCTTGCCTTCGTGCTTATTGCTGTTTCTTAGCTTATGGCCAATCCTATACCATTTCCTCTGCTTGATTTAGTCACTATTGGATCGTTGGTGTTGGTTTATTCTTTCCTATAAGACTTCATTGGATATCACCTTCGACCATTTCACATTTATAATGAACACTTGTAATTTGTTTATCCTCAAGGTGACCTTCCATTTCACACTCATACTGACATAACAATTTTTTTTTTGCCACATTGGTTATTATCACTTCTATGTGGCCCTTGATGTTGTTCTTTTACTAATGTTGAAATTTCTTCATAAACTTGTTTGATAACCATTGTCCTAAGAAATATCTTCAACAAATAAATTGTGAGTAGAAACGTGTTTGCTCTCTTCTTGTTTAGGGGATAACATCCGCTCATGATATAATTAATAATAAAGGCCTTAGAGGAAAGTTATTCTTTTAATTCAAAAATACATTCAGTAAAAATAATAAGATAATCGAATTTGAGAATTGTGATTATGTGTAAAAAAAAGGAGTAGAATTAATACAAACGCATTAATAGAGTTTGAATACAATAATTAAAAGCTTATTGAAAAGCCTTTTACAATAATGTACTTACAGATAAATCTAATAAATTTAAAATTAAATCAAATAAAACAATATAGTTATAAAGAGGAAAAAAAGCTGATAACGAGAACGTTTAGTATATGAGGTTGAAATTAATTTTTGGAAAACATTTTTATGATATCAATTATTTTAAATATTTATAGGCTCAACGTCCAGAAGCCAGTATAATACAAGCTTTGGAAACGTTGAACGACGCCCAAGTCCACGAGTTCCTGTGCGGAAAAGCACCCCTGAATCTCAGCATGCGTCTTGGCGATCACATGATGCTCATCCAACTTCAATTGAGCACCGTGTCGGGCGTCAAGCCTGCGGCACCTAGCGGCAATTCCACTGGCGTTACGCGGTCTCCCAGTCTCATACAAGCTTCCAGAAATTTACAGCACACCCTCAGACGTTTATCCGCAGACGTATTTTCTGGTAGAGATGAAGGTATGAAATGTTTTTAATATTTTTGAAGAGATAACAAATCAAATTGTTTTTATTTGTAGGTAGAAGAGGAAGTATTTATTCAGGAACATTTAGTGGAGCATTAAATCCAGCACTACAAGACCCTAAAGGCAGGCCACGTAGAGATGTAGCAACAATAGTTCACATTTTGAATGACTTGTTGTGTTCGGCGCCCGATTTGCGACGCGTCAATATAAAAAATACGGACGGAACGGCTCAATCTGCTGAGCAGGAGGAGCAACCGTCGGGGTCATCATGTAGCGAGGACCAGAATTTGCGAACTAGGGGCAAGTTGGAGCACCTTCGGCTTGTAATGGGCGAACGACGTGCACGACGGCGGCAGCGAAAGCAGAAGCCGTACTCACTGCCCCAGAGCGATCCGGATACCGTAACCGCATGAGAAGAGCCCCTCGTCCGCAACTAGGGTATTAACCGTCATTATTACTTGTTTTTTCTTTTTTAATACTAGATTAGGGCACCGTCTCGCGTATTTTTAGGAAATATACTCTTTATAAAAGAGTTTTTGTTTTATATCCGTTTAGGTTGTAAGAGAAGTTTTGCAAGTTATTATTTTTACATTTACGATCGTCTGTAATGCGATGACTCAAGTGATTGAATTGTCACGAGCAATAAGGCGAAAATATAAGATTGTCAGTGAAGTACAATTGTGTCTTTCTTTTCTTTTTATTAGGTGGTAGAAAATCCTAGATATTTGTGTGGATTTTTGAAATAAACTGCCTATAGTTGTATTTTTACAAAAAAAAACCAAAATTCCTTTCAGGGTGTTCAATGTTTTATTTTTATCCCTTTTTGATGCAATAAATATTTATTAACAAAATCAATCTTTTTGTTTTCAATTTTGCATTTACATTGTTTTTAAATTCAAGAAGATTCAAGAAAATGTGCCTAAAAATCTTGAGCTAGGAACAAAGGTCTGTGTTATCAGAAATATTGTTTACTAACATTTAGTTTTCAGAGAATTATTATAATAAATGTATAATACGTTACTAGTGGGTTAAGCAAGTTATATAAAAACTATAATCATTAGGAAAGCAAGGAAAAAAGGAAAATGTCCTTAAACATGTTTAAAGAATCATTATGGTTAAATTTAAAAAGATGTGTTAATAATGCTACTAAGAAATAACTTTTTTTAATTTTATTTCATTACTTCAGTGTGGATGAAAAAAAAACCAAATTGTGTATTAAAATAAAACCACAAAATACAAAATCAACAGATTTACTTCTCTTCATCATTTTCAACTTGCATGTGAAACATATGGCACTCAACTAGCACACGAAGCTGGGAATTGTTGGTCCCAGACCGAAAAATGATTTAACGTACAACGCCGCCGCCGACGCTAAACAAAATTAATGTCCATTCATTGAGCGAAAAACGCGCAACATCACAAGAAAAACATTTACATCATCATTATTTTTTATAATCCGTTTTTTTGCAACAATAACAGCAATAGTGGTAGTAGTAATAATTATGATAAAACAAGATAACAATACCGTTAGAATACTGCACGCCGCGGGACTGATTTTTAAACCACCGACCAATTTTTATTATTTTTTTGATTTCTAGTTTCACCATCGGTCGACCCTCGACCAGTAAAGCCCCACTAAGAGTGCGACTGGATTTGAACGTGGTTGCAATAATAGACTAGAGACTTAAACGATTGTCACGATTGTTTGCAACCAGGAAACCGTTTCACCGTGATACAAGAGATGGGTTTCTTCCATCTTCGCTTTGAAACATGTGCGACTGTTGATCCACCATTTTTCTGTTGACTTTCCGCTCTTCGTCGTTCGTTAAGCTCATGTTCTGTGAAATATTGAACGTCACTTATACCACCATCACTTTGCGTTTCGTAATAATGATCAATTAAATATGGAAGAACTGTCATTGAATGTAGTTCATCTCCACGGAGAGGTGGAATTGGAACTGGTTCACAATCTCTTTTAGGTTTATGTCCAAACCAACTAAAATTTAAAAAAAAGTATTTTAAAAAATGAAATTGTTGCAAATAAAATTAATCTTACGCGTTTTCTCTAATATCTTGCAATGAAAATCTTTTTATTGGTTCTTTATGAAGCATTCCTTGAAGTAAACCACGGAGTTGATCATCAACTTCTTTTGGAATTGTAAAAATACCGGTTGCTATATTTTCAAAAAGCCTATAAATGTTGTCGCCTTCAAATGGATAAGTACCGGTTGTAATATTATATCTACAAAAAGAAGAAAAGTAGAATTATTTAATATTATTTAAAGATAAGGCCAGATTAACTAAACACAAACATTTTTTTTTTATTATTGGATCATTTTATGTAAGGTAATGACGATTTTGCACGATTAAATGTTTTATTAGGAGAAACTTTAATTCTTTCTTCTTAACGCTCTATTCACACACATTCTTTTCATCATAGAAATCTGGATGAAGTGTGTACAAGAATAAATTCTGCTCTTCAATAGCTTCTGTAAAGATCTTAAGAATCTTTTTCATTCGTTACGATTTTGAATTCAAAACGCACTAATTAAAATATGGTAATGTCCTAAAAACAACATTCGTCAAAAGGTAAAGAAAACAGCAAAAACAAGGGTAAAAGAAGACATGACGATAATCGTGGTGATGTAGGCGACATAGTTCGTATGGTAAACTGTAACTAATATACTTTCACCTTACAAGATTTAAAAAACAAGAATTAATTTAAATTATGTAATAAAAATCGATATAAATCTTTTAATCCCGATTAATCGATTTAAGTTGTGGGCGAACATTCCTAAATCATAACAAACCTTCTTACATATAGAATTGAACCATAACTTTCAAATAATAATATTGCTATTTAGCATTTACAAAATTAAAGATTGTATCAAAAAAAATCTATATTGTTATACAAAAAAGATTAGTAATGAAAACTAAATTTACTGCTTAATTTTATGTCACACATTATATTTATTGGTATCTATTGCAAAATTTTCAAAACAAGTTATATATTTTTTTTAATACTTGCTATGGTTTTCCAGAACTTATAGTAATCTACTTTCTACAACAGAGCTGGATTTTGAAGAAGTACATACCTGAGAATAGAAATGAATTTAATTCAACTAGAGTATCGTTATGTACTACATAAGTCTATTCTAGCGTTATTAATAAAAATGCCTTAACAGTCTTATTTTTTGATCCTCAACCCATTAAAAATAGTTATTTAATTAAGTTTATTTACTATTTGATTGTGAATTAGAGACCAATTTGAACTCGAATCAAATCAATGAAAGTAAAATTACATTCACGTTTTCAAGCACGTATAGTTGCATTAACGGAAAAGAAAACCCAATTACATATGTATCATCTTAATGCCACTTTTACCATCCTCCTGATAAACGATCTAGGGGATTCTTGCCATGGTTGTAGTGGTTTTAATCGCTTTCATTTGCTAAGAGTTGGATTTATTTATCGGATAAATTTATCAAGAGTTAATAAAAGTGAGCCTAAAACGACTGCAACTAGTGGTTAACAATATACAATCTTCCACAAAACTGAACGATTTCGGATAAGCCATGAAAATCTTTGGAAAATCTTGGTCACAAAGTCTAAAAATTGTTATTCAAACATACGACAGAGGAACATCAAAAAGGGACTTAATAAAAAGGTTCTTAACCTACAACCTGAATTAACTAAGGTTAGCAAATATAATCGGCCTAATAAACTGTAAGAAATAATTGATAAAACGCTAGTTTAATCGATCACTGTAGTCTCCAAGCTACACATTTATTGATATCAAGTTTGTTAAAATCTGCTATACAAAATATATGAAACGCAATAAAATAAAAAAATATCACCTAGCTAAATATTCAAGCTACATCTATGAGTGTAGATAATTAACATAACCAGTTACTGTTGTCAGCTGTATCACCGAATATTATAACTGTACAAAAGTACAACGCCAAACAGTACACAACATTGGGGATCTAGAATGATTCACCAAGAGGTGTAACTATCTATTAGTTGCACTCGCTACATAAAACATGTTTTATGAGTGTTTGAAGAATAGATAACTTCAAAACATCAACATTTCTCTCAAATCGAAAGCTAGCCTTCATAAACACAATCCAAGATATCCAACAAGTTACATGGACTGTATAACTCTATTTCCAAACGCACGGATGAACTAAATACTTATCCTTAAACTTAAAAGAAATGAAATTAAGGAAGAATGATTGCATTTCTTCCTTAATTTCATAAATTAAAAAATGAATAAGCTGTATATAAAATTAAATCGCCTCAGTGTTATTTAGAATCCTGAGGTTAATACAAATAAATCAGAAAGAGTGCAAGGCCATGTACAGAATTCGATGGAATAAGTTAGCTTTCCCTCAAAGCAATATTTTAGTGGTTATTGACATAAAAATGATTTTTTTAAATGGAACACCCTATATATTTTTGCAAATTCGACGAATGCATAAAATTTCCTTTCCAAAAATAAAGTCCAATTAATATCTCGTTCAAGTCTTCTTGGAAATATACAATTTAGAAATTTTTAAGATTTTCAATTGCATACTAGTAGTAGGCTAGTGAGCTTTGACGGCGTTTCTGTCAAATTTTGATTCAAGTTATAAGTGTTAGTGAGAGTATTACTTAGTTGTCATCAACTTTCAAAACAATGTCATATAAAAATTATGGAAAATGGGACATGAGAGTATGTTTTATACAATTTGGGGAGAATGCAGAAACTGCAGGAAATTTATATCATGAACGATGTTCAGAGAGGCGGCAACCTTTTAATGATATTTTTAGAAGATTGTGATATAATCTACAAACTAGCGGCCAATTCGAACAAAAAAGATCAAAAACTTATATACCGAATGAAGACGGGGAATTAGAAGAAGTAGCAGTTTTAGGGGCAATGGAAAATAATCCACAGATATCAACGCTGTAATAGACAACCTAAGCCTTGACGTCACAGAGATGGGCGGAGCTTATATTGATTCCAAACATTTTCGTTGCTAACACAGTAAATCACCATATATGCAATTTTCCATTAGTGTTAAAATAAAATAAACTAAGGTCCATTACTACCATCTTTAAGTTAAATTTATCTTATAGATAAACCCAATACTAGCCAATCAGAACGCGTAAAATAGCCGTAACCGTGGTATTTTACGGATATTTTGAACATTTTCTATAGAACAGGTTTACTTTTGTTGTTATTTGTTGCCATATATTTATTCATGTTTTATAATAAGATAAGTTTTATTAATTTAATCTGCTTTTTGTTTATGAGTTTATGTTTTAATTTATTCTAACCTACTATCTTGATACTACTTATAAACATAATCTTGTTTTTCTTTTATTTCCAAAGCCTACTTTTTCAAAATCTGCACATATAAGTTTTAAAGTTAGATATTTGAAATAAGACTTGAACGAAATATCAAGTGTGCTATATTTTTGGAAAGGAAATTTTACGCTCTCGTCGAATTAGCAAAAATATATAGGGTGTTCCATTTAAAAAAATCATTTTTATGTCAATAACTGCTAAAATATTGCTTTGAGGGAAAGGTAACTTATTCCATCAATTTTCTACATAAAAAGTTGCTTTGTAAATGTTTTCACAGAAAGGAAGATTTATTAATAAGAAAAAAGTTATGAACTTTTCGAAAATACACTTTTTTTGAAAAACGCCCTGTAGTGTGAGCCTCAGACACTGATAACAGTAGTTTCCCTTTACAAGTGCCCAATTTGTACACTTTCTTTTTCCTTTTTTGTCTAAAGTTCAGTAATAACTATAAAACTAGCGGCGCTAATTGAAATATATTCATCCCTATTCGACATCGCGAACAAATGGACGGATCCTCGACGATCACGAATGTTCGCTCTAGTTTAAACGCCCCTGCTTGTAAAGAATAAACGAACAAGCAAAGCACTTGCGAATATGTTCGTTAGCTTCTGTTCGCTCTAATTTAAATGAACCTTAAAATGCTGTGGTAAATACTGAATACATCTGTAATTATATTTTAGAAGGAACCATTGCAATTACAAACATAGTGATACGCAGATACTACTCACTCTACTCATATAGGAAAATTTTATGTCCCTACATAATATCATAGACATGTGGCCAACGTCAAAATAAGTTCAATCTTTTCTTTTTAGCATCAAATAAGAAACGATATCATTTAACAGTAAAAATGCATAAATTTTCATTGAAGAAATATTAATATAGGATGATCACTATATTCATTAGGATTATCATTTAGGATTATAACTGGTTTACAGAGTGGAAAATATCTCTAATTTGATCAAATCTGGCCCTATTTGAACCTCTTTTTCCACAACTTACAAAGTAACACCTGCACTCCAAATATCAACTTTAAATCCAGGAAATGACTCCAAACCATTAGCAATTTCCGGTGGTTGAAACGCAGGAGATCCTTGACCATTATGACATGTATCATCTTCAGCAAATAAATCTATAGTCTTTTTAAAAAGAAAAAACAATAAAATTAACCTTAATTATTTAATATATTTTTTAACAAACCTCTGCAACACCTAAATCGGATATTTTAAGATCACCTTCAAGAGTGAGAAGTAAGTTTCCAGGTTTGATATCTTTGTGAACAATGCGCATACTGTGCAAGTACTCTAAACCATCTATGAGCTGTGTAAAGTAACCATGCGCTTGAAATAAAGGAAACCTTTTGTTGGGCGTTGATTCCAACAACCCTTGAAGACTTCCGACGCAATACTCCATCACCAGGTACATTTTTTGTTTTTCTTCATTAAAAAAGAGATCAACGAGGTTACAAATATTTTTGTGTTTGTCTTTTTTTAAAGATGTTAAAAGTTTTATTTCTCTGAAACAATCAATTAAAATAAAATAATTAATTTGGATTCTTTGTGAATTAAAAAAACTAAATGTTTATAACTAAAATGAAGCAATTAAATTGTTTTATTTATAAAAAATTAAAAATATAAATAAAAGTCTTAGTTTTTGGAATGTATTATATCGGATTATAAAGTTAATCACCGGAATTAAATAGGATTTATGGATTGGGGGGATAAAAGGGTATGTAAACAGGAACTTCACAATTTATGGTTGCATTACAATGTGGAGATCTTGCAACTCGCACCAAAATATGGGTGTAAGTACTTATTTTAAATTTTATTAATTTATTTAAATTGCTTTATTTTAATTAATTATTAAATTAATATGGATTAAGACCAATCCAATTTAAATGATTCTAATATGATGAAAGAAAAACCTTGTGTACTACTACCTCTGAACGTTTTGCTCCCCGCAAGGTATCCTACGTAACTTTCTCTGTTTTAAAATTTTAACAGCCCTTCTACACAAGGTGTCAGAATCGAGCGCTTCCTTCACCTTACCATAGGAGCCCTCTCCGAGCAAGTCGCCCATTACGTATTTACCGAAAATTTTAAGCCTTCGCTTCTTCGTCTGATAAATGATCTGATCGCTGTTCACTCTGTGAAAGAAATTGCCTATGTTTATGTTCTCGAGGTCGTCATCGAAATTGCCTCCCTCGCCCGGATTTAACCACACATCCTCATCATCCTCGACGCCATCCAGACCGATTACGTTGCTCCTAATTGGTAACTCTTCCTCACTATCCACACTAAATATCCTCAATTCCCGTTCTTCTTCCACTTCATCGTCATCGTCTTCGCTTGCGCGGCTTATATTGCACATTTTGTTGTTGTCCATAATTTTTATTCTTAAAAGACGATTTTTTCTTGATTCTCTATCTTGAAAACTACATGCTTTTTCCAACTTCTTAAGCTATGAGGATATTTACTTGGACCGCCATGCTTTTCAAAACAGCTGCTTAGTTACATTTCTGGTTATATTTATGAAACCAACTCACTAAATTGAATTACCCTATTATTTCTTATCAAAGCATTTTTTGTTGATTGTTATGTTAATCCTAAAAAGTTATATTGAAATATTATTTATTTAAATTTTTTTATTTATAAATCTTTTACTTGGATTTTTTCAATAAAAAATTTGATTTGATCGCGTTTATGTAACCAACTAATTAAATTGAATTACCCTACATGTGTTATTAATTATTAATGCTTTTTTTTATTTTTCTTAAAAATTAAATCTTATCGTAAGTTATGTTAATTTAGACTTTATTATAGATGATAAATTTTTATTTATGTTCTTAAAAATATATTTTTAATGAATTTTAATCAATTTGGGAACTTTTATTTTTTCACCTTCAATGTTGATTTCTTTTTTTTTACCAAAGTCACCTTGTGGAATGATTGAAGGACAATTTTCAAACAATTCAAAGTATTCAAATGTAACCTAATTAGAAATGAACCGAATGTACTTTATTTTTAACGAGAACTCGAGCATTTCGTACCGTTTAATATTCTTTTAAAAGTGTTTTAAACCCATTTTCGATATAACCAACAAATATTTCTATCATCTATACTCTCAAGGTGAGATTTATTTTAATGAGTGATTAATGTTTTGAAAACGTTGTCTTAACCCCGACAAGACCTCATCATGACCTCCGAACTTGATACATTGCATATTATCAAATTCCGTTCAGTCAACATAAACTGCTTTTTGTATACAACACGATGTGATACATCCTTCTCTACGTCGGGGGTTGGTCGCTTTTTAAACGTCCGGCGGTATGAGTACTTCTGGTAATGACAAAAGGGCTGACGGACGCCCCGAAACCGTTCCTGAGAGTTCAACGTTAAATGATACACAAAGTATCGTAACGCATGATCCTATTGTTTCCGAGAACGACTCCGGTTTCAATAGTCATGCAAAGAAGCTGGTGTACCTTTTCACCATTACCGTCTCTTTGTGGTTTGTTTTAAAGTTATTAAGCGTGTCCAAAACACTTGAGAGAGTAAGTTGAGTAATGTATATTCTTAATATCTCTAAAAAGTTAATATTTTTAAAGTGTGGTAAAGATTGGATTTAGATAAAAATATATACAGGGTCGCTGATATGTGTGAAAACGGTCGGTTATCTCCTAAAGTTTTTTTTTTAAATTTATTACAATAACGACAAATTAAATATACAGGGTCAGTAAAAAAGTTATGACGAGACCAAGTTATATTTTCTTTAATAGAACACTCTGTATATTATTCTATATTTCGCTTCATCTCAAAATTCTAAACAAAATAAGATATAAAATAAAACTTAACTGTTTTTGAGATATTAAACTTTGAAAATCACTCTTATAAATTAAAAAAAAAATTCTGTCGATTATGTTCATAATTCATCAAGGTATCTTTGAAAGTTTTTCGTCTCCATAGCAACGTAGTGACATAACATGTCAAAAATACAAAAATAGTTTAAATAATTTGCGCCCAAAGATAAATTACGCCATTAATTAGATAAATTCGTAAATTTTTAAAAGCTCGATATCTGGAAAACGGTTAAGTTAAGGTCTATGATGTGTTACATGAATTTTGTTTAGAATTTCGAGATTAACTGAAATATGGAATAATCTACAGGTGTTCCATTAAAGAAAACGTAATTTTGTTTAGTTATTTTGACTGATCCTGTATACTTAATTTGTCTTTATTGTAATAGATTTAAAGAAACACTAAAACTTTTGTATCTCAACATTTTTCGCTAGCTATCTTACTTTAGGAGATAACCGTTTCTATGCTTATCAGCGACTCTGTATAGTAAGTGATTCAATTTATTTAATAATTGAAAATGAACTTAAAAGTAGTGATGGGAATATTAAGAAAGATTAATATCCGTCTAGAATATCAATTAATATGATAAATAAACTTAAACTTTGAAACTGACTCATTATTTATATTTAAACTCAATAATTTCATGTTTATTTTCCTTATTCATATCTCATTGAAACTTTTAAAATAAAAGAAACATTTTTTATGTAATCAAAACCCCAGGATCTTCTTCAAAGCGTGACAAATTCTTAGCGAAATTTTAAACTTATGCACCATAACTCCCCCACTAAATCCCAATGTTATAAAATAGGCTTCTGACGAAAATTTCGTTTATTTTGTGCAAGTGCCCTCATTTGTAACTCTATAAAATCGAGTAAGTAACTATTACATTTATTTAAAGGTGACCGGAGCGATTTTACAACGCCCTTCTGAAGAAACGGTTGAAAATCAACCATCATCTTCTTGCGAATCAAATTCAACAAATTCGTATCTTACTCTTTCAAAGCCAGTTGACCAATTAATAAAGGAAACGTTTGCAGATGAATTTCAAAAGATAACAAGCGAACAGATAAAAACAAAAAAAGTTGGGAATCATAAGAAAAAGAAAAAACATCACAAAGCCGGTCCTAATCACAAACAAAATTCAATTAAAACTGTAAACGGAGGTCATCAAGTAGCGAAATCTGGGAACAAAGGTGGGCCTTAATTTTTTTATCTTAACACTAATATGTAGTTTTATTTTTAGTTTTCTTTTTATGTAGTACATAATGATTGTTAATGTGTTGTTATTAATTTTCAATAAATAAAAGAGTACAAGATAAAAATTATTGTTTACGTTTGCATTTTTATCATTTTCAATTGCAGATAAAAAAGAGTCGTACACAGATAAGTGCCGAAGAGAATTGGTTAATTCCTTGAAGCAATTGCTTCACGATTACTCTGATTCCCAAGACGACGAAATACCGGTTGAAGTTAAAACAAAAATGCGTCTAACGGATACCCAAGTCCGAGTTCTAACGCTAAACGATCGCGAACATCAAGATTCGGTTTTGTATCGTTTAGAAAAAAATTGGATCCTACAATTTCGACTAGGACCATCTCTTTTTGGACGACGCGTTACTTTATTCACAAACTATCCGATCACTACAGCCACCTCAAGCATTCTTTCTTTTGATCGGAAAACTTACCATCGCGTTCCTTGGTGTTTAGACGAAGGCAATGAAAATTGTACCGATGATACGGTTTATTACGCTCAAATTTATGCTGAATTAGCGGGAAGTTTTCATTATTATTTCACGTATGAGAATGCGTAAGATATTTCTTTTATTTAAGTATTTTTTTTAATGTTATAATTATAATAGGGAATCAACAGATCCTCAAGGTTCTGGATTTTTTATGGTTAACCCCGTTTTAAAATATGGTAGAAATGAGGAGCTCCCTTTAGATGGAATTCAATGTCAAACAGTTTTGGCTAAGTGCATGGGAGCTTTTCCGACGTGGGAGAATAAAATGAGGGTTACCAAAGAGTCTGGGTATAATATGGTTCATTTTACACCAATACAGGTGAAGATAAATCAAATATTTCTTTTATTTTACTTACTGATAATAAGTTTTATTCTTTTATTTTATTCTTAGGAATTAGGCGATTCAAATTCATCTTACAGTATTAAAGACCAACTCAAAGTTAACCCAATCTTTAATGATGGACTTCAACCGGTGACATTTGATAGATTGGAAAAATTCATTTCGAAATTGAGAACTGATTGGAAGGTAAGATAATAATGTGTTCTTGGTTTTATATCTCATTAAAATCCATCCAATTAGGTTATAATTAGGTCAGACATAATGACCTAATTGATAGTGGCATAATTTTTAGACATAGCTATAATATGCTAGAAGTTATAAGAGAGATTACAAAATAATAGTAAAACTATAAAACAGAATTTTACTTTGAAAATGTTTAAAACCTAGAATAGAGACATGTTAAAAAATTATGTTTATATTCGTAATTTTATGAAGGTTAACAGTTCCAAATCTTTGATGAGGTAGAGCAAATCTATGAATACATGATACATAATATAGCATAATATTTCTTGTATAATATGTAATTAACTTGCATTGATGGACGCGAAATTCATTGAATATCAAATGTGTGTCCTGCAACTTTGTTATTGTTAATGTTGTTCTTATTAGCAGATAAACGAACCTTTCTATTTGCATTGGATTTCCTTAAGGTTGCTGCATTTCAATTTTAATACATGTTGTTTACCCTTTATGCACAAGCCCAAGTCTGACTCAGACACCTAAAAATTACGAAATTGTGCAAGCTCTTGTAACAAATTTTTTCGTTATTATTTCTACTGATGTGTATTACCTGTGATAGATGTAAGCCTTTTCTAAAGTATTTATAAGGCCCCGTTATTAATCTGTTATGGTAAGAAATAACCATTGACGACAAATATTTTGATAGGCTCTAATTTGTTAGAAAGCAATTCAGATCATAGTAGCAGTGATTACTAATCAGAAATGACGACTAGTACTCATTATCAGGTTGGGTTGAAATTAGTGCAAATCAACCCAATTCAATTCCACAAAAATGTCCATTCTTGGTAACACTTCATTATTTTATCAGATCATTTTTTTGATGATGACTTTTTTAAAAAGGGAACAAACAAATATGCCGACAGCAGCTAAGAACTTAATCAAATGCATGGACATCTGTTTGTGAATATGACATATATTCATTTTTAGCAGTAAACGTTCTTCCTTAAAAGGTAGATAAACCTGAGAAAAGAATATATTGATGTTCAAAGGAATCGATTGCGACTCCTTTTTTTCCTAAACTTGTGTTGTATAGAGACATATGCTCAAATAAAGCAGATCTTCGTTTTGCAAATCACGAACACTGCAATAACGTTGATATCACTAAAGTTTAATGTTGTCTTGGCTGGAAATAATACATCTCTTAAACGATTTCGTAGGCATAAAATTTTATTGTTTGTGCGAATCAAAAAGAGCATATTTGTATTCATCTATAATATAATTTGTACGTGTAAAGGTAAATATTTTAAGTTGTTCTGACATCCGATCTCCAGAAGCAGAAACTAAAGAAAGGAGAATCGACCTTACGACGAAGCATATTCAACTCAAACCAAAAGAGTAGACCAAACTTGACAAATTGGAAAAGAGATAGAAAGCGGAGGTTTCAGGATTGCTTGGATCCACGACCAATGATCTAGTACATTTTACATAGCTTTATACATAGTTGCTTGCGTTTGAAGAAAATGTAATATATCCATGTCAGGCATCTATCGCGGTGCATGCCTAGGTATTTTTATCTTTTATTATCATATTGAGTCTCTTCACATACAATTTTCTTTTTCAATTTCCGATTTGAGCAATTTGCTAGGGAAATAGTTCGTTCTCAGAACGGCAATAAACATGAAAGTAATTATGTATTTTGTAATATTTTCGGATAATTTTTGTAGAATTTATCCAGTAATAAAGCCAAATCCTGGAGCTCTTTTTATATTTACTTATTTTATTAGTTGTGAACTTGTAGTGAAGCAGTTCCATAGAAAAAGGCACGTCTAAGGAGTTATGGTGATTTCATCCTCATCCTTATCCCAGATAGCAGCTTAGGCGGGAAAGGTTTAAATGCGTTCTCGAGATGTTTTGAGAAGGCCTCGCCTTTTTCTTTGTCATTTATGACATAGAAAATAAACTCATCTTTAATTGGATGTATCGTTGCGGTCTTGTAAGTCTGCTTGTGGCTTTCCAAAGCCTTAAAAAAAGCAAATTGTCTTTTATTCGCTGCCAATTTTCTTTGACTAATGAAGAAATTATACCTTTCCCTATTGGTGTTTCATAACCTGGGGTTGCATGCTTCTTGTATTTCGTAAAAAACGGAAACGGTGGAAGGAAGACAGATACAGGGGAGGAGAAGAATCAGAATTAGCAATGAAGAAGGGAAGCCAATAACTCTCGAGGAGGTGTAAGACGCCATCAATAAAATGAAAAATGGAAAGGCAGCTGGGGAGAACAAAATAGTACCAGAAATGATGCAGACAGCAAGCATGGTATTGGCCGAAGAAATTAAAGAACTGTTCCAATTGGTATGGAGATTAGGGTGGATATCAGCACATTTTCAAAGAAACATAATCATCCCGTTAAGAGTAAAATCGGCACAAATTCTTTCAAACGGGCTTTTGATACAAAGACCTGTGTGTATTTTTTTGTGACGAGCATAAATTTGTTTGCTGCACCCAATGGTTAAAAATGTCGATCAACTTTACAAATATTTCAACAAGGTTGCAATTTTCCAGTTTATTTTTTAGTGGAATTAGAACTAGAAGTATTTTGTCCACTTTAGACTTATGTTTTTTGGACTGTTTTGATTTGATCAAGCTTTCTAACAATATTGGCAATGCTAAATTACTTCCAAATTTTTGCTGTTTATATAATGCAACTCAATTTCACCACCTACATCAGTTGGAAATATGTGTTCGTGTCCTAAATAATTTTCGTTCAAGTTTTTTCATCTGTTGTGTCAAAGTCAGGCTGTATCTACGACAGAATCTACTTGATGTCGCAACATCTTCTAAAGCAGCATCTAACTGATGATAGTTCCTTCCATAAAACTTTCAAATGTGGATACCTAATCGACATGCTAACAAATCTAAGTCTTAATTTAACTAAACTTCCCTACATTCATATAATATACACATCGTTACACTCTGACAGATTTTGGTTCAATGGATCAATTGTGGTTACCCATAATTGATGACGTCATCAAATAGATTCATTGAATCTTACATCTTCATATTACCTTATTGCATAATATAATTTCTAACATTTTATTTTGTTAACAGATCACTTCTATTTGTGATATCGTTTTAAATCATACTGCAAATGAAAGTCCTTGGTTATTTGATCATCCAGAAGCAACTTACAATTGTCTGGATTGTCCCTACATGAGACCAGCATATTTATTAGATGGAGCCCTTTATCAATTTTCAAGAGATGTTGGAAGGGGTTTGTATGAAAATAGAGGAATTCCAAGGGAAATTTGTACGCCGGATCACTTGAACGTATAAATAATTAAAATAAAGTTGAAATAATTTATTTTATTTAACAACATTGTAGGCGATTCGTTACACATTGCATAGTGAAATTTTGCCGGCTATTCGTTTACATGAAATGTACGTTTGCGATGTTAGCAAATACGTTTCCGAATTTTTAAGCATCGCCAGGAAACGTACTCCGGGATCGACTAGTACCGATCAAATCACTTTAAGTAAAAAATTAAAATTGATTCAAGATCAAAAATATCGGAGATTGGCTGCAAAAATTGATATGGATTTGGCGTTAGAAACTTACAACATTTATAGGTAAATATTATATTTAAAAAACTTAAAAATTAAGTTTTATTTTTAGGCCTGATTCTTTTGATGAAGAAACTCGTTTAAAAAAGTGTTCAGAAGATTTCAAACGTAAATTGGACGAGCTAAATGGAGAAGCGATTAATGAGATTGGAGTTCATTTAAATGCTGCTGTTGATAATTGTATTTCCGGTATTCGTTATTTCCGAGTACAACCTGACGGGCCGAGAATTAAAGAAGTTTCGCTTAAAAATCCGTTAGTTTATCGTTATTTCACCGATTACGATGATCCAAGAAGCATAAAAGAACACGAAAACATAATGTACAGCGAAAAATCGAAATATCTTATGGCCCATAATGGTTGGGTTATGAATTCTGATCCTTTAAAAAATTTCGCGGCTCCAGATTCGAACGTGTATTTGCGAAGAGAATTAATAGCTTGGGGCGATAGCGTGAAATTACGTTATGGTGAAAAACCGGAAGATTGTCCTTATTTATGGCAACATATGAGAAATTATGTTGAACAAACTGTCCAAATTTTCGATGGAGTACGTTTAGATAATTGTCATTCAACTCCAATTCCTGTAGCTGAATATTTACTCGATTGTGCAAGAAAAGTTCGACCGGATTTATATGTAGTTGCTGAATTATTTACTAATTCGGATCAAAAAGATAACATATTTGTTAATCGATTAGGAATTACTTCATTAATAAGGGGTTAGTTACTTAATTTTATTTAAAAATTCCATGTTCATAGATAAATTCGGGGTTGGGTTGTCTATATGATGTATAAATCAAGGGCGGTAGTTCTAGTTTTAATTGTTGTTCAACGCTAGATTGTTATATATTTTTATTCAACAAAAAATAGAACTAACACTAGACCTAGAACTAGAAACATTCGGATTTAGCCTATGCTACTGTTAGTTCTAATGCTGGTGTTAGTTCTAGTTTTAGTTGTTATTCAGCGTTAGATTGTTGTACATTTTAACAATACACCTACAACAAGAAAGTTTTGGACACCCCTTCCCCGTATTAGTCAGTTATATCGAGGTTTTACTTTAATGTAAATAATTTATTTTATAGAGGCTATGGCTGCTTGGGATTCCCACGAAGAAGGCCGATTAATTTATCGATTTGGTTGTGATCCTGTTGGCGCTTTTTACCAACCAAATATTAGACCTTTAGTTCCTTCAATAGCCCACGCTATCTTCTTGGATCTCACTCACGATAATCCATCACCAGTTCAAAAACGTTCAGTTTTTGATCTTTTGCCATCAACTGCTTTAGTAAATATGGCTAATTGTGCAAGCGGATCAAATAGAGGTTACGACGAATTGGTACCTCATCATGTAAGACTTTAACATTATAATTTTATCACTTGAAATCATTTTAATTTATTTAATTCAGATTCATGTGGTTGATGAGAAACGTCAATACACTGAATGGACGGACGAACCTAAAAACATAATTTACGATAATCCTAAATTCGTATCAAGAAATTCTGGAATCATAGCCGCAAAAAAAGCTTTAAACGATCTTCATTTTCAATTGGGTTTAAATGGTTACGATCAAGTTTACGTAGATCAAATGGACGCGGATATCGTCGCAGTTACCCGACACAATCCAAGTGCTCACGAAAGTGTGATTATGGTCGCTTTTACCGCTTTTAATCATCCCGATCCGAACGAAGAAATTTACCAAAGAAATATTAAACCGTTAACAGTCGAAGGAACTTTAGATGAAATTATTATTGAAGCTTCGATTGGGCATATTGCGGGAATGGGTGGAACCGGATCAAGATATGCAAGAATAAATAGTTTCGATAAAGACACTCATTACATTAACGGTTTAAATGAGTATGGATTAACAATGCGGCAACATATCCAATTATCTGAATCGGATGTTTTTAAATGGATTGATACAGATCGAACGCACGTAACCGTTTTGGGATTTAAAAATTTTAAACCCGGTTCAATCGTAGCGATAAAAGTTTCTATGCCAAAAATGGTCAGAGAATCGATTCGTTATGTTCGAGATCTTTTAACATCGTTTTCACGAAACGACGCGAGAAGTTTAACGCAAGTCGTTAACCAAATGAGTCTCGCCGATATTAATAGAGCTTTATATCGATGCGATCAAGAAGAAAGAGATGAAGGCCATAATAGCGGCGTTTACAGCATTCCAAATTATGGACCTTTGGTTTATTGCGGACTACAAGGAATCATTTCATTATTAGCTAAAATTCGACCTACAAACGATTTGGGACATCCATTATGTTGTAACTTACGCGAAGGTGATTGGTTAATTGATTACATCTGGAGAAGGCTTCAATTAGATGAAGGAACGAAACCTTTAGGAATTTGGTTCGAAGAAAATACAATTCAATTGAAACGTCTCCCGAGATATTTAGTTCCATGTTATTTTGATGCGATTATTACTGGGGTTTTTACTGTTGTTTTAGATCATGCATTTAATTTGATGTCTGAGTAAGTTATTTTTTTTTTTTTTTTGTTAAAACAGTGTCGGGGAATATTATTTTTTGATTAGGTTCGTGAGGAATGGATCTACTTTTGTTCGAGCTTTAGCAATGGGATCTGTACAATTTGGAGCTTTTATCAGATCGGCTAATTTACCGATGTTATCGCCAGATATTGCACCTCCTAGACCACCACAAAGGAGAAATGAAAGAGGAAATTTAATACAATCTTGTATATCATTAGCAGCAGGTAAGTTTTGACACTCAGTTATTTTATTGAATAGTAAGTGTTAAAAAGGGTTATGTCTACCCAACATTACCAAGTTTTTATAGAATGTTATTAAGTTTTCAAATTTTCTGTGCTTCTCCATAAATTCACTTTCATCATGATGGATTTATCTGTCTGTACAAGATTGCAATCGTCAGAGTTTCTTCTGGTGCATACCTGGGTTGTTCTCTATAAAGTTTTGTGTCACATTTATACAAGAATAAGTGTTAATGCAAGAAAACTACTTTCAAGAAAGAGAATTAGACTATGAAGACTGCAGACCTTAAGAGAACGCCCAGAATTACTTTGAACAAATTAGAAAATTACAAGAAAAATTCTGAAAATGTACTGACAGGATTAGAAGTAACAAGAAAAGTCTGAAAATACACTGATAGGTTTATAGATGGCATGAACAAGTTTGAAATAATGTTGGCATGACTTCTCACTTTTGCAAATTGCCAGAAATTATTCTGACTGAATTTCAAACTAGAAGAGAATGTCTGGAAATACGATGTTCGAATTGCAGACTGCAAGAAAAAAATCTGAAATTCCACTGACCGGATTCTAGGTAACAATAAAAACTCTGAAATTACAGTGACAGATTCCTAGGCAGCAAGAAGAAGTATGAAATAAACAACGTAAAGAAGTCTATAATAACGCTGATGAGGCTCCTTACTATAGCAAAATGTCAGAAATCACACTGAATGAATTCTAAACTAGAACAGGATATCTTGAAATACGCTAGCCGAGTTCCAAACTGCAAGAAAAAATGTGGAATTGTATTTACCAGATTCCAGGTAGCAAGAAAAAGCTGGGTATACAATGACAGGTATTTAGACAGCAAAAAGAAGTCTGAAATAATGCTGGCAGAACTGTGCATTTTAGCAAAATCTTAGGAATTAGATTGACCCAGAACAAGATGTCTGGAATTACTCTAACGAAATTCCAAAATGCAAGAAAAAAATTAGAATTGCACTGACTTGATACTAGGTAACAAGAACAAGTTTAGAAATACACTGACAGGTTTCTAGATAGCAAGAAGTCTAAAATAACCTTGGAAAGACATCGGACTTTAAAAAATCCCAGGAATTACATTGACCTAATTCCAAATTAGATGAAGATATCTCGGAAATACGATGACGAAATTCCAAACTGCAAAAAGCAATCTGAAATTGCACTGACCGTATTCTAGGGAACAAGAAGTCCGAAATAACGCTGGCAAGACTCCTCAGTTTAAGAAAACGCCGAATTCTAAATTATAAAAATAAGTCTGGAATTACTCTGACCGAATTGTAGGTAACAGGAAGTCTGGAAATACACTGACAGGCTATTAGACAGCAAGAAAGTAGACTCTGAAATAACAGTGGCAAAGCCCAACACTTTAAGAAAATGTGCGAAATTACTCTAACGAATTTTCAAACTAGTACAAGATGTCCGGAAATACAGTAAAAACATTCCAAAGAGCAAGACAAATCAAGAAATTGCACTGATCAATTTCTAAACAGCAACAACAAGTCTGAAATAACATTGGGAAGACACCAAATTTTAAGAAATTGTCAGGAATTACACTGACAATGTTCCAAACTAAAGTTGGACTATTGAAACTGATTCCAAACAGTTATTAATTTAGTACATTTTTGATAAAAATCGCACTGAAAATATCGATATCAATACCGAAAATGGATCCTTTACTTCATTGAATAGATAACTACATAGCTCCATAAACAGTTCTTTCATTATCCAATATGGCCATGTTTTGTTAAAAAGCTAACTTGAAAATAATTTAAAAATCCTTGATAATACAGATGCGTTTTTCAAGCAAAATTTGAAAATTTTTGGAAAATCTTAACAATCAGCAGGAGGTTTTTGAAATTACTCCGAGAGTTTTTGAAAGAACAGATGCATGTTAGGTAAATCCCAGACATCCATAAAAATCTTAAGATGTAAATGTTGACTTAACTCTAATGAATGCTTTCAATCTAATACGCAAACATACTTGAAAATTCCTCAAACTCTTAGAAATAATCTGAAAACTTTCTGCTAACTAACTTTTGAAAATACTCCACGATCTTCGAATAACCAGAAACATCACAAAATCTATATAATATAAAATTAATAAAATATATTTGGTTACTTTTGAAAATCCTCAATTATCGTCAATAACTTTTTCAAGAAAAATCATGGAAAATCTACAAGAATTCTTCAAAATTTCTGAAATTGCTTGGAGACCCATTGAAAATCATCTAATATTTCTTGGACCGAAACTCATGACGCATCCAAATAAATTCCAAGAATTCTTTGAAATCCTTGAAAATAAGAATAATAAGAATATATAAGAATCTTTGCAAATATACCATTTTCTTGAAGTGTTCCGAAAGTCCTTCTAAACTTTGTAAATCCTCTAAAATACTTTAAAATATCCCAAAGTCCTTGGAAATCTTCTATAAATGCTTGAAAATAGTCCAAAAATCCTTGATTGCTTGAAATTCAAGCATCTTTGAAAATTTTTCCAGAAACTCTTAGAAATGTTAGGACTTCCTTGTAAAAGCAAATATATCTTATATAAATCCCGGTAACTCTTAAGTTTTTCTTGGAAATCTTCGAATGTTTAAAAGAAAATTTATCAGATACTTTGAAAATACTTAAAATCTATTGAAAACTTTCTAAAAGCTCTTAAAAATGGAGATCATCTCCAATAAATCTCAGAAACTACTAAAAATCAGTTGTACATGGAAAATCCTCTAAAAATATTGAAATTGCTCTACATAGTATCTCAAATAATACAGGAAATCTTCACAACTCTCAAGCAACCCTAAAAAAATGATCGGCAATCAATCAGAATCCTTCAAAACGTCAGAATCTATTTGGAAACTTACTGAAAACAGTTTAAAAATCTTGGATTTAAACTGAAAATTTTGTATTTAAATCCCTGAAAATATTTGGAAATCTTTAAAGTGACTGTGTCAAAATATCATCAAATCAATTCCTTGAATGAGTAGCTGCATCTTAAATAAATCCTAGAAATTCTGAAACAGCTTTGGACATCCTTGAAAAACGGTGTAAATTTATTGTAAATCTTCCACATATTCCTAGAATTGCAAAAATCCTTGATAATCTACACCTATCATCAAAAACGGCCAGAAGTTTTTAGGGTGTGTCCAAACTTGCGCGCGGCAAAATTGTGTCCTGCGAACGCTGTATGTTGCTGTCACTCTTGTCGGGTTATGTTTGGACACACCTGTTTTAACAAATGTAATAAAAAGTGTAATAGTTTTGCGTTTTTAATACTACATCAAAACTATCATTACATTCATCATATTATAACCAACTATTTAATACTTTATATTAATTTATAGGTTTACCACATTTCTCAGTTGGTTATATGCGAAATTGGGGAAGAGACACCTTTATAGCCCTTCGAGGTCTTCTTTTAATAACAGGTCGATATGACGAAGCAAGATACCACCTTTTAGCGTACGCCGGCTGCTTGCGACATGGCTTAATACCAAATTTATTGAGTCAAGGTAAAAATGCTCGTTACAATTGTCGAGATGCCGTTTGGTGGTGGCTCTATTGCATTAAAAGTTACGTCGAAGAAGCCCCATCTGGTTTAAATATTTTAAAAGATAACGTGATTCGTCTTTTCCCGACCGATGATATCCGCGACGAAGATTTTATGCCGCAACAAAGTTTGCACGACGTAATTCAAGAAGCGTTAAAAGTACATTTTCAAGGGTTGATATTTAGGGAAAGAAACGCGGGGAGGCAAATCGATGAGCACATGTCCGATAAAGGTTTCACGATACAAATTGGGGTACATCCGGAAACTGGGTTTGTTTTTGGCGGTAGTGATGCGAATTGCGGGACGTGGATGGACAAAATGGGGTCGTCGGATAAAGCGGGAAATCGCGGAAAACCGGCGACGCCTCGGGACGGTTCTGCAATTGAAATTGTCGCTTTAACCAAAGCGGTTGTGCAATGGTTACATGAATTGCATATTGACGGACAATACCCGTATGATGGTGTTGAAAGAGTTGGAAAAAATAATGTTCATACTAAATGGACGTTTGGGCAATGGGCTGAGAGGATACAAAATAATTTTGAAAGACATTTTTGGATTAGTCCGGAACCGGTGAAAGGGGAAGAACGACCAGATCTTATTCATAAACGTGGGATGTATAAAGATTGTTATGGGGCAACCCAAGATTGGTCCGATTTTCAATTGAGATGTAATTACCCCATTGCGATGGCGATTGCACCGGAATTATTCGATTCGGATCATGCTTGGATCGCGTTACAAACAGCAGAAAAACAATTAATGGGTCCATTGGGGATGAAAACTTTAGATCCTGATGATTGGGCCTATAATGGTGACTATGACAATTCTAATGATTCCGATGATATTAAAGTTGCGCACGGATTTAATTATCATCAAGGACCGGTAAATTAATTTTTTTTTGTAAGTTTAAAATTTAATTGATTTTGTTAAGGAATGGGTTTGGCCAATGGGATACTTTCTAAGGGCGAAATTACATTTTGCTAAAATTCAAGATGAATTAGATGACACTGTGGATAGTATTAAAGGAGTTTTATCGAAACATTATTCTGAAATACAAATGTCTGATTGGAAAGGACTCCCTGAGTTGACCAATTCTAATGGAAGCTTTTGTAAGGATAGTTCAAGAACGCAAGCATGGAGTATGTCTGCAATTTTAGAGGTATCTATTTAATGTGTTGATGAGCTAAAAGTTATAAGTGTTTGATTTTAAGGTTTTATATGATCTGCAACAAATAGATGGCAACGAACGGCATACGACAAATTGACTGCACGTTTTAGAGGGGGAACAATTAAAAAATGCCTATAGACCACACAGACAAAAAATACCCCCACCCCATTTTCAAAATGTCCCAGCGTTCGATAGAAATAAAAAGTATTTCGTTTTGAATAAAAAGAAAACGTTGATTCGCGCAGGTAGCAAATTTTTTAAAAACAAATTGAGGGGTAACATAGAACGCAAGAAAAACCCGACGTTTAAACACGCTCTGTTTAAAAAACAGTACAAAATGAGGAAACCAAAAACGGTTGTTTGTTTTCCGAACATCTACAGCGATTTGTATTTTAAACACGGCGAACCGTTATATGGGCAGTTATTTAATTATAACGAAATTTTCTTCACCGAAAATTCATCGACGTTGTTACGATTATTTAATTGTACGCAAAAAGGTATTAATTATATGCCTGTTGTAACAAGACCATCACCTGCCTTCGATTTTCCCGGTGTCCTTCTCGTGTCTTCCGTTAGTTTCATAAAAAATCCGAATGTTTTTACGAATTTGAATTATAGAGTGAATAAGGGCTCGTTTAATGATTACAAACCGATGATAACTTTAAGCACAATTGCCGTTACTGAATATTTTCCTAGGATACAAATAGACTATAAAATTGGGCGTGTATGTGCGGGATCAAATAAAATAGTTCCTCCAAGTAGAAGTCTTGCTACATTGGAAGCGATTTCACCTTGTTGCGCTGAGGAAGTTCCAGCTCGTTGCGTACCGACAATAACGAAACAAGAAGAAATTGTTGCTGAAGAACGTGCGTTAGTTCCTAAAGAAAAAAATGTTTTGTTATTGGAACCTTTGTTATTACAAAAGATGTCTCATAAATCACCGGAATCCCAGCGACAACAACGCGTCGAGTTTAATAAGAATGTTCGACTGTTGATATTGTATTCTTTTTTATGCTTTGCTTTGGCGATAATTATATTCTTTTCAATTTACTTATAAGATATATAAGCAATGATTTATGTAACCGTCCTTTATATATGTATAATTAAAATGAAAGATTGTTATTTTTTAAGGTATAAGAATTAAAAATAAAATAAGTTCATTTATAACGTCTATTGATTTGTAATTACTCAGTATATGAAGGGTAAAACAAAATAAAAATTATATCAATATTATAATATTATATCACTATTATATCAATAGCCACTTATTATAAATCACATTATGATATTCAGAACAACAGACCTTTCTTTCATTACAACATAAATAAACATTGCACGCAGTACATTTTGAGTGGGATCTACCTTTGGCAGAACAATTTTCACAACTTCCTCGTTCTTTTGAACTTGCGCTACGACATTTTCGTAGAACGGAGATTCGTCTGATTGGCTGTACTGGCGTCACGTGATCGTCATCAGTCAATCAGACGAATCTCCGTTTCTCCAAATCTTCGCACTAAAGGCACCTTAAGTGTCAAAAAAGATGCTAATTCAAAAATTCCTAGAAGCCATGTTTATTGAAATTATTTCTTAATTTATTGAAACTTATTTTAAATTAAAGCTCAAAGCTTGCTCTTTAAAGTGATGTATAATAATTGTTGGGTTGGATGGGAAAATATTGAGAAAAAAAAAGTTGAAATAAAACTTACATTTTCGTATACCCTAAAAGTGTCAAAAACGATGTTAATTTAAAAATTTCTGGAAGCCGTATTTATTGAAATTAAGGAATGAACCTTCTTCTAAATTAAAGCTCAAAGCTTTCTCTTTAAAATGATGTATAATAATTGTTGGGTTGGATTGGAAAAATATTGAGAAAAGAAATGTTGAAATAAAACTTACATTTTCGTATAACCTAAAAGTGTCAAAAAAGATGCTAATTTAAAAATTCCTGGAAGCTGTGTTTATTGAATTTAAGGAATGAGACTTATTTTAAACTAAAGCTCAAAGCTTTTTTTTTAAAATGATGTTTAATAATTGACTTAAGTGTCAAAAAAGATGCTAATTCAAAAATTCCTGGAAGTCGTGTTTATTGAAATTAAGAAATGAAACTTGTTTTAAATTAAAGCTTAAAGTTTTCTATTTAAATCGATGTATAATAATTGTTGGGTTGGATTGGAAAAATATTGAGAAAAAAAATATTGAAACAAAACTTACATTTTCGTATAACCTAAAAGTGTCAAAAAATATGCCAATTTAAAAATTCCCGGAAGCCGTGTTTATTGAAATTAAAGAATGAGACATTTTAAATTAAAGCTCAATGTTTTCTTTTTAAAATGAGTGTTTAACACTACCGGTACTTTAAAGTACCGTTGGGACACAAAGGGTTAAATAGAGAGCATGCTTTATCACTTAAGAACATATAGTACAATATAATACATATAATATGCGAAGTTAGAAAAAATTTCTTTCTAAGAAATCGTTGAGAAGATTAAAACGACTTCTTTGCGATGCCCTAATATAGGCGACGCCTAGTGCAGCCATTGTAAAGAACAAGGTATAAGCATTAAAACTAAAATAAATTGATTTATAATGTCTATTGATTTGTAATTACTCAATATATAAAGGGTTAAACAAAATAAAAATTGTTTGAAAAACAAAATTAAACACATTAAAACAACACTATTCGTCGTTTTCCTGAACCTTCTTCTTCTTCTTTTTCTTTTTGGGTGGTTCCTGAACGATATCTTCTTCCATACCATTCTCTTGACCATTTCCATTACTTTGATCAAGCACTTCAGCTTTCCTCTTCTTCTTTTTCTTTTCAGTTTTTGTAGATTGTACTTTATCGAATTCTTCAATAGCTTCCTTCATAACTTCAATATTTTTCTTTGGAATATCTCCAGTTTCAAAGAATTTTAATCTATCTTCAACTTGCTGACGAAGTTTTTCCCCAAATATATTCGACATTTGTTCAGCAAAACAATCAATTCTAGACGCTATTGAACACTTATTTGCAAGATACCGCGAAATTCTACCTTTATTTTTGGCCCCAGCTCTACCAATAAACGTGGAATGGAATAAAAGTCCGTATTTAGGCGTGTTTCCGCGAGTTTTTAAGGCTCTAAATAAAGCCTTTTCTGCACCTAAAATCTGGACTGTTGAAGCTGGATATTTTGCTAAGTTTGTAAGAGAACCGGCGTGTGAAATTAATCTTGCACCGACTTGATCGCCAACTAAAGAAGCTAAATTTGGCGCAACATCACTCATTTTTTTACGAAGATATTCCCCAAGTTCTTTGCGATAATCCGCCAAGGAAACAACTTTTCCAGCAAACATTTCTATATTTAATAAGTCAATTGGACTTATATCCATACCCATACTCGATCGAGAAGCTTCTAAAATAGCTTGAGCTTTCCCGGAATCCATCGTAATTGCTTCTAACCCCTCTAAATGTTCTTCAGTTAACTCTTTACGGTTTTTAATAAACTGAGCTAATCTAGCATAAGTATAATTTTCAGGAACAATTTTAAATAATTCTGGGAAATGATATGAATACCATTCCCTAATTCTCATAGCAAATGTATTTATATCTTTATCCAATTGATCCAACAATGCGATTGATTGTATTATCATGTTATCAACACGATGTACATTAAATTTAACTTTAGCCCTTGAATATGAATGTCCCAAACCTAATCGAGCAATCCCTGAACTTTTTGCAGTAAACCCTTTCACCATATTATGAAAATGCAACCTTATTCCTCTTACAACTTCAGGAACAACCCCAATATGCGTACAAGGAATACCTAACGCCTCAGTTATTGCAGCCCCCAATTTTGGATCGCTCACCCCAAGTGATGATTTATTTTTCTTACCACCTTTTGGGATGGTAATATCGAGAAATTGTTGAAGATCTTCAGTTAGTAAACCTTCAGAGATTGCATTGACATTCTCAAGGGCGGCAACGGCAGTTTTGAATGGAGAAAAACCAACCAATTTAACAACACTGTTAAAACGACCTAAATCAGTCACCGCTTCTTCCAATTGGGGCAGAAACATTCCGATTTCTTCAAATTCTTGAACTTGGAATACGCCATAACCGGCTGCGTGTTCGTACAGAACGTACAAATTAACCTATTCATAAAAACGTTTCAATTTAAAATGTATGGTTTTAAATATTAAAAATGAGAAGTGAAAGTTAGGTTATGTTTACAACCCACGTGTAGGAGAAATCGAATTTAATTTTTGTATGATTTAATAATAAATATTTTTGGGATATCGGTATCTTACCATTTTTAACTTATCTTCGTCCTTAATTTGTAGTCAAATTAATAAAATGGAACAATAAACAACATAAAAAGACACGAGTCTTCAAGATTTTGAAGGCTGGACGCCACTTTTACAATGGCCGCCGACAAAATTGACTAATTTCACATCAAACTTTAAATATTGTGTTTATTTGTAAAAAATAATTTTTTGAGTAACTTTTATCAATATAATGTGTAAAAACGATAAAAAATAAATTTATTAATAAAACGGGGTAATTTTGGTCCATATCAAGCTTTTTATATAAATTTACATCAAATGCCCACTAGATGGTGCTATATTATTGAAATATGGTAATAACCTTGTTTATAGATATCCATGTATAATAATACGGGTAATAGCCTTGTATATATAATCGAATTGAAATTTTTAAATTAATTTAATTAATATAAGCAACCAATTTGACATATTAAAGACAAGTGTTGATAGTATCAAACTTCATGTGAGTTTGTTAAGTTTGTTTATTTGTCAACAACAACCTTTGACATTTTGGCAACAACTTAAACTTGTGGTTTGGCATAAATTTAGTTTAAAAAAACGACCATGGCGGGTGTTGTACCATCAAGAAGGTCAACATCTGGCCGAAAACAGTGGTCAATACAAGGTGTGTATCAATATATCTCATCAAATTCCCAAAGAATTTATTTTCTATTTTTAGATGGGGCCCGGTGTTCTTTAAAACGATTAAGAAGCGAACTAGCAAACGACGGCTGTCCGGAATCTCAGGTTGTTTTAGCAAAACAATTACTTGAAGACCGATGCGGTAATAATAATTGATTTTGATTGTGGTGATTTAAATTAAGTTATTTACTTATAGATTATCAAGCTGAGGATAAACGAGAAAATGCTCGATTGGGGGTTTATTGGCTGATTAAAGCATCCGAACAAGGAAATACTGAAGCAACTGATTTGTTAAAAAAATGTCTTGAAAGTGGAAAAGGAATCACCGAACAAAATTATTTAGATGTTGAGGCTTGTATTAGTATAACTCAAGATGAAAAAATTGCTAAAAGAGCTGCTAGAAAAATGTTTGCTAGGTAAATAAAGTAAATATTTAATTTTCTTATTTATTTAATTTATTATTTTAGTTTATCAAATGGAGAAGAATATATTACATCAGAACAGCTACAAAAGAGGATGTTAGCAATTGAACATGAACAAGGAGAATGTAGTTATTCGAAAGCATCTTTAGATGATCGAGGGGATTATTCAAATGGTGAATTAGTTAACAATGAAGATTTTGCTAGTAGTAGTGAATCAGATGAAGAAATTGATTGGACAAATCGTTCTAATTTTAACAATGAAAAGCTTACTGAAGACCACCTCGTTGCAGCAGCCGTAAATTACGCCCACGGTGAAATTCCACGTGTAAATCGCGTTTTATGTTTATCACAGCCAAGTCCTCACGCTCTCGATCATTTACCTCTCATGCAACGTCCCATTTTACATCCATTACTCGCCATACAAATTTTATACTACAAATTAATCGAATTCTTAGCCACATTCGTGTTTTTACCGAAATCAGAAACTCAATTATTAGTGTTTTTATTTATTTATTCTTGGATGGGTACAACTGAAAGTATAGTTTATTTTGTTCCTATACTTTTATACTTTGTAACGTTCGTTGTAATGATTGTAACAACGTTTCGAATGTTATACACAAAAAGAGAGTTTTATGATTTTCGTTTGTGGTCGGGGTTGTTTTTAACGTATTCCGGTGGTAGTTTGAATGCGGAAGAGGCGGAAATTCGGTACATAACGAATCATTTAAAACCGTGTTGGCAATTTTTTATAGCGCTTTTAATTAATTTAATGTTATACCCGGTGATTGTTGAAAGGTATATTCCGCAATCGGAAATGACGGTCGTTGCATTTTTATTAACGTTTATGACGTTGTTTGGGTTTATGTATAAAAAGCGGTCGAAAATTGTTTATGATTATCTCGTTTTGTTGAGTTTTGCGATTAATGTTTTGGCGAAATATCCGTATGATACGGATCCGGTTGTAACTCAAGGTTGGAGGTTTCTCGATTTAAAAATTCCTACTTTTGCGACGTATGTAATTGGGAATGGGATTGAATTTTGTATTCATTTTAGGGTTTTATTGTACGCATTCATTCCAGTTTTGCTTTTAAAACTTGCCAGTAGGAAGAAGTGGCGTGGGATTTATATGTACTTTATCCCACACTGCGTTACATTAAGTTGGTTACAATTGGTTGTAATTTCTTCACAAGGGGCTACCATGTTTGGTTTGTTAAGAGGAACTTTGGCTTTAGTTGGGGTTGTTTTATTTTTACCTTTGGTTGGTTTAACCACGATTTTTTTGCCGGCGGCAGCCATGGCGAAATGGTTAGTTGCGACTAATTTCATTTATACAATTGGTTTATTTATATTTCTAACCGCATCAGGAATTTTATTTTGCAAACTTTTATCAAAAACCCAGTTCAAAAACCTCACTCCAATATTCCAAATTGTTTTCTCAGCCGTTTCAATTTATTTTTTATTAAACTCAATTATTGAAAATGATTTCATCAATAAATTATCTGTGCCAAAGGACGTGAAACCCCTCGATTACGAAATTTACCACAAATTCTGTCAACAACAATCTTGGGATACCGAAAACACCGTTTCATCTCAAATGCGTTGTTCGCAATTGGAAAATTTCGAAGTTCATTGGGACGGATATTTAAACAACATCAACTTGAAATCGACAACAAATAATTTAAAATATTTTATCGATAAATTCCCCGTTTTTATCGCAAACAACCTCTATTGTTATTACGGAGAGGAAATTACTGAACAATGTGATAGACTAAAACACACCGAAGAAGACTGTAGAATATTTTACGAAATTGTAAAATCAAAAACTCCATGTACTTTAGATCGATTTAATAAGTATACATTCGAAATTACTTTACGTATGCAATCGGGATTGTGGAGCGGCGGCGATGAAATCGTTTTGATAGCAACCGATCATTTTAAAAATTTTACGTCCGCGTTACAATTAAACGACCACCTTTGGTTTAAGGGGCGGTTAAAAGCAAATCATTACGTGATTTTACAAGAAATCGGTTGCTTGGCATGCCGAGATATGCAACTTACGGAAGTAAAATTGAGTACTCAAAAAACTGGATGGACTTTACAGGAAATTTTATCGATTTTTTATTCGGGCGTAAAAAGTGTCTTAAATTTTATGTTTAATCCTGTCGTTGTGTTCAAATGAAATTCAATTTGTGGCGTTTATTCTAAATTAATTGAAATAATTGATGTTATTTATAAATAAAAAAGTATAAAACTTATATGTGATTCATTTTAGTTTAATTATTTGATTATAAGATTTCAAGGACTTGTTATTCCTGTTAAATATTGACAAAGTTAACCAAACATCTATTTCTACGCTCATTACAGAGAAAATCTTTATTTCTAACACCTGTGAAAATAAACTTTTTAAAAAATGGTGCTAAGTGGATTAGGTAAACTTTTTATTCAATGTTTGATTCTAAAGAAATGACACACTTTAAATTATTATTCCAGTTAAGAATATTTTTCCTCGAACGTTTTAAGATTGTATGAAAAAATTTCTGATTACAAGTTAATGAGAATTATGAATTATGATAAAGGTTTATAATGCCAGATTACTTTTCATTATCATGTTTCAAAGAATGCTAAGGTATTGAATGACTTATTACTGATGAAGTGCAACTTGCAATTTTAATCGAACATGGAGAAATAATGGATGAATAATTTGATAAATACAAAATTAAACTTAGTAAATGCTTCAGAATGATAATCCCGATTTATCAAAATGCTATATGAACAGGTCATATAAAGGAACTACAAGCTAAATTGCTGTCGAATTATTGCGAAAAATGTATATTAAAGTGCATCATCAACAAATTGAGAAAATAACCAAGACCGCTTGCGCCCACAAAACTGAAAGCAAAAGCTTGACATAATAGATGATGAATTTTATATTTACAATACTTTTGTGACATTTTCTCGATAACAATGACGCATTAAATTTGTTTATTGAAGGCGATGTGTTCAAAAAAATGTGTTTTAGCATCTTCTCTATACTACAACCATAAGTTGGACAGAACAGCATTTGAATTCGTTAAAAAAACATGGCAATTATGAAAACATTACAAAAACAAAACCCAGCAGAAGTAAATGCGATCTGTCTATGCAACTCACTATAGTGAATTTAAAACCTACTTGGGTCGTTCTAATAACAAATGACCTTTCCAGCACACCTGCAATGATGGCCAAACCACCACCTTCTGGAAATATTACCCCTGAAAATTCAGGATGAAATGGATAATCTTGACAAGCCAAAAAAGACTTTTTTTAATTTAACTATGTTGAAAGTGACCTCAATCACTAATGGTAGTGCAGTGACTGAAGCACCACGTCTTTTTCATTACCACGTTTACTAGTACCTTGGTAACATTGTCGAAACTGACGAAATTTGAGCTCATCATGGTCTAAAAGAGTAACTACAGATTGCCAGACGGAGATAATTAACTTTTATAATGCAATAATAAGCAAAACTCCACAACCGGGGTTATGTTGATAGTGTTACAACTTTTTAAGAAAAATGCTTTTGGGGATACTTAAACAAGGATGTAATTAATGGGGCTTAGATGATTTTATAGTCAAAAATATGACCAGAATCTATCCAAATATTTCACAAAATAATAGAAAAATCAAAAACTCTCATAATCTCGGTCTGAGTGAACCACATCAACAATCCTAATCCAATGAAAATATTATGAACAGTAGTACTTCGCGCCCATTAACTGTTGAACATGCCTAAAATACGTAAAATACACAGGACAACAGAAAACGTAGTATCACTTTATAACATGGTGCCCTGTACTAAGTCCTATCAACAATATTATATTAATAATAATTTTTTGTATTCTAGGTCCGTTTAAAAAGACGTGAAATTCAACAATTCATTCACATATTCTTCCTTCCTGTGAGTAGCCAGGGAACAATTACATAGGTACAGCAATCATGGTGGTTGAATTTTTAGTTATGTGCAACTTGATGGCAGAAAAAGATATCTGATCAACCTCACAGCATTGGTTAGGTTATCTACACCCAACTCAATAACTCTATTTCAACTTATCCATCTTAAAGAATATCTCAACAATTGTCGTTTATTACTTAATATTTACTTCGGCATAAACACAACAATTAATCGTTTTTAATATAACATAGATTTCATATACCGTTCCTTCTTCTCCTAGAAGCTCCTTTCTAATACAGACCACGAGGTTCTTGCGAAAATGTTATTCTTTTCAACAGTTAAGAATTTTAGGCAGATCAATTACTATCTCATTCATACAGTGCTAGCGTAAAGTAATACAAACTACCTGTCGAGATACAATGAACCAGATAAATGGTGGACGGTCAGTTAAAGGTCGGTCTACGCTCGGGTTAAGCAGGGTTAAAATCAGCAATTCTTTTAGAATGTTTTTATGAAACAATCAATACAAGAAAAGGATAAAAAGAAAGTTCTTTTTTAAACTTCTAAGAAAAAATTGTCATAACAATTTTAAAGTTTGTAGGTACTTTGAAATTTTGTATTTAAGGCAGCATGCAAATATTTTCCTTCATTTCTATCTTTGAATTCTACCCGACCAAGTATAACCAAAGAAAGAAGAGATCAAAATGGCTAGAAGGAGTTTAGAGCACAAAATCGAAGCAATTTTAATATTCGCTCGTGCTGACAGAAATCTACATGAAACAGAGCAACAATTTAAGGAACGATTTTCTGAACATCCAATTAGTCGAAAATATTTAAGAGAACTTGTGAATAAGTTTTTGGAAACTGGAAGCGTCGAAGACCGCAAAAGAACTGGTCGTCAGATATTAACAGAAGTAGTTAATGCGCCCATGATGTCGTCTGCTGCTATCGCATCAACGTGTGATGTGTTAAATATTTCCGCGTCGTTGTTGGACGACGTGGAAATACTTAAAGAAGAATAAATGTCATCCATTTTAAATAAAAATGCTTCATGAATTAACAGAAGATGACCCTGATATAGAAGAACAGAATTTTGTGAGCTAATGACAAATATGGTTGAACGAAATCGATTATACTTGAAACATATTTGTTTCAGTGATGAATGTACTTTCTTTTTGGGTGGAAAATTGAACCGGCGTGACGTTAATCCACATGAATATCGTGAAGTTATCACTCAATTTCTCTAGAAAGTAAATGTTTTTTTTTCAAGACTTTTGCAAATTGTACAACAGAATCCTGACGATTTTGAAATGGAATTAGTGTTTCATCAAGACGGAGCACCTCCACATTATGCGCCAATGGTACGAAATTATCTTGATAAAAATTTTAATGGACAGCAAGATCACCAGATCTGACACCTTTAGATTTCTTTTTATGGGGTTATTTAAAATCCAAGGTATATGCAATTCCGTTGGGTAGTATTGAGGATTTAAAACAAAAAATTATTGACGTCTGCCAAAATATTGATCATCACATGTTAAGCCGTGTGAGAGAGGAAACACTACAAAGATGGTACCACCCTTGTTTATAGATATACATGTATATCTATAAACAAGGGTACCACTGCCTAGAAGTTCAGGGTAATCATATCGAAGAATTTACTTAATAGTTGATTCTTAATAAATAAAAAATTCTTTTATTATTCAATAACAACACTAAGCCAATTTTTCAACCGTTACCTATACTAGCAAAATCTTTAATAAGAAAATTTCATTTCTTATATTGACTTTTTTTCTTTATAAATATTTTTTGATAAAATATGATTAATTCATAAATTTAATATACTTCCACCCAACTTTTATTTCATTTCTAAAAAAAAATAAGTAATTGAAGTTGCAATTTTAAATCCGTCTTAGCTCGAGCGTATACCGACCGTTAACCTACCGTCCACCATTTATCTGGCCGATTGCATTTCGACAGGTAGTCGACGAAGATACGTTGGTTTTTCCGACGAAATTCCGCATTTTGTTTAATTTTTATGCGAAAAACTAATAACCCGATATTTGATTGTGAGATACCGTTGGATTCGTATTGTTTTCATCTTTCGGAAGATACCATAATATACTGGGTGTTCCATTTAAAAAAACAAAGATGATCTATTTTCCGGAAAAACTAAAAGTGATGGCAAAATTTTCCATAAGAAAATATTTATGCTGATAAAATATAGAAACTGACGTTTTTTTGTTCATATTGATATCTCAATCTGTTCGGAAGTTAAACAGGGGGGGGGGGTTACTTTACGCTAGCACTGTATAAGAAAAAGATGGGTATTTCGAAAAACAGTATAATTTCTTCTCACATAATGATATTAATTATTAATAATAATATTAATTAATTTATTATTACTAATTATTATTATAATAATTATTAGTTCCTGATACTAACATGTTCTTCTCGCTGAGTCTAGAGTCGACTAGTTCTTCTTTAATAAAGCCTAAGTTTAACCTAAGTTAGATTTTAATTTTCAATGTATTGAAGCTCACTATCAGTTTCTGCTAAATTTTGCGCGTTTATAGTAACGACACATTTAATGAAGATCATCTAAAATAACAAAATTTATATAAAAATTATAAATAATATTATTCTATGTGTAAATTTTCTAGAACATTCTAGAACAACTCTAAATTCAAGACATTGATGCTGCATTTCAACCATCCCAAGCAAAATTATGGAAGAGACACCTCACCAAACCGATACATATAACACAGCATTAATCACTCCTCGAGAAATGCAATATTTTAAAGTGCACCTTTGAAAAGAAAAGCACATGAAGATATTGCAATGGGTACCAAAATGGATGAAGAGTTTGAGACATTTGGAAAACATAGAAGCATTACAAATTTAACAGAATTTACACTGACAAGAGAAAAAATAGAATCTTTAAACTGTTCCTCGAATATTTGGAGTTATCTCGCTTCTGAAACAATTAATTCAGACCTAGTAATTTTGTTACTCACTGTGAAGCAGTCCTGAAGACCTTATATAATGTCAAAAACTTTCAATACAAATAGTAGTATTAAATACTTTGGTACCCTATTCAAGGTGGCACATTTTGCGATCTCTATGATGTTTTAATACCCTTAATTTTGATTTATAATTATAAAACAGTCGCTGTAATTCCCATTAAAAAGAAATTACGACATTTCAACCTTGATACGTAATAAGAAATTAAAAATTAGTGTTCGACATCATTAAAGATTTCAATTAGATCATTAATTGATTTCATTAGATCAATTAAAGACTTGTAGTATACATAATAACTGGTTTTATGACTATGAATGGCAATGAAGAGTAAATAAGTATTTAAAAATTGGTGTTCGAAATTGTGGAAGGTTGCTTACTAAATTTTTCTTAAATTATTTTTTACTTTAATTTTCTCAAAAAGATTAGAAGTGAATTAGCAACCAACATAACTACTAGATTTTAACAATATTCAATTAATTAATTTCTAATAATCACTACATTTATTGAATAAAATTTAAAAAAAAAAGATTCAAGAGTATTAGAACAAAACATAATTCATTAAAAATTGTGTTAATAATTTTAAAGAAAATCAGACTATTTAAATTAATAATCGACTGCATGAAATTTAGGTTCATAGATTCATAAGATGCTAAACGTCGCTATGATTCGTGCTATTTTGTGTTGTGTGGCCATGAAAGAATGACCATTTATGGATACAATTAGTTGAAGAAAATGGTTCTGTTTTGAGTTTTTAGAGTTGTGTTGTGTTAAAGATCTTAACAACATAGACGACTAAAAAAGTTTTTATTCAAATTAGTGAGTTTGTGTTATCTTTTTATATTGTGTGTGATTAACATGTTGTTCCAAGTGGGTTTGTTTTAAAATATCAATCAATATTCCTGTTTAAAATTATTCATATAATAATCCTTGGGATGTTATCTATCAAAAAATTTAAAAAACATCTTGCACATTTTTGGAACCTCATACATATTCATTAATAGTTGAAATATATTCCAATTCCACCTTTAAATCGATGGCTCATTTTTTAATGACTATTCACGCCGATGATTAAATTTAATCAAGACAAATACTTTGCACTCTCTCGGTTTATACGTTTAAATTCTTTATTATTTTAATCACTCTGCTACCTACAGCCGCCGTTCAATTATAATCACATTCACTTCTCAATGCGTTTTCAGAGAGGTTGGATTGATTCTCACTTGTAATCTTGTAGTTTTATTAAAAATTCATCAATTTTCACTGAAGGATATTTCAAAAACATTTAAAAAATTAATCCTATAAAAGTGATCAAATTAAATAAGTGATTCAAGTGCGATGAATAATTACGCAGTTTTTGTACAAAATGCAGACAAATCTTACGGGGCGAGACAAGTTCTTCAGAACTTTAATATGCAAGTTTTAAAAGGGTCTATGTAAGTAAACGAAATTGGTTATTAAAAAAAAAATTAAATAATTTTGACTATTTAGTTATGGATTATTGGGGGCTAGTGGTTGTGGAAAGACAACTTTATTAAGTTGTATAGCTGGGAGAAAGAAATTAGATGCTGGAAGTATTTGGGTGGTTGGTGGTGAACCTGGAAGTGAGGAAAGTGGAGTTCCTGGGCCAAGAGTTGGATATATGCCACAGGTTAGAATAAAAATCATCATTATCATAACGATAATCAGTGAATATTTTAAAAATCAATTTTGTAAAATTCCTTTCCATATAGAAATCTATTAAAATGCGCATTAATGAACCTATAATATCTAGAATATATTTATTCTTTATTATAGAAACTATTTTTAACATTTAAATTTTAGGATATAGCTTTAGTGGGAGAATTTTCTGTAAAAGGTGCAGTTTATTACTTCGGAAAAATTTTTAATATGCCCGAAAAGAAAATTAACGAACGTTATGAATTCCTAAAAAATATTTTGGATCTTCCTCCTGATGACCGAATGATTAAAAATTGTAGCGGAGGTCAACAAAGGAGAGTATCTTTTGCAGCGGCTATGGTCCACGAACCGGAATTGCTAATTTTAGATGAACCAACCGTGGGCTTAGATCCAGTTTTACGAGATAGGTAAAATAAAAAAAAATATTCCTACTATTTTTGTTATTAATTAACCTTATTAACCTTGATTGCTTGCAGCATTTGGAATCATTTAGTGGAATTGGCTCATAAACACAACACAGCGATAATAATTACAACCCATTATATCGAGGAAGCTCGACAAGCTGATCGGGTAAATATTTATTAAAATAAATTTTAAATAATCACACTAATAACGTTACAAAGTCAAAGGCTGGTTTTATTAAAATTACTTGGAATAGAATGTAAACAAGAATAAGTATTTCATAAAAATTTTATGCATAATAACCGTTTGTATCCTTGTAATTTTATGTAAGTAAGTTAGAAAAAGGGGCATTGAAAATAAAGTACAAGTCCAAGTGCAAGTGAAATGTAGACGTGTTGCAGAGAGAGGATGTGGCTGTCAAGGTCACAACTTACGAATGCTATTAGATTAATGACTAAGCTAATTATTTATGAGCAAATAATCAACTATGTAATTGAGCAAACTCAATTCTTATGCGTAACACTACTCACGTTTAATTTCGTTATACATATTAGTAAATTAAAAAAAAATATTCTTGTTAAAAATTACATGCAGAGATGCCACAACGTAACATATAATTAAAAAGGGATTATATACAGAAAAGAAGTTTATAATCTTTATCAAGGTCGTCTATGTTCTTAATTAATAACTCAAATTGCATTTTTTTCTCATTTCAATTATATATTTCAGTAATATTACTTTCTGAAGTCTACTACCGAAGACTACTTTGACCAAGTAGTCTTTCCTAATTTTGATTAATAACGTTAAAAAGAGTTTGTAATAGTAGAACCAAAATATCTCTAACCAAAACGCTTACATGATAGGTATGCTTAAGTATGCATACTGATATAATAACAGCTTTTGTGTCTTTACTAGAATATAATTATCCTTCCGCCCTCTATGATTGGATAGACCTCACCGTAAAGAGGCTTATAAAACAACTCAGTACAACTAATTCTAAAAGTATTGGTTATGCCAGTAATTCGAAAACCGTACACGCAAAATATAAAAGCTTCATAATTCCAAGATATTTGACCTAACTTTAACCTATACAACCGCAAGTCGGGAATACTGCTTAATAATCTTGCGTACATCCTTCGTGACAGATTTGAAATGTTTGAAACATCTTTGGAAAGTATAGAGTTTTCTTAGAATAACAGTTTGAAAGGAAAATTTTTGGCAAAATTTTAGGCATTTTATCATGGCATGATAAAGTATCCAGTTTAGTATGTTTTTGTTGTGGACTGGTAAATTATGGCAAGTTATCAGACATTAATTGGCAATTCGATGCTATCAATAATATGACATGAATGAGACTAATGTTATGAAGAATTAGAAATGAATTTTGTTGAAGCTGCAGTTTCAGAGTCCTAGTTACTCCTTAAAGTTGAGGATTTTGAAACTATTCATTTACTTAAAGCTCCAAGTTCACATTTCACTTTTCGGTGAAGACAATTTAGTACATTTGGTACAAATTGACCATGTTGCTGTATTTTTTAAAAGAACCTTGCAGCTACTGCAGATCTATATCGTATTTGCAAGTTTTCTTACAGCATTTGAACCTAAGAGCATTTTTAATTATTGAACACTGTTGAAGATGAATTCACATTACAGTAGATTGGCCCGATGGTTATTCTTCATAAAAAATTGTTAAATTCCTGAAGGAGTGAAACTTTATGTCAATTATACTTTTGTAAGTTTCCTTAAGTGATTATCAATCAGTCAATCTTCCAAGCATCTATTGAGCAGTTTCAGATTGTTTTTTGATGAGAACACAATCAGATTATTTCTTATAGCCATTGCGTTAATTTTACAAAAGATTTTTTGTAATACAGCTTATTCAACAATACATCAGTAATCGTTTGAGTAACTATATTACAACGTGCCTTAGATATTTTTGATGCAATGTTATTTTAATACAATCGTGCACAAATTCGACCGCGCAATATTAAGTCCACGAGGAAAATGTATAAAGATTTTATCTCGATCGTTATACTTAATCATTAACACCTCTTTGAAGAAAGGAATCTTTTCGTTGAGATATTAATTTACAAACTTTTATTTTTAGCTAATTGAGATAACTGCCTTTAATATTAAAGATCGGCTGTTGGATTGGGCTGTTTTGAAATACAGCGTTTGTCCTACTTTTCATGAAATTCAGCTTACTCATAATTTCAGATAAAAACTGTCCACTTCTTAATTAAAGCTTTTTTAAGATATCCCACAAAGATACAACATTTAGAATTTTGAAGCGATTCCAAACTTGTCTTATAGGAACTTTAACAAGAAAAATATATGTATAAAATTTCTCAATTATATTTTTAGATTGGTTTGATGCGTGGTGGTCGTCTATTAGCAGAAGATTCCCCAGATCGTCTTTTAATAGCTTACAACACGGATAGTTTAGAAGAAGTATTTTTGAAACTGAGCCAAAAACAAGAAGATGGTGCTTTTGGAGATCCGAATAATCCACCGGATGTTCAAGATAATGGAAGGATTCAAAGCGCTTATTCAGAAACGAGTATTGCTTTATCAGATTTGGGACATAGATCTACAGATGTAATTCAAATTGAAATTATTATATCAAAAATGATTGAAAAAAAAATTTGTTGTTGTAGATGTTGACTAAATTATCCGAACCAAATAAAAAGAAAAAGCAAAAACGAGCCTACACCATAAATAAACATCACATAAAAGCTTTAATGTGGAAGAATTATTTGCAATATTTCAAAAATACTGCGTAAATTTAAAATATAATTCTCTACTTTTTGTCTATACTGTAATAATGAAAATTTTAGTGGTCTTCTATTTAATTTGATGTTTGCAATTTTGGAGATGCTGGCCTTTTTAAACGCAATCGGTGGTGATATCAAAAGTATTGGAATAGGAGTCGTAAATAGCGAACACATGATGGATACATGCAATCGATACTTAAGGCAGAATACGGCGATACCTCACGGATTCGTCGATTGTGATTTTCACCAATTAAGCTGTAGATTTTTGGAGGACATGGAAGATCCCATGATTAAAAAGGTGAGAGTGTTGTTTTCATAAACAAATAAAGTAGGTGTAAATCAAATGACGTTAATACTTTAAAAAAATATAGCAAACACCGAATTTATCACGTATTATTCATTAAAAAAGTCACAACATTTCGTTTACGATGTTATAACTTTTTTATTATATTAATCTTTAAAATTAATTAAAAAAATTTTAACTACAATTTTTAATTGAGTTTTTTTAATTTTAAAATGATTTATTACATGAAATAAAATGTTACTGAATCCGTAAAGAAAATGATGAGTGATCAATTAAAAGCTTATAAATACTCGGGTAATAGTAGATCCTTGAAGTGACTATTCGTAGAAACAAGAATATATTATTAAGAATGATTCTATAATAAATAGTTTCGTTATTGTTAGTTGTTTTTAATATATACTGACCATGAAATTTGTCTAAATAACGAGATTTTATTTGGAAAAGTGTGGAATTAATTAACATAATTGTCGAGTAGATAATTCTCCGTATAGATTTTCAATTCAAAATATACAGTAAAAAAACACCTTTTGTTTAATTTATATGGATAGACAATAAAAACCAAAGTACCGAAAACGGAGTGAAAAATTCGGTAAAAGATAGATGAGGTTACACAAGAAGTCACAAACAATTCTGGATTTCTACTTATCCTAAAAATACGGTTTGAGCATGAGACTCAGAATTTTTTTGCTGATATATCCGCCTATAACAATGAAAGAATTCCATAAGAAGCAACGATGCGGCTTAAACAACTTTTGTTTATAATTTTAATGAAATTCTCCTATTCTTAATCAATTTCTTCTACTTCATGATAATAATATTAAAATTTATTATTTAACAAAGCAATATACAAAATAATTATTGTTTATCATAAAAATTTATTTTTCTTTCAGGTTTATTATGATAATTTAGAAAGTGCTTTTGAAGGAACCTCTCATGGTGCAGTAGTAGGTGTAATGTATTTTTCTGAAAATTTTACCGATGCTTTTCAAAAAAGATTAGAAAAAGGGAATAGCGTTGATAACGAAACGTTGAGTTTAAGCGAAATTCAAGTTTGGTTGGATATGTCAAGTAAATCAAAAATTAAATTAATAAAATTTAAATCAAATAAATTTAATTCTTTGTAGATCGTCAAATTGGTCAAACACTAAAATTTAAACTACTAAGTCTCTTCTTGGATTTTCAAAAAAGTTTGATAAACGATTGTAATTTATTTGAAAAATTAGCAGATATTCCTATCGATTTCAATTACGAATACGGTAATGATAAAACTACTTTTACAGTTTTTATGATTCCCGGAGTTCTTATAACGTAAGTGTAAAAAAATAATGTTATTGCATTTTTTTATTATTATTAATTGTTTAGAATCATGTTTTTCTTGGGTACAACGATGACATCAAGTATAATGATTCAAGATCGATTGGAAGGAGTTTGGGATCGTTCAATCGTCGCTGGAGTTTCTTCCGTCGAAATTGTACTCACCCATTTCATTACTCAATTCATCATCATTTGCATTCAAGTGATCGAAGTGATGATTATAACATTTTTGTTTTACAAAATTGAATATGTCGGAAACATTGCTTTAATCACTTTTATGGTGGTTCTACAAGGAGTATGCGGGATGGTTTTCGGATTTTGGATATCAATAATTAGCGAAAATCATAATATGGCTAATATCATAGCAACTGGGACGTTTTACCCAATTATCTTATTATGTGGTAAGATTTAAACGACTTCACTCGATTATGTTTTAATTTTTTCTAATAATGATTTAAGGATTGGTTTGGCCTTTGGAAGGACAACCGACCGTTCTTCGTTTTATATCTAAATGTCTTCCATTTACCGTTGCTATTGAATCTTTGAGAAATGTGATGAGAAAAGGATGGGGAGTTGTAAATCTTGATGTTTTAAATGGAATTGGTATTTCTTTAGCGTGGATTGTTGGACTTAGTATTATTTCTATTCTTTTAGTTAAAAGGAAAAGATAAATTTGTTACTAAATTAATAATGTATAGATTTTAAAATTAATTAGTTTAGCTTGATGTACAATTAATGTTTTCCACATCTTCTATTTCTGTCATCTTCAATTTTATGGAAGTTGTACATTTATTGTAACACACAAAAATCTTGTAACAAAATGTAAATTTTTTTGTGAAGAACGTGTAAATAAATAAAATGAAGAAAAATACCTTTTTTAAATGATGTCAGTAAACAAAAATTTATTAAATATGTAATTATGATACCTACACGTAATTCAGTTAACGATTCAGTAGCAGATATTCGAAATCATTTTAAATAAACAATTTAAAGGTGTGTTAGCTGTTAAATTTTCAGTGATTAATCAGCTTTATCTTTTTTCTAAACTCGAATTTTCTGGAGAATATCACCTATGACCTTGTTCAATCTCAATTACCTCAAAATATTTCCCATCTATTAATGCCTTTTGACATAAACCAAAAAGCTTTTTCTCTTTCCTGGTACACATTTTCAAAAAAGATTCAAATCAATTTTTGTAATTCTTTCATTATCATTAAATGTCTTTAGGAACTCTTTAATCATTGAAAATCATTTTGTAAAACAATTTTACAAAACAATTTCACCATGGATGTAAATTTTAAAGTTGGAAAAATATTATAAAGGCATTTTATACTTTATAGTGGCTTTTTGACTGCCACTGTATACTTTGTTTTAATTTAATTGATTTAAAAATAACCCTATAGCTTGTGTATAAAACGTTTTTCATTCTAATGTTTTTTATTTAATTTAATCCAAGAACAACATACGTAATTGCACCTATTTATCATTTCCATTTAACCTTATCATTAACTAATTCAGCATTACAAAACACACTCCACAAATACAAAAGGCAGGTCTCGGTTTTAAAATTCCTTCCTTCTACAATACAATGGAAGACTACGCTGTATATTTACAAAAAGTTAATAAATATTATGGCACAAAACAAATTCTTGTTAAACTAAATATGATAGTAAAACGAGGAACAATGTAAGTACAAATGATTTATGATTTTTTCTAAATCTATTTACTTTAATTAGTTATGGTTTATTGGGATCAAGCGGTTGTGGGAAAACCACTCTTCTTAGTTGTATAGTTGGGCGGCGATCAATTGATTCGGGTTGTCTTTGGGTTTTGGGTGGAGTTCCCGGTGAAGATGTAAGCGGAGTTCCGGGCCCAAGGGTAGGATATATGCCACAAGACGTAGCTTTGGTCGGCGAATTCTCCGTCCGAGGTGCAATTTACTATTTCGGACACCTTTACAAAATGTCTAAAAAAAACATTCAAGCACGTTACGAATTTTTAAAGGAATTATTAGAACTTCCACGGGGACATAAAATGGTAAAAAATTGTAGTGGAGGTCAACAACGAAGAATTTCTTTTGCTTGCGCATTAGTTCACGAACCGGAATTATTAATTTTAGATGAACCAACAGTTGGATTAGATCCAGTTATGAGAAATAGGTAACTAATTAATAAGATTATGGTTACATAATGAGATAATCATCTTTTTTGTAGTATTTGGAATTATCTAGTTGAAATGGCCCATAACAACAACACGACTATAATAATTACAACGCATTATATTGAAGAGGCAAATCAAGCCGATAAAGTATGTTTTGTAATTAAAAAAGTGAACTTTTTTTTAATAGTTAATGATTATCATTGACGTAAGCTAACGCACAATCAAATTAGAATTATTTTTTTATTCTTTAGCTTGGATTAATGCGCAACGGAACGTTATTAACAGAAGGATCACCATCCGAGTTATTAACATCATTTAATACGGATACTTTAGAGGATGCATTTTTAAAACTTTGTAAACAACATGAAAGTGGAATTATGTTTAATCAGAACGTACAAGAAAATTATTTCGAAGAGGAAAGAGAATTTAGATCAAACTCAGTATGTTTTTATAAGATTTTTTACGTTATTTTATTTTATAGCCATATTTTAGTTTTTAATTTCGAAACAGAAATTAACTATTAACAAAAACATCCGGAGGAATAACTTAAAAGTAAATAAACATCATGTAATCGCATTATTACGAAAAAATAATTTGCAATACTTCAAAAACTTGACGTAAATAAAAGAAATTGAATCCAAAGTTAGATTTAAATGAAATTGTTTTAGGTGTTTATCAATTAATATATTATTCCCAGTTGTAAACATATTAACATTTTTAATAGCAATAGGACGCGATGTTAATATAAATCTTGGAATAGTTAACGACGAACATTCTTTAGATACATGTAACAGTTATAATAGAGAAAATACCACGTTTTTACATAATCATCAATGTGATTTTCAACAATTGAGTTGCAGATTTTTAGACGATTTCAACGATGAGCATATTAAAAAGGTGTTGTTTTATTTTATATCACTTTTTCTTTTTTATATAACTTATTTAAGTTTCCTTTTAGATTTTTTACACCGATTTTAAAGTAGCAATGGAAGATGCAATTCATGGAAAAGTTGTCGGGGTTTTATATATTTCAAAAACTTTCACGGAAGCTTTACGAGAAAGAATGGAAAATAATCATAAAATCGATAATGAAACTTTAAGTTTAAGTGAAATTAAAGTATGGTTGGATATGTCAAGTATGTTTTAATCTATGCAGGATTTGAAACTACCGCTTAAATGTTCCACATTACTTTTAATAGTAAATCATTTTTAGATCGCCAAATTGGATTAACTTTAAAATCCAAATTACTCGCTAAATTTGTACATTTTCAAAAAAAATTATTTAAAGATTGCGAATATTTGGAAAAATTAATAGATCAACCTTTAAATTTCCATTATTTATTTGGTAACGAGAAAGAAGAGTTTATTAATTCCATGGTTCCAGGGATATTACTCTCGTAATAACTCCAAAAATAAATCATCTTGAAACAGATTAATATTATTTTTATTAACGTAGGGTTGTTTATTTTTTAACAACAACGATGACTTATTCGGTCATAATTCAAGATCGATCTGAAGGAGTTTGGGACAGATCAATCGTAGCTGGAGTTACATCCGCCGAGATCATTTTAACGCACTTTATGACCCAATCATTTATTGTTTGCTTTCAAGTTATTGAAGTAGTTATCATTGCATTCGTAGTTTATCAAATAGAGTATGTTGGGAATTTATTTTTGATAGCATTAATGATTTTTTTACAAGGAATAGGAGGAATGGTTTGTGGTAAGTATAAAATCAAAGCTGAAAGCTCAAAATAACTAAGTTTAACTATATTTTTTGATAGGTTTTTGGATCTCCGTTGTTAGTAAAAATCAAAGCATGGCTAGTATATTATGTACAGGAATGTTTTTTCCCGTTTTTCTGTTATGTGGTAATTTTAAAATAGTAATCTACATAAAGATATTTTTATTTTCCTTTATAGGAATGTTATGGCCTTTGGAGAGTCAACCAATTGTACTTCGATACATATCTAAATCGCTCCCATTTACGGCTGCCGTTGAATCTTTACGTCACATTATGAGAAAAGGTTGGAATATCGAACACTTTGAAGTTTTAAACGGAATTGGGATATCATTGATTTGGATCGTAGGTTTTGTTTTGTTATCTACTTATTTCCTCTCGAGGAAAAGATAGATTTAAATGACGTAAAAGATAGATTCCAATAAATACATTTTATTGTCTTTTACAAAAAATCTAGACTAAACCTTTTTTCTAACCCTTTAACAAACTTAATTTAGATAATGTTAATTATTATATATTTTGATTAATGAGGACCACCAATTTTTTCCGTTTCGCCAAATCAATGTCAAGAAAATTAATCAAAAATAATTTTATACAAATTAATAATCGAAATGAAAAGAAAAATGTAATCATTTGTGATGGTACAGTATTAAAGAGAGTGTCAATCGGAAATTACATCGATTTCAGTAGTAACTAATAAAAAAGAAGTTCAAATTTACCTATTTAAACCTGTTACATAATATTTTTCAATCATTATGAGCCCATTGTTACAATTAATTACGATTAATTATTAAAAATTCACTGTACATGGAGCACGGTAATAAAAGGAGTCGTAAAAAAGTAATTGTCAGTCAATACCTGCGTTTTTCTTCATCCTTCGCCTCGAACTTGAAAAAGATAATCGCGGTTTGTAAAGATCTTCGCTTGAATATCTGTTCTTAGAGTTTGAAGTAGCTGAAAAGAAATCAATCATCATTTCAAAAATAATATAATTTCAAATAACTTTTGTTGACTGAGAAGGGAAGTGTTACAACTGTATCTCACTGATTTCGATGAAATTTGGTACAATTATAGAATGTACCAAAATATGGTTTGCGTCTTTCTTTATACGTGCTGTAAAAACACCGGGGGTGACTTTTAGGGGTTAAAAAACTATGTTTTCAAAACGTTTCTATCGATATTAGACACCCTCATTTTTTTAAAATAATAAATATAAACCTATTAGATAAATAAGATATTTATTTATTTATGAGTTAAAAACCAACTAACAAAAGAAATGGTTGAATCTAGCAAAAAATGTTATTCTACATTAATAATTGACGTTTCTTAAGCGCCTTTTACACGATCAAAATATATAATCAATAAAAGTATATAGTCAATATATATTGTCAATATGGCCAATAAATATTGACAAACTGTAATTGCCTCAGACTATCAATATTTATTGACAATCTACTTAGTTTTGCGTTGGCAGTCAAAGATGTCATGTAATGTTTGCATGTATTAATGAACTATCAGGGGAGTTAACAGCACTTTCGTCCATTAAAAAGTATATCTGTCTGAATTCATTATTACGCGATATAATTCGTAATATAATCGTAAATATAAGGATTGTCAATATCTCCCTCAGATTGCCATATGTATTGTCAATATATCAAATATTTTCATTTTCGTCATACCATCCCATCAGTACTTTTAATATTGACAATATGTCAATCTTCGAATCAAAAATGAAAGTCGTAGAAAAAATGTTTTAAACACAAAGATTTTTTAAACCATGCACATGTTATGATCACTACATTCTCACAGATATCACACATTGGCTTCTCGAAAAGTCTGAAAAAAACACGGGATTTTCAAAATGATTTGATCTCTCATGTACATATCCACTTTTAAACATTCGTATTTAAAAACATTTATAAACAGAGGGGAAAACAACCGGTTATGCGTTAGGGACTAGAATTTTAATATATGTATTATCCCTCTGAAATAACTTGACATCATATCGGTATGGAATAATTAATCAGAGAATCTTCTAATAACATTTTTCCATATTTTGCAACCAAATACATCTACCTGTATTTGACTGGTTGTCCCTGTAGGTACAGATAAATGTTTAAAATTAGTGTTTGAAGGAATTACTTCACTAATAACTTCAGGACAATGGCCACTCCAAGAATCTTTTGTTAATTTTGTAGCCAATTTTTCATATTTTTTGCAGATTTTTTCAGTGGTTTCTTTTAAAACAATTAAAAGTGAAGAAAGAAGTTTCCCAACAGCATATATTAAGGGACGAATTGTGTAAATGTGTGCTGTAGATGAAACCAACTGAACCTAAATCGCTTAATGTTCTTCCTCAATGAAACTTCAAGTTAAAACCGCTCTGATCCAAATTGTAGGTGTTGTCAGGTCCATACATTTTATTTTGTTGCCTTCCCTCTTTATCGAAATCTTTTGCTAAAGTTTTTACTACATCATTATTATTTTTTTGCTTTTTTAAAACGTTGCACCCAGCTACATGATGCTTTACATAATTGAGAAGATAAATTCTTTTCATTTCTAACTTGTACAGCCCATCTATGTATATCAATATCATGTAGTAGCAATTTATTATCTACGGCGGCCGACGCTTGATTTATAACAAATTTTGTAATTTCTGCAAATTTTTCTTTATATGTTCCTCTTTTCTGTTTATATTTATCCCATCTTGGCAATTGTATCTTCGACGTTACTTTTCGGAATTTGCTTATTACGGTTTTTAATTTTAAATAGCCTCTGATGTGTGGTTAAATAGCCTCTGATGGAATCTTTCACTTGTATCTTTTTGCTGACAATTATTGATGTTATTTGATGAGTCGAAAACGGACACAGTCTCGTCTTCAATTTGTGTATTATAATCTTCCATACTTTCCACTAAAATATGTTATAATCTTTTTTTAAGTGACTTCTGCTTTATTTACAGGAGGAGTCTGGGGAATATTCATAACAGTAAAAACTGTCATTAGCAAATTTAAAACGTTTATTGGGTTTATTACAACCGTTATTTCTGGTGGTTGTTCTGAAACTAAAATTTGCCCACTAGGACCCGTTCATTTATATTAGATGAAGATCGTTTCTTGTTATTTGGACTCATGCCAAACCTTTTCGAGAAGCGATGCCTGAGTGACATAAAACTAAATCGGGTGCGAACCACGCGCTAAATTTACACATATCTTATATTTCTCAAAACGAAAAAAAGAACACAAGAGGTCCAGATTCAGTGACTGGACACATAAAAAAAGTCTATGACTGTATCAAACTTAATTAAGACATACCTTAATAAGTGTGCAAGACGGAAGTAATTATAGACCCATATCAATAATACCGGTATTGGGTATGTTGTTCGAAATGGCACTGGTAACTGGCAAGTCACATAGAGTCAATAATCAAAGCATTATAAAATCTATATGAACTCGAGACCCATCCACAAATCCACCACCTCTTTTAGAGAATATGATACCCTGAGTCTTATCAGGATTTATCCTCAAACCATGATTACTAATTTCCGTGCACAGAATTTTCAACTCGCCAGTAATAATACGACACATAGATTATTATTGTTATTACATAGATTATTATCCGCATACAGATGATAAGAACAATACTCAAGTTTGGAAAATAGATTACACGTGTAAATGGTGAAAAGGACGGGGCCCAAAATAGAACCTTGAGGAACACCAGAAGAGCAGATCACAGGATCAGATAAAACAGAATTCAGCTTAACCGACTGAACCCTATTTGATACATAGCTATATCTATATGGATAGAATATCCAATCCAATAAACTTCAAAATGCACAACAGGAAACTATGATCAAGGATGTCAAAGACCCGAGTACATCATCAGTCAAATCCAGAAGCGCAGTAGCACAACTGAACTATCTCCTGAACCCGGACTGCTTAAGAGGCAAAATATCATGTGTATCCAGATAAATATTTAACTGCTCTATCACAAGTCTTTCTAAGATCTTTGAAAGAACCGGCAGAATTGTAATGGGCCTCAGATCCTTACAACCAGTGATAGGAACAACTTTGGGAATGGGAACAACAAAACCATACTTCCAGCAATCAGGAAACACTGAATGAATCAAACGAAAATTGAAAAGATGGACAAGCACGTCAAGAATACGGGGACAACACAGTCGAATCATATCCAGGCTGATTCCATCAGCTCCAACTCCTGTAGACCTTAGGTTCAATAAAATCTGCTGGATACACTCAGGAGAGACCTCACTAAATGCAAACATGGACGAAGCAGGACATATCCTATTATTGTTATAAAAAGCAAGAAGATCAGTATCAGGTGTAACCAAGGAGTCATTTACACTATTACTAAAAATTGTCTGATAACATTAAGATCTGACAAATGAGAAGGCAACGAAATAGCAGAAGATTTCAACACGTTAAACCTTCTTAGGTTTTTCCACAAACACTTAGAGTCACCGACGATTCAATTTTTTTTCAAAAAATTACTTTTTTCTGGGCGAATAGCACCCGTGACGTAATTTCGTAGTCTTATAATATTGAAAACTCTGCTGACTCCTAATCCTTTTATACTTAGCAAATGCTTCATTCCTTAGTTTAATCATTTACAGATTTGAGATAGAAAAATAGCAGTAGCTATGCATAACCAACTGTTTCAGATATCAAAAATTAATCATTGTCTTAATAAAATATCTAAAACAACTGGTTGCCATGGTTACGCATGGCTACTGCTATTTTTCTACCTCAAATGAATGGAAAATCATGAAACATTAAGGCAATTTTTCTCGAAAATTTTCTTATGTACCTAATATTAATTTTGGCTGTACCAAATTCAGAAAGAAATCCTCTTTCATATTCCGTAATATAAATGGGGAATTGCTATTTGAAAAAAATAGCGATTATGTCATAACTAGTTTAAAAAAAATTTAAAATCTATAGCAAAAAATTTAAATCCTTAGACCCGCCTCAGAGATTTTTCTACAAACCGTTTTTAATTGTTTTAACGAATTTATCCGTTACTTTTGGGAAGCACTGTATATGTAGTCGAGTTGGTATTTTACTTATTTAATTATATGACGCTTGTATTTATGTATATTCATGTATGTATGTTCTTAAATGTGTATTAAGACAATCTGATGTGTGAAAATGCTGTATGTGGTGTGGACATCACAAATAAATTATTATTATTAATTAAAAGGCGCGTGAAACACAGTTGTGACACTTCCATTATCAGTCCATAAATCTATTGTAAAAAAACAAATATTTGTATATAGAAATTAATACCTTTAATGGTTCTTTTAGCTTTATCGTATATTGAGGCTTCTGATATATCAGATTTTTTATCAATAGAATTATCACTTTCAGCTGGGCTAAGTGGTAGCGAAAAGTTTTCATGTACTACAATATAAAAAAAATATCAAACAATAACAAAAATTTCATAACAAATTAAAGTACCTTCAATGGAAAATTTCTTATTATTATTTTTAATATCCGAATTAGCATCCAATTTTCTTTTAAGATTTTCACTTCTTAAATTAATTTTAGTTTTATCACAACATCCCTTCTCAATTTTGCCAAGATAATTACTTAAAAAGTCTCTGTATCTTTTCGTCTTTGGACTATCATCTGTCTTAAGATAATAAACCTCATCATTCATTTCATTTTTTTTATCATTCACATCTTTTTCATCTACATCAGATCCATAAGATGATTCATCCACATAACAATTTTCTTTTGCGATCGTTTCATTTAATTTGGCCTCTAAAGCATCCCAAGAAGCGGCGCTTACATTAACAGAGGGTAATGGAGGAGATTCAAGAAGAGTTTTAATCGGTTTTTCCCCCGATTTTGGTTCGAATAATTTATGGTTATTTCGTTCTTTTTCAATTTCAGCTAGTTTTTTTCGAATTTTCATCAACCGTTTAGCTTCTTGAAAATTTGAAGCAAATTTTGGTTTAAATAATTTAATTTCTCCACTACTTATCGATATTTCTTCATCTAAATTAACAGCGGAAGATACTTCATCTACCATATCAGAATTACCAGAATCTCCCGAATTTGTATTATTTGAAGATTTTTTTTCTTGTTGAGAAGATTGAACATTGGAAGAAAATGATTCAAAAGAACTCGATGTGCTTTTTAAACTTGAATGACCATCGTTTGAATCGCGATCCGTTGATCTTCGATCACTTCGTTTCTTTGTATCGCTTTCGCAATCTTTTTTGTCTTTATTTTTTGAATCTTTTTTATCTTTACTCCGAGAGGATGATGTTTTCGAATGGTGACTTGAATGGTGATTATCCTTTTTGTGTTTATCGGATGATGATGATGAAGAATGATGTCTTTTAGAATCTTTCTTCTTGTCATCTTTGTATTTATCTTTTGATGATTCTTTGCTGGATGATGAAGATACTTTTGATTTACTTCTTGAGCTGGAAGACGAATCTTTATGTGAACGATGGCTACTACTACTATGTCTATGACTGCTACTACTATGACTTTTACTCTTTTCTTTCTCTTTATCTTTGTCACTTTTTCCATTTTTAGAACTTGAATCTTTCCGATCCTTACTTTTATCATGATCCCTATGTTTATAATCTTTTGAATCCTTCCGATCTTTCTCTCTTTTATCAGATCTACTATCATGTCTTGACCTATGACTCTTTTCATCTTTATTTTTGTCATCTTTGCTTTTCTTTTCCTTATCATCTTTATTTTTATTTTTTTCAATTTTTGGTTCATCAATTTCCATTTTGGTGTCATTATCATCAGACATAACAATGGACAGTCTATCAGAGCTTTGTTTAGATGTAATTGATTCTTGATTTGAAGTTTCATTAGCTGCTGGTTTTGAAATTTCGTGTCCATTTGAATCATGACTAATTAAACCAGAAAATCCAGACATGTGACTATCAATTGATGTCTCTTCTGGGGCGACATAAGCGCCTTGTTCTTCCAAAGGTTCGAATGGTGGTGATTCATCTTCATCAATTTTTGAATCATCCAAAGTTTGATCTTCAATATTTCCCAGTTCTGAGTGCTTATCGGATTCAGGTGATACTGCTTCTAAATCAGTGGGGAGCAACGTTTCTGATTGTGATGGTTGAGAATCTTTTTTTTCCTCAGTTGGGTGTCGAATACCAAAGAATTTATAAACAAGTTCACTTACTTTTGGAAGAAATATTGAATTTATTTTTGGGTTCACGACTTGATCTACTATTCGTTCAACTCCAGTCTCTAAAAATCCAGATCTAAAATACACAAATACAATTTAAGCTCTAATTAAGATAAGTAGACTTACTCGTAAATGTTTTTTCTTAACATCTCTCGAACATGATTTTTGTTCATATCCGGGCTCCATTTCTGTTTGTTCAAAAACCCACTAACGCTTCCTTCAACGCGTTGCCGTAGATTTTGATACGCAGGTTTCGTATCAACATCAGCTATACACTCTTTTCTAAACTGATCAAAAATACCCTGAGATTTCACTTCATAGACAATTTTGTCTATAACCATCGAATCCTCTTGGATATAATTCTGCATTATAACGAAATATTTCTAAAGCTACTTTTATATACAATTAAAACACAATTACTTAATTTGTAACAACGTTGTTTTTCACGTAAAAACTATAATAAACAATTATAGGTGATGTTATTTTAATGTTTGACAGATTTTTGACATTTGTTGTATTGTGACTTGTGACGTCAAAGGGAAGCAACCTGAAAAAAATTAAAATATTACTAAAATTAGATTTTTATTTAATAATTTTCAATTAAAATTTCATTTTAATTAAATGATAAATAAAATTTATATAATTGGTTATAACCAAACAGTTTTTTTTATATAGGTTTCCTTTTTTATCTCATTGACAACAAATGTTTATATATTCAATTAGTGAGGTTATGTTAAACCTAACCTACAACTATAAAAAACGTTATATTTTCCTAATTGTAAAGATTTTTAATGAAAAACTGATTTTAGCAAATAAATTGAATTTTTAATATACTTTTTAACTATAAGATCTCAAAATATAGTTAGGATTACTTTTTATTTATTCTATGAGATTTTCGATTAGATGAAAGTTTTATCATTTTTTAGAGGATGAAATAAATATCAATTGAATGTTACAAAGACTTTTTAAATGTTAGCATTCTGTGGAAGATAATCCGATATAATCTATATTAAATATGTGTTAAACTATTAAATGCCTACAAATTTATTAACCAATATTAAATAGCTTAGTTTGCATTAAAAATCTAACTGAGCTGCTAGATTAAGGGTACAATTAGCTACAAACAACTTAAAAGCATAACATTTAAACCATTTATAAACAGAAAACAAGATATTACATTTACCATTTATTTATTATTTTATGAAAAAGCATTTTTCAATAACCTTACTTCAACAAAAATGTATTTGTAACAAACGTAAGATTTTATTGATTAATTGAATGTGAAGAAAACTAATTAAGTTTTTATTTTTAGAATATCTAAATCAAAAAGCTTTCTGCTCACTTATACACCTACAATTGAATCAGAATGATGTGTTAAGTTGGTAAGAAAACCATTTCAAATCATAAGGAATGTGGTAAAACATTTTGTACAACACAATTTTTCACAATATGGGGATACATGCAAGGGAAACACCATTTAAGTATTAAAATTCTCGAAAAGCTTTCTGATCTAAGCTGGGATTAAAAAAACACAGTAAACAAGTTTAATGGTATGTTTGAGAATATATAAGAGTAAAATACCATTTAAATGTGAATACAGAGCGAGTTATTATGCTTTATGTGCATTGAAAAGACATGAAGAGAAATGTTATAGTGAATTTACTGAATGTGCTAGTAAAGGTTTATCAAGTTAGTAACGATTGATTAAAGATTAATAAAAGAAAAATCCTAAAATTAAGCTATGTGGAAATCAATTACAAGATTTTATAAACAGTAATTGAGCCACAAATCGTCCAATTTAGTTCTCCAAATTAGGAAAAAAGTATACAACTAAAATCAAATTGAGAAAAGATGTAAAAAAGAACTATGGAGTATAAGAAGACCAATAAAAATAGGAAAAAGTATAAGTAGGTGACATGTTTTATGCCCCTTTCTAATTGTTTTGTTACCGACATAAAGGAACAAGATCTTGGAGCAATACTAAGGTTCATTAAAGACTTACATTTGCCCTAAACCTTTGGAGGGCTTAAGTTACAAAAAATCTTATATGTTGTGGTGACCAGAGGGGTCGTTCCCCTCAGCAATAATAATAATAATGTTTTTCTTGAAAAGTTACGTACGAATTACAAAATTGTGATTATTCTGTAACAATTTTTACTACAACAATAAAAACAAATCGTTTATTTATGATTTTGTTATGGTTTTATTAATATTGTTACATATAGGCAACTTAATTTACACGGTTGCATAAAGCCGAATCCTTTATTTATCTATCCTTGTTCAATTCATTGAAGTCATACCCAACTGACGTCAATACATAGAGATAGAAAAAGGACGCCATATCAACGCAGTTGTTTTGGATTACGCCATTCCACATCATCTATTAAAACCATATTAAATCATTGAACGCCCATCAAAAAATATTAGTTAGTGAGGTTATGTTAAACGTCATCTACAAATCTGTGTGTTAAATTTTGATCGAAAGATATTTTACATTTTCCTAATGGCAACGGTTGGAAAAGAAGAACCGATTTCCATAGTTAAATTGGTCGATTATACGATTTCGATTTGTCGAGTATGTTCATTAAGTACTGAGTGTCAAAATATATTTTCCATGAAATATTGCGATCTTACATTCGCCGATTTATTTTATTATTCTACTAGAATTGAGGTGAGTTTTAAACATTTTTGTATATTTTATTAAATTTTTTTAATTCTTTATTTGGACATGTCTTATTTTCTATAAAGTCCATTAAGTTTTTGAAATTTTTTAAATTTCCATAGCTTGCTCCTGAGGATAATCCATATCATGTATGTTTAATGTGTGTTGGGAAACTATTAAATGCTTATGAATTTATTATTCAATGCGAAAAAGCTTGGTATGCTCAAAAACTAACCAGATTGAGCGCGCAATTAGCCACAAACAACAAACAATTTAAAGCAATAGCACCTAAACCCTTAACAGATGTAACAGTTTATGTTGATGTCCCCAAAGAATTTGTTGAAAATGCAGGAAACCAACAAGAAGTTATTGTATTTACTGATGATGATGGAGTGATTAAAGGCAATCAAATTTTTAGTGTTATTGAAGATGAATCTGGAAATATGAGTACAAAAGGTTTAAATTCTAAAATTAAAAGTTTACCAATTAAAAAACAAACATTGATCAAAATCCTTGCAAAAGAAGGTGAAGATGTAGAACAAGAAAATAACGATAAAGATGATATTTTTGAAGATATTTTACAGGAATTAACTGAAGCTGAAGCGAATTCAAATTTAAATGATAACGAAAAAGATGATGAAACTGAAATTGAAAGTACCACGGAAATCGGAGAGGAATTAGATATCAAACCTCCTTATAAATGTGTGAAATGCAATAAAGTTTTTAGGCAAATTCATTATTTAAATAAACATATATTAGATCATCTTAATTTTAAAAAGTGTTGCAATATTTGTAACAAAGGTACGCTTTTAATTTGATTTGAAATTTTTTTAATCAACTTGTATTTTTAGAATTTTCTAATCAAAAAGCACTTTCTCTACATTTACACACCCACAGATCAAATCGTCAAATGGTGTGTGAACATTGTGGAAAAACCATTTCAAGACACTCATTTAAAAGCCATTTTGAAAGATATCATTCTGAAGAAGCAAAGGAATTTTCTGAAAAAAAGTCTTGTAGGATTTGTTCAATCCCAGTAACAACTCATCAAGAACTAACAGCTCATATGCAAGCTTTTCATTCACAAAATGATCATTTATGTAACATTTGTGGAAAAACATTTTTAGGTCTAGCTCGCTTAAAAAAGCACATGTTAATTCACGACGAACGACGTCGAGTTTCTTGTACGATTTGTAATAAAGTATTTAGCTCGCGTGAAAGTTTAAAACAACACGTTTATACTCACACGGGAGTTAAACCGTATCAATGTCATATATGTGGGAAGCGTTGCACTCAAAGTCAACAATTAAAAGCTCACATTCGAATACACACTGGCGATAAACCGTATACATGTAAATTTTGTGGAAATTCATTCACAACATCGGCCGCTTTAAAAATACACGTACGTGGTCGTCATTTTAATGATAAACCGCATGTTTGTGACGTATGTGGAAAATGTTTTATTCAAAGAGGTCCGCTAGAGAGGCATTTAAGATTACATGCAATGGGAAGAAAAAACAGTTATCATAACCGAAATTCTTGGCCATGTAGTTTATGTAATACCGTTTTTGAAACGCGAAGAGAACATTTGGCACATCAATGTCCTAATATTCATTTAGCACCTTATGAATGTGGCGAATGTGGTAAAAAATTCCGTATGAAACCACTTTTAACAGTTCACATGAGAATACATACGGGTGAAACCCCGTTTAAGTGTCAATATTGTCCAAAAGCTTTTCGATCCAAACCGGGATTAAAGGAACACACTTATATGCACACAGGTGAAAAAAGATATATTTGCGATATTTGTGGAAAGGGTTGTGTACAAAGACAACAACTCATTTCGCATATGAGAATTCATACGGGGGTTAGACCATATAAATGTTATGATTGTGGCAGTACTTTCACTCTTAAAGGAAATTTAACGGTACATATGAGAATGCATACTGGGGAAACTCCATATAAATGCGAATGTGGGGCTAGTTATTACGCTTCAAATGCATTGAAGAGACATCAAGTGAGATGTAACCTGTTTATTTATGAGGAAACCGTTAACGAATGCGAAGTCTACACTGAAAATATTGATTTTGATAATGAAAGTGTGTCAAATTAGAATGATTTTTTAATATTGAGAAGCTATTTTATGTTTGTAAATAAGATATGTGATGTTTTTCTTTACTAAAATGACTTTTGTTTAAATATTTGTAATATATATGTAAATATTTGTTATTTTTTTTTGTATTTAAAGCAGAGTTCTTATTGTGTTAAAAAATGATGTTCTAATAAACAGATTTTAAACAGTCTATTATATATTTTTTATTCTGCATATAATTATTTGCACCAAGGGGGGGACTCTCTGGGGTCTTTTAAGTTACTTTTTATGTAAGGGGAGAAAACTCAAGGGACATTACTGATTAATTCCAATACTCTGAAATATCAGTGGTGTCATCTTATGTATAAGCTTAAAGAAGAAGAGTTCATCACCACAAACGCTGGCTAAGGGTCATAATCCTGAAATGTATGCAAGAAGAGTCATAGTCAGAGCATTGTATTGAACATTTAAAACATAAGTATTTTACAAATTAAACCTAGCATTCGCAAGGCTTTAGATACCATCAAATTGATAAGTATGTAAATAATATGACAAGATGACTAACAACATAAGTTTTCTTCGTCGTATTAACCCTTGGAACCAGCAGATTACTTTCTCTAGACCGAAGCAGGTTAAACTTGCTAGGTTCCACATAGGGCACACACAGTTAACTTCTGGTTACTTATTAACGTAAAAAATTTTCGAGTGGGCGCGCTATCATAAAATTTATGACAATTTTCGTTTTTATAATATATCTTCTTATATTATGCATTTGAAAGGATTTAACGCAAAGTGTTGATATAACTATTTATTTTGAACATGATGAAAAAGAAAATGTAAATAAAATATATTGATTCTGTATTTATGGCAAAAAAAAGTTATAAAATACAATAAATTTACACATTACTTGCCGATTTATAAGGCCGTATTTATATTATGGGATGTATTAAAGGATATAAATGTATTATAAACACGTTTGGAGTCCTACATGAAGGTTTCGGATAGATTGCACATTTTTGAAAAATACAGGTCCGAAATGACAATTTTGTCGGAATCGAAATTTTTTTCAATACTTCAATCTTTTCGGTTTTTCGTGAGTTTATGGAAATATTCAATATATTCAAAGGCTTAAGACGGCTAAACCTGAATGTTTCTAGTTCTAATGTTAGTTCTTGTGACACTGTTAAGTAGCGCTAGTTAACATAAGATATCACTATGTTGCATATTCTAATTGAATTAAAACTAGAACTAACACTAGACCTAGAACTAAAAACATTCAAGGTTAATGTTTTTTATTCTCTTTTTTGTTCTTTGAGAGATATGTATCATATTTGCACTCATTTTAAAGGTTTTTTAATAAAGAATATATCATGAAATAACACCATGATGTTGTCCATTTGTCTATTATATGACAACTAACTTTAGTCGCTTGATGTCGCAAAAGCGAGATTTATTAAAGTTGATGCGCGGCATAATGATTGGACAAATAAATTCAAGTGTAGAGCATAACTGGACTGAGGCCAGAAAGAGACAATATATCAAGAAAGTCATTGGAACGAGCGCTGTGAGAGCCTGAAACCAAAGAGAAACGGTCAACACCAACAAGACCAAGTAATGTCGGAGAGATTAAACTCTCACATATAACATTCAAATAGGAACAGACGGATCAATTGAAAAGCCCTTGTCCCCAGGACCATGCGGACCTGGTGCACAGCATCTACGTCGGTACCAAAGACCGGAACGCCAAGAAATGCACCCAAAGTTTTCACAATGTTGACCAAGTTTTCAGCAAACTTTTCTGGCACATCTCCAATTTCAACATTACTTCTTCGTATTGTCCAAATTAGACACGCCCAACTCAGCAACCTACATCTTCAAATGTAGATTCTCGTCATTAAGTAATCCTTCCACAACTTTCAATGCAAATTGTCATATACGGACAGCCCAAACGATCCCTTTAATTCAAATTTGGTATATTGCAATGATTAATTTTAATAAATCAATAGATAATCTAAATTTAGTCCCAAAATCTTAGTGATTAGATAGTTTGTTTCTTGAACATATATTAGGTATATTTTCAAACTCTTATCAGTACNTACTTTTTATGTAAGGGGAGAAAACTCAAGGGACATTACTGATTAATTCCAATACTTTGAAATATCAGTGGTGTCATATTATGTATAAGCTTCAAGAAGAAGAGTTCAGCATCACAAGCGCTGGCTAAGGGTCTTAATCTTGAAATGTATGCAAGAAGAGTCATAGCCAGAGTATTGTATTGAACATTTAAAACATAAGTATTTTACAAATCAAACCTAGCATTCGCAAGGCTTTAGATACCATCAAATTGATATGTATGTAAATAATACAATATATGACAAGATGACTAACAACATAAGTTTTCTTCGTCGTATCAACCCTTGGAAGCAACAGATTACTTTCTCTAGACCGGAGCAGGTTAAACTTGCTAGGTTCCGCATAGTGCACACACAGTTAACTTCTGGTTACTTATTTACCTTCGAGCGGGCGCGCTGTTATAAAATTTATGACAATTTTCATTTTGATAATATATTATATCTTTTTATATTATGCATTTGAAAGGATATAACGCTAAAGTATTGATATAACTATGTATTGAACATGATAAAAAATATTTAAAAAAAATATATTGACTCTATCGTTATGACAAAAAAAAGTTATAAAATGCAAAAAATTTACACATTACTTGCTGATTTATAAGGCCGTATTTATATTATGGGATGTATTAAGGGATATAAATGTATTATAAACACGTTTTGACTTCTACATGAAGATTTCGGATAGTTTGCACATTTTTGAAAAATACAGGTCCGAAATGACAATTTTGTCGGAACCGAAATTTTTTTCAATACTTCAATTTTTTCGGTTTTTCGTGAGTTTATGGAAATATTCAATATATTCAAAGGCTTAAGACGGCTAAACCTGAATGTTTCTAGTTCTAATGTTAGTTCTAGTGACACTGTTAGGTAGCGCTACTTAACATAAGATATCACTATGTTGCATATTCTAATTGAACTAACACTAGACTTAGAACTAGAAAGCTAAACCCAAATGTTTCTAGGTCTAGTGTTAGTTCTAGTTTTCCACTAGAATCTTTCGTCTTGAGACACGTAGTACTAAATCCGAATGTTTCTAGTTCTAGATCTACTGTTAGTTCTACTTTTCTTTCAATAAAAATATACCATAATCTAACGTTGAACAACAAAACGTCAACTTTAAATTTATTATTATATTCGTAATATTTATAAAATAACCTTTAAAATGAGTCCAAACATGACCGAAACTTGCTTATATCTCGAATAATATTAGAATTAAATGTATGTTTGGGCTGATTTTAAAGGATTTTTTCTCGAATTCAAAATTGACGTTGACATTTCTAACCGGAAGTTGGCGGCTAAACCCGAATGTTTCTAGGTCTAGTATTAATTCTAGTTTTAATTGTTATTCAGCGTTTGACTGTGGGATACTTTTATTAAACTATAAGTACAACTAACACTACACCCAGAATTAATTAGAAACATTCGAGTTTAGCCGTGCGTATCTTAAGACGGACGAAAACTCAAGATTGTCATAAGGACGTCACCTTTTTCCAAGCAAAACTGCTCAATGCCTGTACTATTAAGCTATGTTGCATTTTATGTGGGCAGTGCAAGTACACAGTAGTTTCGTAACTATGGTTACTGCATTCATATATTTCGACTTATATGAAATTCCCGGTATGTAGTTTGTAAATGTTGTTAGATTTCAAAAATTAATCGATTTCATTTTATGTTTTTAACAATTGTTTAATATGAATTAAATATTTTTACTTTAGCAAAATGTTTTTTATTAAAAATAACGTAATTTTTATTAATACGGACCTGATATCATAACATTTATGACACGCGCCCGCTCTTGTTATAAAATCGGGCACGCCCGCTCTTGTTATAAAATCCGCTCGAAGGTCAAAGAGGGAACCTAAGATTATATCTATATGTTCAAACTGCGGGGTGCATTTGACGAATCAACATATCTTACTTGGTTCTGAGTTGTATACCCACGAAAGGAAGCTACACAATATCGATAATATGGAAAAGGCTTTTCAAGATCTAGTATATTTGTTAACGTTCTGATTCTGGGCAATGTTCCTTATAATTCGTTAATGTTAACGTTAATAATCTGGGTTCTAACTAATAATAACAAAAGGCGGTGAAGGTGGTCCTTATTGTTGCATCTTCTTTCTTCTGCTTTCTTATATGTAAGCAATTTGCTTGTTTTTCTTCGACATTTTGCCATGTTTCAGTCTTTTGCGGTTATCACTGCATCGGGGTCTTCCGATGCCCTTACATCCCATTAGTGATTTGTCCCGGGTAATCTTTATTATTCTGTCGTCGGTCATGCGGTTGAAGTGTTCATTCTATTCTCTTTTTGTTTGCAATACCCATTCACTGATATTATCGATTTTACACATTCTTCTGATTTCCTCGCTCCTTTCTCGATCCATAACTGCCCTGCCGCTATTTTGCATACCATTTTCATCTTCGTTGTCTTCAATATTTGTTTTGTTTTTTAGGTTTCTCGCGAAATTTCTGCGGTATATGTTAATATGGGTCTGATTATTGTTTTATAGATTTAACGTCGAGTCTCACATGCTTATGAGACCAGAACGCCAAGAAATGCACCCAAAGTTTCCACAATGTTGACCAAGTTTTCAGCAAACTTTTCGGGCACATCTCCAATTTCAACATTACTTTTGTCAAAAAAAAATTGTCATACACGAACAGTCCAAACGATCCCGCTAACTCACATTTGGTATATTGCAATGATAATAATATAATAATAAATCAATAGATAATCTAAATTTAGTCCCAAAATCTTATTGTTTAGATAGTTTGTTTCTTGAACATATATTAGGTATATTTTCAAACTCTTATCAGTACCAATCAAGCGGTTTTGGAAAGACTATTATTCTCTCGTGATAGAAGGGAGGGCCGTTCGTTAGGTGTTGTTGCATTTGTTGGCCTATAGCATTTCACTGTCAGTTACTATCATGGACTCGTGGACGCTAGAACATCGAATGATTGCGTACGATTGTTTTGTTAAAATACGTGTGTTTTGTCATAGATTATATATTATAATGTTCATCAAAATGATGGTGTTCCCACGCGTGACACAATCTTGCGTAGGGTTAATCATCTTCGAACTACGGGCTCAATGATTAAAAAGAAACGCCCGGTCGCCAACGTACTGCGCGGACCTCAGAGAACATTGAAAGGGTCAGAGCTTTGTCAGACAAGCAATATTGAGAAGCCCAAGTCGCTCTGCTTGCAAACATTGTGCTGCAGTTGAAATCAGTAATCGCACTGTAAGACGGATTTTGCATACAGACTTACAATTTCACCTTTCCAAGATAGCTATTGTGCAGAAGCTAAGTGTAACAGATTACCGCCAACGAGTGACTTTATGAACAAAATGAAAACATTATGGTGGTAATGAGTGATGCGGCATTTGCACCTTAATGGTGCCGACAAAATCGTCGGTATTGGGCTACAGAAAATCCTCGACACTTCCTTGAGAAACCACCGCATAGCCCTAAGGTTACAGTTTCGTGCGCGATACGAAAATTCGACATCATCGCCAGAGTTACAAAGACGGAATATTGATAGTCAGCTTTTGTGGTTTCAGCAAGATGGAGCCTGGCGGTGTATGGTCATAACAACAATAGCTATTCTTCGACCCCTGTTTCATAATTATCTCATTTCGAGATTTGGTGATATGTTATTACTTTTTTTTTTTATGACTTTTTTTTATGGGGATACCTGAAAGAACATGTTTACAAGGACAAGCTAATAAAAAGTTAAGATTTTTTTAAATTCTATTTAAAAATTGACAACTTCCTAAATCAATATTTTAACCTAACTTAACAGGTTGAACAAAAGTTCTCTTCCTCTTCATCTTACGTTTAGTAATATCTAATTTTTGCAAATGAGTCTGAATTTCTGAATAAATTTCTTTTTGTTCCTCCTCAGGAATTGTCCTCATGTACTCTTTCATTAAATCATACTTCTCCCAAGGTTTAGCCAATTCCTCAGCTCTTTTATAGAACCTTTCAGGTAGTCCCAAATCTTGCACACCTTTCAGATTTTTCCGCTCCCACCTTTCCAACCAAGGTCTTGGTTTTAGTTTTACTTTTAAACTGTTAACAGGTACCGGCGCACCATCAGGTAATTGTTCAGCTTCCATGTTCACATCAAAAGTGCTGTATTCTGGGAGGGCGTCTCTTAAATAAAGGAGTTCATCATCAAGGCGTTTTTCAAGTTTTAAAACTTCTACTTTTTGAATGCTTGGATCGTAAAGTTCATATAAAATTTCGACACCCTTTAAAAAAAATAAGTAAATTAATTAAATTAATAAATTAGTTTATCTTACTTGTTGTTCTATTATATTTCTTAAGATAAATTTAGCTCGCAAACCACAACCTTCTCTTTTAATACAAATCCCAACAAATTTTTGCGGTTTTCCCAGCGTGTGCTTATCGGCAGATGTCACCGATAATATTGAACCTAAATTTAAATGTTACCCTTTTACAATTACAACTTAAAAATTTACTAACCAACATAAAATTCTGGAATATCGATTTGAGTTCTTCTCGCTAACATATCTTTACGTTCGAGTTTTTCTCTTAACGAATTTCGAAATTCTATTTTAGGATCTGGAAGGAATTCCGGGTATTTAAACCTATAATCGGCAAGATTATTTTTCTGGGGTTCTTCATTTTGCTCGATTTTCACAGCTACAGTACTTTTCGATAAAATGCTGATGAATGACCTATTTCCTTGATTATTGAAACAAAATTATTAAGTATTGTGAAAGTTTAAGTTTGCTATATACCTTGTTTAGGCGATAAAATGCTAAATGATACTTTTGAAAGCATATTCATTATGTTTTTGATATTTTCCACAGTAAGTATAGGTTTGGTTTTTTTTTTAGGTTATGTCAAATTTATATTTTAAGTAATAGATGTCGCTGAGGTCGCTTTTAAATTGAAATTTTAATAAAATTAATTAATATACAAGTCTTTGAAAGTACGCCTGTATGTATTTGAGTGGCATACAAATAATGCAGAGGTAGAAGCCTATTGTAGTAGTACAAATTAAGTACAATAAGTTGTATGAAACTAAACTATGTTTTAGTGCAAATCCTGTGAGATTGTACTCATTGAATGAAGCAACAAAAGGGTACACTGCAGATATAGTGCAGCAGAATCACAAGCAGAATGAATGATATTCAGTGGTGGAGATAACTTGTAATTTATAACCAAAAATTGTATCATTCATACTTACATCCATAATGTCCCCATTGCATAACAACATTTTCATTTCTTTAACCACATAACATTTTTTCAATTGGTTTATTCATTGCTCAGTATGAACCAAGATTAACAAAAAATATCTATTATCGTATTAAATGCATAACTGATTATCGAGAATCCTTTGGAACCATTAAGAATGTTATCAAAATCAATTAGATTTGGATGAAATCAACAAAATTCATATATTTTAAAACGATTAAATTTAATAGTTAACCAATAACTAAATAAAGACTGCTAAAGAAATGATAAACTCAACAAATAAAAGAAACCAATCTCCTCTGTATTTCAAAGTTAAATTAGTATAATTTTTGAAACTATCCCTAATTATCAAACATGACCTCAGAGAACTAGAAGGACATACTAACTGCTCTATAATTATTACTGTATGTGCACGCTACGTTAATAATAGCATAAAATTTTAAACACGAAACCACTTCGGATTGTATATATAGGATCTCAACTTATTCTCATCTCTTATTCCCATTTCTTCAATCGTTTCAAAAACATGGACCATTACAAGGGTAAAATTGTTGTTGTTACAGGAGCAAGTTCAGGAATTGGAGCTGCTGTAACAAAAATGTTACTCAAGAATGGAATGAAGGTAAAAAATTAATCACAAAATTACTTCTTTTTAATCATCGTTTTAACATAGGTTGTTGGATTAGCTCGCCGAAAAGAAAGAATCGAACAACTTTGTGCAAAAGAACCATCTTTAAAAAAAAATTTATGCGCTTTGAAAGTTGATATAACCAGTGAAAAAGAAATTGTGGATGCATTTAAATGGATTACTCAGAATGTGGGTCCGTTAAGTGTCTTGGTGAATAATGCTGGAATTGTAAGACCTGGATCGATTATTAATGGTGAAATGAAAGATTTTAAATCGATTATGGACACAAATGTAATGGGGGCAACTGTAGCTGCACGCGAGGCAGTTTCCATAATAAAAAAATGTAATATTGTTGATGGTTACATCATTAATATTAATAGCGTCGCTGGGCTGAGCGTTTTCAAAACTCCATTAATGGATATGGCTTTTTATCAAGCTTCCAAATTTGCTTTGAATGCTTTGAGCAAAGCTCTACGGTTAGAATTGCAACATTGTGGACTAAAAATAAGAACATGCGTAAGTTTTTATTACATCACTTTATTTGTTAAGGTATTTTTAATGATAATATCTTTTAGAACGTGAGTCCAGGATTTGTTGATACAGAGATTGTTAGCCACGCTATGGATGCGGAACAATATAAACAATTTTTGGAACAAAATCCCTCTTTGGCAAGCGAAGACCTAGCGCAAGCTATTTGTTATTTGTTGAGTACGCGTCCAATTGTTGAAATTACAGAGTTAACAATAAAACCACTCGGAGAAAATTTTTGAATTTTTATACTGATTTGTACAATTTGATTATTTTTTTTTAATAACATCTTTTTTAATAAAGCATTATTACAATAAATTGTAGTTTATAATTGCCCACTTTACTGGAAAATATTTCAAGGCAAAAAAAATGATGTAAACTTAAAGTTTATTGCAGACTGTATTTCAAAATGTCAATTTTTTTTGTTACATGCGTAAATTGTACCGGAAGTTGATGTCACAAGACCTTTTAGCTAAACTGTAACCTAGTTTAAATAATGAGATTGAAATATAAACTACAAACCTTAATTTCCCTTTCGATAGAATAAATAGTAACATTTACGCACACTTTGAACAGTAGATCTTTGCTATGGTTGAACACCATCTTGAAGCCAAGGTCAACGTAGATCACGTCTTTTGGAACGCAGAACACATAACCAGAATTTCTTTCACACCCTTATCACGAAGCGACCTCAGAGAGAGCAAGTCAGATGTCTGCCGTATATTCACACTAAGGATGAGAGCAAATATGATAGCGAGTCTGGAGATAACAAGGTAGGTTGATGATTTAAAAGTCGAAATCTCACGCTAACAATTAAATCTGGAATCTAAACGTAGCTAATCCTCGAGTTGGGTTCTGTTAATCTTGGTGACTTTCTGGTCGTCTACCAATACTTGATGCACGATGACTTTTTGTAAAGATGGCAGTGTATTACTTGCGTTATCAAGAATCCTGAAGAAAATGAGAGAGTTCTGGGTTGCACTTCGTTATGTTAGAAATTTGTAACTAAGAAAGTGTTTTTAGAATTTAAGCATGCTTGTCCTTTAAAGCAGCATCGTCTTGGAATCCAATTATTTTCAACTGTAGGGTTGCTCTTGAAAACATCTGGTCCATATATCATTGGGCATAAATGAAAAACAGTTGCATACCGTTCTCAATTTTTTTAAAGATTTTCGCCAATATTTTCGGAAAAAATGACAATCTTTCTTGAAAAACTCTTTACTTCTGAAAGTAGTTCGAACACAAATTTACCTTCGTCTTGTAGTTTAAGCCAATGTTGGCGCATCACTAGACCTTAAGGCCGGCGTTCAGAAAACATGAGGGGCTCTTGAACTGAACATTTTCAACGCTTGTGTTAAATCAGTTCTGCTGTATGGATGCAAAACCTGGCTCGTTACTGAAGACATAAAAAGCAAGCTACAGGTATTCGTTAACAATTGCCTGCGGTACATATTACAAAAATTCGGCCACGAGTTATTTCATATGACGAATTATGGGAAATTACTGATCAGTCTAGTGCAAACGAAGAAATAAAACGGCGAAAGTACGGTCGGGAGTGAGACATAAATGAGTCTGGTCATAGAGTCCTAGAATGGAACCCTCTTGGGGGGAGATCAATTGAAAAAGAAACCAACAAAATATCAATTCCACAAATGAGAAGTATATGGTTCACCAAGATCGCCATCATACCGCTGATGACAAGGCAATAGTAGTAGTAGTAGCTGTATTTTAAAGTTTAAACGATTGAAGTGCCTAAAAATAACAGTAACAAAAATGCGTCCGTGTATTCTTTATATTGAGGAGGAAGTCTAAATTCTCACTTACTGCTTTTTGATCACTTGAAAGAAACTTTTTGATGTTTTCCGATACTGCAAAAATCTTGCACCAAGCATTTACATAGCCATCTTCAATTATTGTGAAGAAGTATGTAATCAAACAGAGCGTCAGTTTCTTCAAATTGGCACATTGAATAATACACTGATATGATGCACTGATATGATCATATTTTCATTGTTTATTGGCTTACGGTTGAGTCATGGAATCAAGCCTTTCCTACATCCAAGTATTGCTGGTGACTCGTTTATTGTAATAAATAACTTTCTTCATGTTCAAACCAGCTTGGTTGAAACACACAGTGTACAAATCTATTCCTGTAGCAGTTTCTGACATAGGCAAAGTAGTTAGTAGTTTTTGAAGAAATTCTGTCGAAACAAAAGCTGTAACTGAAATACCGCAATATTTGCCCAAAGTCAAAGCATAGCAATTAACGAAGTTAAGGTCAAGATAAAGTATCATAATTTTCATAAGGTACAGATGTTATGCCTAAGTTGAAGTGTGCTTGTGATGATTGTCAGCGACACAGTTGAAAATGTTTAATGGCTCTACAAATCTTCAGCTACACCCTGAGCTTTACTGTCACATGTGGTTGAATTGGTAATGAGATTGAAAAGCAATATTATTTTAAAGAAATATCATAATACTATGATATTTTGAAATATCATATTTAAATAACTGGTGTAATTTATTTTTGTTGGGTTGGCAATATCAATCAACTTATTTACCAAATGGTTGGGTATATGTAGGGGGGTACAGAACAGCTGTTGCATCATCTACGTTGTATAAAAAGGAACAAGCAATAGAAGGCTCCCCGCGACGAACATACAATCGCCGGAGTCTTACAACATACCGCATATAAAAAATAACATTTGACAGTCAATCGGTAAGCGATTGTTTTTCATCGTCGTTGCTTTGTCACTACCTTCGCGCCGTCGTACTGTGATCTCTTTTATTCTCCCTTAAACGTCTCCAACACGTTTACGCTCACGTTCGTTTTCGCCCGTTTTATTTCGCGGCCCCCCTTTCCAGTTCTTAGTTTTACCGCGATTTCGGGGGGACCCTTTTAATGAGATCGAATCGGTTTCCTCGATTGTTGTTTGTTTTTCTCCATCAAATCGTTTTTAGGTTATAAAACGCTCTCGCTTCAACAATGAGCAACACCTCCACACCATCAACCAATTCTACAAACAGCAACCCACGGTCCGTTATGTCTAACATCAATTGAACGAAAATTTAATGTATCCTAGAGGACACCACCACGTTCTTTTTTATACAATCAACAATGGTCGACTTAATGCAGAATTTGGAATCGAACGATCCCAAACTGGTGGAAGATTCCAAGAGGTTATTACACGAACAGTTTAGTTCAGGTATTTGTTTTTATTTATAATATTTTAATTACATTTTAAGCTAAAGTTACTTATATGAAAAAGAGAAAGAATTTTTTTTTGAAAATCTTGTTTTATTTTTAAGGTTAACTTATTTAATTACTACCTTATTATTTTGGAGATAAGCCTATTAATTGATAAGTATGCATTTTAATTAAAATGTTTTTGTATCTATAAAAAAATTAAGTAACTTTTATAATACCAGTGAGTCTATAGCTAAATATAATAGGATTGAACAAAACATGCTGTAAATTCTATTCTATCACTATAATTTATCATAAATTAAACTAACATAAGGAATTTGTAAACATTGTTTATAAAGTATTGTTTATAGAGTTATTCAAGGATCATAGATATGGTATGATCTTGTATTGGTGATTAAATTATTATACTTCCCAAGAAAGCAAACTTATATTTAATTTCTAGATGAATCTTTTTGCATTTTTTTACATTATGCTAACTCTATATATATAAATGGAGAGCTCTACAATCACCACTTCTGTTATTTCCTAACAACGTTTTTTTTCAACTTTCAGAATATATTTTCTTCCAAAATATGCTTCTTCCCAAAACAACACTGCTGAAAATGATTCCATTTATGCTTGTGATTTTATAACAAGTTTTTTAGTAGTACTAGCACACAGAATATACATAATTCATTACAGACTTCGCCTTTTTTTTGTATCTAGCAATACTTAAAACTTTTTGGCACATTGTTAAGTCTATTTCCTTTTTATTACATATATTTGCAAACAACCTGCCATACTATTCCGGCTTACATCATCTTGGTTTCACTAATGCTGTAGCATCAAGCTGTCTGTATTTGGCCCTTAAATACAGGGAAATTCCCCTAACTCAAATCACTAAGGGAGTGGAAGAAAACTTCAACTTAAGAACAAAAAAGTCTTCTATTAAATGTATGGATTTATAAATATTATCTGGAACATTCTCTCTTGATAATAAAAAAAGGTTTCAAGCTTTCTAAGAGAGGAATATGCATTTCATATTCAATTTCAATTCATTTCATTTTCAAGATTATCATCACCTTCACCTGATTCTGAAACAATAAGAACTATTAGATTTCTTAAAAATTACCGTTTTGATCTGGAATTGAAGTTCTCATAGCACTATCTACAATATCTTAGTTGGAGTCTCCATTGTATGGATACATACCATCATTGATATTCAAATAATCATCAAATGAACACTGTATATCTGCAGTGATTTCATATAAAAACATTTCAGATGAGACAAAAAGATCTTCTTCCTCCCATTTGTCTTTTTGTAGCATTTCATCGTTTTTAAAAACTCTACCTTCTTGAAGCAAGTCTGCATTGTTCGTTCTTTTATACCTAACTTCCATATTGTGTTTAAGTCTTTAATTGCGTCAAGTAAAGTTATTGTAGAATTAGCAGCATTCATATTGATTAATAGTTTCATTAAAATTTTTAAACCTGTTGATGAAGTTACTAAGAAGTTGTTTGAGCCTTAAACAAATTATATGATGAAATGATTGTTTCTTTACACAAATAGAAACGACAAAATAGAACTGCTATAAGTTCAAGGTAATCATGTTACCCTTGCTATTTACAACTTTATGACTGATTTGAAAAAAAAATAATTTGTTTATATTGAACTAAAGGTTGTAAAACCAATCATTGATTCATTTATGCTAAGAATCACTTTTTAAAGAAATACATTTTAGAACCTTGTTTTGTCCAAAAATATTAAAAAGTACGATTGCTAAAAGTTATTATTTTAATTTAGAATTTTGCTCAAATTATCTTGAGCAGTACAATGGCGAAAAAGATGATCTACAACCCAGAGGTAAATCTACGAAGTAGATAAGTGACGGGATTCTTGAAGCAGCTAATTACATTTCAGTATATGAAGAATACACAGTAGTCTATAATTAAATGTATTAGGAAAATTGTATTGGTATATCATAGATACCTAGATGGTTGCGAAGCAGCTATTAATACAGTTTACACTTTTAGCCATGCTAGTGCATAACATTCGATGATTATATTCGATCGAGTCCGAAAATGACTAATTTTGATCAAAATTGTTGCATATAGAGAAAAATGCTTGTGCAACTATGGAGTTTATTAGTTATAGAGCAAAAAATTTTCTCTAGATTCTACATGAACTGGAAGTTTTGTCTGTATCTTATAAGAAAGTAATTATCTCGAAAGTGATTTAATGCGGTTCAAAAGCTCCCTGATAAGGCTGTTTTTACAAAAAGAAATGGTTTTAAAAGTGTCTTAATAGATTGTTAAAGCGTCGTTTTTGGTCGACACCAATTAATATTGAGCTGACAAAATCCAGATTTAGATAGCCTAAAGTGTGTTCTTCTCAAATTACTAAAGCTTTTGTTTGAATTTGGTACCATAGCGACTCTACACGGGCTGGAAGGTTAATAATTTTCAGGTGTATTTTGTACATGGCGATTTTCTTTATTTTTTTCCGCTATTGATATCAAGATTGAGAAGATTGATAAACCCCGGTTTTAGATCAAGGAAAGATCTAGCTTTTTAGTGGTGTATTTAATATTCCGCTATCACTAAAGACAATAAAGATATGGATACTCTCTTTAATAACAATGTAACTTAATGTTTTATTTGTTTTGCAATTGAAGTTTAAAAACGTGACAAAGACAGAATCAGTAAATTCCCCAGCGGATTTTTAGATAGAAGATATTCTTAAGATTAATATAATTTTAATACCAAGGTATTGACATTGGTGTCAATCTAAGAAATAACTGGATAACATTTCTGGACAAGATTATATTTGTAACGCTGAACACTGTGTCTATTCTATTTTCGTGTGTTTTGATAAGTTTGTGACTGATTTTGAGAAATTTTTGCTGAGTCTGTCTTGTTAGGGCATACTTGCTCTAAAAGGCATTTGTAAAAGAATTTCCATTTTCTGAATAAACAGGAAAGGATTATCTACCTATACTATTATTATTTTATTACTACTATATTTTTTTCTAGAAAAGCTAAAATAAAAACTACTTCTACATTAAAAATTATATCCAGTATTACTACGGATATAAGACAACAAAATTTTTAATTGTATTTTGTTTAATTTTTATATAAATTATGTTTATTAATATTTATAGTAAAAGAGCCATGGTTAGTGTACGGTTTGTACGATTTTTACCTCCAATCAAATTCGACTCGTTTAATAGAAGTATTGGTAGACTTGAAGGAGCCGCATCACACTTTTCTATTTGATAAGTGAGTGTGTTGTGTTCAGTACGAACAATCTCTAACAAATCTCTCTCTACCTACCTGTCTGATTGAAGGCTAACAGAATCATTAAAAGGGACGAAAGACAGCATTAAGTTTCAAGGATTAACGTTGCTTGGTCATGTAGTTCGTAGCCGGCCCACTTGGATATATAAAATAACGCAGCACTCCTTAATGAAAGATTTATTGAGATTATTAAAGGTAAGTTTAGTTTATTAAAGTCTCAAAATATGGAAAAATGAGTAATTTGATTACTTAAATATTGTTTTAGACTGAACCGGATATACTGATCCTATTAAGCGCCCTGATGCCGTTAATTGTACTTTTACCAATAGTTCCATCTTTAATGGGAGATTATTTGCGAGAAGTGTTTGATGTATTTTGGTAAAAAGGAAATGAAATAGATTCATTTATTAGAACTATCTAATCGTATTTTTTTCATATTTTTAGTCGATTAGCAGGATTAAATTTTACTGAATCAGCAAAATTAATAGAGGATCAAATGGTTCATATGCAAGTAGCTCTATACGCTCTCTTCCTTCGACTGTATGGGATGTATCCTTGCAATTTCTTGGCGTACCTGAGGGATCAACATCGTAATAAAAGCTTAACACCTATATTTACACATACTATAAAGGTAAGTCTTCAAATAAAAATAAATTCTGAACTAAAACACCATTTTCGCTCCTTTAATGTGAATATAGACGGGGGGACGCAAATGAACCAAAAGAGGTGGCGCAATGAGAATGAGTCTCGTTAAGTCTCCAGCTTATTTCAAAACACAAATATTATTTTAACAGTTCTGGTCGAACGTGATTAATTAAATTCTTATAGGCTATTTTCAATAAACTTGCGTATTTCTAAATCGATTTTTTTTGTAGCCCATGTTAGATACGGTAAGAATGCATCCACATCTTGTAACAACATCTAAACAAACAGAAACATCAATAGAAAGGTAATACAAGATTATAAATTTAAGATGAAATAAGATAACTTCAAAAAAATCTTTTTAGATGGAAAACAATGGGAGCTGAAGATGTTATAATAGAGTGTGAAAAATTTTCTTTGGATTTACCAGATAGATGTTCCCATGAAAGTTGTTTTATGTCATCGTTTAGATCCAGATCAAGTACTAATTCAGCTACTCATGGTATGTTTGATATTTTTGTATAATTTTTTTTTAATTCTTTTGATTGTAGAATCATCAAATCAATTGCAGATGTTAAGAAATATTAACTCGAATCAATCGATAAGTGATAACAACTTCTTTAGTCCAAGTATGATTTTGCATTGTTCTACACCTCCAGTTACTGAAATTCCTATTCCATTTTCACAGGTAAACAAATTATTTTAGATAATTCAAAACATACTTGTATCATCTTTAAATAATTTAAGATAGTATATAATGGAGCCAGTAGCATTATTATTGAAAATTTTGTATTAACAAAACATTAATTTTATAGAATATTCCAACGACAATAATTTCGTCAATATCCCATATGTCACAAGAAAGTTCTTCGCCTCCTGAAGCTGCGATTGAAGCTACGCCTGAAACCACTCCTATAAGAGTACGTTTATTAACGCACATTTTTTATTATTATGTTTCAATTATAAATAACGTATATATTTTGTTGTTATAAATATACTTAAAGGATACCAGAGTGGGGCATAGAACACATCCACAAAATCCATTGACAATAATATCACACACATTTACACAAAAAACAAAACTTCCTACTTCTTCTGGCCACAACACCCCTGCAAATTCGCAACCGTCATCACCAATGAGAAAGGAAGGCGCTCAGTTTAATTTTGACAAACACTCTTCTGCGTTTGGTCTACCAAGAAGAGATCAACTAATTGGAAACCGTTTACAAAAACTCGTTCAAGAACGTCAAGCTGGAACTGTTGATTTGGAATTACGTCGTCTTCCTCCAACAAGTCCGGTTAAAATACCGTTAGAAAGTCACAATTTCAATACAATATCCAGCATGGAATCTGCTCCGTTTAGTCAAGAGGATGAGGAGGTATCTCAGATTGTTAGGGATGGGGGTTCTAATGATTATCCAGGATGGAGACAATGTGATAGTGTTGTTCATGAAGTTGAAGAAAGAGGTAAATTAATTTCAAAATATTTAAAAAAATTAATTAATAAAAATAATTTTAGCTGATGAAAACCTTGATAATAATTGTGAGCAAGAACATGGATCTCCATGTACTGAAGGTGGATTACATATGCCTAACTCAAAATCAATTAATGATTTTACAAAACGTATTCAACGTCTTCGTTACAGCAGTCAATGTGCTGATGATGCTGAAAAATATGAATTATCAACAGGAAGTAGTCCTGGAAATGGTATGTTTTTCTACAAAAATAGTAGAAACACTGAAATACTTTTATTTTGTAGCGGTTTCATATCCAAACAATCAAGTGAGAAGAACCAATTCTTGTCCAGAAATGAAAAAGAGTCCTGTTGTGCCTGCAAATAAGGATAATATCAATAAAACTTTAATAGAAACGGACGAAGACACCAATGGGGATTATCAGGATGGAAAACCTTCGTTATCAAATGGTTTGGATGTAGACAATGACAAATTAAAGAATAAAGTTACATCAGAAACTCAAACGGAATCCATTTGGCCTATGCCTTATGAACATTTATTTTTGAGTATATTTCCCACATTGGAAAGTAACGAAATCAAGGCTAGTCCTGGTACACTTATTACAAGACATGATAGGCCAAATTCTTGTAATACTTATGATATTACTGATAGGTAAATTAAACATTTGTTTATTTTATGAAACATTCATGACTTGGTGTTCCTTGTAGATATAATGATATTTGTATAAAAACTTATGAGAAAGAATCATTAGAATACTTCAAGAACCAAATAGAACTATTAAAACAACAGCTTCACTTTGAAAAACATCGTCGTGAAATGCACGCTTGTAAAAATAGAAGATTATTAGCGGATGCAAAGAATACAAGAGCTTTAGAGGAACATAAAGCAGCTTTGGTAAAAATTTAATTTGATCTTTTATAGCAATAAATCTGTTTATTTAATTGTTTTCTGTTTAATAGAAAGACCAAGTTCAAATAAAACAAAAAGATATTGATAATTTAACGGAAGAAATGGAAGATTTGAAACGAAAACACATTAGTAAAGAAAAGGACGCGCAGTATAACGTGACTTTTTGGGAACAAAAGGTTCTATCAAGTAGAGAATTACTTATTACATATATAGAAATGCTATAAATTCCTTTATTAATTAAATTTATTTTTGTAGTTTAAATCTTTATCACTGGTACATTCTAAACTGAAGGAAGAACATGAAGAATTAGAGAAAAAATTAATTTCAACAAAAGATCAATTGATCGCGATCGATTTAAAATGGCAAAGCGCAGAATCTGATTTAATTAGTACAATGACTGAAGTAAAAGTAAATAAACCCATATTAAAATTAATTTTCTTCAAACGTCATTAAAACTTACAAAAGTAAAGTGAACTTCAATAGAAATGATATTTGAAAGAAAAATTTAATAATGATTAAAATTAAATAAGTGTATGAAGAATTTCGCACGTTTGAAGAAAAATTTATGCTATATAAATCAATGTACTATTATTTAAACTTTTTCAAATAATTTCTTATAGATAGCTAAAGAGCAAGCAGAAGCTGGTGAAAGAGGTCGCCTTGAATTGGACCGTTTAAATCGAGAACTTCTTTTATTAGGTGAACTACAGTTGAAATATCAAGAAAGAATGAACGACGCGGCATTATTAAAACGGTCAGATGTTGAATTGATTAAACTTACCGAAGCTTACAAATATGAAATACAAGGTAAAAATCTTGGATAAAAGATAATTTTTATTTAAAAAAATTGTATGTTTATAGGTTATAATAATCAGTTAGAAACCAAACAAAACCAATTGGACGCTTGCAAAGCTCGAATATTGGATTTGGAACATAAGGTACAAAGACATGATGATACAACCATTAGTCATAAAAAGCAACTGAATGATGTTAAAGAGGCATGTAACACCAAAATAAAGGTAATAATCGTTTATTTGTTATAATTAAAAAAAAATAAAAATTCGTATTCAAAGAACATATACAAATATAGGGTGTTCCAATAGTTGTCATACTTTTTTTACACATTTCAACAGGCTATAAGTACCATTTAATTCCATTCTATAAAATAACACATTCAAAAAATAAAAAACCTTTGGTAAAACTTCAAAAAAATTACAACAAATGTGCAAAATTGACTTGAATACAGTTTTTTTTACTCGTTTTCGAAAATTTCTATTAATGCCCACACACATTTCTACTATAATTTCATGCGTTCCAGAGTTGTTTTGAGCACTTCTAGGGTGGCGTATCGTGTTCCTGAGATTTTTTGCTATAAGATGAACCAAACGGAGTAATCCATTGAGTTGTAATCCGACAAATTTGCGATCAATAAAAATCAACGGCACTTTTCTGGTGGCGTAGATGAAGTCACAGAGTACGGAAATAACTGCGACCGTAGATTTTTGCAGCAGCAGTCTTCTGCTGACCATTCTTGAATAGTTGACGTTAGTTCTCATGGTTGCGGAACGGGTGGATATTAAAAATCATTTTATCAGTGAAGAGAACTTTTGATAAATGAGCACCAACGACGTTTTAAGCTTCATTGTGTGTTTGAGAAAGTGGAGACGACCGATCTTAATTCTCAAGTGTAAAAGTCAAGTAATTCTCGCAAGTTTCTATTCGATTATTATAGCTGCCATGTTTAGTTTTAAGTACATTTACTCTAATTTGCCACACTTTTATGCACTCCTAAGTTATGTTGCAGATTTATAGATCCAGTTGTTGCATTAAACACATAGTCCTGCATACCTCTCCTTTCCTAAATCCATTTGCGATTCGCATAATGTTGGTTCTATCACATCTTTTAAACTTCTGTCAAGTTCATAAAGTTTCAATACAGTACTTAGTAGGGTTATTCCACTATAATTTCAGAAATCAATAAAAATTAGCTTAAAATAAAAGCTAACTCAATATTTATTAAATATACTTATGCAAATAATAAAACAAAGTAATTATTTGAATATTTTGTTATTTTTTATTAGGCTGTAGAATCAAAATATCAGACACAATTGGCAATCAATCGAGCTTTAGAAGATAAAATAGTTGAATTAAGGTCGCAAATAGAAGTGACGACCAAAAAAGTGATATCGCCCGATACGAGCAGTTGTCATGAAGTGAATCCCTCATTAATGGACCAAACCAGCGCCGCGCAAGGATTGAGCACTCACTCATCGCCGCTTTCCGCATCATTAACATCATCGGATGGTAGCTCAGCTTTTACAAGCGAACCGAAGGACCTGAAGAATTTACATGTAAGTTCTTCAAACGATAAAAAATGAAAATCCTAACAAGTGTGATTTATTATTAATGAATTAACAATAATGGTGCGGTATAACATATCTGTATAGTACAAAATTATAAATGAAAATAAAAAAGTATTGGATGGTATAAAATTAATAATCTGATAATTATTATTATTATGATAATTGGTTAATAATTCCAACTGTTTATTATAAAAAAAATTGTGATATGTAAGCTAAGGAATACAATATCTTTATTGATTTGTATATCCACAAATTAATTTGTTGCAAAAAAATTATTGTTTAGTTGTAATTTTGGGTTCTAAATTTTCAATAAAACGCAATTATTCACGTAAATTATTTGAATTTATTCAAAAACCTTGAAAAACCAAACAATTTCGTCGCAAAACATCGTTTGAAATAGATTTTGTTTCTCTATTTTAGAAAATTGTGGATCAAAAGGATGAAAACAACGAATAGAAACGACGCCGAAGTGAGAGCGTACATTAAAAAAAATATATATAAATAATATGGTATTGATTGATACGTGTACCTAACAAAACCGTCATTGTCGCTGGTGAACAACAATCTATGGTTTTATTTGTTCAATCAGCACAAAATTTTATATAAAAATATATGACAATTTCGATATAATATTATTTAAGCGAACTGCAGGAGAAATTGGAAATTTGTCAAATTGATTGTTATTTCTAAAGAGACGATAAAAACAATTATTGTTACATTATCTATACTAAAAATGATTGAAAAAAAATAAATAAATTTTTATTAAAGTATTGGTATTTTTATTTTTAACTCAACAATCTGGGTCTCACAGACCTTAACTTTATAATACGTTAATAATGTTAAGTTTTTCGAATTAACTTGATTTATATAATACTGATAAAAATAACAAATATACCTAATTTTATAATAATATAAAAAAACCTATTAATTGTTACCACAAAAGCTAATTTGATGAATTTAAAAGGAGATTTATCAAAAACTATAATAAATACGATAAAAACCAATTCGTTACTCTCAATTTATAACTTATTTTTCTACAAAAAAAAAAAACGATTTTGAAGGTTCTAAAAAAATAACTCCGACAAACTGAGAGATGAAGGAAAAAGTTAATTTAAAAAAAAGAACCATTTTTTATAGTTTTATGCATCTTGCTTATTAATAATCATCCATATAATAAAATGAGTGATTTCATTAAGGGGAAAAATCATTTCTGAATCGATTAATAAGTATAAAATTCCCTTCGTTTTTGAGATATTTTCCATAAAAGTTTAAATTTTTACTAAAAAAGTCAAATTGATTGTTTCTAAAGGGTATATTTCAAGAACTACAGTAGATAGGATAAAAACCTATTCTTTATTTTCTATTCTAAATTTATTTTTCTACCAGAAAACGATTTTAAAGGATCTGAAAAAATAAATCCCAACGAATTTAGAGAAGAAGGAAAAAGTTACTTTAAAATAATCGCATTTTTTATGATTTTATGCATTTTGCTTATTAATAATTATCGATATAATAAAACGGGTGATTTCATTAAGGGGAGAAATCATTTCTGAATCGATTAACAAGTATAAATTTTTTTGATATCTCCCTTCGTTTTGAGATATTTCCCATAAAAATGTTAATAAAATCGCATTTTTTAAGCTTTTACATATTGTGCATTTTAATAATCACCGATATAACAAAACGGGTGATTTCATTACGTGGAAGAATCATTTCTAAATCGATTGATAAGAATAAATTTTTTTGATATCTTCCTTTGTTCTTGAGATATTTCTCATAAACGTGTTAATTTTCACTAAAAAAGCTATAATGATGAATTTAAAAGGGGATATCTCAAAAACTACAATAAATACGATAAAAAACCATTCTTTATTTTCGATTTTAAATTTATTTTTCTACTAGAAAACGGTTTAATGGATTCTGAAAAAATAATCCCGACTGAAAAAATTGCTTTTTTTTTAAACTTTTACACATAGTGCTTATTAATAATCACCGATAAACCAAAACGGGTGACCCCATTAAGTGGAAGAATCATTTCTAAATCGATTGATAAGAATAAAATTTTTTGATATCTTCCTTTATTCTTGAGATATTTCCTATGTCTTAATTTTTAGTAAAAAAGCCAAATTGATTGATTTAAAAGGAGATATCTCCAAAACTACAATAAATATGATAAAAAACCATCCTTTATTTTCGATTTTAAATTTATTTTTCTACCAGAAAACGATTTAATGGGTTCTGAAAAAATAATCCCAACAAATTTAGAGATGAAGGAAAAAGTTAGTTTAAAAGAATCGCATTTTTTATGATTTTATGTATCTTGTTTATTAATTATCATCGATATAATAAAAAGGGTGATTTCATTTAGTGGAAAAATCATTTCTAAATCGATTGATAAGAATAAATTTTTTTGATATCTTCCTTTGTTCTTGAGATATTTCCCATAAAAATGTTAATTTTTACTAAAAACGCCAAATTGTTGGATTTAAAAGGGGATATCTCAAAAACTACAATAAATACAATAAAAATCCATTCTTTGTTTTCGATTTTAAACTTGTTTTTCTAGCAGAAAACGATTTTATGGATTCTGAAAAAATAACCCCGACGAACTCAGAGATGAAAGAAAAAAGTTAATTTAAAAAAATCTCATCTTTTAAGCTTTTACACATCGTGTTTATTAATAATTACCGATATAACAAAACGAGTGATTTCATTAAGTGGAAGAATCATTTCTGAATCGATTGATAAGAATAAAATTTTTTTATATCTTCCTTTGTTCTTGAGATATTTCTCATAAACGTGCTAATTTTTACTAAAAAAGCTATAATGATGAATTTAAAAGGAATTTAAAACATAATAATCAGCTATATAACAAAACGAGTGATTTCATTAAGTAGAAAAATCATAAAAAGCGCAAAAATACTGAAAACATTTACGAAAAATGAAGTACATAATATTCGAATTTCATTGAGATCTGTTGGCAAATATTTTCATTTTATACATTTGATATTATAATTTGTTGTACAATGTTGTAAATTAAAAATTTTATTTGAAATTTATGTGAAATTAAGATTAATTTTTAATTATCCCCTTGCACAAATTAGTAGTAATTGCAGGAAATTTACCTCAAGATTAGATTAGAAATTGCTTCATATTACAGGATTTCCTTCACCTTATTACCAACTTCATCACTTTCCTGGCGAATCGTTGGTATTCGCAGTACTATTCCGCTCAATATTTATTCCATCGAGCACAATGGAATGGAATTTAATTTGGCAAAACGGTTTATCCGTTTATATCACGAAATTCTTTCGCACATACCGCTAAAAATTATCAAGAACTATTTTTTATTAAATTTTGAATGTTATAATTAATTACATTTCATTGTTTCAAAATGTTTAAGATCAACAAATGTGCCTATATTTTTTACAAAATTTCGGAAATCGGAACAAAATATATTAACAAATCTACATAATGATTTGAAAAACAATTATAATTTTGTAAAAAATGGTTTAAAAGAAAACGCTCATAAAATTTCATTATTAAAAGTAAAATTTAAACCATTATTCAAACTTAATGATCTGGACGCAAGCGCGATTTTGAACCTATAAAACCAGGTCCCCATTTGAAGTTCTTAGCCAGTTCGTTCTTACTCTCAAGATGAAAATTATCCTCTCTATACTCCTTCTATTTATTACAAAATGTTTTCTCGGTTAATATATATTCTAAAGCAAATTATTAAAATTATTATTACCAATATACATTCTTATTAATTATTTTAGGAGCTACCGAAAAAGTATTTCACGTTCCTCTCGATCAAAATAGTTCAATAACAATGAGTTGGCAAGTTAATTACGAAAAAGAGCTACTAATCTTCGAAATACATCTACCGAGTGATTTCGGGTGGTTCGCGTTTGGTTTTTCTGATTACGGCGAACCATTTCCGGCTGATTATTGCATCTTGTATCACGATTGGAAACAAAAATTGCACTTTCAAGACACTTACGCGAACGATAACGGAGTTCTAGTATTGGACAGTCAACAAAACTGCAATAATTTTCGCATAAAGCCTTACAAAGCAATAACCAAATTTACTTTTCAACGAAAATTTGATACTTGCGATTTCGAAGATTACTTAATTGAAGATGGGACGACGCATATTGTTTGGTCCAGAGGGAAAGGTCCTTTATATAAAGCGTCTGGTTTGAATATTTCAACTCATGATAGTTCGATGACTCGAGTACAATTATTAAAAAATCTTAATTTAGAATTCGGAAATGAAGATATTGAAAGAAATGTGTACGCTTTGGACATTTTAAGTGATAAAGTTCAAGTTCCCGATCGTGAAACAACTTATTGGTGTCATGTTCATAAATTGCCAGAAATTTTTGAAGAGAAACATCACGTTTATCGATATGAGTCGCATATTCAGAAAGAAAATGAAGGAATTGTCCATCACATGGAAGTTTTTCACTGCATAGCTCCACCGAATGAAGATATTCCTTTTTACGTTGGGGACTGTTTTGGATTGAAAAGGCCAAATTCTACGCAAGTATGTAAAAGGGTTATAGCTGCTTGGGCTATGGGAGCAACAATGTTTTATTACCCAAAAGTAAGTTAAAATTTGTTCCTTTTTTAATTTTAATTGAATCATTTTATTACGGAAAGGAAGCCGGTTTGCCTATTGGAGGATCTAATTTTAATAAATATATCATGCTTGAAATTCATTACAATAATCCTATGCTACAAAAAGGTAGGTTTATAAATACTGTGAGATTCAAATTGATTGTGATTTAATGTTTTAGTCAAATTAGAAGTTCTTTGCCAAAATATTAGTAATACTTATTCTGATTTAAAAGTAATAGCCATAACTTATTATTAAATTCTGTTGAGTATTGGTCATATAGATTATGCTGGAATTCTGCTATAGCTATATGAAGATCATGCATGAAAACATATCTTCAAATGAACTTTGTAACAATAATTTGCATCACAATAATTTTGAATCTCTTGATACTAATAAAACTTATATTTCTTTCACTAATTATTTTTAGGAATTATTGATAGTAGTGGAATAAGATTTTATTATTCACCAAAATTACGTCGATACGATGCAGGAATAATCGAACTTGGATTGGAATATACAGATAAAATGGCTATACCTCCACATTTAAACTCATTTGCACTTACTGGTTATTGTGTTAGTGAATGTACGGCTATAGTAAGCCTTATTTTATCAATTAAATCAATTTTTGGATTGATACCTTTTTATGCAGAGTCTTCCACCCGATGGTATCAACGTTTTTGGTTCTCAACTTCATACCCATTTAACCGGAACTAAGGTTTGGACGAGACACATTCGAGATGGGTATGAATTAATGGAATTAAATAGAGATAATCACTATAGTACGCACTTTCAAGAAATAAGAAGATTGAAAAGAGCGGTTAAAATTCTTCCGGTAAGTTGATTTTTTTACATCAATCTTTCTAAAGTTTCCTTTTGAAGGGTGATGCTTTAATAACAACATGCGAATATCAAACTTTGGATAGGACGAATATAACTTTAGGTGGATTCTCGATAAGCGACGAAATGTGCGTTAATTATATTCATTATTTTCCTGCGACGACTTTGGAAGTTTGCAAAAGTGCTATTAGTGATCAAGCTTTGAGCACATTTTTTGAATACATGCGATCGTAAGTGTTGTATACTTGTATGTGTAGTGATACATGAGTCGTATTTTTATTAATTTTTAGGTGGGAATATCAAAATATAGTTAATGGAGGTTCAATTTCTTCAAATTATAACTCAATCGAATGGAATCCGATGCGTGTTGAGCTTTTAAAAGAAGTTTACAAAGAAGCTCCACTAAGTATGCAATGTAACATGTCTTCAGGAGACCGTTTCCCAGGTTACTGGGAAAGTACGCCTTTAACACATATTAAAATTCCTCTTCCACCTCCAAAAAGAAGATGTTAAGAACGCAAACTATCTGAATAATTAGTCAAAAAATGTAATGTAATATAAAATCTGAAATAAATAAATAGATGGGTTATAAATTGAATATTTATATTAATTAACCTAAATTGTTTTGAATAAAAAGTTTTTTTATTGAAAAGTTTTCTTTATTAATAGAAACTTTATTCCTTAATCTTAGGTAATAAAAATGATAGAAATCAAACATCTTAATCATTAGACAATAATATATATAATATAAATTACGAATAGGCCATCTCATTTACTTCGAATTGAATCGCTTCTTCTATAAAAGAGGAGATACGGAACGCGAGTTCCGTGCGGTTTTAACACTTGTTCTTCAGCAACCGGTTTCACTGACACATCATCATAACGTAACCAACGAGCATATCCCACGTGGTAAGCATCCGTTAAGTAATGACCTTTACTCGCCTCCTTTCCATCATGATATACTACCGCAAATAATTTGTATTGCTTTTCTTTTAAAGAATAATTTGTTTTTGATGACAACAGTTCTAAAATAAATTACATTATCATTTACTTTAACATGTAACCTTACAGCAGTAAACTTACTAGAATCCAATTTTAAGTCAATTGGAAACTCCAATGCCTTAATAATCTTTGTACATCCATCCAATTTATAATCAAAACATTTTAAATGCAAAACAAGAACGTAAGGCAACTCTTCAATCGTAACTTGTTGCCAAGCTTCAACTTCTTTGTTTGTTTTTGAAGAGGTAACCCCTTCCAATTGGTTTTTGCAAACCAAAGCTTCTAAGGCATCTCGGACAGTAGTTACTTTCTAAAATAATAACAAAAAAAAATCAATACAACTTTATTAAATGAATAAATCAAAAAATTACTTCAATATTAAGTTGTAGTGTAAAAAATGGTTGAATATTATCTGTACACTTATCCCCTGCTCTGTGTAACCTAGACCGTAGATGTCCGCTAAATATGTCGCTTAAAGGTGTTTGAACGACATCGATGCGTCTCGTCACGCATCCTTTATTTTTCGGCCCCATCACCTGCCATTCCTTGCTATCAGCGGCGTCATCCATAGTCACCTCCTCCATCACCGATTTAGTCCTTTGCTTTCCCACCAATTTCATCAATTCCAACATTTCATCATTTAAACCGTTTAATAAGCAACCCAAAAACTCCTCAGCGTCTTCTTGGCGCCCCTCCACCACAAACGTGTCAGAACGCATCCCGTTCAACATCTTATAAATGTACCCAGGTTCGAAAGGGACGTCGGAATTAATAATAGAATTCGGGTCTTGTTTAACATTTTTATCGACGCGCCTCGAAACCCGTTGAGCTGCCGGTAAATGTTGGAATTCTTTTACAAACTTTGCCCTATACAAAAGAAAGAAATGAGTTCTTCAACTGAATATTAATAAAAATATTGCTACTTACATATTGTCAATAACCGGGATATGTTTCCTTTTGGCGTTTGTTGTTATTAGATCAGCAACTTTGATAAGTAAGTTGTAAACTGGTGGACATGCCAGTAATGCTTGAAGGATGGAATTTATATAGCAATAATTGCTGCGATTTATTAAGCCGCGGGGCTGTAGACTGATTGTTTTATGGTCAATTATATGAGTAGAAAGAAACTCTAAAAAAAAAGAAATGTTTAAATCAGTAATGCTTTACATATGAGTTTGATTAAAAATTGTGTTTCCTCGTGGTTTATTTAATACGTAAGTATATGTAACGTTGACGTAAAAGTTAGTAATAGTCAAAACTAAAACAGTGTCTCAATAAACATATTGACTTTTATATCTTAGTCAAACTCCACCTGAGGCACTTTGTTGAGTGGATTGAGTAGCCCAGCAGGTGTCATTGCCGGTCCTAAGCCAGGATAAAGGTCAGGTCAGCTCCCTACTTAGGGTAAAAACCAAATTTAGTTCATAGAACCACAAGCCAACCTCGAAATTTGATTGATGGAAAGATGACGACAACGTCGCGAAAATGGACTAAGATTTGGAATCAAAATAAACTTAGAATTGCCACTTAAAACATCATGTCTTGGAACACAAAGGATCAGAATATCGTAGAAGAGTTAAAGGAGAACAAAATAGAGAGAAATTTATGCACTAGACATAAGCAAAGAAAGAGAAAGATGTTATGAAGAACTGCAGACACTGGTGGACAAAAGAGAAGCACGAGGTAAGATCGTGATTATGGGAAACCTAAATGAACCGCTGAACGACGAATTGCTGAAAATATTCTATATAAACAACAACATGAGAATTAACGAGACTTTCTTTAAGCATGACATGAAGGACAAATATACATGGTAGAATACAAAACTGCAATAGTCGGTATTAGACTACATTATTACTAATAGAGAAGTCATCCTTCAAACAATATTGGACGTAAGAACCTTAAATGGTGCTAACTCTGGAAGCGATCATAAGCTGGTAAAGTGAGACTAAAAATGCCTAAGGTTTCGATGTCTAAATCGCAAATGATTAACAAATTCAACGTCGAATCACCAGAAGCCATAAGGACATAATATCTACATGAAGGTCGCTTAAACCGAAAACAGTTAAAAATAATATATTAGACGCCGCCATGGAGTCAATAGGAGAGAGGCAGATAAATGTCAATACAAACAATAGAAGGGTTTGGTTCAAGTAAAGAAACTAGCTAAATAAGTGAAAAATGGAAACTGGTACAACTACCGAAGAGAATGAAATAAGGTAAATGCAAATATGATATGAGAAGAACACGATAGAAAACACCTTAAGACCCATAAGAATAGGAGAAGCCCTGGACCAGATGAAATCACCAACGGGATACTTAAATACGCAGGAAAAAAATTATAGAATGAGTTATTAACCCTATTTAAGAATACCATTGAAGAACAAAAAATACCGAATGAGTGGAAGAATAGTGCAACGATACAAATTTTGAAGAGAAGACAGAAGACACAAGCAGAAAACTATCGAGGAATAACACTGCTTAACAGTATTTTCAAAGCATTCACAAAATAGATCGACTTCTGCCGCAATATGTTGTCAAAATATATATGTTGTACGAAAATGCTTAGGATTTAATAAACTTGCGTACATATGTTTTGTCGATATGACAAAGGCTTTTGGCAGAGTGTGCTTAAAGGATGTATTAGAAATAATGAAAACAAAAAGTCTAAAGAATAAACAAATTAACCTAATATACAACATTAACAACCACAAAACAGATCAGAGTAGGACATATGATAGCAAATGATATATATGTAAACACAAGCATTAGACAAGGCGACTCACTTAGCCCCTTCATATTTAATATAATAATGGGTAAAATAATAAAAAAAAACATTCCCAGAAGAACTGGAATCAAAATGGGAAACACATTCTTGACGCTGCTGTTCTTCTTGCAGATTCAGAGAACATCTTTCAAAGGTTACAATCTTTTTAACGCTAAAGCAAAAGAATTAAATATGCTCATCAACGCCGAGAAGACCAAATGCTTAGTAATATCCAAGGTACGATATAAGATGTAAGTTGGGTTGGGTTGTTCAAACATTTGGGGGCAGAAATAACGAGTCACGGAAATCTCTTTAGCGAAGTGAGAGAGCACAAAAGTGACACTGGTGGCGGGAGAACAAATACAAATGTGTAAAAATAAAAACGACGGCAGAAGAGACAAAGAACCAAAAGATGAGAGTAATAGAAATGAAAGTTTTAAGATCTATATTACACTACGCGAGAAACAAAGCATCACCTCCATTAGAGAAAGATTTAACCTATATTATGTAGTGAAATGGACAAAAACCAGAAAAAAGAATAAAACCCAAAACACGAGATTTCATAAACAGGGAATTGTCCCTAGTCGAAAGTAGAAGAAGAAGAGAGCATACAATAAAAGTGTCTCGAATTTCGGGTTGCCAGAAAGCAAAATCAAGATATATAATACCTACCCACTTATTTCAAGAATGATTATTTGGCATTTACTTTACTGGTAGTTCATGAATCAGAGAATTTGTAAATTTTTCTCATTAATAAAGTGTCACCTATAATCCCACACAACACATTCATTCGTTGGTAATTTATTTGACATTACCAATAAGGATTTTCTTCTGATTAGTAACGCATATTTGCGCCCAATGACAAATATTGATGTAAAGTGTGAAGCTTTTAATGTAAAGATACACTGCGTTGGGATGCAGCAGAACTACAAAAAATAGCGCGAGAAGAAATGCACGCATTATTCCAAACAGCAGCTAAAATAGTACCGCATTTTTCGCTGCTGTAGATCTCCAATCTCGGTACATTATTTTACAATAGGATAAAGTGCTGCACAAGATGGGATATTTCTGTAGGGAAATCATTCTTTGTATAAATTTCTTCACCCTTCATATGATAAAAGTTTTATTTGAAACTTTTTTAGATAAAATTGATGGTTTAAGCTATTAGATCGTCTTAATTTAAATGCCTCACCCGGTATAACCAAATTAATCATATTGCTTGATCCATAATAATATACATCACCGTCGTAATAATTTTAAGTGTGCAATTTTTGTTTAAACTTTTAACAATTTGTGAGTTAAATATTACGTAATAGAAGAAATTCAAGAGAAATATAATATAGTCTAAATTATTGTTGCATTTTACAACAATTCTCCAAATAGTATCTATACTACATTTTCTTGTAAACCAGGTTGTCAAAAAATTAAACGAAACATGAAACAATAGTATATTGTTTTATATGGAAGAGAAGCAGTGCTTTTTATGGCGTGGTCTGTCGCTTAGCGACGAACGCAGTGAGTCGCTAATGACAGATGAGCCGTTAAAATTGTGGCGTGTCCGACAGTTTGCCGGACTAACGAAGTGAGTCCGGCAATGACGGACCAGCCACAAACGAATCTGCTTCTCTTCCGAATAAAACATAGTATTTTTTCTTCAAACGTTGCAAATAATACGGCGCTAAAGTGAAATGTTCTTCAACGTTATGGCGCTAAAGTGAAATTTACTTTAGCGCCATAACGCTGAAGTACTTTTTTGCTATGTTGATCTTACCAACCATCGTTATGCAACAATGACTTACTTCTACCGCGAGTAAACACGACAACAAAGTTGTCATTTAATGACGTTTGAAGAAAAAATTTTTTGCTTTTAAAATAAAAATTAATTCTATAGAAACATAGGGTAGAATTGCTTTAGTTGTTCCATTTAGTGAGTGACTCCATCCATACCTCAACAATTATTTAGTAAATAAACAAACTTTATTGATTCCTGTCATGGAACTGTTTAGTGAGATATCAAACCAGTAAATGGTTTTCAAATCTTATGAGATCTATGCATGACATCACATGCATGTATGTACAACCTATATGGGTTTTTGGCACTTCTTTATATTTTTGAATCATTACTGCAAATAAACGGATATGTAAATATTAATAATTGTTTCAACAAAATGTTATTATCATGACAAAATGATTTTTCACATCATTAAAAGAATGACAGTTTCTCAATAACTCAACTTAATCTTTCATTAATGAAGCGTCTATAATTTTATGACATAGTTTTTCCTTCTGATAAACTATCTAAACGATAGTTACCATAATTACAGCGGTTTTAAGCGCTCTCAAAGGCTAAGAGCTGGATTTATCTATCAGATACATTTATCAAGGGATGTTAAAAGTGGCCCTGAAGGGATTGGAATACTGAAAACCATGTAAGCTTTAAATATGAGAAGTTATTTTGTTGACATAAATTGCAATCTATCATTTATTTGCCATCTCCCTACTTCTATCATTAATAACTTTCTTTTAGTTTAAATCATCTATCAAATTTATAAAAACACCAACTCATAATCAAACTTGAAAACATTAATCATAATTTGTTTATAAGTGTAACATTATCATTTTCATATTTTTTTATAACAATATATTGGGTTTCATCATAATAATGCTTCTAATTGATTAGAAACTCGTTATAATCTCTCAGATTAAATAATATACCCACATTTCATTGGATTTGTTTACATTCTTACACATGGAGAAATAAAAAGTTTTAAATTGGTCAGAAATGTGAAACTGTATGTGTGAAAAGTCTATAACACTTCATGGGCTTTTGAAATTTTTACTAACCTCCTATTCTATGATAAACTGGATCGTCATATCTATACTTCATATCATCATTGACACAACTTCTCTCGTCCATATGATTATTTACATCAACGTTCTGTACATTAACCTTTACATTGACCATCTTTAAAGATTCATCACCATTTTCCACATTTTGATGAGTCTTATTTGGTTGAAATAAACTAGCCCATAATTTTTTAACTGGTGGTTTTGACACAACATCCTCCTTCTCTTCAACCTTCGTCCCATTCTGTGTGTTTACATCTTCTTCAACCTCAACACCACCCTCTTCTAAACCACCACTTCCATAATCTTGATTTTGAATGTATTGATTTTGAGATGTAAATGTTGTCGTATGGTTTGTTGTGAATCCATAACTTTGAACAATGATGGGCGAAACTGGTTGTGAAGTTACTGTTATATGTGCAGGAATCCCTGGACTATGGGGATATGGATAAACTTGTGAATAATGGGGAACTGCTGTGGCGCTTGTTGAAATTGGTTGGTAACATGTCACTGAGTATTGGGAGTATATGGGTTGTTGGTGAGATGGAATTAATGGGACTGTCTGTGGGATTATTATGTTTGGAGGTGGGCCATTACATTGGGTTATGTTTGGGAGATGAGCGTTTATATGAGGGGTATTTTGTGGCACTAAAATATAAGATAAATAATTATTAATAGCTTATAATTGAATTAATAATGGTTCTGACACATAACACTCTATGTACTTTATAATTTTAAAAAATCCATTAAAGTTTGTTGATAATAACAATACACCAAAAATAGCAGAGATATACAGGCTTTTTTGAATACAATTTATTTCCCAAACTTTAACGAAAAAGCGCACACATCATTACTCATCCTAACCCTTCAATTATTCCCACAACTGTACACAACAATTGCATATTATTACATAATTTTTACCTGTACATTTGTTCTGTGCATGAAAAGATCGTTTCCATGGTACTTCCACTTTGGGGTTCCAAGCGTGTAACGAGTGAAGGATGCCGTTTTTTTCCTCTTCCCCGACGCCGGTTAAATCTAAGAACTCTATCTGAAAAGCGATTTTTTTTGGTTTCGAATTGCAACGCACGTCGCTTCGAAATGCTTACCGAGCCGATGTTATCCATTTCGGGCTCTTCTAGGTAGATTTTGAAATCATTTCGTAGTCGTGCAAACGAGAATCGCACGTAAATTTACCACCAGCGGCGGATTGGGGTTACGTTTATCCTCACGTTGTCCCCGTGCACTGTCATTTGAAATGTCAAAATCCACTGCCGCTCGATCGATCACATTGGAATCTAGGGATTTTTTGGACTTGAATAATTAATGGCGATTTTCTAACAAAACTGTTTGTAAATTCCCGTTTATTGTATTTATTTCGATTATTTTTAAAACGTTAACATTATTTAAATATTTTTACGTATAACTTAATTATTAAGAGAGAAATTAAATTTGTATATGTAAAATTGAACTTGATTTTAGGTTGGCAATACATACTCACCTATTTATGCATTGTCAAAAACAAGAATTTAATTTAAAATTATTTATTATTAATTGTTAAACATTTGGATTTTTTATAAAATTTTATTTATTATTTGTATTGATTTACAATTTATGAATTACATTAACTAGTTCCTCCTCTTTAGATTAAATAGTTGTGTTAAACTACTGCTACTACCAAGGAAGTGTTGCATTAGGCACAGCGTTTTAAGCGCTCTTTTAAACCTTAAAACAATTCATGGCACTTATTTATTGAAAATGAACAACAACATATGGTACCGAGACGGCAGTAGAAACAAAGAATACTAAACAAAGGGTTAGAGTGATGGAGATGAAAGTCTTGAGATCTGTTGAATGTGACACTTCAAGATAGGCAGACAACAGCTCTACCAGAGAGAGATGTAACATACAGAATGTAGTAAAATGGACAATAGTAAGAAAGAAAAATTGGAAGAAGCATGTGGAAAGAATGGATGAGAGGAGATTGGCCAGAATATGTATGTATAGATTACTGAAAAAAAAAGCCTAAGAGCCACACAGATGGTTGTCCTCATCTGTGGAGTAAATTCCAAACATAAGGCTTGATAAACAGGGATGCATTCCTAGTCAAAAGTAGAAGAAGAAGAACAACACCAAAATATATACAATTAAAAATTAATATTCCTACAAATTTCTATATAACTGCAATAATTATTACTCCATATTAGAAGTGTCATATAAACTAGCATTTCTTCTTTTGAATTTCTTATTTTCTAAATTATTCACATTTGTATCAACAGTTTCATTTAAATTTTCTCCCTCAATAGAAGTTCTTTTCAAATTTCCATCATCTTCTTTCATTTCTGGTATATCAGCTTTGGGTGATGGCAAATTCAATTTGACTTTTGAATAGATTCCTTCTTTCTTAGGTGTACTAGTATCAAATTCGTAATCGCTATTTTCCAGCACAACATCACTATCGTTTATAAAAGAATTCATGTTTTCACTTCTATCAAAGCTTTCATATTCCGTAAAACTTTTCGACGAATTAGTTAAAATTAGATTCAAAGGATCGCTTATGCCAAGTCTACTGCAGAACTGTTCTGTTTGTGGATTAATTTTTGGTTGTAGCGAAGAAGAATTTTGGATACAATTTGGGTCGTACACTTTAGCAGTGGCAACAAAATTTAAAGGAATCTCTAAATTATTATTCATCCGATTCAAAATAAAAGATTCCTCATCTTTTGTTGGTGTAAAATTACATCTATCCGTTCCGATCGTACCAGGCATATATTGCGTATTATTTTTTACACTTAATAAGTGATTTGTATGATGTAAAATTGTTAACCACTCTAAATCATATTCTAATTTTAATTCACCACCATTATCGGCGACATCGACAACTTGTAAGAACCTCCTACTTGGTAAACATTTATCTAATGCTAAAAACTTTGTACATTTTCCCGTTTGATGCGGTACTAACGCGGCAAATTTACAATGTAAATGAGCTGAGAACCAATAATCTGGTTGTAAATGATGTAAAAGTGTTTCGCATGGTGGTGAACCCAATTCTCCAGCTGCTATATCAGCCCTAAAATATAATTGTTTAAGTAAAATTGAACTAAAACTTGGTTTACATACGACGCGACGGTCTGAAAGCAACAAGACATAAAAAACGAGTTAATAGATAAAGTAAAATGGCCAGGTAGAATTGGGGTTCATGATAACGCGAGTATGAAGCACATAGGTACCTATAGGGCCAAATGGCATGATGTTTAGGTTTTGAAAAGACAGTATTGCTCTTTTATTAAGACGACTACCACATGAAATCTATGTTTTTCTTGTGATCTTTGCACTTTTGTGCTACTTTTATACAAGAGAATGTTTAAATAAATATCAACAGAAAACTTAAATTATCACCTTTGTGTAAACATTAGAAGATGAAGAATTCAATGAAGTCACTATAATTATGTCCTATTGCTGTCAAACCAGTCAGTGTCTACTGTTAACCAGTCCCATAGGATCAAATAATCTTGTAGTGTGAAACTAACAATATATAGCAGTCATATTATGCATTATACAGAGTGCGACAAATGTCAGTTAACCGATATTAATAAATTTATAACAACAAATGATGAAAAAACGTAATTTATTGTTGAACAAAACTTTAGTTTGTGTTCAAACTGTATACTACCGTCATCAACATAATTGGCATTGTAGGAACATGGATCTGCAGGTTTTGCGAAAGAATTGGGAGTGACCACTAAGAGGTTCGTATTAACTTAGAACAGCTCCAGATAGTTTTCTGGATCCACCATTCCAACAACTACGGCCGACGATGTTATACCAGGAATTAGAGATGTCCAAAAAAACAAAAATAGTAAACTGCTACTATATCTGCTATTGTGACTATATCGGCGATTGCGTCTTTATAACCGCTGATTGATGGACTTCTCTTAATATGGAAAGTTTTGTGACTGTGACTGCCCATTTTCTGAATGACAATTTTCAACCAATTTCACTTTTATTAGATTATTCTAATTTTCCGTTCAACATACCGCTTTAAATTTAGCAAATGAGTTAAATGGAGTCGTTACTGAATGGAAAATAGAAAACAAACGTTTAATACCTAGTCGTTTTGGATAATACCGCCGATAGAAAAGCGGTCCTAAATGCATTGCGCTGTGAGGTTGTCTTGCTCATATCATTAATTTAGTTGTGACTAGTGATGGATTAAAAGACGAAGAGGTAGTTAATATTGATGGGGAAAACATATTGTAGAGTACTTTAAAAGAAACCACCGCGCTACCGCAAGACTTGTAGGGTAACAACGGAATCCGGGAAATAAAACCCCTCTAAAACTTTTTCAAGATGTATCCACACATTGGAACGCCATGTTTTACATGTTAGAACGGTTAATATACCTATAGTCTTAGAAGAACGTGTAAAAGCCACTATGTCTATAATTAATATGGAACTAAAACATCACTTAACAATAGAGGAACGGGATATTATTAAGCAATTGGTTCAGATTCTTAAACCTTTCCAAAGTGTGACCAAAAATATTTCAGGAGAGGAATACTTAACTGCCTCTTTCGTTAATAAAGACGACATACCTTTCGCTGAATGTGTTAAATGTGTTCTTGGTATATTAAAAAAATACTATCTATAATAGTAACATTTCTTGATCCAAGATTTAAAGAAATACCTTTTAAAGACAAGAGAAATGTTATTTCTTTGGTAGCTGAAAAGATTTCGGACAAGTTAGCAAGCCGAGCTGATAATGAAACGGAAGTTGTATTTAAGTCAAATGAAGCCAGAAATCAAAATATAGAAGATGACGATTTTAGGAGGATTTTCAAAAGGCAGCTCAAAATTACCAACCTGTAGCCCGTACCTACAGGTTCTACTACCAAGGCTATATTAGAAATACAGCGATTTTTAGATTACGAAGGAGTTCCCTCGCAACAACGACGCATTGAAATGGTGGAAAGAAAATAAATATTTGTTTCCGCACCTAGCATGTGATGCGCAGGAGAGGCTTAGTTCATGTATTTCGCCTGTTCCTTGTGAAAGGTAATTTTCAAAAGCAGGGCAAATATTGACAGATAGGCGAAACCGCATTAGCGGCAAAAAAGTCGAAATGCTTTTATTTTTGTGGTTTATTTGTCATGTCACGGCTGAATTTTTGTAATAATAAAAAAAATGCGATTTCAAAATAGCAGTTTTGCTCATCTCTACCAGGAACATTTAACTATTCTCAGATGGCCAAAAAACACAATTGTGAAGGTTAATTCGCCCGCTAAGTTTGAACTGCGCTTTATAGCTACAGAGAATGAATTTGTAAAAATGTAAGTGGTTTTCAACGCACCCAGTGTACCAGTTGCAACACTCAAGTCTACAATCAGGGTCATTTTCCATTAAGGCATGCAACAATTATGGACTATAATACATTTTTTTAACATGCATAGTAAAGTATGATCCAATATTTGTAGTTCAAGAGACATACATATAATTAACATGGTCGACTATGTCATAATCAGGACAAAACTAGCACCTACTTATTTTTATTAATTTATTAATATTAGTTAACTGACGTTTGCTGCACTCTACATATACATAAATTTTGGTTTTATTTGATCCTACACAATAACTTAAAAGAAGTTTAAAAAATAAATAAACTTAGTTACTTGAAATGTGGTTTGAATTTAACCAATTGATCACAGTCTCCATATTTTGTTATCCCTGTAGGCCAATCATGGGATAAAAAGATATTTAAAGGCCTGGAAAGTTGTTTTAACCTAAATATTTCTAAATTTCTTATATGATAAACACTCCTCATTGAATTATCATTATAGGGTGGTTTTTCATAGTGACCTTTCATATAATCCCTACCTTTGTATATCCCTGATATACCACCTATTCTAATTCCTATAAAAATTATTTTTAATAATAAACAAAAATAAAAAGGAGAATTTAGTACCTTTTACATTAATAACTCCCGCATAACCTAAATAATAAATATTGGGGGCAACCCATCCTCCATATGGCAATTCTTGTAAATGATTAGAAGCTTCGTGATTTCCTCCAATAAAAACAGTTAAAACGGGGGCTTTCTTTTCACCGCTGTAATATCTAATAAAACAAAATATTGTAAATAAATTTCGACGCTGTCACTTCGTGAACGTTCTTACTTATAAAATGTGCACATTTCTCGATATTTGGGTGGTATAGCCATACATCGTAAGTCCTCTTCGTTACGGGTTGCTTGGAAATCCCCGCAACACACCAACAGATCAATTTTAATGTTTTCATTTTCTTCTAGTAAACTTAAAACTTCATAAATTGTTTCTAATTCGCCGTGGGCGCAACCTTCTACGGCGATTTTCATGTTTAATAATTTATAGGGGTTATTAAAACTGATTTTATAATAATAGGTTATGTTTTGTTTGAAAGCATTTTATTTGTTGACATCGACAGTTTCTTTTGGGGCGCCATCTGTTGGTTAATTCTCAATACTAGAAACCGAAAAGGATTTTTTTATCAGTTATTTCAATTCTCAAACCATAATTAAACCATGCGAATTGATGGAAATAACAATAATTAACATGGTAGTTTTTCTTTATTTAGTATTGACCAAATCTAAAGAAATTATCAGACTATAAATGGCAAATAAAAGATAGTACATATCTACTTATTACATAAATATCATAAATATCTCTTTGTTTTTCATTTCTCCTCGTGCTGACGTTACATTTTATGGTTTGTAACTTTCACATTTTAAACCACTTTTACAGTTCCTATGATGGCACAACTTTCATAAACATGGCTTGTCTGTGTTTACTTTAACTTATCTTGAAAATCCAACAAACGTCAGTGTGATATTAATATAAATGCAAAGTTCAATTTTTTAGAATTTGGTCCTTCACGTGGTTCCAACAGCATGTCTAGATCGATATCAACTTTAATATTAAACGATCTAAACGTGAGTGCCCTAGATTGTGATGTAAAGTACCTTTCCGAACAGTTAAACAGATTACATTACACAGTAAGCAAAGTAACAACTATAGAACGAGATCCTAATACAATTTCGTATGAAGTAGAACATGGGTTGAAGCAGAACGATTTTTTAATCATCATTGATTATACGTTAAAGGATACGCTAAATTCTGTATGCAATGTTTTTAATACGGAACTCGTTTTGGTACAATCTATTAATGAAAGAAACACGTCACTTGAAGGTGTTATGGTACCAAAAATTGCAAAGATTTTGGAGTATGATAATTCTATAAAATTAAGTCCGGTTATTTATTTAGGAAGGTTGTTCATTATTCAAGAACCTAACCTTAAATTGGTTTTTGAGAACATTTTAAGAGAATATATTGAAGGTTTTAATTACAAAATATCCTTTGTAAAACAATTTTATTTTAAAGATTGTGATATCGAGCTAAATAATTCAAGTAAGTGCAATTGTCTACAAATTAACTGTAATAAGGAGAATGAGGATCAAATTTTGGAGGTTAAGTCATTTGATTTAAAGTTGTTGATTGAATATCAAAAGAAAATTAAGAAAAAATATGGAAACCAATTGACAAAGGAGGTCTATTTTTTAGCAAATATTTATAATAAAAATTGTTTTTATCATGTTCATAAAGCTATTGAGGTTAGTGATATATTAAAGTATTTATTAAAATTGAAATTCCTTTTTTACAGTGTATAGAAGCTTGTTTTAAACAATATAAACCAGAAAACATTTTTTTGAGTTTCAATGGTGGTAAAGATTGCACAGTACTTTTACATCTAGTTCTTTGCGTATTGAAGAGACATTATCCAGAATTCAAAGAACGTTTAATTTGCATGTACATTCAAAGTTTAAATCCCTTCCATGAAGTAAATTCTTTCATCGATCTTATCAGTAATTATCATAATCTGGAAATTGTTACTATTACAAAAGGCGTTAAAGAAGGTCTTGAAATATTTTTAGAAGACAGACCTCATCTTAAAGCTTGTTTAATGGGAACAAGAAGATCTGATCCGTATTCCGAACATTTAAATGTTTGTCAAGTAAGTTTTTTTTGAGTCACCAAAGAATTAAAGAGAAATAGTTAAATTTTTTAGATGACTGATTCTTCTTGGCCACAAGTTATGAGAATTTCTCCATTACTTGATTGGAATTACAGTGATATTTGGGATTATTTGTTGTATTTTCAAGTTCCTTATTGCGATTTATATGATCAAGGCTATACTTCTTTAGGAAGTATTAATAATACGATTAAAAATCCTAGTTTGTTATATAAAATTGGATGTAATGAAGAGGTTTATCTCCCGGCTTATAAGCTTTTAGATGGCAGTAAAGAGCGAGATGGAAGAAATTGATTCTTTTTAGTGAAATTATAGATAATTTATATTTATAGATCATTTGTTTTTGGGTATAAATAATTTAATTGTTGTTTTAGATGATATCTTTAAGCACTTTTTTTTTGTGTCTAGTAAATTGTTATTTTAAATGAAATATTAATAAACTTAATTTTATTTTTCAATTAAAATTTTGACTATGTAAGAAAAAAATCCACTCGTCCGGTATTTACATAATTTCTTGGTACAATAGTTATTTATGTACCAAGTCGGCAAAGTGATGTTTTATCGAACGAGTCTGAGTTTGCGAGTCGAGCGAGCGAGCGAGTTCTGAATATGAACAGCATCGTATTTATGTTTAAATTTTTTGGTAGTTCATTACTTTATCTACATCTTGCTTGAACTTTAAACTAGAATTAACTACTGAGTTTTCAATTTTTAGTTTATTATTATAAAAATTATTTAATTTTCATATATTTTAGACAAAAATAACAATTTTATACAAAGTAGAAATATGATAAACTAAACAGTTAACTATCAGTTATCCCACCATGATAATAATCCTAGGCCTGGTTCATTAATACTTCCCTACAACACATAAATTATTAATAAATACAAAACAAAGTTATTTGAAAAAAATCATACAGTTAATAAATATGGTACTTTGTTTTCAGCGTTTTCTCCAGCTTCTTGTACGGTATTTCCTGTAGCTGGCCCAGCAGGACAAGTTTCTTGGAAAGTTTCTCCTGTAACGCGAAAACGAATATTTTCTCCAGTATCCATAAACAAATCGTGTTTATTTCCATCTCCTGTATCATATTCCCAAACCCAAGCTTGTTCAGTTTCATCAAATCTAGCAGGATGTTGTAATGCGTTTGGTGGGATTAAAATATCATCAAAAAAACCTAATGTAACTTAAAAAAGAAACATAGTAAAGTAGAATAATTAGTAAAGTAATTAAAAACTGGGAATCAATCTTTTTCTCATTTTAATACACACCATGAACACCTTCTTGGCTACAACTTCTAATTTTGCCCATTAATACTTCTTCAATAAACGGCCTAAATACAACATATCGAAATGAAACACGAGTATGAGAAGCTCCATCTCCTGGTATAATGTAAGATTCTTTTAAATTAGTAATATCATAAAGTGCTATACATAAACCAACATTTAAAACTACTTTGTTGGCTAATTTTTTATTTAATTCGCCCGCTATCGCATCGTTTAACTTTAAATGAAATAATTCAGGCGGTATTCGTGTTACATGCTTCATTTCAGATAATATAAACATTTTTCTGTTCTGATGTTTTCTGATTTAAATTTCTGTAAGTAATGTTTATTATCGTTTTATTGTTGCTGAAGAAATTTAAAATGTTCCTCCTTATTTAAAAAGAAATTGTTGAACAACAAATTGTTACTAATTAAGTAAGGTTATGTTGAATTAAGTTAGGTTATGTTTTGCTGTTTCCTGTCAAAATCATCAAAATGCATGCCTTGTCGTTTGAAAATTAAAATAATCTTAGTTCCGTGGTTTTCGTGTTTTAAATCATTTTTTAGCAAAATTCTTTTATAGTAAGATTCATATAATTATATCAAATTAAATATTACAAAGCCTCATTATCTGTCTTTTTAGGATGTGAATTTGGCGCCTCTTTCCATGCCAAACCACAACAAACTGTTAACCACGCACATAACTACGTGAAGGTTGTGTTTAAGAATTGTTTAAGAAAACTTTAATTATTTTGATTTAAAATAAGGTAAGAAATTATTAATGATTACCTTAAAAATGAAGTGATGATTACAGAGACTCAAGTGGATAAAGTATGAAAGTCATAACTCTGATTCCAAATATAATTTTCAACAAAACATTAAATTGTGTCGGCACATGTCTCTACTAACATTATTTTCGTTTATTGTTTCTAGAGAATACTACATTCAAACATATATCTCATATGCATAGTAGAAGTATACAAATTGACGTTTAGTTGATTACAATGAAGTTAAAGCAAGTTGTAGTGGAAAGAATCGTAGATTCCTTCTTTTTTTACATTCGAGACTTCAAAGATATATCTAAATTGGATGAAATTAAAAGTCGTTTACAACGTTTATCTGAAAAATCTAATTTTATCCATGCAGAATCAGATCAGGTGATTAAATTGTAGACTAGTGAATCGCAATCATTGGGTCGCGACCTAATTTTAGGAAGAAAATTCCCAAGTATCAGCTGATTAAGATCAGCGCAAAAGCTAAGTTGCTCGGGGACTCCCTATAAACTAACCTCCATCTAGTTTTCTAACTATTGAATGAAAACTATTCTATTTTTGCTAATGTGAATGTGTTATTTAATAAACAACTAAAAAGTGAATATGATTTAACAATTTTTAATGATACAGATAGAACACCAGGTAAGTAACTATTGAAATGTAATTTTGTTTCTTTAATTCCAAAATATTACAATTTTGTTACTCTGCATTTTTGATGTAAAAGTTTAACATTTTGAAATATCCACTAGACTTGATCTCCTGTTTTTGGAATTATTATCTTATGTTAATCTCCTTAAAATACACTCGAAACTTTAAATCAAGTTAACTTTTCATCTATACAAGAAGATAATATTGATTCACCACAATGTGTTGTGTGTGGAACTGTATTAGCAAACGCATCTTTAAAATCTAATAAACTTTTAAGACATTTAGAAAATAATTATGTTGAATACAAGGATAAAACACCATAATTTTTTAAAAGAAAACTTAAAGACTTGAAGGCGAATAAATCAAGTTTAACTAAATATGTTGGAACAGATAAGAAATATTTAAAATGTTCTTATTTAGTAGCATTGCATATTGCTAAGACCAAAAAAACGTATAATATAGGGGAAGTACTAATAAAACCATGTTTCAAAGAAGTTTGTAGGGAAATGTTTGGCGAAGAATATGCTGTGCAAATTAATATTCCAATGTCTGCTGAAATAATAAGCAGACGAGTACTTAGTGTTTCAAATGACCTGGAATTACAACTACTTGCAAAATTGGAACATTCACCATATTATGCCTTGCAGTTAGATGAATCCACAGATGTTTCAAGTAATGCTATATTATACATAAAGTATATTGATTTTGAGTTAGAGGAATTATTATGCACCTTAAAACTACAATCCTATACTACATCTTCTGAAGTTTTTGCTATCATAAATTCATACTTTGAGTCTAAACACATTCCTTGGAATAAATGTATAGATAAATAAACTTTTAAGACATTTAGAAACTAATTATGTTGAATACAAGGATAAACCACCAGAATTTTTTAAAAGAAAACTTAAAGACGTAGGCGAATAAATCAAGTTTAACTAAATATGTTGGAACAGATAAGAAATATTTGAAATGTTCTTATTTAGCAGCATTGCATATTGCTAAGACCAAAAAAGCGTGTAATATAGGAGAAGTATATAGTGTTTGGTGAAGAATATGCTGTGCAAATTAACAATATTCCAATGTCTGCTGAAACAATAAGCAGACGAGTATTTAGTGTTTCAAATGACCTGGAATTACAACTACTTGAAAAATTGGAACATTCACCATATTATGCCTTGCAGTAAGATGAATCCACTGATGTTTCAAGTAATGCTATATTGATGGTATACATAAAGTATATTGATTTTGAGTTGGAGGAATTATTATACACCTTAAAACTACAATCCTATACTACATCTTCTAAAGTTTTTGCTATCATAAATTCATACTTTGAGTCTAAACACATTCCTTGGAATAAATGTATAGATAAATAAACTTTTAAGACATTTAGAAACTAATTATATTGAATACAAGGATAAACCACCAGCATTTTTTAAAAGAAAACTTGAAGGCTTGAAGGCGAATAAATCAAGTTTAACTAAATATGTTGGAACAGACAAGAAATATTTGAAATGTTCTTATTTATTAGCATTGCATATTGCTAAGACCAAAAAAAAGCGTGTAATATAGGGGAAGTACTAATAAAACCATGTTTCAAAGAAGTTTGTAGGGGATGTTTGGTGAAGAATATGCTGTGCAAATTAACAATATTCCATTGTCTGCTGAAATAATAAGCAGACGAGTATTTAGTGTTTCAAATGACCTGGAATTACAACTACTTGAAAAATTGGAACATTCACCATATTATGCCTTGCAGTTAGATGAATCCCCAGATGTTTCAAGTAATGCTATATTGATGGTATACATAAAGTATATTGATTTTGAGTTGGGGGAATTATTATGCACCTTAAAACTGCAATCCTATACTACATCTTCTAAAGTTTTTGCTACCATAAATTCGTACTTTGAGTCTAAACACATTCCTTGGAATAAATGTATAGATAAATAAACTTTTAACACATTTAGAAACTAATTATGTTGAATACAAGGATAAACCACCAGCATTTTTTAAAAGAAAACTTAAAGACTTGAAGGCGAATAAATCAAGTTTAACTAAATATGTTGGAACAGACAAGAAATATTTGAAATGTTCTTATTTAGTAGCATTGCATATTGCTAAGTCTAAAAAAGCGTATAATATAGGGAAAGTAGTAATAAAACCATGTTTCAAAGAAGTTTGTAGGGGATGTTTGGTGAAGAATATGCTGTGCAAATTAACAATATTACATTGTCTGCTGAAATAATAAGCATACAAGTGCTTAGTATTTCAAATGACTTGGAATTACAACTACTTGAAAAATTGGAACATTCACCATATTATGCCTTGCAGTAAGATGAATCCACTGATGTTTCAAGTAATGCTATATTGATGGTATACATAAAGTATATTGATTTTGAGTTGGAGGAATTATTATACACCTTAAAACTACAATCCTATACTACATCTTCTAAAGTTTTTGCTATCATAAATTCATACTTTGAGTCTAAACACATTCCTTGGAATAAATGTATAGATAAATAAACTTTTAAGACATTTAGAAACTAATTATGTTGAATACAAGGATAAACCACCAGAATTTTTTAAAAGAAAACTTAAAGACGTAGGCGAATAAATCAAGTTTAACTAAATATGTTGGAACAGATAAGAAATATTTGAAATGTTCTTATTTAGCAGCATTGCATCTTGCTAAGACCAATAAAGCGTCTAATATAGGGGAAGTACTAACAAATGCGGTCTAAATGTGTTATGACCATGTTTCAAAGAAGTTTGTAGAGAAATGTTTGGTGAAGAATATGCTGTGCAAATTAACAATATTCCAATGTCTGCTGAAATAATAGGCAGACGAGTACTTAGTATTTCAAATGACCTGGAATTACAACTACTTGAAAAATTGGAATATTCACGATATTATGCCTTGCAGTTAGATGAATCCACAGATGTTTCAAGTAATGCTATATTGATAGTATATGTAAGGTGTGTTGATTTTGAGTTGAAGGACATGAAAGAGGAAATATTATGCACCTTAAAACTACAATCCTACACTACATCTTCTGAAGTTTTTGCTACCATAAATTCATACTTTGAGTCTAAGTATGGATGGACCGGTGGCGGTGGTAGGAAAAGTACAGAGGTGTTGTTACATAAATTGGGCAACTATCGCATAAAAATATAACAAAAACCCACTGCATTCTTCATCGTGAACAGTTGGTATCCAAAAATATAACAAAGAATTAGACATAGTTTTAGATCACTGTGGGAAAATTGTAAATCATAGTCGTAATAGCGCAGTTCGGACTCGAGTTTTCGCTTTATTGTGTGAAGAGATAGGTTCAGACCACAAAGTTTTATTACTACATTCACCTATACCCTGAATTTCGAGAGGGAAGGTACTGAAAAGATTTTTTGACTTAAGAACCGAAATAAAGATACTTTTAAATGACCAAAATTCACCATTAGCAGAACAGTTCAAAAACAACGTATGGCTTGCAAAGGTTGCTTACCTAGCTGATATTTTTTCGTTAGTTAATGAATTAATATTATCAATGCAAGGGCGCATGACTAACCTATTCATGTGCAATAACAAAGTTGACGCAGTTATCAAAAAATTGATATTTAGAAAGATCGAATAGATAGGGGAGAATTTGATATGTTCCTATGTTATCATCAAATAATTAAAGATAAGGAGCTGCATAAAGAAGACGATGCCGATTGAATACCATACTCAAAAATTATTTGCTAAAATTAAAAGAAAGATTTCTTAGTCACTTTCCTCCTGTTAACAACATCGACATAGGGAACATGTGGATACAAAATACGTTTTTAAAAGACGAAGGTAATATTTTGTGTTCGTCAGATGATGAAAAACTAATGGAGCTGTCGTGTGATAAATTACTTCACGCGCAATTCATTAGTCAAAAAAATTTAGTAAAATTTTGGATACAAATACGAAACGAATACCCAACATTATGATTAGCATTAAATCAGTCGATTGAATCTAGGATAAATAAACTGGTGAACGAGATGCAGCAGCATAACATATCACTGATATTAGAAGAAATGTTTATCTCAAAATTAATATTGTTATTGTTTGTATTGTGTAACCGAAATGCATCATTATTATAGTGAATAACAAAGTTAGGACTAAAAATATATATTTCAGAAAATCTATGCTGATACTGTCTTTAATTTTCTATACCAGTAATTATCCCCTCTTTCAACTTATGGGTCACATTAACATTTTATTAATATTTTTGGGTCGCTACTACAAGTTTGCGGAACGCTGTTGTAGACTATATCTTTTCTGACAATTTTACATAATAACTTCATTTGCAGTTAGTTGCTTTAGTAGACGAAACCATATTTAAAAGGGCCGTTGTGGTTAAAAGTGATAATGGAGGTTATCACTGCTGGTTATTGGATTATGGCGTCTATATTACAACCGACCGGGTTTATAAATTACCTGAAGAACTTTGTTCTACACCACCAACAATTAAGATAGCAACTTTAAATAATGTTGTTGGGTTACATAACGTAGGTTTTTAATATCTTTATTTTTTATCGTGTAAAATTAATAATGATTACGACTTAGGTGTTTAATTTTGAAACAAATAAAAACGATACCATTTGGAAACCTTACTTTAGTAGCGTCACTGAAAGATTCATCGAAAAGAAGCTTTCCGAAGCTAAAAAAGTGTATTTTTCCGAAGAACACACGTTTATGGATATGTTATGTGGAAATTTTATATTCGAAATGACCGATGGTGTTACTTTAAATTTGGGATCCTTACTTTTAGAGGAAGGTCACGTTATGGTGGATAATGAAAAGTTTTTGGGAGGTAAAAAGTTAATCCCTAACGAAAATGTAATATCATTTTTTAAATGTTGTAGGCCTGCAAAAATCTACACAAAAAATTCCAGTTACCATAAAACCTGAAGAAGAAGAAGATTTTTGTCCAGATGAACCTTGCCAACTTGAAGGAATAGGTCGTGGAAGAAGTCGTCCCAAGTTATCGATAAATAAAAAGCGCGACGTTGATAATTGGCTAAATTGTATGGATAAATCGTTAACACAAGATGAAGAATGTTCGGTAAAAGATCAAGATTCATCCTTAAACAGAAGCTTTTTATCTGATAATAACCCAAATATTGATGATTCATCTCATATGCTAGCTTCTACCAGTTCAACTTCAATGAATGCAAATATTTCAAGTGGTTCAATAAATTTAGAAAGTAAATCTCCGCCAAAGAAATCGGGGGGACGAGGCGAATTGTTAAAAAAGTTGAGTTGTGAAGTAAATAAACAAGATGTTCAAAAAGATTTTAATCTTTCAACAACTAAAATTCAATGTGATGATTTAAATCCAAGTGAGGGATCTAAAATAAAAAATAAGAGTATTAGTCCTTGCGAATTAAGGAAGATTTTATCAAACTTTAAACAGAAATCGTTAAAATCTGAAGCAACGTCTTTAAAATCTGATTTAAAAACTCAATCAAATTCTGATTCAAACTTTTCGAAATCATCAAAATCGTCTAGTTCTTCTTCAAACAGAAAGATTGTTTATTCAACAGATACTATTTCATCATCTTCCGAGGCAAATAGCGTTATATCGCATGGGGTTGAACCAATCAATTCGTCAGATCATGGTGATTTGAAAGGGGTTGTAATGAAAAATAATTTTGACTGTAAATGCGAAAATTGCAAAAAATTTTTTGATGACGATCCCATTGAAACTAGAAAAGTTTTCGCAGACGAAGTTAAAGTAGTTGATAATTTCGTAAAAGGAAAACCACTACTGCTCTTAAAAACCGAACTTAATCAATCAGAAATCAAAATTCTTAAGAATAAGAATCGATATCAAACAAAAATTGAAAAAGATATGTCGCCGAATCTATTAATTCATTCGCCTGGTCAGCTACCAGATCCAATTGCAAACATTTGTAGCGTTCCTTTTGTGAAACCTATTCATCATGCGTTAACAAGAAACCAATTTAAAACCCCAAAATCGATACAAATGTACATGTGGCCAATATTAATGCGAACAATGAATGCTTGTATTATTAATAATCAGGATACGGGAAAAACAATGTGTTATTTGCCCGCTTTGTTATCATTTTTGATGCAAAAGGATGAACGTTATCCTTTTTTACCAAAGGAACCTAGTCCTATAGCTGTTATTCTTATGGACAGTATAAAAGGGGTAGAAAAAATATGCTATTCCTTAGATCGAATTTTAGATCAGACTAAAAAAAATTTTAATATAATGTCCTTAGTACCTCCAATGGATGATACATCTCTCAATAAACTAAAAAAGGCTGATTTAATCGTTTCAACCCCCATTATATTTACAAGAATCCTAATGAGTCGCATAATTAATTTAAAAAGATTATGTCATTTAGTTATTGAAAATATCGATAAAATCCTCGAGCAAACACCCCAAGAATTAACCAATATCGCTAAAGCAACACAAAGTATGTTAGAACATCGTATTTTTGTTAACACTGTCCATATGGTAATGACTTCAATAAAATGGACAATCCCATTGGAAAATTTTATAAAGAGTATGGAAAGCACTCCAGTTATTTGCATTGGATCCCATTTAGAAAGCGCTATTTACGCTAAAGCAAATATTGAAATACATTTTATTAAACAAGACGAAAAAAGAAAACGAATTGTTGCAATGTTAAAACAATATTCGAAAGACTTAAAAACAGTTATTGTTTGCAATAATGATGAAGAAGTTGACGAACTTGAGAGATATTTTCAAATAATGGGTATTAGTGTTATTTCATCTAAAAGAAGCTCGAATAAGGAAGAAATCGTGGAAAAAGAAATTTTATGGATGTCTACTCCTATGAATAATAATTCAGGTAAATGAGTAATAAAATTAGTATAGGTATCTTAGATAATTGGTTCTCTATGGAAAATTAGGCATTTTGATAACAATTAAAATTATTTATGGGAGTTACTACTGATGCAGCAAAGAAAGTAGTAGTACAATATTGCAGAATAATGATAAAAACAGACAGCTTGGTGTAAAACAGAAAGTACAACTTAAAAAGAAAGTTTTTCAAAAGTATGTGTAAAATAAAACATCGCAGAACTAGTTAAAGAAATAGTTACTCTCACAAAGGAGAGAACATGGAACAAGTTTGGTAAGAAGTTTGAACAACAAAGAAACAACAATCAGAAACTGTTTTTTCCGAGTTATTAAAAGTCTTACAGAGGTCAGGAAGGTTACTTTGAAGACAAGATAGATAATGCGGAAGTTATGAGGATATGGATATAACGTTTTGAACAACTACTACAGGCACAGAACTCAGTAGAAGAACAAAAAACACATGAAACAGAAAGGACTGAAGAGTATGAAAGTTCATTACTAAACAAGAAGTAATGCAATGAGAAGATTAAAGTTGGGAAGGGCAGATGGAAAACATTGCATCACAGCGGAAATAGTGAAAAATGCGGGAGAGAAGTCTGAAGAGAAGAAAAAGTACTACAAGGTTGGCAAGTAGTACACAAAAAAGGCGATATAAACAATTGCAGTAACTACAGAGGAGTTTCATTGTTAAGCATAGAACTAAATACATTTGAAAATATGCTAGAGAAGAGAAAAAATTAGAAAATATACAGCAACTTTTATAAATTACAGAAGTACAAATGTTCTGATTTAAGACCCTAAAAGTACAGAATTTTATGTAGATACTGTTAAGACTTTAAGAATTATAAAGATATGAAAGAAAAACAATAATTAATTCCCCATAATGAACCAATTATCTGAGACACTTGTATATATCACTATTTGATTTAATTTACTTACTAATTTTATTTATTTTTAGTTTTGATCTCTACATATTGCGTTTTGGAGAGCGAACTAAGCATAACGACCGCTCAAATTTTAATACATTACTCACTACCTGAAGAGTCTTGGTCATCATTTGGAAGAAGTTTCAAATCTGTAATAGACACCCATGATTCACCTTTTAACACGAAATTTAACCGATCAGAAGCAGTTAAAATTCACATTTTTGTCGATGAAAGTTGTAGTAAACAATTTCCAAGATTGTACTACTTTTTAAGAGAAATGAAAACCATTCTACCAGATAATTTTAAACAATTTTGCCAGGTAAATAAAATTGAATAGAAAATTCATTTTTGTACCTACATGTACTTTTTAGGAAGTGGAAAAAGACGAAGAATCGTTAAAGATTGAAAATAACGTTGCGATATGTGAACGTTTAAAATTGATGGGAGAGTGTAAAACGTTTCGTTGTAAGAAACGTCATTTATTCTCGGCGAAGTTGGATTTAACCGAAGACGTACCAAATGCGGGAATAATCAAATTTAAAGTGTTAAACGTTGCTGATGTTACCCGATTTGGTATAAAAGTATTAGAATGGTGGGGAACCGATAAAAATAAATTAAATGTACGCGATTATACGAATTTAGTTACAAAAGAACTCTATAAATGCGTGACGGCAAATAAAACGATGGTTACCGATGTACAGGTCGGTCGTTTATATGTATATTTTGACGCAAAAGAAGTAACATATCATCGATGCGTTGTACTAAAAATACTTACGAGACTAAAGATTACAAACGCTGCGGACAGAATTAAAATTAAATTAATCGATGACGGCGTTGAAAAGAAAGATGTCGGTGCAAGGGCACTTTTCGAATTAGCACCCGAATATTTGGATGTGCCACCGCAAAGTTTAGAAGGTATACTTGCGAATATAGTACCACTCGAACGAGACACAGAATGGAATTTCAGAAGTAAACTTAAAGCTGAAAAAATTCTAAATTCAGCTATAGAAAAATATCCAAACGCGTATTTTGTGGCGAAAATTGTGTTGCAAGTTGGCGAAACACTTTGGTTAGAAGATTTGTTGATGCGTGAAGATATTTCATCCTCGAAAGAAGTTGTAACCTTGCTTAGTTTTAAAAAGAAATTGTCTTCTTTGGATATTGTAGATGTTGATGAAAGTGTTTTGCAAAAATTGAAAGGAATTTGTGCAAAATCTGGATTGGATTTGCCATGTTATGATATTGACAATAGTGTTAAATCGACTACTAAATGTGTTCAACAAATTAAACCACAATGGGCTTATTTAGATACGCAACCTGACATTTTTAACGTTGTTTATTTTAGTCATGCATTTTCGCCTGAAAAATTTTATGTGAAATTGGAAAAATATTTCGATTTGTACGTATTTTAAAAAATACTTAATACATAATCATGATTAATTATTGATGTTTTAGATACTTACAATTGGAAGATGAAATTCAAGCGGCCATTAAAAAACCGTTTTATCCAGAAAATGAGCAAGTTATTGTCGGTAATTGTTACTTAGGAAAAGATTCCGGATCAACTGCTTATAATAGAGTTCTAATAACAGAAATCAATGATGAAATTGCGTCATGTTTCTTTGTTGATTTTGGAGATGTTGCAGAAATTCACATAAATGATTTGAAATATCTTTCAAATGAACATATTTCTAAACTTCCCTTTCAGGTAATTTTAACTTAAACTAACTAACAATAGCATAGAACAATGCCATACAATCTTGTCCTTCCTCTAGTCACGCTATAGTAAAGAAAGAAGCTTTGTTTACTTATATAGGAGGTCCATTTAACGTGAGACAAGCGATTATCTCGAAAACGGTTCATTTTACATAAAAATGAACCAAATGAAAGTTGTTCTGTGCGAAGGGGGAAAATCATATGACGACAACTTTTTGACCTGGACCTTATTTTCAAGGTCATATAAAGGTCACGACCAATTTTTTACTACTATTTCTGCATGCATTTCTTATCCGCTCTTTCATGTTTTCTGGCGTAGTCGGTAATTCGCGATAAAGATTATCCTTAAGGACGCCCCATAAAAAAAATCAAGAGATGCCCTACTTTAAAAAATGCCTGTAAACTGTTTGTTCATTGTATCGCATGATGAAAAAAAAATTTACTACTCGTGTAGCGACATCTAAACAATTCCGAAGTAATCACGGTTTGTCACAATCATAGATGTATGCTAATTCTTTCTTCATCCCAAAGGTGGCAATTGAAGTAGGTGTAGGAGCTGCGCCGGTATTGCAATCTGTTGTTTGGGGAATCCCCATATAAACTAAAATAAGCAGATTAGAGGTTATTTGTCTATGGTGTTGGTTAGTGTTGTGTAGGTACGGTGTTTCAGTCGGTTAACGACACAATTGTTAGTTTATTGCTGTGAACTGCACATTGATTCATTGATTTTGCGATGGATATACGGACTTTCTTTAGCAAAAAGCGAAGAGTTGAAGAGGAAATTGACCTCGATGAACCACATTCCTCAAAACAGATGCAAGCTCAAGATACAATTGCTACTTCTAATCCTATGGAACTCAGTATAGGTTTGGTGAAGCATGTTGGTAGTATTAGTCATGGTATTCCTTTTGATATTGCACAACTCGGAGGACCGATAAAGCAAGTTATTAGTTCAAGCGGAGTAGTTCTGGTGTAGTTCAAGCGATATAAATGGTTGCAGTATTCTGTGAAGAAAGATGCTGCGTTCATTGCCAGCAATTTTTGCCTCATGGTAGCAAACAAACTTCTTCTTACACTTCGACAGGTTTCAAAAACTGGAAAAACGCCACTGATGCAAAAACTGGTTTCCCAAAACACCAAAAATCAATTTCCCATACACAAGCCATGGCATAGGAAGACCATGGGAAGACAAACTACGTAGATTATCTACAACTACCAGTGTTGAAACGTTGTTAAATAGAAAAGTATTAGAAAAAAACCGGTATTACGTGAAATCTATTGTTGGAGTAATACAATTTCTAGTTGTCAACGAGTTAGCGTTGCGTGGACATTATATTTTGGAGGAAGAAAAAGAACAAGGATTATTTCAGAATTTGTTTGAATACACGTGCATGAAAGATCCGAATTTGAAGCAGGCTCTCAGACACATACCACAAAATGCAACGTATCGTTCACCTGAAATTCAAAATTAAATAATTCAAGCAATGGTTCAAGAAGTACGAAGTAGAAGTAAAGATATTAAGGAATCTGACGTGAACTGGTTTACTCTAATGGAAGATGGGACGAGAGATAAAAATAACTGCGAAAATATTGCAATAGCAATACGTTACGTTAAAGGTGGAATCGTCAATGAGTCGTTGCTGACAGTTACAACTACTGAAAACCTTGATGCAGCCACTTTTACGGAATTGACGTTAAATACCCTTAGAAAAAATAACATTGACCTCTCGCGTATGCTAAGCCAATGCTATGACGGCGCAAGTGTAATGAGCGGAAAAGTTTCGGGAGTTGCGACCAGAATAGAAAACAAATTGAGCCAAAAAGTTCCTTACGTCCATTACTATAACCATCGCCTGCATTTGATAGTCATCAGGACTATATCGGAAATGAATTTCAATCATTATTTTTTGACCAATGCGTCATGTTACATGAATTCTTTCACCATGGAAAAATAGCTGCTTTGTATGGTGGAAAAAGGATTGGCCGGCTCCTCGAGCAGCGTTGATCACGACACTTGGCGGTTACAAAAGTTGTAAACGATAATTATTCAGCGATTTTGACGACTTTAGATGAAATTAAAAATGACAGATTTAACGGCGATGATGTCGCCAAGAGTGTCGATATTAAAAAGGTCATGCTCAGTTTGGAATTCCGAATGGCTATGGTTGTGGCCAAAATAATCTTATTCACGCTTCAGCCTGCAGACGCAGCTTTACAAGCCCCGAGCGCAGGATTAAAAGACGCCATAAAAATCATAAAATGCGTCCAATATGAAATAACGAAACTGAGATCAGATGATAGGTATCATCAAATTTTGGAAGAAATTTTGTCATAGACTTATGACAAGCGACGATTCCGAAAATAGGACCCACACCCAGAAGAGGCAAGTCAAAAAATCTAATCGTATGTATGATTACTTGATGTATGGTCCTTCCTGTTCCTGCGCGAGACAAAATATAGAAGACCAGAACGATCAGCCATTTAAATCTGAGTATTTTGAATCGTTGGACATACTAATAGCTGAATTACAAAGAAGATTAAAGAAGAGAAAACTATGTTGCTACTATTGTTTATTTATGTCCAATTCACAATTTTACCTAATTTTTCAGGTCTAACAATTCCATCAAGGGAAGAAGCTGCTGTGGCCTTCAAAGATACTTATGAATTGTTTGCATCTGTGGCGACCATAGGATGCAGCACTGCTGTGTGTGAATCTACATTTTCAACTTTGACTGCAATCAATAGGCCTCAGAGGCTGTCAATGGGTCAAGAAAGAATGGCAGGCATGGTATTTCTTGCTTTTGAAAAAAAAAGAACAAGCATTTTTTACAATATGGCGAATTTTATGTAACATGAACCGTTTTGGAGATAATCGCTTGTCTCACGTTAAATGGACCAATCTGTATATCCATTTCCCTTGCATTTAATCTCCTGCAGTGCTATGAGTGTCCTGTAGCCATCCTTCATGGCTGGAGCACTGTTCTCACATTCCAAAATTCCAAGTGCATACTCTCAATATTTTACATTAATGTAGTATAAATATATATTTTTACATTATGTATTATTTTTGAATATTTTTTAGGCTATTGAATGTGAATTATATGGAATACTACCAATAACCGAAACTTGGCAAAAAGAATCTTCAGATGTTCTTTATAAATACTGCTTCCTACCCGACACAGATATTTTCCGCGATTTGTTAGTAAACGTAATCGATTCAAAATCAACGAATTACTCTACAAAGTATTCAGTAGCTTTATTGGATAATTACGATAATAAACAGACATTTATCAACAAGATTTTAATTGATTGCGGATTTGCAATTGATAATAAAACGGCAAAACTTGAAGACGTTATTTTACCATCCCTTAATTTCAATGAGGATGATGATCAGTTTTCAAGTGATGATGAGAATGAAAATATTGCTAATCAAAAGTACAATATCAGCGATGACGACATAAAAAAGATTGACGAGATTATACCGGATAAAAATGATGTGATTGAAGATGAGGACGAAATGTATGCAGATATCGATCGGTGTAGTTTTTTAAATGGTGGTTGGGATTTTTGTTGTACAGATTTTCGAACGTTTATGAAAGAAATAACTCAAAATAGTAGAGTTAAACCAACACCCAAAAAAACATCAACATCTCAAGATTCGAATTTTTATATTCCTATTAAAGCTGCATCCCAAAATTTTTACGCCCCTCAATTGCTTTGGTATCAAACCAAAACGCAAATTTTTTTGGATATCCAACTAGAGAATGTCGAAAACTTCACAGCTTTAGTGCTTAAGAAAAAAGTTTTCGTTTTTAAAACGATTTTAAACGAAAAGGAATATGTTTTGAATTTATCGCTTTTTAATAACGTTAGTAATCTCATTAAAAAAGATAATAACGGACGGAGTGTTAAGGTGGTATTAACTAAAATTGAGGAAAAAGAATGGGATAAGTTGGTGGACACAAATGAAAAAATGAGGAATATTAAATATGATTTTAATAAACTTAAAGACGAGGAAATTAAAAAGAGAAAATTTTTGGATTTAGGTCTTGATGACGATGACGAGAGCGATGAAAATTTACCATTGTATTATAATTTAAGTTCTGAAGAATCTGATTCGGATTCAGAAAATTGTGATGACGTTAGATAAAAAGTTGTTAAGAATTCTCAATATTTTAAGAAAAAAAAGGTGTTATGGTAAATAGTTTAGTTTTTCATTTGTACACAATCTTTATTCATACATAATAAAGAAAAAAAAAACTTAAATTATCTCAAAATTTTCTTCATTATCTTATTAACTCCTGAATTGATTTAACACATTTTACAGTCATCATAGATTTACAACTCCTCATAATTACCCCTCTTTTAGCATTATCCTCGTTACTACAGCTCCTTTTCGATCTGTAAGCGCATTCCGGTCGATTTGGAAGTGTAAAATTGGGGGGTCGATCTAAATAATGACCTGCCAGTCCAATTTCGCTTCTTAGCCACGGATCTTGACCGATCCTACATGGAAATAAAAAAATAAAGAAACGGCTTTTAGTGTGTGATTGGAACTTTTTTGGTTCATTACCACATCAAAAAATCCGGTATGGTCTCTCTCATGTAATATTTAAATAAAACGACTGTTAAGGGAATCGAACTAACGATCAATAAGGTCATTAAAAGTAGCGTGTAAACAGTTTTTTTGAAATAAATTGAATCTGGATCACCATTTTCGCTTACATAATGTTCCAAAGAGGAATTTGCCATTTTGAAACCTTTTATTACCACTAACCACATACGGACGATGTAAAAATAAGTCCAATGGAAACCTAATTCCTAAAAAATAAATATAAAATAAACGATTTTTTTGATAAATAAAACTTACTCGATATATTCTTAATCTTGTCGGTGTGAATCTAGTGTTTCGTTTATGAAAAATTTGATAAATCAACGAGAAGGAACCGACCAAAAAGATGATACTGGGTAACAAGGTGATTGTTCTAGAATCGAATTGGGATGCTTGTTGCATTTCTTGGACGAATTTCGAATGGTAGCGGTAGATCGTTTTTAAAATCTTCATTTCGACATTGTTTTCTATGGGATGGCCACAAATTTATTTACATAATTCCATTTGGATGAGATTTTAGTTTTGATTTAACCACGAAATTTTGAGTATGGATGTTGGAGTTGGGTCGAATGAAAATTTTGCGTGTAATCTTGACAAATTTGACTATTCTATCATTTTTGGAAATTTGAAGTTTAAATTGTCAAGTGGGAATAAGATTATAAATGTCAACAAGTATTTTTGAATTAAGAATTTACAATCCCGCAAGTATTTCACATTAGTTTGTTAAGGAATGTCGCCTAAACTTAAACTTCCAGTATACGCGTCTAGACAGTCGCGCTTTCCAGTATACGCGCGGACTCTATGTTCGCAATTGAAAATAGAAAGGATTCTCTGGCAAAAGATGGCGTTAGTTAGAAATTATTAAACTTAAAATTTATTATTCGAATTATAAGCTCAGATATTTGCGGAGCAACTAAAATTAAAGCTAACACTAGACTTAGGCTGATGAGCAACTAGATTATAGCATATTTGTATAAAATATATCGAAAAATCAGTATTTACAAAAAAAATTTTAATAGGTTAAGAGTAGTGGTGGAACAGATATCCGGCAGCTATCCGGTATCCGGCCAATTTTTAAAATACTGCCGGATACCGGATAGTTACCAAATATAGTACTCCATCATTCACAGGAATTAGTATCTCTTTTAAATGTTGGACGCTGCAAATAATAATCAAGTTCAACCCCTATAGGACATTTTTCATTGAATACAACTTTATTTATATCAGATTTTGTCATTAGCAACCTCATTGTAACAATCCCAATACGATATATAAAATTTCTTGTTGCAGTTTCGTATAGTTTTCTTCTTTTCGCTTGTAATTTATCATCCCATTCATTACTAACAGAACTGTCGTTGTTATCACTTTCGATTATTAATTAAAGTATCCTCTTTTTAATGCAACAAGCCGTTTTGAAAAATCGCTTTTAGTTTTTGAGAAATAAATTTTTGAAATGATCGACAATTTTTACGAATTTTGCAATTTTCGCCGATTAAGTTTTAAAAATTTGTATAAAATCCAGTTCATGGAATATGAGTATGAAAATTTCCCAAAGTGTTAATGAAAGTGCCTTCTTTCCAATGAACAAACCCGTTTTGAAAAATAGTTTTTAGTTTTTGAGAAAACAATATTTGAAGTTTTGATAAAATTTTCGATGTTACAATTTCCATCGATAAGTTTTAAAATTCGCTATAAAATTCATTTCTTGAAGGATCCTTGTGGAAATATCACTAATTATTAATTAAAGTATCCTCTTTTTAATGCAAAAAGCCGTTTTGAAAAATCACTTTTAGTTTCTGAGAAATAAATTTTTGAAATGATCGACAATTTTTTCGAATTTAACAATTTTCGCCGATTAAGTTTTAAATATTCGTATAAAATACATTTCTTGGAATATGAGTATGAAAATTTCCCAAAGTATTAATAAGAGTGTCCTCTTTCCAATGAACCGACACATTTTGAAAAATAACTTTTAGTTTTTGAGAAAACAATATTTGAAGTTTTGATAACATTTTCGAGGTTGCAATTTTCTTCGATAAGTTACAAAATTCGCTATAAAATTCATTTCTTGAAGGATCCTTGTGGAAATATTACTAATTATTAATTAAAGTATCCTCTTTTTAATGCAATAACCAGTTTTGAAAAATCGCTTTTAGTTTTTGAGAATTAAATTTTTGAAATGATAGACAATTTTTCGAGTTTTGCAATTGTCGCCGATTAAGTTTTAAAAATTCGTATAAAATCCAGCTCATGGAATATGAGTATGAAAATTTCCCAAAATGTTAATAAGAGTGTCCTCTTTCCAATGCACCGACACATTTTGAAAAATAACTTTTAGTTTTTGAGAAAATAATACTTGAAGTTCTGATAAAATTTTCGATGTTGCAATTTTCATCGATAAGTTTCAAAATTCGCTATAAAATTCATTTCTTGAAGGATCTTTGTGGAAATATCACCAATTATAATTAATAATTGGTGATATTAAGTACCCTCTTTAATGCAAAAAGCCGTTTTGAAAAATCACAAAAATCGTCACTGACATATCTTATCAGCTTTCTTATTAATTTCATTTTTATTCAAATATCGCAATAATGTGGCAATGGAGGGTATCACTTCAGAAATGCACCAGAAATTATAATGGCATAATGGCCGGATAGATATACCGGATATCCGGCCGAAGGGGATGTCGAATATCCGGTATCCGGCTTTTCGCAAAATCGCTCTCCGTTCCATCACTAGTTAAGAGCCTTTTTGGCACACTATCATCACTTCGCTCATACTCGTAATCTTTGCAGCTTGATGAATTTCGAGATAGGGATTTCCTTGAACAGATGGTTAAGTTCCACGTTTTTCTCTTCCTGCTTATTCTTTGCGTTTTCTGTCATAAACCATGTCTCGCACCCATAGCACAGTACGCACAGTATACGTTTAATGAGGATAAACAAAATGAAACATTATATTTTTTGTGGGATAACGGAGTTATCCTTGAATTTCAAACTAAAACACATTTCTACATTACAACATTACACAGCAAAATTCGCGCTACTTTGGAAATTGGAAAAAAGCAACTATTTCAGAAAAATATGTTTAATTAACTTTTGTTTTTAAACCTTACAATTAAACCAATTTTAATTTACATTTTTTCTATAAATAGTCCGACCATTCCAAGGTTGTCGATTTCTAATATTAAGTTTGAGACTTGGGTACTTTTTATACAACATTCGAAATCTTCGAAGTTGATCGGTATTAACAGGCTGTGATTGCGAAGATATTATCCACGTAACGACTTCTGCACATGGTGGATATGTTATTGAACCTTTATATAAAAAATAACTATCAAAGCTGGACATTAACCAACTTATTGGGAACGGTGCAATTTTGAAACGTTTATATTTCGGATGAATTGAAAATGAAGGCACGTGGAAGGCGATTAGTTCTAATCCTGCTGTGCCTTTTTTATTATTAAGCTAGATTTTAAAAATTATTAAAGTAAGCTTAAATTTTTTGTTTAAAACGTTACCTTGAATAATGTCGAATAAATAAAGATTCCATTCTCATGCTTCAGACTTTCTTCAAAGTTTTTATACTCTTTGTTTATATGAACTAATTGTACCTCCATGTTGTAAGTTTCATCATCAATTGTATGCTCGGAACCTTCGATAAATTCACCCCAATGAAGGACAATATGATTTATTTTATAAGTTCCATTTAATATGTTACCTTGAACGCTTGGTATTGATTTTTTACCATAATTAAGAGCAATATGTACTGGAATATGTCGTTAAAAAAAGTATGACTCTCCAACCTTGTTACATAAATAATAATTTTTCTTACATGAATTGCTTTTTACAATGAGATGCATTTTTTTTGGATAACTATAATAATTTTCTGAGAAATGAATGTTTTTAGACCAACTCAACTTTTTCGTTTTGCTGGAATTTATTTTTATTGGTGATTGTCTTCTTCCGTAACATGTTCCGGTTGTTTCTCTATGATGGCTTTCTCCTAAATATTGTTTTAAACCATAGTAAGTATCCTACCTTGATAAATTATTATGTAAACTCACTTTTTACGTCCTTATTTTCTAAATAGTTTACGATTTTCTTTCCATGCTGGTGACTTTTTACAAGGACTTTTTTGTGTTTTGAATCAACACAAAGATACACTAAAAAATGCTTATTATTATTGAGTGAATTACTATTTAATACAGATATCACAATTTTATATACATAAATTATTACGATATTATTATTTATAATAATAAAGATTGTTTGATGGGTTGAGTTGCTTCAATTATTTGGGAAATCCGGAAATGTCACTTTATCTTCACAATTTACATGATTTAGATTAACAATTTAAACAAGAGATTAAAAATCTATGAAAATATAAAAAAGTTTTATACTTACAAAATAAATAAATTAAAAGTCTTCGCAGTGAAATCATAACAATAAATCTACTAGCAAAATAATAAATTACTTAAAGAATAAATTTTACAATGATTTTATTCTTCAATTATTATTAAGTGAACAAAATTGAATTTTCGAAATTAATAAATATTTGTGCAGTGAACGGTAATTGAAGAATACTACTCCACAAATACTACGAACTGCGTAGATAACACTTTATAACATTTAATATAATATTAATGTTTTCACCGTAAAACTATTTTAACGATAGTACAATTTCCTTTGGCATTGGTTTAACATAGTTTCAATATTAATTAGTGTAAAAAGTACCGGTATTTACTATTTCTTTGTTTTGAAAATAACGTAAACTTTTTATAAAGTATATTGTAGAAATAACCAAAACAAGTTTGTAAAATAGGCGATTGAATTTTTTATTTATAAGTAAGTGGGTTGGTCAGCATACCAGAATCGTTATCTATCTTCTTGTATATTATTTAAAAAGCGCCCACCCTCATTTGAGGCTTATTTCTTCTTATTGTCTCAATATAGATAAGATGTTTGCTTCTCAGCTCTTCAACCTAATCAATTAATCGGCGCAAGCCTGCGTCATCACTCGCTTTCAGGTTTTGAGTCTTTGTCGTCTAGATCTTGATGCATGGACATGGAATATGGATGATATTTCTGTAATTTCAGCATTTTCCAGACACTGATTCGATATTTCTCCGACACTCGCATGTTTATTATGAGAGATAAGTAACTTAATGAGAATTAGATTCCTAAGCGAATTGTAAGGTTGAAATTTGTAAGGAAGGTAATTTCAAAAATTATTATTTTTAATTTAAAATGTGCAATAAAACTTCATTGAAACGTTCCATTTGTAAGTCACGTGTCCGACCTTAAAAATAATTCTTCCTGTCCGCACCTTAATACACTTAACACATTAATAAGGGATGAAGGATTATGTGTCTTTAGGTATCAAATTACCTTCCGACGTATAACATTTGGTTTCTATCATCATTCGCCTTTACGACTTCCCTATTTCTATCCGTTCAACCAAAAATTTAAAAAATACCAAGAATTTTTATTGTTACTTAACTATTACTTTTAACAATTTATACAAGAAATTTTAGTAACTCTTCTCAAAATTTTTGTTTACGTATTATATCAGACCTTCGAAGACCTTTAAAACAAAAATAACTAAATACATGTATTATATTTGTTTTGTTAGGATTAAGAGGGTTGCTCTTCCTAAAAACTGTGAAAAAATACTACTCATTGTACACAAAACACAATAAATAAAGTCATTGGGTATGTTTAAAAATAGACACGAAATGAGAAGGAGGGTTTCCCTTTTAAAAGATTCCTCTCCCTCGCGATTGGTTGGGAACGATGATCCTAGCAATAAATTTCAGGCGGTCCCAATGTGATCCAACCTCTTTCGCCAAAATAGAAAACCTCGCCTTTCACAACTTCAAAATCATCGCTTCAGTTTCAGTTTTTCAATGAACGTCAAAAGTTAAATACCAATTTTTTTAAATTATTGTGAATAAGTTATGCCACGGAAACGTCGAATAAGTGATGCAATCGATTCGGATGATGATTTAGATGATTCAAAACATCCACAAAGGAACGCTGCAAACGCAAGGGAACGAGCAAGAATGAGGGTCTTAAGTAAAGCTTTTTGTCGATTGAAAACGACTTTACCATGGGTTCCTGCGGATACAAAACTTTCAAAATTAGATACTTTACGTTTAGCAACTAGCTATATTGCTTATTTAAGAGCGGTACTTATGGATCAACCAGTAAATACCGATCAAGTTCATAAACATCCATTAGCTTTGGTAAGTTTGTTATTAAGAAAATATTTTCTTCGCTGTAAAAAATATTACCATTGTTTCTAGTATAAGATTAATTAGTGTAACTCTTATTTATTAAAATATTCTTCTTCCACACAAAAAACGTCATCATCATATCGATAACATTTTTATTATCTCGCATATACGAAGTATATAAATAGAAAGTATTGTAATTCTGCAAAAACAAATACGACCTCGACATCTTGATTGATCTCTACGATTTCAAATCCACCAAATCCATTTTAACTATATTTAGCATTGTATCAACTTTAAGCTTACATCCGTCAACCGGAACTAACACTTAATCTGAACACATGTCGATATTGTTCCATAGAGATGTTCCATAAGTAACTATTTGACTTTAGGACATCATTTATCATATAAGAAAAGTTAATGCTCAAAATACAAATACATGCGTTTTCTGAGAATTAATTCTTCTAAAAAACACTTTTTCAACCAGTTGTTGAGGTACAAAATTAGTGCAATATCCTGTTAGATAAATTCTGTCTTAATGTACAATTCCAAGATTGTCAAACTAAAAATAATCAAGCTGTTGCAACTAAATAACATTTAAAAACCACAAATGATAAATTTAGCTTGAAACGTGTTGTGTCCATACGGTTTTTGTAGAAAAGAAAAGGAAAACGTCGGTTAAATAAACGGATGAAGTGGCGCCGTTTCGATGCGATTGATAAACAACTAGAGAGGAAGACAAATGTTTCCATCTGGTGAGATATTTTTCTAATTTTTTAAGAATCATATCTTTTTCTTTTAAACTTAGGTAATAAATCCTAAAATTAGGAAGTTAGTCTCTTACAGACTATCGGATCATGAAATATATATCATACAAAATCAATATGTATCATTCAACCACCTATGCGAAGTTAGCCCCCAATTAGAGGAGATTTTATATGCATAGTATTTTGATTATAACAAGAGAATCTCTCAATAATCCTTAACCTTAATCCTTAACCTTCGTACTGGTTAAGGATTAAGCTTTCGAATGAGATATTGTTCGCTAAAAATCGATTGAGAGATTCTGGAAGTGAAAACGCTAAATATTGTGAAAGCACACGAAAATAACACAAAAATTACCTTTCTTAGATGGTTATAACTCGTAAATGATGTATTTGATTATCAAGTTCTACACGTCATTCAATTCGCCATAGTTTCTTCTATCGAAATCACAAAATGCCTAATCTCAATTATTTCCCGTTAACCTTGTACAGCCTTCAGAACACTATGTCCTGAGGGCCCGAAAGTCTAGTCCCGAATAAGACAAAAATAATTTAGATTAAATTGACTATAACTAAAGAACGGTTTGACGAATTTTAATGTTTTATATCTCAATTAAAAACTTGGGTCTGGTAGAATGCGAATGACGAAATGTCCGATTCGAAATATTTAACAACTTTGATTAAAATACTAACTAATCAAACACTTAAATTATCTCCTTTATTAATTAATCAAGTTTAGTCATCAAGATATTGATCGAATGTATGATTCATAATGAACACGAAGGTGGAAATGCCCGATCTCAAAGTTCGCTACAACTTTAATATTAAAAGTCTTTTTCTAAAACGTTCCGAATCCCGTGCTTTACCAACAATGAGATATAAAACCATGATCTCATCTAATTTATATTCCTATTCGAACTTTTCTCGATGTTTATCTATCTGTGAGCAAAAGTGTAAAACAACAATATTGTTAAGAATAAAGTTTGTTGTATTAAAACTTTTCGTTCCGAATTGCGCTATTCTTGTGCTCCTCAACAAAATGTGAAACCACGATTTCATCTAATTTTCACCTTTCCGAACTTATCCCGATATTGATGCATCTTAGAGAAAAAGTATAAAATAATATTGTTGAGAATAAACTTTGCTACAACTCTTATACAAAAACTTATTTTCTAAAACGTTCCGAATCCATACGAGAATTTCTTCGTGATTTTACACCTCATTTTTTCTTATACTTATAATCATCAAACTATTAATTTAATTAATCTCGGCGTTTATTACTATATTTTCTCTTTATATTATTTATCTTTATATATACTTTGTATACATATACCAAAAATTGAGATAATATCAAATTTGGCTATTAAAATAAGAATAAAACAAACATTATCATTAAGTATGAAATTAGTACGTTAAATAATAAAGTATGTAATAAAGTATTGAATGTAATACAGTAATTCTATGCAATTGTATGCATACAATCAGTACGTTACATTGAATTATTGTAAAAGCCACAATTACATATTTTTATAAGATATGTTTGTGGTTCTTCTCCACAAGGTACTGTTGGATCAAAAAAACTAGATAATTGTTACCATATTTTCAACAGAGATGTTACTATGTAGAAGCAAGACAAAAGAAGTAATTTCCATTTTTAATTTGTTTTGGTTTGGCTCTGTATCTGATTTTGGTATTAGATCAGTTGGTGTACCAATAGATCTCATGGTCTAAGGCCTAAGGTGTATTGTTTATAGTGATTATTACTTTCGTAGTTATTAAGGTCTTTTGGTTGAGATGACAAAGATTTCCAAAACAAATGTTATATTTCAAGCCACCATTGTACGCTAATCTATGGTGTTTAATTTCCAAAAAATATGCTGCATGTCATCTAGTACACAAAATTCCCTCACCTCATTAATGATTGCTTCTTTAACCATCTTTTTAATTAAAATAAAAATTAATTCTGACACAAATTAACTAAGGTTGAAAACTTAGGACTTTGGAAAACTCAAACTGATGAAATGAACAGCTTAGAATTCAACCTGACAAATAGAAAATTGAAGCGTACAATTATATAGAGAAGGGTGAAGACCAGAAAACTCGATCTTGACGTTGATCTCTTCGCTCTCACGGAGAAGATTACGCGGTTTGATCTTGACGTTGAATGTTTTTTAAGGTTGAGGTCATGGTTATTAACTCTCCATCCTCGAAGAGATTCCAGGTCAGGGTCACTGCATACAAGATGTTCTTTTTGACTTACTCAAGCTTTGCAAAACTCTATGTAAATGTATACTGCTGACGTCATGTGCCGTTTTATATCGTTAGACTACGGTATGGTATAATAGCAACATGCTTTCTTTAAAAACATCCAAATGTTAAGTAGTTTCATTTGCGGGTAAATGTGAATACATAAATATAAATAATAATCTGATCGACCATAATTATATGTTGAACAACCATCACTTACATCGTGTTAAAGAGATTAAGGTAATGAGCGGCGTAATTTGATATTGGATATACCATTTTTTTTCTCCACATTTATAAAGACTTTGTTGACTCGCCCTGACAAGGTTTCTTAGCTACTGAGCAACTGTGGTATTGCTCAGTTGTATGGTCTTCTTCGTAAATAATTGACATCACTTTGATTAGAAATATAGATAGAAGATTTCGTTCAGTACTTCTTCTTCTTCTTAATCGGAGTTGCTCTCCAGAGCATTTCTCCATTCATCCCTGTTCTCAACCACCTTGAATGTACGCGCTAGACTTTGATGACCAGGCTTCCCGTCTACTTGAGGGTGGTGCCACAGTCCACGCGACCCTTACGGTCGATCCGATACCTTACGGGGGAAGCCATTATCCCATCCCTACCTTCTAATTAAACCTACAATCTCCGTCCTAAGACCCCTTATCCACGCATAAGGAACTGGAGCCCCTTTGCGTTTACCATGCCACAAGAACATTCATGAATTTTGATTTTGGTGACGTTGAGTATTTACATTATCTTAATTATAGTTATTGTTCTCTACTTGGAGCAAGTGCTATGACGAATTCCAGTCACTGAAAAATAATTTAATGCATCTGTCTTCTATATGAATGGAGTTCTTTTGAGATCTTTTAAACATTGGCCTAAGCTTTCCAATATATTTTTTGATAGACGTATATGACAACGTTTTATAACTTCTGCTTCTGCAAGTTACCAGCACTTTTTGCATTTTCTTTTTTATATAGTTTGTTTAGTTTTATTTATTTATTATCCACTTATTATGTTATATTATGAAGTTAAATAAATATAAATAAGTATAATTTGAATCATAGATTCCGTCTCAAAGCAGACGATATTATTCCGCACTTGTAGGCTTACTTATGATTTTTGAAAAAGTGTGTTTACATATGATATTGTCTTTATTTATATGAAATATGTTATATTAATTTTTTTTTTAATCTAATTTCTATTTAGACATGGCCGTTTAGTTTTCAAAGAAGTGATTCACCAACAATAATGCAAGGAAATAACGTAGTTACTGACAGGGATACATCAAATAGCTGGGTTTCCATAGGAAATGAATCTTCCATGACCGGGATGCAAAATACGCCCTTAAATCCAACCAGAGAGAAGGACGTGTCGTATTACTACTAATTTGTTTGCGTAGAGAAGTTTGCGTCAAGGGTCGCCGCCGCACCTCCTTCAATTTTTTGTGTCTTCGTATCGGTATGTTTTCACAAGCCATTAACTAGGAAGGACGTTTCCTTTTACCCCGCTGACAGCTATTTTTACGCCTCTTTCAAAGCGAAATGCGACGACCTACGATGTCCAATTAGCATATATACAATTTTCGACAGGCCTAAATTCTACCACAATTTTTTTTTGTATTTTCTTTGTATACTAATGTTATTAAAAGAAAACAGGATGTTAAGTGAATGTGTTGACAAAATTTAATTTGATTTATTCCTATTTTCAGTACTAATTAATAAGAAACGTAGTGTTAAAATTTGCCAAAACATTTATGAAATGTACTGTATGTAAAATTTGATATAATCTTTTTTTTAATTTATTATTATCGTATAATGTATTTATGAAAGTCAAAAATAAAATGATGTGTGATATTTATAATTTTTTTTTCGCTGTTAAACCTCTCCATGTTTACTTTGTAATAATATAGGAGGTTAAGAAAATAAAGGCATTCCTTTATTTTTATGTTTTATAAAAACTGCAAGGTTAAAAAATAAATATTTATTAAAGGTAAAAATTGTTCAAGGCCCCGTTTATAAACAATCTTCTATTTCAGAAAACAACTTAATTTGTTTAAATATTTAAAAAATTAAACAAATTTAAAAAAAACTTTTTAAATAAGTGATAAAAAATAATAAAGTTGATATACAAAAATTATTGTCTAATATTGACAATTTAAAAGTGGCTGTCTTTTAAATTGCCATTTTTGTAATAACAAAAAGAAACAGACGTATTTTTAATTATAGAGTGTCTCCACAACTTTCGAAAGTTTAGCTTAGCTGCATCAAAGTTTAGCTTCATAAAGTCATGAAAAATATTTAATATAAACTTTTTGCTCATTACTTTAGTCTCAATGACATTGATCCAGTTTACTCGCAAATTTACTTAAATAAATCTTTAATCGCTGACGAGTAACAAGTAATATAAGTGTGAAAGCTTTCACGGAAGATGTTAATTGAACTAAACCTAGAACTAACACTATCACTAGAATTAACACTAGACATAGAACTAGAAACTTTCGGGATAAGCCGTTTGTCTTTTGAAAAAGTGTTAGGCGTTTCAGATGCCATGTTGGAACCTTCTTCAGAAACAAATTTGAAGTTTTCTGAAGAAGGTTGCAACATGGCATCCTAAACATCAAAAATTTGTTCAAAAGACTCATTGCTTAACCTGACAACTTCTAGGTCTAGTGATAGTGTTAGTGTCAGTCCTAGTTGTTAATTAAGATTTTGACGATTTTCACAATTTAAAACTGTTAAAAGAATTTTTAATTTAAGATATTTTTAATACGACAGTGTGAAGACACCACGATTACAAATTTTGATTCTTTGAAGACACAATGGCTGTTGTAACCTTCAAAGTTTGATTTTAAACAATTTTAGTTTTGGATGTATGTAAGTGTACGCTATCTTTGAATTCTTCAATTGGTCTCATCTTTTGTATTTATGATTGTTTTATAGTCCGCAAATATTCATTTTATTTATTACAATAGGAGTTTTCTTCTAATACTTATACAAATATTTAAAGCCTAACACGTACAGCAGTAATTTTGTATATATACATTTTTTAGGTTATCATCGCTTAAGTGTAATGTTGATTTAATTATAAAATTTCTATAAAAAAACTTAATTAATTACAAGGGCAAGAACAAGCCAGGTCCATTTTTATGCAAATTTATGTAATATCATAATTATTAATTAAATTTGTCGTAAAATTGGGCTTGGTCTATTTCCGTGTTAGACCCTTCATTTAAAGAAATAAATACGAAAATCCCGTGAAAATATGGCTGGTATTTTCTAGGATTTTTAAATTAAATAGTTTTTAAACTAACCATTCAAATGTTGTTTGAAGCTTTTTATTTGGCGGTCACACTTCGGCCCCTCCACAATAAGTTAATGTACTGTTTTCTGATGAATGTTCCGGTTTCCACATCATTTTCCATCGCTATAAGAAAAAAAATTTTTTTTTTCACATATTACACCCTGGTTAGAAGTGTAAAAAGCAAACTTGACACAGTTTACGATACGAGTAGTTAAAATATTTTTAGTTACCTGTAATACACTTCCTGGTGTTATTATAAACTTGTATACAATATAAGCAGGAATACAAATGATGGAAGAAGCAGTTAAAGCCCAACCGACTTTAAAACTCCATTCGGGATATTCGACTCCTGATCCTAACATTTCGTGGTGACTTAAAAGGGAGAAGATAAAAATAACGAGAATGAAGATTGGGCTAATGTAATTCCAGCATATTCTCCAAAACAAACCGGGGCGATGTCCGATCATCTTCTCAATATCTCTTGCAAAATTGTCCGTTCCATATATCCAACATACTCCAGCAGCTTCCACAAAAACCACAAACAAAATCGCCAAACCTGGACCGTAAACGTTTAACATATTTACTAAATACACTCCACCCTAAAAATGTTCCTAGGTAGAATAAAAAATTCTTTTTTTGCTAAAATTATAATTTAGAACAATGACCAAATGTAGTAAAATGTAAAATATTGAATTTCGTCACTTATGAAATGAAGAGAATTTTTTAAACAACATTAGAGGTCATTGTTAGAAATTATCATGTTGTTTTCTTTTAATATTGTCTATTTACATAAGTAGTTGTAGGAAGTCCACAAATATAAATTCCCAAAAGTAAAACACCAACAAAAATTTCTCTGTGTCGTCCTAAAAACTTTGGATATTCATCGCATAATGCAGTAATCATCGCTTCAAGTCCACCGAAAGTGCTATCCAATCCCAAGGTAATCAACATTAAAAAGAAAATTATCGCCCAAAAATTCGATCCGGTCATTGTAGCTATAGCTTCCGGGTAAACGACAAAAACCAAACCGGGACCTTCTATACCAACATCTTCTATAGATTTATTCTGTTCTTTCGCCATATAACCAAGTACAGAAAATATAACAAAACCCGCCAAAAAACTTGTTAAACAGTTAATCGTACTAGTTAAAATAGCATCTCGGTAACAGTTATTATGGAATTGATTGTAACTGGAAAGTGCTAGAAGCGTTCCGAATCCTGGTCCAAGAGAAAAGAAGATTTGCGATGCAGCGTCTATCCAGACTTTTGATTTCAGTAGTTGGTGCCATTGGGGTTTTAAATAATATCGGATTCCCTCTTCTGCTCCCGGAAGTGTCACTCCGCGAACTAATAAGATTATTAGAACTACGTATGGTGCTAGAGCAGTTATCCAAACTGCTTTTCCAGTACTTTTTACACCTTTCCACAGTGAAAAATAAACAAGAATGAACACTGCGAAGACGCAAACTGCTAAAGCTGGTTTTATTGGTCCAATTCTATCCAAACCCATTGAGTTCTGCTGTTCTAAGACTTCACGTCTGAAATTTGAAAAAAGATGAAGTTATTATAATTTTCAAAATATTTTTTTAAGTTTAAATATCATTTCAATGTGTAAGTTCTATATTATTGACTTGTTTTCCAATTAATTCTAATCAAGTTGTATGATATTGGTGCTTGTATATAAGTTGTTTACAACAACATATTAAATATAATGTTTATTTTTTGGTTTGTAAAGTTTAGAACCCCATGTTTATAAAAAAACTTATTATTTTGACATGTACTATATCTTGACAACCTTTACTTACTCAAAAAATTCCTTGGCTGGGCTTGTTGCATTCCCTATTTGTTCCTTAACAGATCTACAAGTAGGAGTGTTCCATGGATTTCCACAGCTTGTCCAAGGTAATGTTGATTGAAATGAAGCTATTAAATAATAAACAGCCCATCCTATTATTGTATTGTAATACATTCCCATATAAAGATCAATTAGACAAATTGCATAACCAACACCTAAAATTAAAAAAAGAAAACGTGAAAAGTAAAATTATTGTGATAAAAATTGCGATGCTAAACATTTTATTAGTGTATCATATTGTTTCAACTTATTTCCGACCACAGTCCCAAGCTTGTAGATGGCAGTATAAAGGTTTTTGTGACTCGTTGCTGTATATATCTTGTAGCTTAGCCGAAAGCAACGATCAAGTATGGAAAAGAGGAAGTTGATAGACTCGGTTGTTTCCTCGGCGTCTGTAAAGCGTGAAGCAGGGTATTGGAGATTAAATAACATGTACAGAAGTTGACAAGAATGCAGAGACAAATATTGCTATGAATCACCGGTGCATACAGAACTGTCTCCTCGGAAGCACTATTAGTAATAGCAAACTCACCCCCAATTGAATTAATGGCTAAAAAGAGAATGTCCACGTGGACAGCAAAAAAGGAATGGACTGCCATACAGGAGAGGAAATAATGGAGAAGTGGAGCAAACGATGCGCTAAGGACACGGGAAAGGTTCGTTGGATGAAAAGAATAATCCCCGAAATAACAACATGGATAACTCGTCGTTGTGGGGAATCAAATTTCTGAACGGACATGGTTGCTTCAGAGCCTATCTCTGTATACCAAAGAGAAGTGGTAACGAAACGTGGAATAAATTTCTTTCTATTGTATAAAGAGGAGGGACAGACGAAAGGAAATCTGGGAGAAATTGGGAATCACTCTAATGCCAGAAATCTGTATTACCACCTTATTGGATAGTGAAGAGAAGTGGAAAACCGTGGAAGAATTCGTGAGGGAGGTCGTAATAATGACGGAAATGGAGGAGAGGTTATTGCAGAACGATGGGACAGCTATGCTAGATGGCGGTGGAGAGGAAGAGGGAGATTTCTTAATAAAGACCCTGCTCCCCAGGTGCGGTATGAGATTTTTAGCAAATATAAACATGTGATAGTTATGTTTTTTCTTTTGCAATGAGAGCAACGCAATGCAGCCGTGTGAGATGGGATTGCGTGTGATAAGTCTCCTGACGGTGAAGGAGAAGGGGGGAGCCTTCCTTTTTTTTGCTCTGAGGCCCACATATAGATATTTCAGATTTTGATTCATGATTTTGTTGGCGATCGACGCAAAACGGCTTCACGATCGTCGGTTTGGACACTACTGGTATATGACATCTAGCAACATAAAAGTATAATGGAGTCAAGTGACAGTATGTCATCCGATGCAGCGCTTTCCCAGGGCGGTCCAGAAAAGACGCTTACCTCGCTTTCCGCCGGATTTTTTGTGTGTCGGGATGACAATTATGGGTCCCAACCTCACACCATCCGGTCGCTCAGGATCCAAGGTCGTGTGTCTGTTAACAGATTTTCTCCGATCTCGTAAAAAAGGGTTGGGTTGGGTTTAGCCAAGGAGGCTCACATCTTGGGGGCACACATGTTTCTCCTTCCTTCTCTGGCATATTATTATTCCAACCCTGACACTATTAGTGATGGAGGGCTAGGGGTCACATAACCCTTTCCCAACTTTTATATTGCCTGGGCTGGCTTGCTATGACGGACTTGATTGTTAATAATAGTACACGATGACCGATGGCCAGGAGAGAGAGTTGGGGAGTATCTGGCTTTGCCAGGCTGATGTGTGCCCAGCACTACCGAAGCTAATCTCGACGGTTGGTCAGAAACCAGCCACTTTGGACCTTGGTCAGAAAGTGTGTGATGGATGCGACGTGGTGGATGGGGTCCACTCCGTGCGTATTTTTCCGGAGTGGTGAGCGATGGTTAGACCTCGGGGAACTGGGGCAGAAAGATATTACTTTCGAGGGTACACCCGCTTCTGGCTTATCGGCACGTCTCTTCACATATGATGCACTGGAAAGGAGTTTTTGGAAAGTGTGAATAAAATCAAAATAGAAAACAAGGAAGGCAGCAAAAGAAGAAGCATAGCGAGACTGTGTTAGAAAAAGAAAAGAAGGAGGAAGAAGCTTTGTTGGCATGTTGACTTTATACTAGTGACTACACTTGCACAATAACGGTACTGATGTAATTTACAACTGAAATGCATACAAACGCTGCCAAACCAAAACGGCATAAACGACATCTACTTGATTTTTCAGAAAACACAAAAAACTTTCATCACGTAGTCATGAAAGCGTAAACTTTTAACCAATATTATAGCTATTCATTATGCCACTTTAACTGTTGGATGCAAATTTAAAAATTTTGAGGTGTATTCAAAGGTGTCCTAAGTAAAAGGTAACCATTTTGGCGTTTATGCCCTTTTTGCTTGGCAGCGTCGACATATTCTAAGGAAAAACAATAAAACGGACTACGTCAATTGCTAAACTGGCTTAACCGTATTGTAATATAAGCACCGTATAATTTTACGAGCACTTCCAAACAATTTATTCCCAAGGCCTTGAATTTCAAAATCTAAAAGTTGTATTTCTAGAAACTACTAAAGTGCTGTTAAAAAAACCATAAACACTTGTATATTAGCAACTCTATAAAATAAAAATTTTCTTTTTCTCCCAACGACGTTTCAGGGATTAAACATTTTCCCCATCTGGAGAAGAGTCCCTTTTTTCTTTCAAAAACAATCACGATAGTGTTCCACGACGATTTGAAATTGTAATCCAAGTGGAATAAACGGTAGATGGTAAATAACGAGGAACCTCTCCAGCATCTCATACATATCATGGGAATTCTTTTCAACGATTACTACCGCGCAACGTAGAGCGAAGATAAAGAGTGACGTCCTAATGAATTGAACATGAAGAAAAGGTTAAGGAGTGAAAAAGAAATAACTAAAAGGTTTTCGCTGTCGTTTTCAGTCGACTATCTCGATCGAAATTCCTTCTGCAAGTTTCGCCATTAAGTTAACCTCGAGATTTATCCAACTTTTTTCAAGTTAACTTCGAAAACATACCGCGGCCAGGTGATGGCGCGTTCTGCTTGTTTTAATTAAGATTCCTGAAAAGTTTTGTTACGAGGAACAAGCGGAAACCATTAAAACGATCGTTAGAAGTGGGTTTGTTGGGGTTTCGGTATCTTTTTAAAGATTAACTAATTAAATTTTGAACTTAGGCGTGTTTCAATCCCCGTAAAACAATTTTAGTTCATAAAAAAATTTTATTATGAAATGAAAGAATGCAATTTTAAACCGTAATTATCTTTTTTCGCTCATCATTTTTCTTTTATACCATTTTTTTAAACAGTTCCGGTTCATTTTATTAAAATTACGTTCCTAGCACTTCTTTTCGTGTTTTACATTTACCGTTTAAAATTAAATAAAAAAAAGAGTTAAAAGAAATGTATTAAAATCTTTTCTTTTAATTAATCTTTCTCTGTTACCACCACCTTTATTTTTTGTCTTTCTTTGAAAAATCCTTTGAATTAATCCCAGATACAAGAATCGCAAAAAGAAATTCTTTTTGACATTCAATAAAAAAACAGGTCAATTTTCTTTTTAATGCCGACAGTTTCGTTACTGTTGGCCCCGTTTTAAATGAGTAAATGGGGGATTTTGACAAACAATAGGCTCCATTTCCGCAAACAAAACTGTCTCCGTTCGCGACCGATTCGACCACGAGGGGAAACGGAAGGGACGGGGTTGGTGGGAATTGTGAGTGATTGTTGACTACTCGGAAGGTAAGCGACGAAGCGATCTCGGGAAAACTGGCGTCTTCAGGGGCTTTTCAGGGAAATCCTCGATTATTGCCGGAACTGAAGCGCGAGGCGTCCGTTTTGTTCGGGGAAAATCGGTCGGGAAATCCGCGGAAATACCCTTAGGAGAAAAGAGGAACTCTTTGTTTTCATGTTAACGAAAAAAAGATCCTTCCTGTTTAAATCCTTTTTCTTAAAAAATAAGAAAAAAGATATTTTTAAAATTTTATTTCTCAACAGAAATTAAACCTTTCACATTACATATTAAGTTTACTAATTTTCTATTTAGACTTTTTATTAAGAACGATGATAAATACTACTTCAAGATGTTTTATTTGTATTAGCTTACCTTTTAAAGCAGGACATATCCGTTTCCAAATTGTTAAGCAACCACTTCTGTGGAATTGTCCAAGTGCTAACTCCATATAGAAGAGAGGTAGGCCTCCAAAGATGAGCATAAGAGTGTATGGAATAAGAAACGCACCTAAAAAATTAAAATCAATATAAATTTTATTAATTATAGTTGTTATGCGGAAAATATCCCAATATTTATTGATAAAGATCAAAACAAGGAAATATATTTTAGAATAGAATCGATTTCGATATAATTTAATACAAAGATAGAATTGACCAAATAATTTATACATTTCAAAATATTCGTTACAAATCTTTACTCATTATCCACAAATAGTGCATCCAGTTCCGATATTTGGTCTCGAAACAGTTAACGCACTTGGAAAGTGTGTCTTAGATTAAGTGCAGTTTGTACTTAAATAGTCTTCTGCGCAATTATCCTCCGTGGAAAAAGTTTGTTATTACTGCTTCACTTTCATTTGGTATCTCGTAGATTATGGTGATATCCTCTGATCTATTAAAGATAGCATCAGCATATACAATGACATTCTAATATGTACTTTATCGTTGGAGTTCTTTCGAGATTTTGACTTACTTACTATAATTTTGAAATTTCTTTCCTTTAGGTCATTGTGAATGTCTTCCGCAGGTGTTGGGAGATCCAAATTTCTGATCTTCATTTGTATGCTAACATCACGCTTATGTCTTTTGTTTTCCTATGTATGCCATTCAATACTAAATTTATTTATTGCAGCTTTAACTTGATTGTTATTCATCTTATAGTCGACACTTGACAGCCTTCCAATGTTCTTTTTCCAACTTGTCCCATTAATATATTCAAAGCTAAACATTTTTTGACTTCGGTTATCGTTGTATCTTGCCACTACTAAGTGTTCTTTACACAGTTATATATAAACTACATATTTTTTTGAAAAAAAAACCACTTCACCACTTTTGAAATGTTTTCTGCATTTCTTGGTAACACTATAAAAACTTAACACTTAAAACAATGAAATAATTTTGAACCCACATAATATTGAATATTGAAATTGTCAAAGAGTAAAGGATTTTAAAACTATTGATTGAAACATTTACAATATAAAGTAATTATGTGTTGGCCCGGAAGAGATCCTTTTAACTTTAACCACTTGAAACGCGTTCCAATTCAGAATGAATTCAAGTGAAGAGAGGGCGCTCGAGTCTTATAGAAAAAAAGCTGCGATAAACACTTTACTCTTTCAATTTCAGAGTATGTACAGAAGCTTTCAGAGAGTAAGAAGTACGCTTCCAATTAACCCAATACCCTGCAGACGTCTCGGATTTGCCGATTCGAAGAGATAAGATCGAGAAACGTTCATTAGCTCCCTATTCAAGTCACGGTAAACTCGACGCGGCGACAAATAACGCTATTAAGTTGGGTGTGAAAGGGTTGTTTTGTTAAAACTTACCTCCTCCGTTCTGGTAACAGATATAAGGAAACCTCCATACGTTCCCCAAATCCACAGCGAAACCCACCACAGCCAAAAGAAACTCCACCTTTTTGTTCCATTGTTCTCTTTGACGATCCGGAGTTAGTGCCACTACGACCACTCTTGTACAATCGCGGGTTGGTTTTTGTACCATTTTTGTATCCTTCTTTGTTCCCAACGTGGGGTTTGTTTTCTCGCCAGGTTTATTATCCATTTTTGCGTCATTTACGGGCGGTGGCGGTTTTGCGTTTTCTCCATTACTTGTACAATTTTCACCTTTTCCGTCCATGGCCATATCCATGTTTTTTTCTAAATAATATAAATTTTTACAATAAAAAATTTTACATTATAAAAAGAAAAAAAATAACGATACAGAAATTATCTTTGAGTCAAGCTAACATAAATAATAAATATGTTGCTCATAATGAAATTATTTTGGTTTATTATCTTTATTGAGTGTTGAAAACCATATTGTCCCATTACGCTATCCCTAGTATTTGTTTTATTTTCAATTAGGATTTCTGGCGGTATTGATTAAAGTAAATAGACAAACTAGATAATAAATGAGAATAGTTTTATTCATTTCCAAATTACATTAAACTATTGTCGATTTTTTATTTTTAATTATATCTGACTAGTAATAAAAAATTTTGATAAATTATTTTTGGATAAGTTTTGAATTCTTCTAACATATGTCTCAATAATAAATAACAAATACATTTTAGCAATAGATTACTATTAGGAAACTACTATTAACCACCCTATCTTCTAAAAATCTTGTCGTTATGATGACATACGCTAAGAAATATGATTAAGAGAGGAAGAATAACATTGAGCAAATATGATATTGTTCCACGGTGTAACTAGCATAAGTAAAAAGTGACCATTTTAGAGTTTATGCCATTTTGCCTTGGCAGCATCGATTTATCGTAATCAAAATTTAAGTTAGTTTTATGAACTATCTCACTTCGGTATTTTTATTTTTGTATTTTCTATTTCTCTTCTAGTTTTTATAAGTCGAACTAATAAATAACTCGTGATTGTAAATGGACAAATATTGTTCATTTACTTTATTTAACCTCACCCACAGATTTTAAAGGATATGCATATTTTAAATTTTATAGTGCATTTTAAGCGCTTAAACTAATATTTTTGGAGCATATTTTTGGTTTTCGTAATAGTTTTATTTTTTTTTTATTTATAGAAACTTTTGATATTATTTTATACTTATTTTAATTTATTTATAAGCTATTTCATCTAGGCGTCAGTAATGTCTTACGTAATACTTGAATTAAGCTTGCATTGTAAATAATTAAACCGATGCTTTGAATCTTTGCATTCACGTTTAGATTTACAAGACCTGTTAAACCGAATTTTTTATTTTATATGAATCCTTTATTCCCACGTTATCTGTTGAAACTACTACCAATCTTATTTTTTATATCATTTTAACAAGATCTAATATCAAAATTTCTCTTTAAAGCTCGGTTGTGATCACGACGCTACAAAAAGAAAGAAAAAAACTCGACAACATTGTTGGAATGTGTGTTTAAGACATCTCGCCATTAACAAAATTGGTTCGTTTCCATTAAGAATTCGACGAAATGAACAAATCACAAAACTTTAGAAATGTTGTCAGCTTCATTGCTTGTTATGTTTTCTATTTTAGTTTGCTGTTGAAACAATAAAGGTTATTTTCAATAAAAAGTGGAATTTTATTATGCGGAGATATTCGTAAATGCGGTTAACAGCACAATGTATACTGTGCATACAGTTTGTTGCGGCTTCATGTACATATATAGATAATCTATAAGCTAAAATACGATCGATGATTCAAAAAAAAAAATCAAACAAAGCGGTAATTCTTTTTGTACGTGCCTCTTTTTTGTGTTGTTTCGAGGGAGAGCCCGTGGGGTTTTAATTTGGTAAATGGAAGTGGGTAATCCGATACTCTTTAATTAGGGATCGAAGCATTGATGCCATCATCAAAAAAATCATTAATATTCTTAATTGTGGTCCATTTAACGTATAAAACGTCAATAAAACAAAAATTATCGGAAAATTAAGAACTTATTAAAAACAAGTGTAGTCTATAAATAGTGTTGATGATTGTAATTACACGCAGTGTGACATCGTTAACTTAGCGTGGAAGTTGGTCTCGTCGGTAACGGTCAATTTCACGAGACGTCAGTGTTAAAGCAACCATGTAAATGAACACGAACCGCGTGATTACGACCCTTGACAAATGGCCGGACACGACCACAAAGGGACACGGTTCAGCGAAATTCCATACGAACCAAGCCGTAAATGTTATCGGGATTTCAGTCAAAACGTTCCACCCTCTTATCTTTTGAACCCAGTTGTTCCAGTTACCATCATAAGATATTTGCAAATTAATTCATCCACACTACAATCAACACGTTATTTCAGCTATCATCAACAACAGTTTTGAAAATTTACTAACACGTTAATATTAGGGTACTTGTGAAAACGATATTAATAGAGAACCAGAAATTTGAAGTAACTCATACATAGTATTGCATTGTTCAAATTTAAAACAAATTGATTTTCCAACGAATGATATAGTCTAAGTATCTCTCTATCAAAAAATAATAGTACCAAGAGAAATTCGCTTTAAAAAAGATAATGGTTAGATTTTTGTCCAGTTAAGCATAAAAACGTCATCTGTATGGATTGTGTCCTTTCTGCATTACATGGTGTTCTCTAGTGAGTAATGGGTGAAGTGGTTGAAGTATCAACAGCTGTGAGGTTTAAGTTTATGAAGAAATATATGCCAAATACTGTAAAAGTAACCTTCCATAAAAATTAAGTTATCTCTTTCGATATACAAGAAACTATGTACGCCTTAATAGATAATAATAAGTGATAAGCAAGTTGTAGATTCTGATATTGAAGGCGGTTCTGACACGGATGATTATTTTTTTATTTTAGAGTCATCAACTAGCTTCCCATCTAATCGTGCAAAACGCAATGATGCTGATGATATGCTTTGATGATGGCTGAATAGGTAATCTAAATTTTTGAAGCAAATGAACAAAATCAACAAGTATCTGGTGAGGAGTTTGAGGTTCTAATTAACTTAATACAGGTACTACAAGTATTACTGATACAGATTCACCATCTTCAATACTTTATTTTATTAAAAATTGATCGATATTTAAGAAAATCGAGAAATGACAGCTCAAAGATGCCAAAGAAAGGAGAACGCAACTTCGATAAATTATGCAAGATAATACCCTTGATGAAAATATTGAATATGAGTTTTATAGCGACTTTCAGCCCGAAAGAAGTTTATAACTGGATGAAAGTATGGTTGCAACTAAACTGAATTGGTAAGACTTTTATAATTTTCTACATATGACGTTAAAAAAGAGAGTGTGAAGGATGATCGACTGCCCTTCGAAAAATCTAGGGGGTGGAACATATAATTTTAAAAGTTGCGCGTGTCAGGTTCCCCAAATTAATATAATAAAATCTGAACAACCAATATTTGATTGTTATGCTAAAATTGGGCTAAGAAAGCTTCAACAGGTTGGGTATGAAAAAAGTTTTGAAGGATTTGGTAGTGTGTCGCTATTTATATCTGATTATAATGAAAATAGGGAGGACGTGGAAATCTTATTTGTACGAGAACATTGTGGCCACAAACCGATGGCCCCATAGTTGATCACAAGAAATTATTAACCTCAGTTAACTATTGTTGACTTCACCTAGGAGAAGTATACTTCTCTGTACTAGATACAACACAAATATCATATTATATATAAGTTTCGCACCTTTTAACATTCGAAATTTTAACTGGTCGAAAAAACAACCAAGAAAAAGTTATCTACAGTTTCAAATTCGCAACATTTATCTTTTTTGTGTCTCTTTTTCATACTTTTGCATTAAATTATGACTTTCTGATTTATTATTATTTCCCATACAAAGGATTAATGTATTTCGTGCTTTAATTTGCTGTTCTCCATTGTTTTTTGAAACTTATTGTGAAATCTATTTTTGAAGATAGAGCGCATAAAATGTTTAGATAGGCTTAAGACTGGTATGATACAAAAATTCTTGGGAAACACCTATAGGTTATTCTAAAGGACGCTATTAATCTCTGTAGCAAGTATGTGGTTGTTTGAGATGGTTCTTTAAAGTTTCCTTGATTTCTTTTAATTTTGATTTCAATTATGTTAAAGTGCATGAACAAAGTTTCCATCCAAAAACAGTTGATTCAGTTGATAGATTAACTTTCGTTTCAATTTTTAATACTAGTCAGTAGTAAAAATGTAGATGATACTCAAACAAAATGACTTTTGAATTAAAAGTACACATATTTCAATAACATTAATAAAAATTATACCGTTACTTGAAGATTTTAGAGCCATGCAAGTGGACACACATATTGCAGAAAACAATAACAAGTGTGACTATTGCAGAAACGTTCAAAAGTACTATAAATAGTGTAAATGGTTATTTGATTCTATAATTCATATAGAGAAAGTCATCACTGATCTAACCACTTATTATGGCTTAACAATTCGAAGAATCACCGCATCTGTGCCAATAATTAAAAATGAAATATGGGCTGCATTTTACCATAATAGTTCAACAGATAACAATCCTCAACACTGTTATTATCTCCCTAGGTAAGATAGGTGGTGTAAATGGTTCCAAGCAGAAACGAATAATAATTTAAACAATTTTAAGCACAAGACACTACCACTTTATTCTTTTTCAGATTTAACATCAGAGGATTTACTGGAACGCTGTTTAGGAGAAAACACCGAGAATAGCAATGAAAGTCTTAATTTGCACATTTAGACGTACCTATATTCTAAACCATCTGCATTCTGGACCAAAGAAGTTCAGTTTGCAACGCATCTAACAGTTTGAATTTTTGAAAAAAATTTCGATATTCAATATAGTTTAGCGGAAAATCGCGTTATAGTAGGATGCGGTTATGTTGAAAACGGCTGAGTGGATTTTAACGCGGTTTTAACCAATGGTAAATGGTAAATATATGGTAAATAATTGCATTTGTCGAATACCGTTATTTGTTTATCAAAGTTATGCCTCCCTAATTTTTAGAGCAATTTACGCGAATTGCCATGCCGGGAGAGGGGGTATAGCATTTTTTTCAAAGAAATTAAGTTCTAACCAGGTCAAATATTCCACTTTTGATAGGGAATTATCAATCTATTCAACCATAAAGCATTTCAAAAATTTTTTACATGAAAAGCAATTTACTATATTCACTGACCACAAGCCGCTAGTAACAGCATTCTTTTCAAAATCAGAGAAATCGCCTAGACAGACAAGATATATTAACTATGTTGTAAAATGTATTTCCCAAATTACTTATGTAAAAGGAAAACATAACGTTGTTTCAGACACTCGTTCTAGAATGAATATAACCTGTTTGAATTCTGAATACCCATTAGAATCATTAATTAAAGAGGCATAAGATTCAGATATAGAGTTGAAACATAATTTCGTCTACTATCCGTGCAAAAAGTCAAGGCCCCTCACTTTAGAGATCGATATCTTCGTAACCGCTCGATGGAAAAAATTGAGGTAAAGTTTATTGTAATCAGTGAACATTTCTGCGTATCACATGTTAATTTGGAAATTTTCGGGTCCCCGGTTTTTCTTTTATCGCACTTAAATGAAAAAAGTACTCGATTTTTGAGAGTGCCAGCAACTTGGTCTACTTTGTGATTTTTTTTTCTCCTTAACTATTTGACGAAAAATAGTCAAATTTGAACTGGTGGTAAACCAATGTGTTCTTAATGTGGCGCATATTTTATATTTTCGATATTCCATATAGTTTCGCGGAAAATCGCTGTTTAGTAGGATGCGGTTATTTCGAAAACAACCTGGCGGATTTCAACGTGGTTTTTACTAAAATATGTCAAACAATGGCGGTTGTCGGATTCCGTTATCGGTTTTTCAAAATTAGCCATGCGGGGTGAGGAGGGTTCCGTCCAGAATAGATGGTGCGTCCCAGACAGTACGTCGCGCCTTTATCTTACCTACAGAAAGAAATAAGGCGCGACGTCCTGTCTGGGACACACAATCTGTTTGTAATTCCATTAAATCGGTCTTAAAAAATTAGAGAGCTCTAAATTTGAAAAACTGATAACGGAATTCGACAACCGACATTATTTGACATATTTTGGTCAAATTCGCGAGGAAATCCACCCAGCCGTTTTCGATATAATGGCGTCTTACTGAACCGCGATTTTCCGCAAAACTGTATGGAATATCGAAAAAATAAAATATGCCACTCATTAAGAACACATCAGGCTACCAACTGTTTAAAAATCTAATTTTTTAGTACGATAGTTTTCGAGAAAAAAATCGCAAAGTTTACAAAGTTGCCGGTACCGTAAAAAATCGGGTACTTTTTTCATTTAACTCGCGATAAAAACAAAACCGTGGATCCGAATTTTCAAATTAACATATGTTACGTAGAATTGTTCAGTAATTACAACAAACTTTGTCGCAATTTCTTTTATCGAGCTATTGCGAAGATATCGATCTCTAAAGTGAGGAGGCCTTGACTTTTTGCACGGATAGTAATCGGAAAAGATAGTGCGTTCCAGACAGGACGTCGCGTCTTTGGTTTACCTACGTAAAGAAATAAAGGCGCGACGTCCAGTCTGGAACACACACCAGTATCATCTTTTTTCTCAAAAATCGGGTACTTTTTTCATTTAACTCGCGATAAAAAGAAAATCGCAGAATCGAAAATTTTCAAATTCACATATTATGTTACGTAAAAATGATTAGTCAACTAGCGGTATCGANCTGACCACAAGCCGCTAGTAACAGCATTCTTTTCAAAATCAGAGAAATCGCCTAGACAGACAAGATATATTAACTATGTTGTAAAATGTATTTCCCAAATTACTTATGTAAAAGGAAAACATAACGTTGTTTCAGACACTCGTTCTAGAATGAATATAACCTGTTTGAATTCTGAATACCCATTAGAATCATTAATTAAAGAGGCATAAGATTCAGATATAGAGTTGAAACATAATTTCGTCTACTATCCGTGCAAAAAGTCAAGGCCCCTCACTTTAGAGATCGATATCTTCGTAACCGCTCGATGGAAAAAATTGAGGTAAAGTTTATTGTAATCAGTGAACATTTCTGCGTATCACATGTTAATTTGGAAATTTTCGGGTCCGCGGTTTTTCTTTTATCGCTACTTAAATGAAAAAAGTACTCGATTTTTGAGAGTGCCAGCAACTTTGTCTACTTTGCGATTTTTTTTCTCCAAAACTAGTTGACGAAAAAATTTCTAATTTGAACTGGTGGTAAACCGATGTCTTCTTAATGTGGGGCATATTTTATTTTTTCGATATTCCATATAGTTTCGCGGAAAATCGCAGTTTAGTAGGATGCGGTTATTTCGAAAACAACCTGGCGGATTTCAACGTGGTTTTTACTAAAATATGTCAAATAATGGCGGTTGTCGGATTCCGTTATCGGTTTTTCAAAATTAGCCATGCGGGGTGAGGAGGGTTCCGTCTAATCAGAACAGATGGTGTGTCCCAGACAGTACGTCGCGCCTTTATCTTACCTACAGAAAGAAATAAGGCGCGACGTCCTATCTGGGACACACAATCTGTTTGTAATTCCATTAAATCGCTCTTCAAAAATTAGGGAGCTAATTTTGAAAAAGTGATAACGGAATCCGACAACCGACATTATTTGACATATTTTAATCAAATCCGCGAGGAAATCCACCCAGCCGTTTTCGACATAATGCCGTCTTACTAAACCGGGGTTTTTCCGCGAAACTGTTGGAATATGAATAAAATAAAATATGCCACTCATTCAGAACACATCAGGATACCAACTGTTTAAAAATCCAATTTTTTAGTACGATAGTCTTCGAGAAAAAAAATCGCAAAGTTGACAAAGTTGCCGGTACAGTAAAAAATCGGGTACTTTTTTCATTTAACCAGCGATAAAAAGAAAACCGTGGATCCGAATTTTCAAATTAACATATGTTACGTAGAAATGTTCAGTGATTACAACAAACTTTGTCGCAATTTTTTTTATCGAGCTGTTGCGAAGATATCGATCTATAAAGTGAGGGGCCTTGACTTTTTGCACGGATAGTAATCGGAAACGATAATGCGTTCCAGACAGGACGTCGCGTGTTTGTTTTACCTACGGAAAGAAATAAAGACGCGACGCCCAGTCTGGAACACACACCAGTATCATCTTTTTTCTCAAAAATCGGGTACTTTTTTCATTTAACTCGCGATAAAAAGAAAATCGCAGAATCGAAAATTTTCAAATTCACATATTATGTTACGTAAAAATGATTAGTCAACTAGCGGTATCGAAGATATCACATGCGGGTTTAGTCGCATTAAGAGACGCACGGGTAAACCCGAATGCTTCTAGTTCGAGGTCAAGTGCTAGTGTTAGTTCTAATTTTAATTGTTTCCCAGCGCTAGATTATTGTATATTTTTATTTAACTCAAAGTGGAACTAGCACTAGACCTAGATCTAGAAACATTCGAGTTTAGTGGTCTTAAGAGATGCACGAGTAAACTCGATAAAGATTTTTCTTTTATATTATTAACCTTATTAAGTCTCAAACTAACATTACAAAGCACGAATAGAATAAATTAAGCATTTACTAATGAATGCTTCAAAGTGTGAAATAATGATTTTTTTCGAAACGTTATGTGTCAATAATGGGAAATGGCTAAACCGATTTTAACGCGATTTGAATTTTTAATACTTCATTTTCCTTGAAGTTGAATGCTGAAAACGAAATTTTGTTTCCTAAATTTATAGAGCGATTTACAATTATGATACAGGTCGTAGCGTGCTGAAGCCTGAAGGCGATCTGTATCAAAATTATTAGGATGATTATTATTATTCATTATTAGTTATATGTTCAAAAAACTTATGAATAGTAAACCTAAAAAAAAAGTTTTAGCAGAAAACCCTCTTTATCACCACCTTGCATTTTATGACACCACGCTCACAAAAATGATACACCTTTTAAACGAAAGGAAGCTGTCGTCGTCGACAGACAACCTCTTAAAACGATGGCAATAGAACACGTTTCCGAAGGAAAACGAGGGGGAGACAAAGTTTTTCTTTCCCCTCGCCCCCAACAACGCAACGCAACGAAAGAGAAAAAATAAGATCTTTACGATCAGCGTTTTTCGTCAACGTTAGTTTTATCTCGGCTACGTGATGACACCTAAAAATTCGCTTTCTCTCTATATGTTTGTAGGTATATAAAAATCTCTACCCGCTTTGTCAATGCTTTACGATTGAATCTTTACTGCGGGTTAAACCGATTTTATCTTTAACATTTTTTTTTGTCAACGCAGCAAAAAGTTTAAAAATTACTTATTTAAATACATATTTCGTTTTCACGGAAAACCGGCAATAATTTACATATATTGTCTCCTCTCCCCGTTGTTATGAACGTGATTGTGGATTTTAAAGCCCCTTTTCACGCGCTACTGAGCCTTTTGTCGGTTCTGCCGCGATTTGCGAGATGATTAGTAAAGTTTTTTCTTTCGCGCACGAATTTTCCTCAAAGGAAAAAAATAAAAAAGGGATGATTAATATTTTGACGCGTTTAATTAAAAGAATGGAAAAAAGCGACAATGATGTATTATTTAATTGTCCTTGAATAACACAAATGTTTTTTAAAACGTTACATACTATTTCATTATTTCATACAGCAGAATAATTTAACGCAATTATTTTCAAAGTATCCTAAAATTGTTGGAAACTCTTTTCAGTTCCATGAAAAACTTAAAAAGATATCATCAATAATTTTTTTCAAGAAATTGTACAATGCATGCTTTTTCTTGTTAAATTGTGTTTCCAGAAACTTTTTGTGGGACACAAATATTTAAATGAAAAATACTTGAAAGCGTTTTGAAATAAAAATAAGCTGGGATTAATATTTAATTTTAATTCACTTAATTTAGGTAAAAGCAAAAATAATTCAACCGTAGTTAACACGAGTATAGTGACGTAAATGCTTACCTTTTCAAAGCGTCATCGGCAGCTTTGGCGGTCCGTGAGGTGGCAGCATGCTCGTCGGCGCGTAAACGCGGGGGATCGGACGAGCGCCCGCTGATCCTCCTTCTGCTGCTGGTACTCTGCTGTTAGCGGCAGTGACGTCCTCCGGGTCTACTATGCCTCTTTCCTTCCTTCCTTTCACCGTCCAGGCCGTTGGAAATCTGAACGGATCACGCGCTCGCACGCGGATTTCTATACCCTGTGTATTTCGAGGCGCCCCCATGGCACCTGCGCTACTCACGTCACCTCCACCATTTCTTTTTTACTGCTTTAAATGTACTCTTCTAACTTAAAGAAAGAAAAACTTTTTAATTAAAATAACTTTATTATTCCATGAAATGTTTAATGACTAAATAAAAGAATTTATTGGAAATTCATAAAATGTGGCGTTGGACAAACTTAAATATGTTGAACATCATGTGAACTTCAATATTTATTTATGCATCATGACGGAAAAACCACGAGTAGTATTTGGACACATGTAGCTGAATCACAAATAAAGAAATTTGTGTTGTTCTTCACTTGTATGGCTCATATTGGAGTAAAATTGAGATTTTAAAAGCCGTGGATTTAACTAAAGCATTCAAAGGATTATGATCACTATTGATTTGAACTAGTGATGGAACGGCTAGTGATTTTGCGAAACGCCGGATACCGGATATCCGGCATATCTATCCGGCCATTATGGTTATAATTTCTGTTTCATTTCTGAAGTGAAAAATGAAATTAATAAGAAAGCTGATGAGATATGTCAACTTATTTGGATCCAAGATACAAAATAAACTTTTTTGATGCTGATTTAACTAACGAAGCAACTCTAAAAAGAGGATACTTTAAAAATTCGCGATATTTCCACAAGGATTCTTCAAGAAATTTTATATTCACGGAATTTTATAGCGAATTTTGAAAGTTATCGATGAAAATTGCAGCATCGAAAATTTTATCAAAACTTCAAATATTGTTTTCTCAAAAACTAAAAGTTATTTTTCAAAATGTGTTGGTTCATTGGAAAGAGGACACTTTTATTAACACTTTGGAAAATTTTCATACTCATATTCCAAGAAGTGAATTTTANCGTAATGACCAAGTTCTATAACATTTTACACCAAATAATAAATATCTAAACACCTAGTATTTCCTACCTTTACTGATTGCAAGATTCCAAGACAAAATTTGTGTGAGTATCATGTGGCATACTGCTTAAATAAATTGTACAGCGGAAGTATGGAGCAATTGTATAAATATTATTTGATGATTTTCTTTCCATTTTATGTCTAATATAAAATTCGTTTTTGCACTTAAATGGATTTTTATTTTATTTTTTCTCAACCGGTTTCGCTATACATTTACAGCATCTTCAGGAGATTACGTCATTTTGTACAAACGTGTCCTATAAAATGGGTCATTTGGTATTTCTTTTTATATTTGTTTTATAGAATCACACAGAGAACGTTGTAGAACTATGATTGAAGAGGATTAAAAATTGTGTTAAGAATTGATGTCATGCGAGCACATGTGCTCCTGAAGATGCTGTAAATGTATAGCGAAACCGGTTGAGAAAAAATAAAATAAAAATCCATTTAAGTGCAAAAACGAATTTTATATTAGACATAAAATGGAAAGAAAATCATCAAATAATATTTATACAATTGCTCCATACTTCCGCTGTACAATTTATTTAAGCAGTATGCCACATGATACTCACACAAATTTTGTCTTGGAATCTTGCAATCAGTAAAGGTAGGAAATACTAGGTGTTTAGATATTTATTATTTGGTGTAAAATGTTATAGAACTTGGTCATTACGACTTCTTATGATGGTGTGAATCAATTAGGTAGTTTCTGACAGTGATAATTACATTAAAAATGAATGTACAGGACATAATTTAGTTTTGTAAACAACAAAATAACGTATTTTTAGTTAAGAAAGGTCCAAATCATTGGTTTTGATAACTTCTTTAATGTTGTTTATGTATTTTTTAACATGTTTTTCATATTTCTTGTGGTGTATATTTTAACGCTTCTGGTTTATGTTGTATATCAAATTTAATCGACAAAAACATGTTTAAAAGCAAATAGTTTGAGAGCGCGATGTGTTCTCTTTCAATATCACATTGTTATATTTTACATAAAAATAAGTAAAAACAATAAATAAAAATATAATTTATTTCATGCTATCCTCTCAAATATTGACGTGAATAATTAATTATTGAAAATTGTGAAATGAAATTTTATACTTCGAAAAAATGTTATTGTAATTAATTTTATAGCCAGACTACACAGTAAGAGGACACAGTCACTACACAGCAAGAGGACATCACTTTGAGCTATTACTACTATGAGGTAGTGATAAGACTCGACGTTAGCACCATGGCTACTTTTGACCTCTATTGTGCCAGAGTGGTATCTTGCATCAACAATGAAATGATCTATCATGTTGACTCTATAGTCATGTTAGAACAGCCACGTTTCCATGTAGATGTCTTTGTAGTCAAACCCTATAATATTAGCATGTCTTCCATAAACATCTTTTCAGGGTAGCACGAAATAACTATTCCCTATTTCCAGAAATGATTTTTAAACATTTTTTATTAATAAACTTGTTTCCAGAAATTAATCATTATCGATTATTGACCATTATGTAATGGGACCATTTTTGTTACCTGCACATACTCTGAATCCAGAATTACTTGAAACCATCTCACTTAACATTCGAAGAAATATTACTTTTAAGCATGATGGTATGCCAGCATACTTTGGATTAAATTAATGAAAATATGTAAATGCACAATTTTTAAAAAGATGGATTGGAGGAGGAAGACCGATTTTTTGGCCTGCACGTGCGCTGGATATGACTGAAGTTAACTTTTGTATTTGGGGTCATATTAAACCACTGGGCTATGAGACACCTGTTAATAACTTCGAATTTTTATAAAGTTTAATGCAGTATTATTTCTAATAAAATCTTCCTTAAGTTAACTAATCTTGTTGTTACACCAAGATATTTCTGGACACTATTATCCGTGCTAAACGAATCCCTCACTTTAGAGATCGATATCTTCGCAACCGTTTGATGAAAAAATAGCGGTACAGTTTGTTGTAATTACTGAACATTTCTACGTAAGATATGTGAAATTGAAAATGTTCGGCTAAGCGGTTTCCTTTTTATAGTGAGTAAAATGAAAAAGTACCCGATTTTTGAGGGTGTAACTTTGTTCACTTTACGATTTTTTTTCTCAAAAACTATCCGACGAATAAAATTTCAAATCTGAACAGGGGGTAGAATGATGTGTTCTTTCAATATTCCCTATACTTCACGGTTTAGTAAGATGTGGTGAATTTTAACGCGTTTTTAACCAAAATATGTCAAATAATTGCATTTGTCGAATCCCGTTATCTGTTTATCAAAGTTATGTCTCTCTAATTTTTTAGAGTGATTTATGTGAATTACAAATTAAAAAGAAATAGAAATAAGCCATGTAGGGAGAGAGACGTTTCGTCCTATCTCGGAAAGATAGATGCGTTGCAAATAGGACGTCGCGCCTTTATTTTACCTACATAAAGAAATAAAGGCGCGACGTACTGTCTGGAACACACACCAGAACCATCTTTCACTACATTATTAAAATTGAATTATAATCGGCAATACAAAATGTTTATAAACCTCATCATCCTATTAATCAAAAGATTAACACGATTGTTTCCATGTGGCATTAAGTTAATTTCCAACCCTGTATTTTGGGATAGAAATAAAAAAAGATTGTTTACTATTTTTATCAATAATGGTTTTCCAACTCGTCTTCTGGGTGGTATGTTTGCTTTTGTGCTCCGTAAATCTCTGTAAATCAGTACTAATATTATCTAGGTCAAATATCATCTACAAAATCCCATGCAGCAATTGCGATTATTCGTATAGGAACTACTTAACAAAACTTATCGGATTAATCAGAATAAAAGAGATCGTGACTCGTAATGAAAAAAAAAGTGCTTTAGTTGCGTATAATGTTACTTGGATTTTGAAAGATACAAAAATATCTTGGATAAGGAGTTAACCTACAATAAGGGACTCTTTCTAGCAATTGTATATATTAATGAGGTGGAATCTGTAAACTTTAGAGCTGATACGAAAAATTTAAGCTCAGTATATGCTTTCTTGGTTGCTAATAATGTGAAAAAGCTTGTTAATAGAATAGTTACTGTAAGGGAAGAATATGTAAGGGAATATATGATATGTGTAAAATGTCAACCTATTCAAAGAGTACAAGAATTCAAATATCTAGGCACAACGATTACTGATAACAACGACAGCTCCCAAGAGGTGAGCATTAGAATTGAACAAACTAGAAGCATATTTAATGGAATGAAGAAGTTTTCTTGTTCTCGGGATCTGAGTCTGGAGTTGAGAGTGAGAATGATAAATGAGAATGAGGTGAAAAGTGCTATCCGCACTGTTTTACGGCATGGAAGTGTGGACACTTAAAGCGATTGATGTAGGAAGACTTCAAGGAGACATGGATATATGGACGAATTTTAAAGATGTCATGGATAGAGAAATTGGCCAACGATGGATGAGACGCATGCAAAAGAATAAAGAGATAATACTGACGGTCAAACAGAGTAAGTTATTATATATGGGTCATATCATGCGAGGGGAAAAGTACCATCTTTTGCAAATCATTATGCAGGTAAAAATTCTGGAAGAGAGGACCATAGGAAAAAGGCGTAACTCCTAGCTGAAGAACCTTGAAGAGTGATTTGGCTGCACCAGCAACGAACTATTCAGATCCGTAGCTTCAAAAGTTAGAATTACCAACCTTCGAATCGGAGACGGCACCTAAAGAAGAAGGATTCTGAAACTCAAAGAAAATTATGGAATTTCCTTTTGGTGTTTTGTTCATTTATTTACTATATTATTTGCAATTGATTAATGAACCATGTAATGTTTTTCAATCTTTTACAAAAAAATATATTTCAAATTAAGTATGTAAAATTTATATTTATTGCCGCCACCTGTTGTTATGTTTCTGAATTAAAGGTTTGGTTTTTCTCCCCCATTTTCCGGTTTGGGGTTTCCTATAAAATCAATTTTATTATTTTTAACATTTATTTTAATAATTTTAACATGTACTGTTCAGCGAATTTTTAAGTTATTAATCTGGTCTCCATGCTCCGAAATTATTCATGCAGCAGTGGCATGATTAAATATGTATGCAGATCTTCCATTGTGTTAAAATCAATTCTGTAAAACATTTCATCTTATAACTTTATTCTTCATGACAAATAATTAAGAAATCACTCATCTACAATTCTTTTTTTATTAAATTGCACAATAAAAGAGAATGTTATAAACATTCATCTATAGTACAAAATGATAATAGAAGTGAACTCTGTGTACATATATATAGTTACTATTATATATTTATAAAACATGATAACACTTACAATTCAAGTTAGTCAATAACAATGACGAAAAAAAACGCGCAGTTCAGGTTTATTGTTTTTTTCCGCATCAATAAACCCTATCAAAAAAGTACAAGAATTACAGAAGACTGTTTCGCTTAAAGAAAAAAGTTCTTGTTAAGTGAACTTTCCTAAAAAAAAGTTATAAACTGAACCTATAAATAAAATATCTAACAAACTACAACTTAGTTTTTTTAATCCCCTAACTTATATTTAAAATATGACAAAATGAAAATGATTGCTTTTTAATATAAATTGTAAAATAAATTGAAACCGATAATTTTTTTTAATTTTCAACTCGATCACATCCCAAAAAAAGCAGATGTCTTTCAAAATTTTTGTTTCTTTTTAATTTTAGTCACCAACGAGTATAAAAATATATTAATTTTTTTTCACTAAGTAAGGCATCTGGAGCAATGTGCAAAAGACAAAATGGGATAATCACTTCTAAATACACTCCATTATATTTTATTGTTTCATTTTATATTCATTTGTTCTCTTGAAATGAGGTGTATGAAACAAACGTAAAGTATAACCTAAAGACATTAGATTACAGTCAAAAAATCAACTGTAAGGGAATATAACTAAAAATAAAAACAAAAAATTGACTTTGTACCAATAAAACGGGCAATACAAATGCACAAAAAACTGATCTTAATCTAAACATAATTTTCAAAATTCTTTTGACACTCCGCACTTATCCACGTTTCCAATAAAATGTCTTCTTCGCCAGCTAACGACTCTTGAATTTGATTTTTCATCCTGTTTCTTAACTGTCTCTTTGTAATTTGTTTAAACTAAAAAAGTTTACACTGTATAAAATCTCCTTTAAATAAAAAATATCTTTTTTTACCTGTAACGAATTCGTAGAAATTTCAATTACAGCTGTAATTAACTCCTTTTGAAACTTTTCTGGCCAAATAACCCTTGTCACCATTCCAAAACGTAACACCTCTGCAGCTACAAATTTTTTCGAAGCGTATAACATTTCACTCACCTAAAAAAATAGCAATTATTAATTAAATTTTTGTTTTTCAAGAAGTATTATTAATTACCAAAGCGTTATGCATTAAATGCGGTAGTGATAATAATGAACCACCTTCAGCAGCACAACCTAATTTCGCATTTGGAATACTAAAGGTGGCTGAATCGCTTGCTAAGACCATGTCAAAAAGGGGTAGCATTGTTACTGCCAGACCTAGGCATTCTCCTTGGACACCAGCAACAATTATTTTTGGAAAATCAGCTAATACTCTTAAATAATTCCTATAACAGAAAAACATAAGAAAATAGAATTTATTGGTTTATTTCAAACTAAAATCAAAAACGATGTATTTAATTCAGTCTGTCAAGTACAAAAATAAAATTACATCTTAAACCAAATTGCCAAATGGATAAATCGTGGTTCCATTAATTTGGTGACGACACTAAGCACAATAACAACTATACTCCCAGTAAAAATAAAATAGAAGATGTTTGTTAATAAGACACAGAGTATTAGATGCGACTTTATTGTTGTTGTTGAAAGACAAAATACAATACTGCAAAGAACCAGTGTCAACTCTTTCTAATTGTGCTGTATGCTTTATTTTGAGATGCAAATATTTCTCATTTATGCAAACTATTCAATTCAATTGCAAATATTTTCGTTGAAATGACAAATTTGTATAGTGTTTAATTAATTATGAGAAAAATTAACGGACAGATATCTGGTATTGTATTTATTTATCACATGAAATTGTTATTCCAGAAGTGAAGTCCAGATGAAGATAAATTTCATTCTATAGGATATTTTTAACAAACAGAATTGTTTTAAAAAAAAGCCTATATTACTATAAAAGCTGTTTTATGAATGCAGCCTAAATATGAACCCAATAGAGATATATATGTAAGAAGGAATGAACATTTTTAATAAAATATATAAAATTGTGTATATCGCACAATTGATGATGAGCTACTTGGATTTGGAGATCATTGTCCATTTGTATGCATATTTCAAATAAACTGGATAAATATGAGATGAAGATCATATTATTATATGACGTAGAGATCTTTTATATGATGAATGTGGAAGTATACTTAGCGAAATATCACGCCAAGAAATCAACCTGTGGCAAACTCTGTCTATAAAACATCTCTTGTCTATAATCCAGAGAAGCTAAACTGCAAACTGCTTGAAATACCACACACCTTAATAAGTTTTGTCAGAAAATAGAAAATGAACAGATTGGTGTCGAAAAGACACGAACGAATTTGTGGAGGTCTTTCTAAACCTGAAAAGTTTGGTGATGAAACTCAGTAACAAAATGAAAAGGTGGGAATTGTTACCAATGTTACTTCGTAGGTGAACTTATTTTTACTGTCTAGGGGCTATGTAGGGTGTCAATGCAGATGTTCTACCATCTAAAGTAACTACGACCATGTAGTACTAGTAGATGGCATTAGTATCCCAGGTTGCTATCTGCGGACTGCACAGTATTGGCTCAATTACATTGTGATGATTGCGACTCCATTCACACAATAAACACAGAATGTACGAAGCACCATGCCAGACTCTAGCCAGTGCAATTAGTTGTTTCCTTAGAGTTTAGAACGTCTGATCTATGTAGTATGATTCCAGAGTACCTCTGACACTTAACCAGTATGATTCCAAAAGTCTTCTTGGAGTCTGGGTTTCAGCTAGTGCAACTCAAGACATGTTCTGGCAATATGGAATGTATGATGTGATTCCAAACTGCTTCTGAAATTTATCCAGCACAATTCCAGATGTCTTAGAGCTAAGAGTTAAACTAGTGTAATTCCAAAATCTTTCTTGAATTATGCAATCTGTTATCTGGGAGTGTTCCTCTAAACTACCTTTGAAGTTTACTGCGAATAATACAAAAAATATTCAAAGTCTAAAAATGTTGGGTTAAGTTCGCCCAAAAAAGGTTCACAATTTAGATCCATCAATTTCAAATAGTTTTGGAGATACAAAGGATTTCTTAACCTTAGTGTCAAGAAACGTCAATTTCAAACTTAAAAAGGTTATAATCCTTCAAAATTTTACACTTTTTATTAATTGTGTAAACAGTAACTCTTCCTCATATGATCTTCTTCCTCTTATAACAGAGTTAGGCCCTATCTTTCTTCAACAGTCCACAGACTCGCCTGGGACGCTAAACTCCTGCTTTTTTACCATCTCTTCGGCACACATCCAGCAAATGTGACGACTTTTGGCAATCTGCATTCTGGCATTCTCTCTGTCTGCCCCACGCTCATTTGACTATGTCCTGCACCCTACATTTTCCCCTAATGTCTTCGTATCTTATGCGCTCTAGCAAACAGGAGCCATTAATTGCTTGAAGGATTTTTATCTCTGTAGTTCTGAGAAGCGTTCTGGTTGCGGTGTTTTCAGTCCTTGCTTCAATGGCATATCATCACCAGTCGTACAAACTTTATAAATTCTCACCTTACTTGTTTGTAAGTATTTATTCCTCCATATTACATCCCGGAGGTACCCTGATATCAATGCTGTTCTTGCGTTTCTGTTCCGACTTCTATTAGGTCTTTATTACTAATGTTGTTTGGCTATTGTTACGAAATACATTTTCAGTACTGACATTTCCATATTATACTTCTCTGCCGTTATTTCGCATTTAAAAAGATTTGTTTTGGAGATTGAAAGGTATTTTTATGTTGTGGCTACATACAGAGCAGTATATACTGTTACTTAATTTAGGTTGGGCACAAAATTGTATTAATCTCTCGCCTCTTTCATTTATAGTCTCTTCATTGAATGTGTTTTTGATGCCAGGTATAAACTCGTTGCCAATTCTCGCATATAAGTATAAGAGATCAATTACTATTGATGTAATTTATGTAGTAGATTCTTGTTTCCAACTTTTTATGTATCAGATTTCCAACTGATTCCTGATGATCCGCAAGCAGGTTCTTCACCTCACTTGGAACACTCCTCTTTTATCCGGGTTTTAATTCTTAAATGATAGATCTCCATAACAAAACCTATGGGTTATTACAGTTACAAATTACGCATTGCATGTGTGTGTAGGCAACTAATTACAAATGGAATAAATGCTGTGATCCTATTGCATGTTAGAAGAACATATAACGAAGAAAGAAAGAAACAATACCAAATAGATATTTTTAAAGAATTTTGCCTTAGAAGTAGTAAAACTGTCATTACACTAACGGAAAAATTGTTTAACTTTTACTCATAATGTTCATGCGATTATAAAAGGAGCGCTAAAAATTCCAATAATTGAATTAGAAAGACGCTCTCAAAATAAGAAAATAACCTACTACACCAAGATTATGTTTCTAATCTAGGGACAAAAAAAAATGCAACACTTTGTAATAAGCGCTGTTTCCAACTATATTATTCTAAACGTATTTTTTTTCTATGTGACTCATCAACATTACTATGCAATAAATGTTAATAGTATGATCATTGCAAAGTAAGACTCCTGGGTACAAAAGCTAACATTAAATCTTAAGGTGCGTCTAAACATAGCGCGGAAACAACACGCGGCATTTGCAAGACACAATTCTGCCGCGGACAAGTTTGGATATACTAAATAATGTTTGCGTGGCAGTGCATATGCGAGCATTTACTAAAATTGTTCGCAAGTGGCAAGTACAGTGTAGTAGAGTGTTTCATTGTTAGCAATAAGAAACTTACTAATTGTTACTGAGACTAATATTAACGCCAACTAATTTATAAGCAGCAATTCAAAAACGAATCCCACAAAATAATGTACAATCACCCAATTTCACATGAAACATAATGGAAAGGTTCCATAACTGGTCAACTTATATAGCAGTACAATTTATGAGCTGTAACAGACTATGAATAACTTAAAAATCAAATTGTCGCTATCTGTATTTACAAGAATTATCTAATAAACTATAATTTTGATTAAAAAAAAATACTTACGTAACTGCTTTAGCTAATTTTTGAGCAACTTCCTTCCTAGTTTGTTCATTTTCGATATGTAAATTTTTATAATTAATTCCATGGCAAAATGATGACGCCATGGAACTTATAACGACAAGTTTACAAGTTTCATCAACTTCCAATTCTTTCAACAAATCAGTTAATTCCACCAAAACTTCATATGTTAAATAAACTTTCTCTTTATCACCATTGCATAACAAACACACTTGAACCAAATTATCCAACTGTCCAACATTAATTGCTTTGTACCGATTGAATTTAGAATAATCAAAATTATACTTATTGATTTTATTATCTTCACTAAATTTTTCAAAGATCTCCTCATTAATATTTTTTGACTTATCAATTTCCGATGTAGCATCCGTTTTATTTTTAACATTTAAATCTTTGTCTTCTTGTTTATTGTGATCTTTTTGGGCAGGATGATCTCGTTTCAATTTCTTTTTAGCCATTTTCTTCTCCTTTAGTTCGTTTGAATTGGCATCGCCCTCTTCGTTACTGGAATAAGAACTACTCGAGTGTCTTCGTATAATTCTTGAAGCATCGGCATGGTTTACGTAGATCATCGGCGAAGGAGAAGCTGGCGGACTATGAATCGAACTACGATTAGAATCTTTTGATCTTTTACGAGAAATCGATGCTGGAGTTACTGGTTTTTTAGTGGGGGTGGATAATGAAGTATCTTTTTTTCGAAGCGATTTTGGGGAGACCTTATCAGTACTGTTTGATAAGTCCTTTTTGATTTCTTTCGTTTTGTTTCTTAAATCTTGTTGGATTTTATCCAAAGAAATCGTACTTCCGGTAAAGCGTTTCGCCCCATCTTCATTTTTAACTGAATAAAGTAAATTAACCGCTCCTTCGTCCATTAATAATTTATCAACTTCAGTTAAACGTTTTTTATTTTTATTCGATACATCTGGTTTTTGCGAAATTTTTTCGATTTTTATTGGTTCCTTTTCTATTTTTGATGGTGTCTTGTCTCTTTTTATTGGACTCTTTGTTGGAGATATCAAAGTGCTTATTGGTTGAGGTTCTGATTTGCGTCTTTCTTTAACGATTACTTTTACGGTCGTTGTGGTTCCTTTGATTGGAATTACTTTTTGGGGGGAAATTTTTTCGGACGCGAATTTTGACGTGGTTGGATCATCAGGATCCCAAATGATCTTTTTCTTGATTATACGACTACTTTTCTTTTCAGGAACAGCTACAGTTAAGTTTTCATCCGTAGATTTCCTTTTTCTTTCGTAAGTTTTTATTGGTTGATTATTACATTTCTTTTCGTTAATATTTAAATTTTTTTGTGTTTTCTTTGTTGGCGATTCTTGTTCTTCTTCTTCTTCCGTCGTTGATTCTGCAGAACGTTCAATTTTAATTTTTTGAGTGTTTGATCTTGTTGTTGGTTTTTCAATGGCAGGACTTGGTTCTTCATTTATTTCTGCTACAATTTCTTCTTCAATTTCTTTTTCATTTTCTTTTTCACTTGACGTTAGTTGTTCTTGTAAATTTATTTCATTATTCATTGTCACATCTTCATTCACATTATCTTCCTTATTGATTTGGATCAAAACTTCTTTGGGATGATCTTGATTAACTTGTTCTTTATCTTGTTTTAATTCGGTTTTCCGTACTCTTGGGGGAATATTAACATTTTCAATTACATCATATCCGGAATTTTTTCGTCTACGACCCCGTCTGGGGAGTTCACTTAGTTGTTTCAAAGCCAATTCTCTTTCTAATTTTCTATCCATAGCGCAAACATAATTTTCTTCATCTTTCATAGCTTCACTTTGGTGCTTTTCTTCGTCTTTTCCTTCTAATATTGCAATTAAATCTGTGTTGTTGATTCCTTTCGCTTTTTCTGGTGTTGTAATTTTTTGGTCATCTTTTTTTGAGCCAGGTGTAATTTTCTTCGCAAGTCGTCTTGTGAGTTGTTTAGCAAAGTAAGCTTCACGAGAACTTCGATTGTGCATCATTCTACTTTTAGATCGTTGTAAAACTTCTCTAGTTATCTCATCTTTGCTAACAATTTGACTTGTTAGATTTTTATAAGGAATTTTTACTCCTAATCTTGGTCTTGGTGGGGTTTTCCCATTTCTAAAAGTATCTTCAATGGGATTATTTATGTTTCTTCCCAATAAATGACTTGGAATAGAAGGTGGTGGTTTAGAAGCGGCTTCTTTGCAATCTTTACTGTCTATTAATTTTCCGTCATTTTCAACAACAATAACTTCTTCAACCGATTCAACATAATAAACTTGACCTGTATTATCAGTTACAGTAACTGGACCATGCCCAAGTTGCTTGGCAATGTTAACAACTTCTTCAATAACATTATCATGACTTTCTTGATCTTCGTGGGTTAATGATAATTCTTCCATGTCTGAGTCATCAAAATCGCGGGATATTTCTTCAGCAATCGAGAGCTGATGAGGTTCTTCATCATGAACAATTTTGGAGAGTTGTTTTTCTATGTTATCATCATGAGCAGAGTTACCAGTGGTGATTACAATTGATTCAGATGTTGGAGTTTCCGATTCTTCATCTGCACTAACATTTTCTCCAATAACATGTTCTTCCATTTCCTCATGTTGGTCGTTCACATCTTGATTATCACTTTCTTGCTCATTACACAACTCAGGAGTTTTTTCAACATTTTCATCCTTATCATAATCTTCATTCTCTTGTTCTTCTGTTAATTTTTGAAGTCTCATTTCTATGTTATCTGATTGGCTGTTGGACTGAGAATCAAGATGCTCCTGTTTAATTGTTTCATGTGATTCCATGGCAGGTTCTTCAATTTCTCCTGCTATAGCATCTTGAACAAATTTCTCATAACTTTGCGTAGGCAACTCATAATTACTAGAATCTGGTACAATTAATGTATCTTGGGGTATGTTATCAAACCCTGATAACATCTCACCACCATCTAAAGCACCAGATTTTTCACAAGAAACAGTTTCTACAAATCCAGTTACAATTGATTCTCGATTTGCAGTTTCAGCAACAGTAACATAAGTTACAGCTCCATCAGTTACACATTCAGTGTGAATTTGTAGTGACTCAGTATTTTGATTATTATTAGAAACACAATAAACTACATTATCATTAACAATAAGACTCTCCATCGTGGTAGCCACAGCCTCTTCGACCACAACAACATTTTCCGGGAGTAAATCTGGCGGCCTCACCTCCTCATTGCTTTCATATAAGCTTTCTTCAGAAAACGCTTCAACATGTTGGTTTATATTCCCAATTTCCTCATTGGTATTCGATAAAGAAGCGTCAGCTTCCTCGTTTACATCCATAATTTGACCTACAAAATACAACCTTAAGATAGCAATGTAAATAATTAATTGTTGGGGTTATAAAATGTGAAATATCAAACAGATTTGTGCTTATTGCGGTTATAACCTCGATTAGTAGCTGTTTGTGTCATTTGCGTCATTGAAAAGAAAATGAAGTTGATTATTATAAATATACGCTAAGAAGTACGCCATACAGGGAAAAATTTAATTTTGTGCATTTACCTGGTTAAACGCTGATAAATGTCGGTCAATGTGTAAAGAGAAACATCGCGGGAAACTGTGAATTGAAAAATTTCCAATTATTATAACAGGAATTGATCGCTTTACCGTTAACTAGTGCAATAATGCACATCAGCCATGTTACCAAACGCTTCACAAGTTTACAGTACCGACTTGACGTCATCACAACATCCATTCAATACCAACCTAAAAATGTTATATTTTTAGATCTAATTATTTTTAAATTACCTATAAATTATTTTTAATTTTTTCAAATTAATTCTAATATATAATTCCCATACAATTTATTTAAATTATTTAAAGATTCTAAACGTATAAAATTGAATGATTTATTGACATAACCTCATTTTTTTTGCCTCAAATGGGACATTCGTGTATGGAGTTGCATACTATTTGATCATATACATTTAAATTAAACTGTATTACCTATATATAATGCTTAAAAAGGTTCTTACGAGGTTAAATTTGAGAAGATAGATGATCGAATCTGATAAACTAAAAAGCATTTGAACATTTGCAATATTATCTTTAGAAGAATCGGTACAAGAATCAATGGAGTAGATAAAAAATTGCTACCAAATAGTAGTGTAATGTGATAGTAATACCATTCCATTTAATTGTTATGGTTTTATTGTTTCGGCAATAGGTTAAATAAGCTAAGTCTTTCAACATTATCCAACGAATCTGCTACATAAGTCTATTAAATATGAAGATGTATTTGGAGAACTGAAACTGCTTTAAACATGGTTTCGCTGGCATATGTTAATATTGGAACTACCACTTTCAATTTTATCTTTTTATCTATTTCCTTCTTCCCAAAAATTGTTCTGTTTAGAGTATGATATACGTTGTTTGTTCTTGCCCTTATTCTTGCATATGTGTCTAAATATATCCTTCCATCTTGTGATATTGTACTGCCCAAGTACTCATATGATGATACTTCTTCTATCTTTTATTCCTTAATAAACATTTCTTTCGGGTTATTTCTTATTTTCTTTTTATTTATTATCACGATTTTACATTTATTTACGTTCAATTCTAGGCCTATGATGTAAATAAAACGAGGTCTTATTGTAATAGAGAGTTTATATTGCTATATTTAGACGCAAGTCCTAAATTCAATATTTAAATGTAATTTAATTAATTTATGCAACTTAATCTGCGCCATTCAAATTCATTACGGTAGTCAATGTGAGAACCACATTTTACAGAGCGGTGATAAACTATTTTAAATTTCATAATTTAAAAGATATTTATCATTTTAATAAAATTTTTTAAGTTACCTATAGTTTAATTTTTGTTAATAAATTTAAATTACAATATTTTTAATAATTTAAAGAGTGCCTAATTTCATGTTAATATATTGTCCTTGATTTTGACATTTGGTACGTTCCCGACCGGCGATAACTTCACATGTTTGCTTCAGCCATGTTGTCGTGTACGAGAACTATTTTTCTTTTTAACATTAGTTTTTAATTATCCTAAACCTGAGCAAACAGAAATGCCCAAGTGCGATGAAAAAACCAGGTATATACCGGCGACCTTCGCTTGGACGATACTCTTGGGCGCCACGACACTTTTCTTTTACTATCCGTAAGTAAATCTCTCCTCTCCACTACAACCAACCATCAAGAATCTTTCAGAAAAGTTTGTATATTAGTCTTATTTTATTTTGTTTTAGGGCTCAGTACTATATTTTAAAATACCCATGGGTGCCGGCATACCAAGGGGTTATAACCTTCTTTGTTTTAGCAAACTTCACATTAGCCACTTTTATGGACCCAGGTGTCATACCAAAAGGTAAGGTTAAATATATTTATTTCATGAATATTCTTAATACAATCATGATATATTTTTTGTAGCACCACCCGACGAAGATAGGGAGGACGATTTTCGAGCGCCACTTTATAAAAACGTTGAGGTACATGGTGTAACTGTTCGAATGAAATGGTGTGTCACTTGTAAGTTTTATCGGCCACCACGGTGTTCACACTGTAGCGTGTGTAATCATTGCATAGAGGTATGTTTTTTTCACTGTGTTAGTGTTTATTTTCATAAGTAGGTTATATTTCTTAAGTTATTTTAAGGAATTCTAATTTTGTAATACTTATTTGTTTTACCTACTTTCTCGCTTCATTGGTTATACTTTTATTTTACTTTTCATATGTATTAAATGATGTCATATTTAATTCATTTAGTATGTACTTTCAATTTTTATTTAATTTAATGCAAGATAAAATTTTATCAATATTTACATTTATGATGTAATATCTATTTCTTTTTAAGTTTTATTTTCTTTTTACTTTATAGCCTTTTAATAAGATGAGTAATATGGAAATATATCAGTATTGTATTAATTAGTCATCAATGTTGATTTCATTTATTTATATGCAAATAAAATAAATTGTTTAGATACAGGTGTCCTATAAATCATTAGTAAAATGATCAAGGTGTTTTCATGTGGATTTAATATAGTAGGGATGTTAAATAGATATCCTCTTACCACTAATTGTTATTTACACAGTTTACAGCTTTGATTAAAAGTTATTGTTTTAGTATGTAATACTTTTATAATTGTAATAAAAGCTTTATTTTCCAGCAAACAATTCATTAGTACAATTGACTTAATTTTCATTGTAATAAGTAAGTACATTATCAAATCCTTGTGAAAAAGGGTTTGAAATCTTCAATAAATTAAAAATGTTATGGTAATATCTAATTTGACAACAATGAACTTTATTATTATCGCTACCTGGCAGCGGGGAGCATCCCCTCTCACACCGCGACCTATAAGGTCTATTTTAATTTAAGCCCTCCAAATGTATTACCTTAGTATTGCTCCAAGGTTTTATTCCTTTATGTTGGTAGGTGTCAGGCGTACTTTACCTAAAATTTTGTACCTTAGACTCTGACTCTTCCTTACAAAGTCGGCAAGTTTGATCCTCAGCTTGTCCAATGTGGGGCTCATAGCCGGTTAGGAAGCCTGAGAGCGACCTCAGATGCCCTTTGGTGAGCTATAAAACTTCTTTGGTTTGGTTTTGCGACGAAGTTATCATACTTTCCAGCGTAAGGCTACCTTTGAGACCTCCCAGCTATTAATTACCTGTTTTAAGTGTCTTTTTTGTAGTCCACAACCGGGTTGGAGTCAAATAAAAGGCGTTTTCGCTGCCTCTTTGGCCAGCTTGTGCGCTTTTTCATTGCCCTCAATGTGTCTATGACCTGGAACCCACCATAGAGTAATATCATTGCCCCTAGTGAATTCTCTCAGGTTGGTGATCACTCTGATCAGTGCGGAGTCACTGATGTAGATCTGTGAAAATGTTTATAGATGCACCTTTCTGTCCCTTTTCTAAGTTCAAAACGGTGCAGAAGTTTATAGCAAGAACTTCTGCTTAAAAAATGGTTATGTTCGAGCTGTCTTTAAAGCATCAGTGTACCAGGTGAGGGTTCCTCTTTTAAGTTGAGGCTTACCCTATATAGCTAGTCGAAATTATATTCTGTCGGTATAAGGTCCGTTTTAATTTCAGTCAAGTGGTTTAGACATGGGTCCTTGAGAATTTCGAAATGTCCTTTGATGTTACTCTGCATTAACTTGAGTGAAGACCATGTTTTCGGTGATAAGGCACTTAAAGCTGCCTCCTTTTGTAAGTATAAATGAAATGGTGTGAGATCGAGTAGGTCTTCAAAAGCAATCGTGGGACAAGACCTCGTTGCACCCGTTATATTAAGACATGCTAACCGCTGGATTTGTGCCAGCTGTTGTTGTGCTGTCTTATAATTTGTTTTGTTGGCACCAAACCGAACTTGATTAAGTCGCATAAATGGCAGCAATAACAAGCTTCTGTTAATTTTGGAATTCGCGCCTAACTTTTTAAGGAAGCATTTTTAGAAACTTTTAGATACACCCTGCTGTATATAATGTAAAAATTGATTTAAAAGGACACCTGTATAATGTGTATTTCGTTTTCCAAATATTGAATAGATTACTTTGCTATTGTGCAAACAAATCTAAATACTGATAAAACCCCTGTGTAAATACAATCAATTTCAATATTACTTTTATCGAATATTAATTTACTTAATCTCGATCAATTAAGTTTTAACACATTTTTGGTTGATTAAGTGATTTAATAAAAAAAAATCTTTTATTGTTTTAGACATTTGATCATCACTGCCCGTGGGTGAATAACTGTATTGGCAGGAGAAACTATAGATTTTTTTTCTTTTTTCTAATATCGCTCAGCCTGCATATGATAAGCATATTCGCACTTAGTCTAGTGTTTGTACTTCAAAAAAAGGAGAGACTATCTGAAGTGGAACCAATCGTCGCGTATCCTTTAAATGTAATTTTTAATTTATAGAGGTGTTACAAAACGCTTGTAAAATATTATATATACAGATCATTTGTAATATACAGATATTTTATGTTTTTTCAACAACATTATTTAACTTACATATTTTGAACCAACCTAAATTAGTAATTTATCATAATTGATGCATTACAAAGTATAATACTAGTGATAAACTATTTATATAATAACAGACGTCATTTTTCTTTGCTTCTCTCTTTCTTACTTTAACTTGCTCAGGCTTTTGTAAGTAGGTAAAATTCTTGATTTACCAAAGACCTTGTATTTATTGCAATTTTCTTCCTTAACTAATATCTTTAGAATGGTGCTAATGGCTATTGTATCATTACTGGCAATACCAATATTTGGACTGACTGGCTTCCATATGGTCTTGGTTACGAGAGGTCGCACTACGAATGAACAAGTCACCGGCAAGTTCAAAGGCGGTTATAATCCGTTTTCTAGAGGTTGCTGGGAGAACTGTTGTTACACTCAGTTCGGTCCTCAGTTTCCAAGGTAAAACCATAAATCTTAAGCCAATAGTCCTACAACAAAGTGTCCCAGAATGATGCATAAATGTACTCAACTCTGTACACTGGAAGTTTGTTCTAGAAATCATTATTCTAGAACTCCCTTGTATGATAATTAACCACGTATGTGTTTCTTTTCAATTAGCCTTATAAAACCATCAAGATATCATGCAAAACGGAAACATTGCTCCTCCCATGGCCCGATAGCAACAATAACGAACGACAGTCAAGTGAAGACGTACATGGACAACAGTAACGGCGTACGAAACATGAATTCAAATGCATATAATAAAGTAATTTGTCTTGCTTCTTTCGATGTTTTCATTTGTCTTTAATTAATTTTAATAAGAAAAATTGAATCACTTATCTTTTGTGTCTTGTGTGTTATAACATCTATATAATTTATTTAAAAAAATGTTTAGTTATCGCCTGGAAGAGACATGTCCGATCCGGATTTAGAGCCGTCAGCGTCTCAATCACAAGACTGCGAACCCACGCCTCCGTTACAAAGGCACGGTTCAAAAAGCAATTTCTTCCTACCTCCGGTCGAAGGGGAATCTCCGCGACACCCGCGCGTACAATATGCCGCCGCGAGGCATAGTCCGCATCCGAGAACTCGAGGTCTCGATCCGAACAACCATCGAAGTGGTACGCCGGAAACGTCTTTGGGGGCCCAAAGACCATCGCCTTCGCAACGAATTAAAGCGATCGGCATGCCTACTCCACTCGTTATGTCTAGTCCAATTCGAAGGTATTTTTTTTATTGTTGTTTCATTTTTGTCTAATCCTTTAACGCACATATTATTATACTGGTTGTTTACATTCTATTATATGGCAAAATTTATTTGATGTTTATTAAAAAATCTTTTTGTTTCTGTCTTATAAGCCCTCTAGAATTTGTATTTATTTAACCTACCTCATACGCTATTCTTGTGCTTTATAATTGGTAAACACTCATATAAATTTATAATTAAATAATTTATAAGTCTTTTTAATATAATATTTAAATGTGCGATAAAGGGTTAATTAACTCAATCTATTTTTTTTTTTTCTTACAACTGTTTCTTAATTTTTTAGGTGAAATTTTTCCTCTTCTTTATTTCTTTGCCTAAATCCAACCTCCCTGTATGTACATTGTTTCTTTTTTTTTAATTTAATTCTTTTGCGCTAGTTACATATGTAGAAGCTGGAGATTTTTTTGTTGTATATAGATCAAACCCCAGTACCCCAACGCAGCCCCGCCGTCCCGACTTTATCAGCGTAAACACGAACCACCAAAATAACGTCGGTCCGTATTACGAATTCCAAAATCAAGGTCAATCGAATCAAAGGCAACCATCTTCGCAGGGAATTACTGGTGGTTATGCCAGCCCCCAGAGGAGGTTTTTATCAGAAGGTGAACTTGTGCGACAGGAAGGGCAACAATTATCGTATCCACGATCTAATAATACCGTTGATAATATTAGAGAATTGGCCAATTCGCCGCAACGAGGTGTTTATATGTGGAAGGACACATCACCTGGTAAATAATCCAACATTATTTAGATATTGATCAATCTGAACTTTTATAAACTTTAGAAGTCATTCAGAAGCTTTATAAGTTCAAAAATGAAATCCACAATAACAATTATGATTCCAAACATTTAAGATTATATTATTGATATAAACAACATTAATATAAAATTTTTAGGTTATCCACCACCTGCACAACATCCAGATTTTTATCGTTCGAATCCAACAAGCCCAACGCAGCAGCAAACGTATAACCAATCGCAATCGAGAACCTACCATCCAGCAATGCGAGGTGGCGTTTCTGTGTTTCCACCCCAAAGCCCGCAGGTGCACCGAAAGAATCAATTGGCGACCTCAATAGGTCTCTCGACAATGCAATCGCAACAGCAACAAGATGCGCGTCGACGTCCGATGTCGTTTGTACGGGCGTTGGAGATGAGTGATTCGGTCGAAATGACGCCCGGGCAACAGCAACAACCGTGCGCTGTACACAAGCAACAAGGTGGCGGTGGTGGCGGACGACCTTCTACGCCCGATCGCATTAGTGTGTACGATCTGAATTATGAGATCTCGGTATAGGGGCGGTGTAGGCACTCACTCTACGCCGAATGAGTGCTCCTAACCCTTCACCACGCCCCAAAAAAGTCCCTAAAAGCCGTTAAGTTTCTCTGCATCAGAGACGCGTTGCGGAACAACAACCTTTTTTGATCCTCAGCCCGCCGAGATTTCGCCCCCTAGTCTTGTAATCAGTAGGTTTCCAGTGTGTCATCAACTTTTTAAGGTGAATTGTTTCATTTCAATCACTATAAAATTGTTTTTATTAATTTTTGAAAACTTAAGAAAAGATACTCAGGAATTAATTGTTAATGTGTTATTAATTGTTTTTGATTATTTTAGACATAAAAGAGTTATTTTAGATTCTAAAGATTAATCATCACTTTATTAACTTAATATCTATAGTTTTTTTCTTTCTTTATTTATTTTCCATTTAGAGTTAGTGATATAAGATCCAAAATGATTGTGAAAATTTTGTTTACAGTTTTTATGTTATAACTGGGCAAGGATAGAAGTTAATCGTTTTTAGAAGGCATGTTAGATAGATGTCATTTACTGTATATAATAACAAAAATTACGCCTGTTTAGGTGCCCTATCAAAATGGTTTACTTGTAGTAATTTAGATTGTGCTTGAACTATTTATCCTCAAAATCAACATACCTTTTGGTTGAATCTACCTTTGTAAAAGAAAGTTTATTAAAAATTTACTTATTATTTTATTAATGTTCTGCCTTAAGTACTACAAAAATTTAATTTTATTTCTTAAACACAACTTAACCACAATCTATATTACTCATAAACAATCCTCGTTTATTGTTATGACCAAATTAATTATAAGGCTTTAATTTTTATTTTAATGGAAGTGAGGTGAGATAAGTGATAAAATTAAAAAAAAATCTCTAGGATGTTTTATTAAGACTTAATAGAAAATTTTTATACTAAATTATAACTTAAATGTTTATTCTTAAGAAAATTTATTTATTTAATTGATTAAAATGTTTAGAATAGAAACAAACATGTTGACGAAAGTGAGGTTAGAGCTAAAACTGATAAGCTGCTATACATAATATTCACTTGAGATTAAATAACATTTTGCTATAATTTAGAATAACATATGACAACTTCCAACTGCTATATTAGTATAGAGTATTAGTACTCAGAATGTACCTAGGACAAAGTCTCAAGTGAATTAATAACAATAATTTTGGATCTTGTGATACTATAGTGATGACTTTTTGTGTAATTCTAACTTTATACATATCGAAAAATAATAATTAAAATACTCGAGAATTGAATAGAAAAGTGTTTTGTATGAACCTTTTTATAGTGATTGTATAAACAACACCTAAAAACCAATCGGAACCAAGTAAACACCGAATATAAACAATCAAAAAAGGAAAAATTGAAAATGAAAAAAAAATGACCCTCACTTAGTATTTCTGTGTGTACCAGCTATAAGATTGAAAAGTATCTGGATGTTATTTGTTGTACGTTTTTAACCTGACTGCCCTTTGTATTCCTTAGGACTTCCTAACCTCTCTCTCCTTCGACCTGAGTTTGTTGGTTTCCTTATTTCTCTTCTGTTTTGTTTTTCTTAATCACTTATATTTTTATATGTTTCTTAAGTATCGTCTCATTACCTGAATTATTTAATGTTTTAGTAACTGTAGGATGACGAGGAGATTGTTTTTAATTCCGAAATATAAATTTGTTTGTAATGTTTGTATATATGTAATTGCAGTGGCTCAGGCGTTAATCTAAATAATACGTGTACATTTTTAATTATTATTATTCGCATCTTCATAAATTTTCATCAAATTTTTTCGTTTATACTTGATTTTTTTCTTAAGAATTATTTCATGATTGTGTGTATCGCGGCCGTTCAAAGAAGATATTTGTTGAGTGTAAAATGATTAACTTAAATGGTGTAAATATATACATATTAATGCGATATATATATAAATAGTTATTTTTAATTACAATTTCGTGGAGAGATGTTTATCTTTTTTTTTAATAATTTTTTTTTCAACATTTTTTTCAATTGATAAATATATTATTTTGAAAATCTACACTTTTTTTTATCTTAAACCAAAACAAAGAGTAAAATAGAAAAAAATATTTATTTCACTTTTTAACATAGATTTTTAAATACATTTGGCAATTTTATAGAAAATTATTTTGCATGAACTGCTACAAACAAACCTTATAATAATGTTATGAAGAATTAATAATATATATTAATTAATTATAGGAATGTTAAATTACAAATAAAATTTAACAACTATTCCTAAAATATATAATTTCGATGACTTGAGATCATTTAAGGCAGTTTAACCAAATAAAACAAGCTTCTTTAGTTAAGTAGTACATAAAAAAAATCTCAAACTTCAAAAAATCCATAATTTTAATGTATATCGATTAATTCCCCTGTTCGATTGTTGTACCTTCGTATTCCATTCTTGAAGCTTCTACATCGGCGAAGAAGTTCGAACTTGCGATATCGCATACAATGCCATTGAGGAATTTGCATCATCACCTCCATTGTCTAAAACAAAATATTATAATAATTATCAATGGTCGGTTAGAGTTTATCTAAGATCAATTACAAATCTGTTAGGTCAACATTTTGTTAACAAAACTACAGAGTGCCTCTTATTATTCTTAGATGAGATCCTTAGAATCAGAAATCTACTATTTATAACCTTGAATTAAATAGAAAATTAAAATGAATTAAAAATAAAGTTGACAATTGACATTAATCGAGTTAGAGAGTTTTAAACCTATCTTGAAAGTTCCTGCGACATAAACAAATAAAATGCAAATGAACTGCATGATGCATTTTTGGTTCAAATTACATTTATCGCACTTTTGCGTTTATCACTGAACTTTATATAAATTGAATGCAATCACTGTATAATGTTTTAAATGCCATGTTACATCTTTCAGAAACAACTTCAAAAATCACAAAATCGTTGGAAAATTAGCAATAGATACTACTCTAGTAACTAATTGTAAGCTAATTACCGAGATACGTCCTAGAACCTGCAGGGCTTTGCCTGTCATCGTCTTACTAATGCTGGAATGGAGAATTTGATGAGGGAGGAGCCGTGGGATCACCGTTATCACCAGTCGTCACCAACTTCTAAATGGAATTGTTGAAGAGCCTGTTTTAAAGACCAGTCCTTGGTAAACAAAATTATGACTACTATTTGATAGATGTTAATTTTGTAATGTGGAAAGACGGCAAACAAAGATTTGAACATTTCTTAAACCATTTAAACAGGCAGATCTACTCATAAACTTCACTATGGAGGAAGAATAACCAGTTACCATTTCTCGATATATCAGTAATCAGGACCAATAATGGATAACTCAAACTTGGAGTGTACTGGAAGAAAACGCGCACAAATAGTTACGTACAAGCTTTATCACATCCCTACCCACAACAGAACCAGGAGATTATGCGAAGGAGAAAATTTTAAGAATGAAGAACAACTTCTCAAGGTTGTATTCCAGAAGAATCGTTATGCGTCCAATGACATCGAATGTGCCAACAAGAAGAAGAAGCTACAGAAGAACAGATACGTAAGTAGCCAACCTATGGGATCTGAAGACTATAAGAAAAGGTTTTATCCTTTATATAAAGCAACAAACGCGAATATTTCTTAATCCAATACTACTTTTCAATAGAACCAGGAGATTATACGTAGGAGAAACTTTAAAGAATGAAGAACGACTTCTAAAGGTTATATTCCAGAAGAATCGTTATACGTCGAAGGACATCCAATGGGTCAACAAAAAGAAGAAGTTACAGAAGAACAGATACGGTAAGTAACCAACCTATGGGATCTGAAGACCATAAGAAAAGGTTTTATCCTTTATATAATACAACAAACACGAATATTTCTTAATCCAATACTTACGAAAGTGCCAACAACCAACAGAGGAAAGACCTAGAGGAAGACCTCGTTAAAGATGGTTGGACGACGTGAAGGATGACTAGAGGGCGATGGGAGTGAGGGACTGGTGGATAGTGGTTAGGAGTAAACGGGAATAACGTAGAATTGTTGAAGAGGCCAAAATCCACCAACGGTTGTAGAGCCAAATTAAGAAGAAGATGTGACCCATTAGTAAAAACGATTTCTGAAAAAGTTTTGAGGTTTCTTTCCGTGAAGCCTTACTCAGAAATACATAAAACCTTGCATTTTATGCCTTTAAAGGAGAAGATAATGAACCATCTAGAGTATGCATGTTTTCTATACCAGATCGATGTAGAGATTCGAAATGGATCGTTAATAAATCAGATAGTTACACGCCACAAGACGTAATATCCTTTTTCTTCAAATAAATAAATGATTAGGAGAATTTATTGTTATACTATTTAATGTTAATGATATTTAATAATTCGTCTTTAATCTCGTTAATATTGAGTTACAAATTAATCATGTTGAAGCCGCATAGATCGTTTTATATTAGCTGTAAACTGTAATCTTTCATAGATCATCAATAAAAAAGGCATAATTAATATGTAACGTATAATTTCGCATTATACCTTGACTGAGATACAAGTAAAAATCTTTTTTATACTTTATGCACAACATTTTCGAAGGAGTTGGAGGGATTAGTCATTGTACTTCCATCGGAGTTGATTACTCTGCAAGTGATTCCGGCACGAGAGGAAGTATCCAATAAAGTAGAAAGCAAAAGGAAAGAAGAAGTTGCTATTTATTTTGATTAAAAAAATGCGAAGATCGTTGAAGAATAAACTCATCACAAGTTTTTAAATAAATGGATCTAGGCACATGGATGTTGTTATAGGTCTAGTAGACTGCTAAGTATCTAGACGAGCATTATTTACTTGGCATAAATGAAACTAATAATTATAAAATAAATGATCGTTTTGTTTTCATTTCAATTTTCATAGAATGAACACAAATGAACTTATTCTTAGTAATTCCTGTTTACGTTCTTTCTGGTTAAGTTTAATCAACATTTTCTAGAATTTTGCAGATTACTTATGTCAAAACAAATTGTTTTTGAAGATATAAACAAGTTCAAAGAAAAAAATAAAAGATAAGGAACAATCCCTGAAAGTGAAAATTTAAGTTGCGTTTAAAAGCAGCTTAACAATGGTATTTGGCTTTTAAATACTATATTAAAACAATAAAATGTAATAAATAGATTAAAAGTGCATCCACTTGATCTTTGCTCAATTGAATCCCGGATGAAGGGGTTATATAAATAATGTGATTGCTTAACATAAAAAAACAAGAAACGTTTCCATCATCTATTTTTAGATTTAAACTTTTAATCTTTAAATTTCCTTTTACAAACTTCTATTTTTAACATTTTTTTTTTGTTATTCAAAAAATAAAATTGTAAACTTGTAAATTTTCACTTACCTCTTCAGGTTGGCCAATTGGTAAACAAAAAATGTATTTGATCATCAAAAATACAAAAGTGAAAAGGCAGAACCACTTCATTTTAATTTATATGTTCTTCTTAAGGTTTCGTATCGTAAACTGAACGTTGCAGAGGGCATTATTTGCATTTATATGATTGTCGCACGAAATAATAATCGCACGGATATTCGTTGACCTACTTTTTGAAGAAGACTCCCAATTTGTTACACCGCTGCACCACACGAAATGCATTCATTCTTCTTTGATTGCCCTATGGTGCGTAGTAAAAATTTTTTTCTGCTTTAAAATTGAATGGGGAAAAGCTAGTGACCTATTTTTAGCAACCTTGGCGTACATAACTCTTAAAATAAACAATTTATCCTCCACTTAATATTTAAAATTACCGCCATTAAAAAAATTTTTAGGGATTTTCTTTATTTGTTGTCAACATTGATTTGTTGATATTTTTTTAACCTAACATTTTCATGTGCGTGTTTGTTTTAGAGGTTAAAACGGAGTTTACAACGAATTTAAAATGATTAAAGAAAGAAATAAAATTGAAATTGTTTACAAAGGAGGTGGTAATTTAATTTCATTAGCACCAATTTTCTCAAAGGATGGAAGGTAAAGATTAATAGAAGATTTTTTTTCTTAAAAAATCACACATTACATTTTTAGCACTTTGTATGTTGCAAAACCTTATAACATAATTAGTTATAATGTAGAAACGGGGAATAAAATCCTTGAATTTCCACGGACAAAAAGTGAAATAATTGGTTTTAATGTAAATGTATTAAATGATGAGGAACATGTTATTGCATGCACTAAAAATGGATCTATCATCCTGTGGAAAACGACGACTGGATTGAAGCTAAGAGAAATAGTATGGAAAATTACTTGCACTTAGTCACAAAAGTCTTCTTACAGGTGAAGAAATTCTACAAAATAAGCTATTACAGTCAAACCTGGACAAGTAGGATCTTTGGGGAACAATTTTAAAATCCCACTTATAGAGGTGTCCTAGTAATCCAAAATCCCAGTTTTAAAAATCTTATTCCCACACACATAGGTTTTTTTATGGAATCAGAAAGCAATAAAACAATCAATTTTATTTAAACTAATCAAACATTTTATTAAATATAATAAAATACTGTTTTATTATATAAAAAACTATAACATCCATTTTTTATTAAAATGGATGTTATAGTTTTTTAATTCTACCGGTTTTGGTCTTCTACAAAACCATCTTCAGGACCTTTAAATTACCTATTATAAAATACAATATGTTTCATTTACAATAGGTTATTCAAAGGTCCTGAAGGTGGATTTGTAGAAGACTGAAACCGGTAGAATTAAAAAACAATAACATCCATTTTAATAAAAAGTACAAAACAATAAACAGTATTTTATTATATTTGATGAATAAAATGGAAAGAAATAATGGCTACAATGAAACATTTTAATAATTAGAAAATATAATCGATTATATGCTATTCTGTTTTTCTCCAAATCATTTAATAAATTAAAAACATGATCATTTGTCTTCTCAGCCTTCAAAAAAAGATTGTAAAACATTCATAGCTTTTCATTCTTCTGCTGTGGTCTTCTTGATCCAACTTTTCATTAAGATAAAGTTCCAAAATGTCGAAATCATTTTGATATCTGCAAATACTTAAACCACTGTCCATGTTTATGAAATCCTGCAGTGATCTGATCTTCGCTTCTTTCAGTAACAGTTCAATGTTCGCATTCTGTCGCTGGTTGTTCTTGATCTTCATGAAATTCATCAACATTCATTTCTTCATCTAACCGGTTTTCTTTTGAAACAATTATCAACTTTTCTCAGTTACTTTAAACCAAACCTTCCTTGCAATAAAGAAGTATAGCTGGCAATGAATTTATTTCCCATGGAATTTCTTCTTCCATACATTTGAGTATGTGTTTCACAACAATTTGTTGATAAAAACCTTTAAAATTTTGGATAAAACCTTGATCCAGTAGTTGTAATTTAAGCACTGGTTGTGTTACCAGGAAGAAACGAAACTTTGATGGTGTTTAATTTAGGAATGTCCTTGTGACCTGAGCAGTTATCAATAAAAACAATAATTTTTCTTTTTTGATGACTCATTTTATTGTCTAAATCCATATTTTAAAAGCAAGATTCTTTAGTATTCCAATCAAAAGTAATGGTATTTTTTCTGTCACATCCATATTGGCGCAATAGTAATAATGTTGCTCTTTCTTTGTTGTATTTTCCACTATGACAATCGTAGTTTTTGAAACAAATAGTTTTGTCAGGAAGACATTTAAAAAATAATCCAATCTCGTCGGCATTAAAAATGTTATTCGGTTCATATTCCTTTAGAATTTCGGGTAAATCATTAATCCAAGCATTACAAGCCGTGTTATCAACAGATTTGCTCTCACCACAGATTTTTTTGAACGTTAAATCATTAGTCTTTTTATAACCTTCTATCCAACCATTAGGTACAGGCAACAAAACGAAGACAAAAAAGATTTACTTTTTTGCAAAATCTAAGGCATTTTCTTTTAAATTGTTACACTGCTCTATCCATTTTATTAAGCATTCTTCCAAAATTGGAAAACCTGGTTGCTACAGCCTTTTAAATTTTCCGCGTCGTTTGGATGTTTATCTAAAACCTTCAAAGTGTAGGAAGAAAACACGCATTAGGGTTATTCACCATTGCTTAAATGGAAGAGTGCTAAAATGGGGAGGAAATATTGGCAAAGGGTAGACCCTTCAAATAAAAAAAAAACTTATTCAAATCGAGCAATACGTTCAAAAGTTATTGCAGTTTGAAACTGGTCATCATTTTAGGTGATGCGTTTTTTATGCTGCTGAGTGTATTTTAATTTTAAATCACTATTAATCCTTGAAAATATATGAAATGTTTCTTAACAATTATAAATAAATGTTCATTTTGTTCATAAATACGAATTTCTGGCCTGTACGAAGACTTTCGTGATGTTGTTGTGTTTATTAAATTAATTTTTTTTTATTTCGTAGAAAACAAACGTAAAAAAAGTTGTCTATTTTAAAACTTTAACTACATTTGATGACGACAACAACGAAATAATTAATGCTTTTATTTGCTTTGAAAATGAATCAACCAAAAAATACAACTTTAAGTTGACTAATTTAGACACAAATGAGTCAAAAATAATTAAGTTTAACTTAAAAATTAAGAAAAAGGTACATATTGATGTAGCAAATGATGGTTCGTTTATTGCCGCCGTACAAGATTCAAAATTATTTTATTATCAAATTAATATAAATGTATTACGAAGGTACATTTAAAATTGATATAAAGCTAATATAAAAATTTAATTTCTTTTTGTTTTAGACACTTTATAAAAGACAGAACATTTACGTTTGTTCTTTGCCATCCAACAGAAAATGTTGTTTTAACTGGTGATAATACAGGACGTGTTGTACTATGGCAAAATCTTTTAGAAAAGAATCCAACACAATCAAATTATCATTGGCACACTTTACCTGCTAAAACTGCGTGTTTTTCAAGTTCAGGGACGCAATTTTACTCAGGAGCGTCCGAATGTGTTTTAGTTAAATGGATTGTTAATAGCAATCATCAAAGTTTTCTTCCAAGATTACCTGGGTTTATTGAACACATTTCTATCGCTTTGAACAATCAATTTATTGCAGTATCAACAAGCGATAATGCAATACACATTGTAACTCCTCAATTAAAAATTAAAAATACAATTCAACATTTGGTCATATCAGATGAACTCGCTTCTGATTTGGTTTTTGATCCTCGAAGTAGAAGTTTAATTTTTAATGGAATTTCGGGACATGTTCAATTTTTTTCACCAAAAAATTTAGAGTTGATACATAGTGTAAGCGAATTTCTAAGCTTTAAGTTTTTATTCTTACCTTATTTTGAATTTCAGATGGATGTAAGTGGTAAAAACAAATATACAAACGAACGAGATACATTGATTGTTAATTTGGTTATTACAAATGTCGTTCTTGATAAAACCGGACGTTGGATGGCTACTGTGGAAGAAAGAAAAGATCCTGTTGTGTTTGAATCGCGGTTAAAATTTTGGTTTTTTGATGAAACTCAACAAAAGTAAGAAATAATGATTCATTCAAAAAAGACCATTAACCATTTTTTACAGTTTTATTTTAAATACTTCAATCGAATTTCCACATGAAGGCTCCGTTAAAAATGTTGCATTTCAACCCTCCAATGATGAAAAAGAACTTTACTGTGTAACTATTGGTGAAGATTTAAAATTTAAACTTTGGGAAGTTATACCAATTAAAACTGTATATCGTACGTTAAACACATTTCATTGAGTTTATGTAATTGCTTTTTTCTTTTAATTTAGGTGAAGGACTGATTTGGGAATGTGCGGGCGAAATGTCTTACAGAAATTTAACACCCAACGTTTCATCATTTTCTTCAGATGGTTCTTTACTTGCGATCGGTTTCGAATCGATTGTAACAACTTGGTTACCAGAGAGTTGTGAATTAAAATGTTCTCTACGTCATCCAATTCACCAAAATGACCTTTGCCATGTATCTTTTGGTGCAGATCACCGACAATGTCATCTTTTATTGACGGCGTCGAAAAATTTCGTTTGTGTTTGGAACTTGCTCACTTTATCGATGGTTTGGAGTGTTAAAATCGACGTTCATGGTGTTATATCTGACATTAACTGTTCATATAAAGCCGTCTTTACACCAGATAATAAATTATTCGTTTTCGACTTGAACTCTCCAGATCCAGTATATTTTATGGAGAAACTTAAAAATGTTTCTGATGTTGCAGCGGCGACTTTTGTGCCGAAAAGTTCAGTTACTTCTGATATCAATCGTTGGGATCATCGATTATCTATTTTTATTTTGACATCAAATTTTGTAAGTTACACCACTAATTAGGTTAACTCTTAGATTATAGCGAGAAATAAATAAAATTGTTTTTTAGGAATTATTTGCTATAGAATCATCAGATGAAGATTTAACAGTAAATAATTTACAAATAAAAGAGGACCACTCATTCTTTAAAAATATTCTTCCCGAAATAAGAAACGTATTTTTAAAAGACCAGGGTCAAATTCATGCTTACTCGAAAGACTTGAGAGGAAAAAAATTACAACAGGTGATTATTTTTCGTTTTTAAATAGGTAGTTTTTTTTTAACTTAATACAACAACATGTTAGCTTAATTGTCTAGTTATTAAATTACACATAACACTATATTAACAATTTTTTTACATTAGTTATTAGATACTCCAGTACCTTCATTACAACTTTCGTTCGTTTGTGAAGACATTTTAGTTGATTCATTAGTGCAAGAAGATCCTTCACTTCCTAATAGAAGAAATCCAGACAACATTGCTGTTGAAGAAAAAAGGGTTATTGATGAAAATGTTAATAAGTTGATAATTAAAAATGAAAGTTTAACTAAAATTTGTGATGAAAAAATGACGTGGACCTCAGTATTGGTATGAAGAAAATAAACAAAATGCAATGAAAATGATTTTAACTTTTCCTTCAGTACATCAAAACTTTCTATTTAACTATATTTTCCTGTTTAACTTTCCTTTTGTCCATTTATTACTTAGTGAACATGTCAATGATGTTATTAGTAATACCCACATCACATATACATTTGTTTTGGCTATTGAAGATCATAAATATCCTAGATATTGAAATTAATCATGGATGAAAATACTCATAGTTTAGTATGCAATCAAAATTTAGATTACGGCGAGTTTTGACCTCAAATAGGAGCTTTAGGAGAAATTTCGAATCCCAAACCACCCTTGTAAGGTATCAAACCTTTTTCAGTACAACAGGTATGTTTATTATTATTAATATAACACGATGACTCAATAGAGTTGATTGTTAGAAAGGGGATAAGTTTTTGAATCTAATGAAAATACAAGTTTCAAAAATCATTCAACCACTTCCAAGAATGCCTTGTGCAAAGACAGGACATTTAAGTAATAGTAATCCGAATTAAGTCATCAAAACAAAAGTAGCATAATTTTCCTGACACATTTAGGAGAAATGTTTATAGCTGGTGGTGACTTCAGCGATAAACATTGGCCTGCCAGGAAGAACATTAAGGAAAGAAATCTAAGAAAGCAACTGTAAGTAGCAATCGATAGAATAGCTGACCAATTACACTTCTTCATCACCAGACATGGACTTAAAAAGAGCAACCAGAGCTACTCTTACTAACAGAACTATGAACTGGAAAAGTTTTCAGGTTGATCTTCAGAATAAAATTGGAACGATTAAACAACAAAAAAGCGGCGTACAACAACACTGAAGAGATAACACATGTAACCAAAGGTGTGAATTATCTAGTTGGAATTAGAGAATTTGTAAAAGAAAAACGAAGCGTTAGAAGAATATGGCAGCAGTGAAGGGATCTTTCAGATAAAACTATATCAACAAGATCCATAAACTTAGAAGAGAAATTCAAAAGCTTAAAGAAACTATGCGCTATCTAGAAGAGCTGTTAGCAAATGAAGAGACCGATTGTTCACTCTGTTCCTCCTATTAGAAACAACAATGGGGAATGGGACAGAGACAATAAGCAAATGTAAGGCTGTTTGTTGAACATCTAGCTAAGATCATTACAATCAACCCCAGGGAAAACAATTAAGAAATGACCAATATTGTAAACCAAAGAATGGAAAATATCACATCACTTACTTCTAAAGTAGTAGCGGATGAGAGAGTTGAATTCAAAGAAAGGTCCATGATTCGATGTGAGAAATCAAGACCATGAATAAAAAAACATAAAGCACCTGAATAGAAATGAGGTAGTTATGTTGATCTGTCTCTTTAACGCAGACATTTAATTATAAAAGACATATACCAGCATGCTAAAAGTTGCAGAGGTTAATGTGTTGCCAAACAGGGAATTACTATTACCAATAGTCTCAAAACTCTATTGCTCAACTAGTGCTCAAAAGACTAAGGTCAGTAACAGAAACTTATAATCTAATCACAAATTATTAATTTGGACCAAGTGAATAACCGTCACTATTCAACAGCAAAGTCTACTTGGCAGTATGGTTAGCTTAGTATGGAAAACTTTGTCAAACGCTTGTGGCACAAAGTTTAGCATGAAAGCTTGATATACAAAGTAAACAAAATGCCAATACAATACGTAGATATTTTAAAATCATCGCCTGAAAGCAATGTATTGGGTCCTACCCTGTACACTAGTGACACACCATCACTTGCAGTGGAGAAAGATCAGAAGTTATCCACTGAGGAATTATAAACAATCAAAAACGCAATACTCCAAAAAAAACTTCAAACTTTCAATTTCTAACAAACTACTGATTTAAAACCAATATGGCACTATAGCATTCAACGCTGGGGCTATGCTAGTGACTCGAACATCAAAAATAGTCAAGTATTTCAGGACAGAATGCTACGAAACTTAATGCTTCAGATTTCAGAAATACAATTATTATTAATAATTATAATGCGAATTGATGCAATACAAATTACGATATATATGGTGATATATTTTAAAAGATACATAATAAAATGTGCAAAATGAAAACGAATAATGTTGATGAATATGGACAAAATAATAGCAAATATTTCTTACCTTCACTTTTTTAATAATAATTTAACGGTTTTGGCGCTATATTTGGTAAATAAAATGGATAATTAATTATTGTGTTTGGAAACGAGTCCTCAATTAAAATAAAGTTTGCATCATAAGGATTAAAAAGTACCATATTCCATAGATTTAATCGTCGATCACTTTTGGCAGGGTACTTATACAACGGAGTCTTCATGTCTGGTATATTTTGCTGATGATTCGGTTCATTAATGTATTTAACGTGTAATACGGAACGTTTATCTGGAGTTCCATACGAATATATTGGCAAATAATTTACAACTCGCGGACGGTGTTTAACAACTTGAGAATCTTTTGTTGTTTCTAATGCGTTTAAATTAAAGTCAGATCCGATTTTATTACTTTTAGAATTGTCGTTTTGTTTCTTTAAATGCCTATTTTCTAAATCATATTGAATCATTTTAAAATCAGATTCACTAACTTTTTTAGCCGGTTCATAATCATCTAATCTGTTTAAATTTGGATTGTTTTCGATCATTTTTTCAATTTCATTTGTTAGAGATTCATATCTCATTATTTTATGATTTGACTGATTGACTATTTCCATTATGTTGCGCATTTTTTGATTATATTCTGGTTTTCTAAACCAATGTTGTGATTGAGTAGTCATTTCAATTGGATTTGTTTTGGATTGTTTTACTTGTACTTGTATTGTATTTTGTTTTGTTGGATGAATTTTTTCATTTTCATTGAAATTTGATTCTGGTTTCTTCAACAAGTGTTGTTGCTGAGTGATTATTTCATATGTATTTGATTTCATTGGCGGTATTATTTCTTGTTTTGGTTGATTAAGATATTCAATATTATTAGTAATAGTTTCTGGTTTTCTTAATTCATGTTCTGTTTGAGTAAGTATTTCAATCGACTTTAATTCCATTTGTAGTGGTTGATTTATTTCTTGTTGTGGTTGAATTATTTCTTGTTTTGATTGAATTAGTTCTTGTTTTAGTTGATTATTTTCGATTTCAGTAAGTTCTTGTGTTTCATTTCTAATAAATTTTACTTCTCCCAAATTGGATGGATTTTTTAAATTGATTTCTTCTTTTTTGATGTCAGTATTTTCTGATTCTTTTATTTCATATTCCCCAAGATTCCCAACTTCTCCCATAATTTTTCCTTGATATCTTTCTATTATATTTCCTGATTTAGTTTGTATAATTTCTGGTTGTATTAATTCAGTCACAACTTCAATAACTTCTTCAGTTTTATTTTCATTGCTTATTTTTTTCAATTCATTTTCTACATTTATTTCAGCTTTTTCAATTTCATTCTTTTCTTGAATGATTCCTTCGAAAGGATTCACCGGTTGATTTATATAAGTTTCTGATTGTTTTATTTCATGTTCTGGCACGTCAATAACTTGAAATACCCCTTGAGCGGTATTATTAACTCCAACTTCTTCCAACCCATTTTCTAAATTATTTATTGTTTCTGTAATTTGATGTTGTTCCTGATTGGTTACTTCAACATTATTAACTGTTTTGCTCTCTATAATTTCGGATTGTTTTACTTCATGTCCTGATACATTTATAAGTTCGTTAACTCCTAAGTTTCCTAAAGTATTGATTACATTTGCAGCGTTTTCAATTTTATTTTTTTCTTGACTACTTTGTTCAATAATATTTTGCGGATTATTTACTAAATCTTCCGGTATTATTTGATGTTCCTCACTTGATGATGATTCTTTGATTTCAGTGTTTCCTTGATATCCTTCAATAATATTCTCTCCTTGATTCGGCAAAACCTTAGGTTGTATTAATTCATGCTCAGATACATTTACAAGTTCAATAACTTTTTGCGTTTCATTCTCAAAATTCATTTGTGCTGTTTCAATTTCATTTATTTCTTGAATAGATCCTGTTGGATTACTTACCAAAACTTCTGATGGTTTTATTTCATGTTCTGATACATTCACAACTTCAATGACTTCTTGAGTTTCATTTTCACCTCTCATTTCTCCCAATCCATTTTCAAAGTTCATTTCAGGTTTTTCAATTTCATTTTTTCCTTGCATAGTTGCTTCTGGTTTGTTTAGTACAAATTCGGATGGTTTCATTTCATGTTCTGCTGTATTCACAACTTCAATAACACTACGAGTTTCATTGTTACCTTCCATTTGCATAGTTGCTTCTGGTTTGCTTAGTACAAATTCGGATGGTTTCATTTCATGTCCTGCTGTATTCACAACTTCAATAACATTTTGAGTTTCATTGTTACCTTCCATTAGCATAGTTGCTTCTGGTTTGCTTAGTACAAATTCGGATGGTTTCATTTCATGTTCTGCTGTATTCACAACTTCAATAACACTTTGAGTTTCATTGCTACTTTCCATTTTATCGAATTTATTCTCAGTCTTGTCTGTTTCAGATTTATCTTGATATCCTTCAGTCATTATTTCTAAATTATTTTGTAAAGTTTCTAGTTGTATTAATTCATGTGCGGATAGGTTTGTAACTTCCATTTGTTTGACCTCATTTTTGTCCTCATTGATTTCCCTAACCATTTCTTGTGTCGTATTTTCTGATTGTTGTATTTCATATGCTGATGGATTGATATCAACAAAAGCATTTCGAGTTTCATTTTCGCCATCATATCCCAATTCATTTCCTAGATTAATTTCTGGTTTTTTGATTTCATTTTGTTCTTGATTATGCTCCATAATAGTTCCTTGTGATTTACTTAATAAAAATTCTGGCTTCATCAATTCATGTCCTGATACATTCATAAGTTCAATAACTTTTTGTGTTTCATTGTTAGCTGCATTTCCAAATTCACTTTCTATTTGATTATTGTCTTTAATGACTTGAGTCTCATTAAAAAGTGATTGAAGGTTCTTCCTTTCACCATCTAATTGATTATTCGTTTCAAATAATTCATTTCCATTTTTTAAGTGTGTTTCTTCTGCTTCAAATAAATTCCCAGTTATAGAAGTTTCTTCTTGATGGGGATCACTTTCATCAGACAGTATCTCAGAAGAATCAACTCGATCCACAGCAACTTTAAGCGACTGCGGTTTCCCTAATAATTCCAAAACGTTTTCTTGTTCATCTTCGTCCATTCCAGATAAAATATCTTTTAAAATCGAGTCTTCTAAATCGTTATCGGAAGGAAGTTTTGAATCATTTTTTTTTACATTTCCCATTGCGTTATTTCTTAAATCTTGTTGAATATCTTTAAATATATTATTTATTATCTCGTTTGTGTCTGGAGGTGGAGGAGGCATTGTCGTTGATACATCCGATAAAGTTGTTAACTGAGATTCGTTCGAACCAGCAGATTCATCATGTAAAATCGTAGATGTATTAGAAGTAACAGTGTTATCTAATATTTGATGATCATTAGCGGTTGTAAACATAATATTGTTCAAATCTGAAGCAACCAAAAGCTTTTCATTATTTTGTTCTGGTGATAATATTATATTATCTAACTTCCCAACATTTTCATTATCATTTTTACCATTTACTTTATTTGTTGTGAAATTATTCGATAACCCAGTTGGTGCGGATTCTACCTTAAAAACAAATACAAAAACAAACACTTAGACCACAAAAAACGTCATTTAAACATTGTTTATAGATACTTATGGTTGGCCAACAGACATTCTTTCATGGACATTTACTGCTTAGGTAGTGAGGAAAATCATTTGCTTCATGATAGCATGATAGAATCATAATAACTATTGTACGCTTAAGAAGTCAAGAGAAATTGTCTATACTCAATGTTAAGAATATTATAACACCCACATTCCTCGTCATCACATTATAGGAATCACTAACATAAATCGTTTACATCAAAAATATATGTTTAGGGACTTTAAACGAAGCTAGTTTACTCGGACTTCTACTCTATGATCATAAGTATCTATAAACAATGGTTTTATCCTACATCTTCAAGGTCATGTTCTTCGTCAAGAAACTGAATTGGAATATCTTCTTGTAGATCATCAATATTAATGGGTGCTGTAGAAGGAGGTGGAGGTGTTGTTGTTTCTTGTTCCTTTTCCGCTTCTTGTTCCTTTTCCATCTCTCCTCTTAATCGCTTTCCTCCCGGTGGTCTACCGTATGGACCAAAAGGTCTTCTATGTCGAAATCTTCTCGGTCCTCCCATCATCGGTGGGGGCGGTCGATTGAACGGCATATAATCGGAATACATCGGATAATAATCGCCTGGACCCGGATAATCTCCATAATAATCATCTTCATATTGATTGTAATATTCTCCAAAACGTTTTAATTTATTTATTTCTACCATGTCATCGGTATCCATCATATGCTTTAATTTCCTACGCCTTTTCCTATCTTTCCTTTTAATAGAATCAACTTCTTTAACTTTCTTCAATACTTGTCCTTTTTTTCTTTTCATTCTCGACGCTGATTTACTGGTGTTTTTAAATAATTTATCTTCTAGTTTGGTCGATTTTTCAAGTAGTTCCGAATTATTTGTATTAACTAAATCATTTTGAATGTGATCATTGAAATCACTTCTAATAACAGGTGTTGAAGGCGTTGTTGTTTGTAAGTTTGGCGAATCTGTTAAGTCTGTTGGTGAAGAATGTATTTCTGGTTCATCTTGATCGTGAAAAATCGACGTTTGACGAATAGAATCGATAAAAGCAGAACATTTTTTCGTATCCATTCTTAAAATTATTTCGTTGGCTTCGTTATAGTATGATTTTAATTCTTTGAATTTATCGTATTGACCGTTTGTTTGATGGATTAACATCGAATTTAACCAATGTCGCATCATGTTTTTTAACAGTATTATACAAGGATCTTCTTGTTGTATATATCCTGGTAATTGATTTGGTGGTAAGCCTAAAAATAGAAGAAATCTAAATGTAACTAGTCTTTAATTATTCAAGAAACAAGATTAGAAAATAATAAAATGACTTGAAATAATTGCCAGAAGATATTTATGATGATAAAAGTGGGACTAGGAGAGGTTTTTTCTTAAATATTTCATCTTTTACACTTTGTCTATATTTGCAAAAGTCTGCTTTCATACCTTTTATATTTTTGAACGATGTTGTTGTTTCGATTTTGAGGTTTCCAATATATGTTTATGCGCTTTGTATTTTCATAACCTTTTGTCTTTCTAGCATCAATGTTCAAAAGATGTTCAAGATAACGTTACTCACTTATAAGTACAAGAAGAGTTTCAGAAAGTGTTATAAATCTCACAAAATGTCTAATAGATCATGTTAGAATGTGACCAATTTTGTTACGTTTGTGGACAATTGATATTTACAAAAAAGGAAGACCGATATCAGAAGTGCAGAAAAAGTCTCAGAAACATTGAAATTAGCATATTTGCACTATTTTGGTTTTGCACAAACGAATCAAGAGAAGACACTTTAGTGCGATGGATGTTTTGAGAAAAAGTATTTCTTCATGATCAACTGTCACTTCGAACTCTTTTCTGAAATAGGTTTTAACATGGCATCTGAAACGTCAAATACTTTTTGAAAACATGCATGGCTTAATTCGAAAGTTGCTCGTTCTATGTATAGTGTGGAAAATCTTGTTAACAATTAAAAAAGTGTTGCAACTTAATGCTTACGCAGACGATATTAAAATTATGTAGTAGCTTAGTATTTAAAAATTTGCGATTGCAAAATTCATTTTATGGGTAAAAACATTCCTGTACCTGGAGAAGGGTCAAATAACAACGAATTGCATCAACTCATTGGAGATGCCCCCCTCGTACAGTTCATCAGACTACAAATGGACAGGACATGTTATTAGGATGGAAGAAGGGAGATTATCAATAAGAACTCTCAACGGTAGAATGCATGAAAATAGATCGATGGGCAGACTCCGAAAACGCTGGAAAGATGAAGTGATGATGCACGTGAGCTGCTGAAAGAGAGATTGTGACGATAAGGAGCAGCAGACTGAGGAGAATTGATGCAGAAAATAAAGGAGGACAGGGCTTAATTTTAGCTGTAGTACCATAGAAAGGAAGGCGTCAACAAAAAAGGTGGAAACTGATCATATTCCACGGAAATTTCAACTTCGATATTTGCAAATATGTTATACAACAAAAATACAGCCAAAACGGCTACTTATTCAAATTATTATTATATATATATAATAATTTAAATAAGTTATACTTAATAAAAGATTTTAAGTATTTTAATACTTAAAAAAAAATAACATAGCTCTAGCAAATTTGTTAGACTACCAATGTGCTACAGCTAAGTTACTTTTCACAACACAGAAATCACCATCGCATAAAGTTTATAATATTTATTTCTATCGTTTCACCTTAAAATCCATCTACAAAGGACTAAGAATACTTCAGCTATACGTAAATCGTTTTTTTCGTTTCCTTTTGTCGATCGCAACAATATTATTGTTTATAAGTTTTTTGTTTGATTCCTTTCGACTCTTTTTAGATAACTTTGCATAAGTTTTATCCAACCAAGAAGTAAATTTTCTCCATTGTCTTCTCAACAATCCATGGTGTTCTTTCACTTTATTTTTTTGAAATTTGTTTTTTGGATAATCTAAGCGTCCAAACATCCCGTAGGGATACGGCGATTCAAATTCCTTTACATTTGTCGGGCGCGTTTGGAGAAATTTAATTTTTTGATATTCAGTTGAAGGCGTTATGGGGTATTTAGAGAAAATATTTGGCGAGAAACTTTTAGCTCTTTCTCTATCCTGCAAAGTCGCATCTGCTGCGAAATAATTTATGAATTTGCTTGAAGATGGATTATTAAAATCATCCGCGTCTTCATCATTAGAATCTTCATTGGGAAGTGATGATTCTATTGTAGTTTCTGGACCGCGTAAAGAACTATATTTGTTTGATTTTTCTTCCGTGGGAGAATAAAATATTTTCTTTTGCATTGATGTAAGATTGTAATGAATCGGTTTTGAGTACTCTTCTGCTTCAATGTTTTGTTCTTTTCGATAAGGATTTGTTACACTTGCCGTCCACTTAATATCCAAAGTATTAGGAAAGTTTTTCTGGTGGTCACTTTTTGAGAAGTTGTTAACTTGGTCTGAAAATAGATGTGGTTTAGAAAAATGTTTTAATTCTTCATCTTTTGTTGAAAAATTATCCGTTTTTAGTTGAAAATTATTATCATTGTTTTCATTTCTATTGTTGCCACTCTTAAGATTCGGTAAAAACTGTTGTTGAGGATATTTTAAAAAACCACTTCTTGTTTGTGAAAAAGAATTCTTCGTATTCAAGTTTCTTCCTTTTTGAAACGATTTGGAAGAATACTTTCTTAAAGGATATTGTTTATGGTATCCATTTGGTCTTAAATTCGAATATTTTCTTCCTTGCATACTATTGTAATAATCTTTTTGATTCCTTAAATCTATATCTATTGTTGCTAATGTAGATGAATGATCATTTGCAGAATTTTTTAATTTTTTGGTAATCCTAGTCGTCGGTGGCAAGTTTTGTTTATAAAACTCTTTTGTACAAAAAATCTGCTTCGGCAAAGAATTTTGTTTTATTACATACGGTCCATGAGAATTACTTTTAGGACGGTTTACTTCTAATGAATTCGTTGTTGTAGAAGGAACGTTTTTGTTAACATTTCCTTTGTTTACGGGAATTTTGGTTGTAGTTAAAAATCTTCTGTTTTTAAAATATCTTCTATTAACACTTTTATTAAAAATCCTATTCTTTTTTTGTTTTTGATTCCTCGTTAAAATCCGTTGTTCTTGCATGTTTGCGTATCCTCCAAACGTCGGAGAATCCTGCTCATTTCCAACCAATTTACAAATAGCGTCCCAATAGTCAACTAAAAAACAGGAAGAGGATTCATCAGAAATAAAAATTAAAACACAAAACATTCCCTTTTATTCTAAAATTAAAATTATTATTGTTAAATTCTTATCTACTAGAAAAATGCTTATTATCATTTATTTTCTTTAACTTTCAAACTCGAAGAAACTCTCTTCTTCTAAAATCGGCGGAGGAGTGTCATCTAATGGTTTATCCAAACCAGGCACTTGAAAAAGAGCTAGGTCTTCGGCGTTCTTGTCGAATAAAGATCTTTGTTGTACCTCCTCTCCCTTAACATTTTCTTTCGCGTAGTCTTTGTAAATCTTCGTAATGGATTTCTTAAAATCATTCCAATCCTCATTAAAATCCGTTTTATTATCACTCATAAGTTTTGTAATGATCGTATCCACATCAGTTAAAATTCTCTTTTTTTCCTCATCGTAAACCTCCTCGACTTTTAAGGATGGCGAGAATTTTATTTGAAGATTTTTATTACTTTTTATATTATCCGTAGATCTTTTAACTTTAGGAAAAGCGAGGAGTTTTTCAGATACATCTGCGAAAGAAAGATGTGTTGAAAAAGTTTTAAGGATTAATTCTCTTTAATTTCTTCCTAAACAAATAATACATAATGTCTTCTTTAAAACTTTTTCATCTTCTTGCGTTTTGACTTGTTTTTTTAATTAATTCATATTAGAAAGCTCGATTTAAAAACGTTTATATATAATGAATTAAATCTAAGGAATACTAAATATTTTTAATTACCTGATAAAGCATTTTCGTATGGATAATGTTGTGGAGAGTAAAGCTGGTTTGGTGATCTCATAAATGAACTTCCTCCCATGGGTGATCCATATAAATTTGATCCTTGGTTAGGCAAAGCTGTAATAAAAATATTCAAGTTTAGAATCATTTTTAAATTAGTTTCAAAAGTAAAGAAAATATGTAGTAAAATAAGGAGAGCAAATTTTTCTTCTAAACATAGGCTACTCAGAAAAAGATCGGAAGATCGATAGATAGAGGATCGTCCCAGAAATGGCAAACCAAAGACTGCCGTGACTCCCACCATGATCAAGCGTATCCGGGACAAGGTCCACCCGAGTTTCAAGATGAGTCTCAGAAAAATGACTGAATATTAGCCGTGAATCTACGTACTTCGTAGCATCAAGATGCAAAAGACTCGCACTTTGACGGAACAGATGAAGGCCACTCGACTTTAGAGTTGTTACGAACTTCTGAAATACTCACCGGCTAATACTCACCGCTACTCACCGGCTTATTTAAAGCCATGCTGCGGAGGCAATGGTTCTAGTACTTAAAATATAGTGAAGTTTTCTTTAATACAAATGTATTACTTAGAAGCCGAGGCAGCTGTGGTATTAGTACTTAAAATATAGTTAAAGATAATTTATCTTTAATAGAAATACATTACTATGTGGCTTCTCACATCCACTTCACTGACGAGAAATTATTCTTGATTGAGCAAACATTCAAACGCCAGAGCCTGAAAGGGTTATGCCTTTCAGGTCTTTGTTCGAAGTACGACCGAACAACAACAACGCTGGTTTTTGTGGATCAGGGGCTCAAAATCAATTCTCAGAACTACCTTGATGAGATTCTGATAGCATCAGATAAACATGGACTTATTGCTTATTTAGGTAATGTATTATAAAAACTCAATGAAATTATTGTGAAACAGAATTTAGACAGAATTACTACCTGTCTAAATTAAGCCAGAATTTTGTCGTTAATGCATAAGATTCGCCATTGAACGGACTCTGGAGATTAATAATTCAGAGGACTCGAAAATGAGCTGTTTAAAGTATACTGGATGTGGACATTATTCAAGTCTAGAGAACAAATGATGATAACGTCCTGTAGACAACAGAAGTCAACGAAGAATGAATACCAAATTATTGATTTAAGACGAAAAAGGAAATTATGGGCAATTATAGAGTTAAAGTAACAGTATGAAAAGCTTATACGCGATGTTAATCATATTGGATCTGGAATTTTTTGACGTAGGTTTGTCACCATTCGTCAGAATGTCTTCGAAATTTTGCATAAATACTTTAACAGTTGTTTCTATGTTGTTCTACTACTCTATGTAAGTCATAACTTGCCAGATGGCTGAAAATTGCAATCAGAGGATTGGTGAAGCCTGCTCAATGCCAGACTGTTTTTTTTAAGTAGCTCTCATTATAGACTCTCATTGATAATTTACTTGTGTCCTCTGCCATTAAGCCATTGTTAGTACATCAAAAATTTTTAGCTGAATAGCAGCTTTGTAAAAATATTTTCTTATTTTAATCAGAAACACTTACGAATATATTGCGACTGCCTTTTATTTCTTTGAATACTTAAGTTTCCATCCGAATCTAAATTTTCTCGTTTAGTTCGTCTTTTAGGAACATCTCTTCGTCTTCTATCCAAGTTTTGATTGACATCTACACTTTCTAAAGATGGATCAGAGTGTTTTAAATCGCGTTTTCTTCGTACTAGGGGTTCGTCAAATCTATGAGCATCTACAATATTTTTAACATCCTTTAAATTGATTTTTTTTATATATCATTCTTTTACTTACGTTGATACATATGTTGCCAAATAATGTTATCTTCATCTTAAACATCAATCAAATATGTGTTGTAAAAAAACTGAACGATTTAACGTCTTTACTTACCACTAACAGATTCCTCAGGTAAAGCTGCAACAAATAAAATGTTTGTAATTTAAAATAGAAAGAAATACATTTAAAGAATTAAAAGAAAAGACGTAATTAAATTATTATAAAAGCTATTTTTATTAAAACTTTTTTAATGTACATATTTCGCTTTTCTTTGTTACATTTTGTCTTTAACCAAAAATAATTGTAGCGGCTTCAATTGCAATTTTGGAAATTACATGTAAAGCCATTTCAAAACCTCCGACAAGAGTGAACGCATCCACAACACGTTGAAACCAAATAACAATATTTCTAACATTAATCCCCAAAATAGCGAAAGCCTTTTCGGCTAATGGATAGAAAGGTACTCCAAGCGACACCACAATCAATCCACCCAAACCAGAAACTAACCCAGATAGAACACTTAAAACACCCACAATAGACAGACTTAAAGCCGCGTATCCATTAAGCCGATTTTTGCTTAGATATCGTCCAACTTTAGGTATCAGAAATTTTCCCAAACGTATTACTACCACCCGAATGTATTTCTTGATGGTACCCATGGCGCTTTTAATTATATTTATAACCCAATTGGCTCCCTGTTTTGCAACCGCACCAACTATTGACCTTTTACCAATTCCTGACTTTTCCAAAACAGTTTTGAGGGTATCCGTGAAAAGGTTGGCTTCTTGCTTGAGAACGGCGTCGCTTTGCAATGTTTTGGCTTTAGAAGGCGATTCATCTCCAGAAGCTGTAGCGGGAAAAAACACCTTGTCACTTAACACTCTTCAATATTATACAATTATAAGAAGGTAATAATTCAAAGTATCTACTTAAGGTGTATCTGAAAAACACCTACACTGTTTTTGAGGTTGTTCGTCAAACGTTTTGATAGTAGTTCTGGTATAATAAACTATTGCATTGAAATTTGTAAAAGTAATATTTTCTGCCACGATAGAAAAGCATCAATTAACTAAGAATATTTCAAGGCTTTCTCTATTCAAAAAGCATCACATACTCTACATGGGAATATCAAATCGATTATATCTATAGATACCCCGTGAAAAGTCCAGTAGGTCTTGTTAGTAAACTATCACGAATAATGGGATTGGCGATGTTTGGTATGATAGGTCCCATACCAAGTCTGCAAATAGAAGTTCTCCTTAGCCTTCTTCTTTGCATTTGCTCATACTATATCCAAGATCTATAGATATTTTGATCCAATTTGGCCCATGAAAGACAACCATATGCTGCATGAAATCATGCTCTTGGAGACAAGTCTAGGTCGATAACGAAAACAGGTTTAAAAGTTGTTTTTAAAAGTCTTTAACAATTTTAAGATATTATTTTTGTTATTATGTTAAGTAAGGTGCAATAGTCTGTTATCGAGGATATAAATAGATCACTTTAGAAGTAGGTGGAAACACTCACCTCTGCTGGAATACAAAACAAATTGTTTATTTTCAAAATTCGTCCTCATAAAACCTTGCAACCTCACATCTCACAGATGTGGAGAATAAACACATTCTAAGGATCTATAAGCATGACAGTAACAGACTAAGTGATACAAGTACGGAAATATTTTTCCCCAGCCTCCAATCTAGCTTATTGTAACCCCCAGGGGTGAAAGTAAGGGATTTGCAAACAGGTAAAATTTATCCATAGTTACTAACTCTAATCTATTTTGTAGATGATTACCTCCGAGTTGATCATGGATTATTACTTAGCACTTGAGGAGACGCAATATCATATATTCCAGTAAAAGAATTTCTTCGTCTGAAAAAGCACAGTTATTTTTACAATTTAGTAAGAGTGTCCTAGAGGTAATGGACAAGGACTCCTAACTAGACACTAAAGAAAACAAGCACCGTCATAAAATGCGACTTTTTGACAACTCTCTTTGTCGTTATTTTATATTTTGTGAAAGAGTCAAGATTTATGTACCTTCGAAATGAGCCAACCATGGCTGCATGGTATGTAATTTTCATTGTAGTAGAAGTATTCAACAATAGTCTTGCCAGATACACACTTCTTTAAAATTATTGCTGAAAATATCATATATATGATACACATTTTTAATATTAAGATTTTTAATTCATAACATTCTGCTTAATAGGATTCTATTTTCAGTATAGAATGAACGAAAGTAAGTTTATATAATTAAAATTTATTCAAAAATATCTTATGCTAGTAAATAATAATTAAAATACATCAACACAGTACAAGAACATGTTAAACTCTCACAATTCGTCGGAATAAATCACTGATCACTGGTCCAATAAGCATTCCAACAATCATCATAACAGCGGTCATAGCGGCTTGAACAATTCCGCCGATTAAAGCAATGACGACTGATACAATAACTTTGGGAAGTAGTTTCTGCCGATCAATCAAATTGAAAACGTAGACGAATAAATCGAAGACAATTCTCAACAATTTCGAGGTCCAATGATTGGCATCAACAGACATTGGTACACCGAAGAGACTTAAAATTGATCGTGCTCGGGTTGCAGGTAATTGTCGTGCTCTCGCTTGGCTTCGTGCCGCCTGCGGATTAACTCTGGCACCTTCAAAAGAAAGCGGCTTTTTATAATTGGGTTGGGTTCTACATTGTTAAAAATTTCGTTTTTTTTGGGTTGAAGAGGAAAACTTAACTGGGCGGCGTTTTCACCGCTCAAATAAAATATGTTCTGATCATAATGAGAAATTGAACCCAACCCAATGTTTTGGATGCTCGGTCTAAGTAATTTTCCTGCGGATATCGTCGCCCAGAAAGTTCACCAGGTTAATTTAAAACGCACTTTTGAAAATTTTTAATCTCACTATACACTTGTAAAAACTCGTTTTTAACCCGAATAAGAAGCAAGTTATACGTTTTTGCGGTAGAAACCAACCAGTTTCTTTTTCAAAAACCAATTTTTAAAACATTTTGTACTAACCTGATGCCAAAAGGGCGAATCCAAGAATCACTAAAAGGTATGCCGTATTGCCCATTCCTTTTCTATTTTTTTTTGTTTGAATGTTTCCTTTATTTTTTTGAGTCGCCCAGTACCAAGCGATCGGTATCACCAAAACGTGCACAATGCCGCCCTTCGGCTATATATAATCCGCCCACGAGGGTACCACACGATACCTCATAATCAATTGTCATTATCCTGTCACAATTGGACAGTAGGCGGATGGAAAACTCGAAATAATTTTTAATTTTCCAACGAACAATAGCGTTTTTTATCACCCAAATGCCATTAAGAAGAAATCGATTCAGAGATACGTAATTTATAAACCAGTGTCTTCTTTCAACCGAATATAGTTCATCATTCTCCTTCATTAAATCTAACCCAAAAATTGAATCATTTGAAATGTCATCTGTCGCAGTGCCTTCTGAAGACAGTTTATCTTTTCTAGTAGAAAATGTCTTAATAAATATAGACAACCAATCAAGCAAAACTAAAATGAGTATAATACAGTATCCCAATCTTGTTTCAAAATTTCTTAACTACATAATCCACTTAAATTATTACGTGAAAAAATTATGCCTACATCAGTAATTTTTATTCTGCAAAATTCATTTTTCAAAAGTTATATAACTTCTTAATACGGCTACATATTCTAATATATTACAGTTTAAGAAATTTAGGAAAATAGTTTTTAATCTTCAGAAATTTCAAACGTTTGGAAAACTAAAGAAAATGAAGCAAAAAAATGCTAAAACATCTCAAATATAATAAGAAAAGATTGTAATATTAGCCTTGTTGTTTTCTTCTGTATTTATGGTTACTTTTTGCATTTGGATTGTAAATAAATTGTGTTGGCGAATATTAACTGGATTAAAACAAACAAGCAGTATATATTAAAAAATGCAAAGTAGAAGCTATCAGTTATTTTGTGTCTGTTCATCAGCCCAGACCTCACATCTATAAAGTAATATAGAGTCAGAGATGTCCTTTCGATTCGCATTTTCGTAATGTTACGAGCGGTTTTATTATGTTTTCGGAAAATTATTTATTATTAATATTATATTATTAATTTATATTATCCCTATTAACAATTGAAAATTTCATTTTCAAAAATATCTATTGCAAAGGAGACCCCGATTCGTTATCTGGGTGAGTATCCTTCTCATAACTCAATTTTCAGGCATTTATAAGGATAGCACTCAATCATAAAACGCCTCTCCAGAGCCTAGGACAGATCCTTTTGTAACTCCTCAATTCTTGGTCCTTTGAAATAAAATTATTCTGATGAGTGTTCTAACCATAAAATGTTTTCTAAAAATTTGCAAAAGATATCTGAAGCAACCACATTTTGTTTTAGCATTCCTTCCTTTTTGGAAACCGTATACTCTGTCGAATGGTCGATTCATGATTCAATGTACTAGAAGAGTCTGGAATAATTTCTCTCATTGCACTCAGCAAGCAAAAAAGGTCTGATTGAAGAAGGATAAAAAGAAAATCGAGTCCTTAACCGTTTTAGTACACAAGAACGAGCCGTTGTGTCTTTCAGTCCTCTCTCTAGCAGATGATACACGAGAACCGTTTTGTGAGGACACCTTAGCGACCTTAGTTTTTGTTGAATTTCAGCCGGGATCTCATCTGAAACGGGTACTTTATTACTTTTTATAGTCTTCACTAAATTATTCAGCTCTCTTATATCGACAGAGACAGTCCATGATGGCAGCGTTTGCTACATTAGATTGACAGAGTGGCCGTGGTTGTTTCAAGGTGGTTTGAAAAAGCGTCAACCAGCGTTAGCGTTCTATCAGGATTAAACTGTGCGGGAATCGAGGTTTAACACAACCTTACTTATTTTAATTTCCCGGTTCTTCTTCTTAACTCTTATACATGGCGGCATTAAGTAGCCACTTAGCATTTCATGTAATATTTAAATTGTGCTTTTTGTGTCTATATTTGACCATGGAAGAATCGCTTTTGTATAAGGATACCCTGCTGGATCTGCTTACGTTATTATATGATTTTAAAGTTTTTTTTCTCGGCATTGAAGACGCTCTAAAATTCAAAGTGATCGTCGCCACCTCTTCTGCCTACCTGACCATCCTTGTTACCGTATCGCAGACTGAGTTATATCAGAAGAAACATTTTCATTCAGTATTGCAGCATTCTACTCCAAGCCAGCTTATTTTCTTCTAGTGTGCGTATGTAATAATGATTGTTACCGTTTGTATTTTTTGTATACCTTTCCAGTGGTGTTTATATGTTGCTACCATGTTTTCCGAGGCTAGGATTAAGGCTAGAATGGTCCCCTCATTCGACTCTAGTTCGCCCTATTGAACCGTTTTTTGGTGAAGTTATCAGCAGCAATAATTCTTCAATTGGTTTTTCGGATTTTAGCTTCCAAGACGTCTAGCTTTTGGTGGAACTCCGAAATTATTTTATTCCGCATGTAATACCAGTAGACGTATGCAATATCGTTCACTTGGCGCCAGAGCTAACCGTACTTCACTGGGACATTCAAAGGCAGTCAGAATATTTCCCTCTAAATTTGTCGGTCCATATTCCAAATCTCTATCAGAAAAATAAAAGATGTAGATTATTCCAGGCCGTATTTTTGGCTAATGGTCACTACAGACTTTATTTTGAACCGCTTTAGGAGACGTCTTAAAAAGGTACTACTTGCAAAGGGGGACGAAGACTTCTGATCCAACTTCCATTCTAACTGAAATATTTCCAAGTCTTCTTTTTGCCTTTTTCTTTGTTGTTGTTTTTGCTCTCAGATATTTGTTTGCTAGAAGCTGTTCCCCTTTATCTCCTGTATTATCTCCTCATTCCTCTCCTGTATTATTTTTTTTGAGAATCTTTTCTCTGTTCACTTGATCGATCATGTGTTGCTGAAATAAAAGATTTCCAGAAACGATTGCTGGTAGAAATTGCAATGAGTGTTCTTCGGCGATATTAATACCTACAAGCTAAGCGTTATTTTCTCACTATAAAACTAAAACTAACATTATGTTTAACAGTACTCTGTCCTTTTCCACATACTTGGAGGTAGATAATTAATTTCAACTAGATCAAGAACAAAGTTAAGTCACTTTTGAACTTGTTTTTGAAAAAGGTTGCAACATAGCATTTTAAATATTTCTAATTTTATTTTTATTTCCAATAGCACCAGACATGAAATCCTAAGAACTTATCTTTTATTTGTCATTTCATAACTTTCCCCTAACAAGACCCGAGGAATAGTCGCATACATGCGAAGAATTCCGGAGTCCTTGATAACAGTATTCTATCGTACAGATATTTTCATTCTTTTCTATATTTTAGCTCAAAATTTCAAACCTTGGCAATAATATTAACTCTGCCTGTGATGGGAGCTGGGCAGATCGAGTAATCTAGCAAACACAGTTGCCGATTCCAAGTCCGAATAAAGAAGGAGAGTTGTCAGGTGAGGTTGGCAACCTGCCCGACGTGAAAAGTTATTGTTTGCTCACAGATTCAACACTGGAGAACGAGAACTAATACAGAAAACAAACTAAGCAGGAAATAAAAATGGAGAAATAATATTATTTCTCCACGAACAGCGTGCTGGAACATAATGTCCTGGCGCACCAACAACAGTGAAATACTTCTAGAAATATCAAGTAAAAATCATTCATGCTGACATTTGAAAGGTATGTTTAATAAGTTGCCATGTATAATGTGCGACACTTGAAACCCCATTTAGAGTTTACTTAAGCAATTTTAGATATGTTGGATAAATTCTTAAAACACCTTATTAAATTTAACTCTTTTTATTTTTTATTTATATGTTATCATAGTCAATATTATTTCCAGCCATTAACTGAAAACCAAAAGCACGATGTCTCTCAGCCGGTAGTATAGTCTTTTTAACAACCGAATGTTCCATCATTAACCCAAACCATTTTCGTAAACGTTCAAATCGTTCAAAACGTAAAGCCTCATATAGTTCTATGGCATTTGGAATAATCGGAATTCTCTCAACCCAAGGCCATATCATGTAATCAACCATTCCAGGTTCAGATCCATTAAAAAAGTCACTTCCTCTCTTCAATAACTCATTTTCGTAAAATTCCAAAACCGGAACTGCTTTTTGGATTAGCTCTCCCGTTGATAATCCCTGCCTATTAAATAAGAAGCTATAAAAAACTTTTATATGCAAATCCCCAAAGTTTCTTATAATTGCTTGGTCTTTCAGTTTTAAGGTTTCATCTTTTGGATATAAAGGGGGATTTGGATAAGTTTCTTCTAAATAGTCGCATATATTTAAACTTTCCGGTATTATTTTTGACCCAGTATCTAAAACTGGAACCTTTCCTAAAAAAAATCAAAATTATTAAAAAAAATAATATTAATATTTTTAATCACCTTCTGGATGTAAGCTCCAAATCCAATCAGGTTTGTTTTGTAAATGAACATTAACTATATCATGATCCAAGTTTTTGGCCAAAAGTACCAATCGAGCTCTTTGCACAAAAGGACAAAATTTCATAGAGTATAATCGGAGTTTATTTGGATCCTTTGGTGGCAACAAGCTACCTGTTAATAAAAACAAAAACAATATTACAAAAACGTCATGTAGACAGTGATTTAAATTTTAAAGATTAATAAGAATTAATAATGTCCCATTTAAAAAAGCAAAAAAATAAAAAGGGATTTTTGCCGGAAATCGTTTCAAAAAACAAATCTCAACTACGTCATAAACAAATAAAAGAATGGGGAAAAAAACATTTAGGTCAACTTCCGGAGATTCCCGAATCAGCATGGAGCAAAGAATTAGAAGGGAGAATCGAAAATATCCACATAGATGATAGTTTGAGTTTGGAAGATTCTTTAAGAAAAAGTTTAACTTTGATTAACACTTTCCAAAGGCATGAACCCGGCGAAGAAAAAAGTACGAAATTTTTAATGTTAGAAATGAATGAGTTTTTTCTGCAAATGGCGGAAGAATTAAAATATCTAAAAAGTAATCTCATTTTCGATGAAACTAAAGAAAACCAAAAAGAATCGTTTAAGGACAATATTTACAAAGGATCTGATAAAAGAATCGCAAAAATATTTAAAGATATTAAATTAATTGAAAATAAAATACAAGAAAATGTTTCTGAAATGAAAATTGTAGAAGAAGAACGTAAAGAATTGCACCAAGAAATAAGATCTTCAATTGACCTATCATTAGAATTGAATAAAAAAACATTATTAGACAAGAATTTTCCTTATTATTTATTAAATGAAAATAAATCAGAGGAAATTACAAAAGACGACATTAAAACTATTCTTAAAAACAAAGAAAAAGAGCAAAAACCAAAAAATGACTTAGAAAAGAACTTTATCGAAAAAAACATACAATTGGCTAAAAATCGAACCATGTATAATTCAAAATGTTCTTTAACAGACGAAGAAAAAATAAAATTAGCTAAACTACTAATAGAAATGGAAGAAAAAGTCGAAACCAATCCAACCAAATATTTAAAATCATACGAAGAAATCGTCAATAATTACGATATTCATACAGCAACATTAGAGGAACCACCAGAATCTTCGTCTGATACTGAATCTGTTGAGGAAGATATCGGTTTCAAATTGTATAAAAAAGATTCGAAATTATTGATACATTTAAATGAAGAATTAGAAAAACTTGATGAGAAAAAATACGCTTTTACCGAAACAAACTCTGACGTTCAATTTCAATATGATAGACCGTGGCGGAAGCTAATGATGGAGAATAAACTTAATGATATCGAGAAAAATTTGATTCATATCGCCAATGAAAAAAATGAAGAAAAGGAAAAGTCTAAAAATGATATGTTTATTATTAATCGGGCCGAAGTTGAACAAATACGTCGAGAATATCGCGAATCTTTCGAAGAAATGAAACATGCTTTTGAAACTGGTGATAAAGCAGAAAATGGTTAAAAAGAAAAAGAAAAATCTTTATAATTTTCTGTAACGGCTTTTATTAATATTACAATAAAAATTAGAGTTATCTATGAAATTATTAAAAATCCAACATGTTTCAATTTATAAATAAAATTGAGTTTTACGAATTGCACTATGCGGCTGAAACTTAATATGTATTTAATAGTTTCAATTAGTGAATAGTTGATAAAGCTGGGTATGTCTGAATCAGTCATTTAAAATATCTTGTACTGGATATCTCCAACAGTCATGGTCCAGCAAGATTTAAAAAGCCAGATCAACAAAACATCATCATCAGGATACTTACGAGAGATCGTTTGGTCTAATATATTCATACGAATGAACAGCAAGACATAAATTTATAAAACTTGAATAAGGCCCGTTATGACATACAAAATAGAGACACGAAGATAAAAAAAAAGATTATTATGTATTCTGCAATGCGCAGAATACTTCTGGGTAAGACTAGAAGAGATTGGACAATAAATATAAACATCAGGGAATAATGTGGTGTAGTAGATGTGGTAAGATGGGGAAGACAAAGAAGAAAAGGATAAAACAACCGCGTGAAAAGGACAAATGAAAGATTACCCCGTACAGTATTAGAGGAAGGACAGCTGCAAGTCCACACACACAGATCTACAACAAGTGGAAGAAGAAGAAAAAAAAACGATATTGGCTAATAAACATAATGCATGTGAACTTTTCTGAGTTACTGAACAATTAATTTCAGTTGTTATACATGTGACTTAAAATTGTGCTAATTGGGTGAGAGACGTTTATAAAAGTATTTTGGTGGATCTCCCTCGCTGGACCTGCAACTGAACTATCTCCTGAGAAATTGCCAGGTTCTAGACTGATTACTTGTAACCACAATTTTCGTCAATATGTTATCTGCCGTTCTATGGATGTGGTTTCATCAAAATCTCTTGCACTGTCTTTCCTATTTCACACTGTCTTGAACCCTGTATTGGTCTCTAATACCGAAGTTCATAATTCACTCAAAGTTTTCATTTCTGCTACTTGTAACATGCTCTTAGTTTTATTTGTGTCCCGTATTTCACTGCCGTAAGTCATTATTGGTCATGTATATCCGCACTTTACTATCTGCGAATTTGTTCGGCCAAATAGTACCTGAAATTGCTATCAGTCATTTACAGGATCGTAAGTGCTTGAGATGTGCACAGCTAATTTCACCCCAGATTTATCTCTATATACTCGTTGAATGGCTTCTTTGGATTTAGGAGCATTTTCCAAATCATTCTTTAACCCGTTAACGCCGGCGCGATATTTGTTTGTCTTGTCCATCGGGCAGCATTTGCCTTATATTGCAAATATATCGGAATGCGTGTACCACCGTTGATACACGCCGGGGTCAACATGTTAATCTCCATACATGTCATAGTCCATATTGCTGGTGAATTTACTCCAATATTCTCTCGTTATAACTTTTATTTTGTAATTTATTTCTTTTCTTATACGAGTATATTCAGGTTTCGATTGTGGGTCTACTTTTGTAGGATAAGTAACTTTTAAAAAAATATATACAAAACAATATTTAATTCCAAAGAGGTAAATAACAAGATTAAACAGTAAAGAATAATGGAAAAGAAAAGGCCATGCTCACTTCGCTGCAAAATGCTCAATGGGATGCTATTATAAACACTGAATAACAGAAGAAAATGATCGTTTAAATAGTTGCGTACGGTATCTAGGAATGGAAAGCCTAAAACGATGACTAACATTAATGTTTTCCACATCACCACGATAACGAATTGTAGCGGTCAAAGAAGGAGGGGTTCCAGATAAACTTAATCTACGAAAAAAGCAAGCAGAATGTAATTTTCTACGTTGTGACATTTTCAACCAGTTAGCCCAAAGAAGTGTATGTGAAATCCTGTCTCTTCTTCTTATTCCATATACAAATCTAAGACAAGCGTTTTGCAGACGTTGAATTTGAAGGGTAGTAGCCACATCAAGACCAGAATTATAAATTACTTCGCAGTAGTTGAATAAGGACAATACCTCATCGAGAAAAACAAATCACATAACCATGGTAACCGTAAACATGTCATTTACTAACACAGGAGCGTATGATAGAGCATATGATGATTTATTTTCAATGTTTCGTATATGATTCAACTGCATGACAAAAATGTGCAATGCAACTACGATAAAGAAAGACATCTCTAGAAGTGTTTTTAAGAATGGCTTAGCGATTACGGGAAACTGGCAACCTGTAGTCCATTTAGACATCTCTATGAATTCGTAAATCACATTGGTGCGCAATATAATCCCATATAATCTGGAAACCCCGAAAACAATTGTCCACAAGATTCCTCAAGAGAATAATATATATCTCCACCACATTGTTTTACATCAGGCCTTAACAGATACCGATTATGATAACAGACTGAACTATTATCATTGACTTTTAAATATAATTCGGGCAAATCCGAACCTTTTATCACAAATGCTATGGATGCATGAAGCATCTTTTAATAAGCTGATGAAAACTTGCATAATACGCATTATTGATTCGAACAAAGCCCACATTGCTTTCATCCCTTTTAGATTTTTATCTATGGGGTAGACCAAACGACTTGACTTTTCAAGACAAAACCAATAACCAAGGAAAATATGACAAAAGACGAAAGACAAAAGAAGATTAAATAAAGCATCGTGGTTTATGGACGGCATTTCGAACATTTGTGAGCTATTTTTGCCAAAAATTTAAGTTATTGTAAGTGTTTTGGTTTATTTTGTTTTATTATCATTGTTGATGTTTCATTGATCCGTTGGCTTTTAAACACGCTAAAAGTAGTTTTGAACCAGTTCTAAGCTGGATGAAGTGTGAAGGAAGGTTCTAGGTAATAACATTTTGGTGCTCGCCAAACCTCTAGGCCTTACCGTTGTTGAGATACAGCCGCTCCGTATCCTTAACGGGACACCTGTATAGCAGTGATGCAACACACTAAAAAGATTACTAGTATAAATTAAGTAGAGAATTGGACCTAAGACAGATCCCTGAGGAACGCCAGACAACACAACAGCCTCATCAGAAGAAACTCGCTGTCTGCGATTCATTAAGTAATGTTCAAAAAATACATAGACATTGCGCCATAGACCGGCATGCCAAAGAATTGCCAAAACCACAGAACAGATATATAAGCCATAAGCATAAGAACGTTCTATGGCGTTCTATGGTGAATTGTATCGAATGTCTTGGAAAAGTCAAGCAGAACAAGAACCGTGGCCATTAAAAAATTAATTATTATATAACAACTGTTTTTCAATAATTATATTATACATGTAATTGCCTAAATTTTAAAACTTTTAATCTAATGGGTATTTTTTTTTACCTTTCGCAAGATGAACAGTGCCCATTTTACAACTAAAAACGTTTAAAAATAAAATTCAACTGGAAACCGATAATTACAATTAAATTTCTCAAGCGTTGTTGATAAACGAGGTTATCTTCCACTTACAAAAAAAATGTGTCATTCATTACCATAAAATCCAATTAAAAAATGTAAACAACAAACGTTAGCCGCTTTCATTTTTACATAACTCGTTTAGAAACAAATAACATGATAAGCATAAATTTAGAAACGAAAGAGCGGAATAATTTAAAAAAATAGGCAAAGGCCTACATTTCAAAAGTAGAAAAAAAAACTTGTCTGAGCATGCGCTAAAAATTTGGCAAAATCACGTGACCCGTATCATCATCGCCGCCATCTTTCACTTTTCTCTTACCCATGTGTCGATAAAGGTGTTTGGTTTCCTCGTATCCGCAATAACGCCGTGAAGATGCTGTTCTAGCACGCTTAGGAAACTTGCACACGCAAGTGTGCCTTCACAAATCACACAAAATGCTGTAAGTAATCAGTTTTTCGCACGTCATCGTTTTCTTTAAGTTTTATAAGGGGGTCAATACTTTTCACGTTATACTCGCCATGTTTAAAAGAGAACGGTTTTTGAGTCTACCTATATTATTGTGATTGCGTCATGCATTTTTTTATGATTCAACTTTATTTTGTCAAATTTTTGGTTATGTTTGTAGTTTTTTTTTGAATGAAAATGACATAAATACTTATTATGGTTTGATGATGTTTTTGTAAAGAAGTTTTGAAAGGGAAATTGTGTCATATGTTTGATTTTATAATCAGTTATCTAAACATAACAAAGTTAAAAATAACAGTTCTTAATCGGAAAGAAGCAGTCTATGTTAAAATTACAAAAAAAGCGGTTTTCATGATGGCAAATCACCTTAGAGTAATCGAAAGGGTTTTTGGGGAATGAGTCATAACTGTGACGTCTTGTTTATCAATGAAAATGTTTAATATTGCTAATTGTTATCTTATATTTGCCTAAAATTATGGTTTCAGGTATTTTTTTAATCAATTTTTATTATCGATAGGATATTAATTAAATAAAGGAAATTAAGATATTGTTAATTAAGTGAAGTTATAAAAAATACAATGTCGGCTTTCAAGATATAACTTTGAACTTGTGAATAAATTTGTTTTGACTTCACACTATTAGGCCCACTTTTACCATTCTCCTGATAAATCATCTCGCGCTCTCATTGGCTAAGAAAGTAGCGGATTCTTAATCTTCCAGTAGTTGAGTCTGCAATTGTCAGTGGAAACGATCGCCGGGCAAAAGATGGCAGAAGTGAATAAACTTAAATTTATTATCCGAATTTTATTATTAACTTTTTTGTCTTAAATCCACATAACTTAACCCATTTGCATCATAAGTTCAGATATTTTGGCTAAAAGATAGTCGTAATTACTAGAGGTGGAACGGATATCCAGCCATCTTTTAAAATTCGGCTAGATACCGGATAGTAATCAAATATCCGGCTTTAGCCGGATATTAAAAACCTATTAGTACTCTACCATTCACAGGGATTAGTATCTTTTCTAGGTGTTGGACACTACAGATAATAAAGTTCAACCCCAATTGAACCTTTTTCATTTAATACTTTATATAACTTTAAATATATAAATAATATAGCTTTATTTACTCATTAGCAACCTCATGGTAACAATCAAAAACGATGTATGGATTAAATTTCTTGTTGCAGTTTCTTCTAGTTTTCTTCTTTTCTCTTGTAATTCATCATCACATTCATTACTAGCAACTGGCGCTATTATCACTTTCAGTTTATGCTGTAAGTTTTTCCAATAAATGCCATCTTCTTGCTTTGTTTGTTAAATCTACATCAAAAAAGTTCATTTTGTATCTTGGATCCAAATAATTTGACATATCTTATCAGCTTTTTATTAATTTCATTTTGGTTCAAATATCGCAATAAAGTGGCAATGTAAGGTACACTTCAGAAATGCAGGAGAAATTGTAACCATAATGGCCGGATATCCGTATCAAGACGTTTTGAAGAATTCTGCTGTCAACTCAGCTCCCCATGTAAATTGTTATGGACGGAACATTCCCAGCTAGCTTCATTTAGATCCTCCAATAACTCTTGATACGATGGATGGGATGAGACTGCAGTAGGTGTCTTTGCAAAGAAAGCTCTGCTTTACCCTGACCGGAAGAGATCTACTCAGATCCTGGGAAAATCAAAAAGTGACTTGAGGCTCCTCACCCACTTCCTGACCGGACACTGCAGGTTACGTAAGCACATGTTCTACATGATGCTGAAGAATACATCTCTCTATAGAGGGTGTGAAATGGAAGACGAGACGGTAAGTCATATTGTTTGTGACTGTCTCAACCTCGCGTACTTTAGGGAATCCATTTTGGACGTACCATAGGCCCAAATTTCGGATATAAAGAAATTTCTTCTGTTCTATATTAACGTTCATTAAAACCTTGGGCTGCTTTTCTGATACTTTAATGAACTGTAAATTGTGTGGATGTACATAGGGCTCGTTGGGGCCCAAGTGCTGTGAAGGAATTCACCCCCACGTGAAGCTACGTACAGGGTGATTCAAATTCGATGTCCGAATAGGCTATCTCGGAAACTATAGGAGTTAGAAAAAAAGTAGCTTACATGTCTCGATCTCTTTTTTTAAATAAATTCCAATGTCGAAAACCTCAAAACGCTATCGTCTTTTGTTTTTCCCCTAGAGGCCAAAATTGAAAATATAGTAAAACCAGCAAGTGCAATTATCTTGGTTATTATTATAGGTAGAGTATTATAACTAAGATATTATATGGACACTTTTTTACAGAGAATTTGATGACGTAGTCAGGTAGGGTTTTTCGGTTTTAGATTTTGAGATATTAAGACAATTTTCTTTTTTTTTTAATGGAAACAACCTCGGATTATTCGCTTATTAAATTCGTTATTTTTTTCTGATTACAAAAATATAGGGTTCGACATTTCTTATTGTTTTAGAATAAATCTAAAAATAAACTTTTTTTTATAAAATTTCTAAACGCCGTTGAAATTTACAGTTTCCTGTATATCACGGGCCGGTATTTAAATTACGGGGTATTATTTTTCTGATATTTAAAAACAAATGATTATATTTATTACACCAACTGATAACACGGAAATATTTAATGGATTGCATTGTTTTGGATTGGAGAAATACGTTTTTTTAATTTTTAGTTATAGTACCGTAATTTACAGGAAACTGTAAATTTAATTTCTTCGATAACACTAAAAAAAAAGTTTATTTTTAGCTTTATTCTCAAATAATAAGAAATAGACCTGTCCAACCCTATATTTTTGTAATCAGAAAAAAAATAACGAATTTAATAAGCGAATAATCAGTTTTTGTTTCCATTTAAAAAAGCTAAAATTGTCATATCTCAAAATCTAAAACCGAAAAAAATTTTTTGACTACGTCATCAAATTCTCTGTAAAAAGGTGTCCATAATATAATGTCTTAGTTATAATACTTCACCTAATAATAATAACCAAGATAATTGCACTTGGTGGTTTTACGATATTTTCCATTTTGGCCTCTACGGGAAGCCTGAATTTGAACCATCCTGTACATACAACTTTTGATAATGTTTCGAAAACCACCTTAACCCAACCCATCGAGGCATCTGACGTTTTTCCCCCACTTTCTCATTCTTCATTCAAAGTAGGCACCATATTTAATTATTACGAGGTAATGCTCGTGCTATCGTTGATGTTTTATGCGATCAATGTGGGGCTCGAACCAACGACCCTGAGATTTAAGCAGCTCATGTTCTACTACATGTATATCAGGATGAAACATATTTTCTTTATATCAATATGAATTTCATCTGCTAATACCACACGTGATAGAAGAAATTTGTTTTTATAGTAATCATTAGGAATATAAAATAAGTTTGTATATAATTCATAAAGTTCTGTGAAATAGTTAAAATGGATTCAGTTTTGAAGGACCAACATTTACAGATTCATTCACAATCTCAAAACTTTTTCTTTATAAACTTCCTATATGTATAAACCAGATGATATATACTCCAATTTGCAACTATTTGGCACTGCTTAATTATAGAATTAGAAATACATATATTTTTTCAGACATGACTGCAAATTACGATAATATTTACCGTTATTTTTCTCATTGGTCGCTTATCAAGATATCTTTTGCGGATAGTTAAAATGCCCATTAAGCTCTGAACTGAATAACTTAAAAAAAAACACTGAATAAGGGTGTGTAGTGAATAACTACACGTGAGGCTGGGTCGTGGATCTGTTCATTTTGCGTACTCCCGCTCTGATCTTGATTCAACATTTTTCTTCTTTTTAAGTTCTATTCATACCACACTGTTTTCTTCACCCTGTCTTATTTTCATATCTAGTATCTTACCTATACATCTTCTAGCATATCCTGTTCCTTCCGCCCCAGACTCTACCCAACCTAACTTTCAAACAGTTTTCTTTTTCTTATATCATTCCATTACTCACTCATTTATGTTATATGTATGTGTCTTCTATAAACGCATATTCCAAACCAAAATTCTCTATATCCCTTGTTTTTTTTTTCAATTCCTTACATTTTCTTCTCATCTTCACTTCCAAATCTGTCTCATGAATGTTACGTTTCCAAACCATTCTCTATGTCTCCACCATCTATTATAAGTCTCTAAGAATCAATACAAATACCCCAGCTTGTAATTTTTGTAATAGATTTTGTGCTTTCCTAATCTTGATTGCGTTTATGGTTTATTTTACAAACAAAAAATAACGCACCAGTCAAAAAAAAAGAAACGCTTGTTAATACGACTAACGATTTTGTATATACCATACCTATTCTTGAATATAAGATGTATACCAAGTTTGAAATAATTATCCAAGAAAACATGGGAGAAAAACGTATATTAGAAATGACGCACTTTTGACAATATGTTTATTATCTATTGTACTCTGATAGATAATCATGTCAGGACACAATCAAAACAAACATATGATCTTAACAAAAGATGATATAGTAGTTATAGTAAAAAGATATAGTTATAAATATGATTCATAAAACTAAGTTGTTTTAAAAATTCATACTTATATTATGATGCTTTTTTATAGTGCCATCATGGCGTCCCCACAACGTGCCGCATTCATACCGGCAAACGTAATCATCTCCACCCCCAAGAACCAACAACTTTCCTTCAGTTATCCTGGCATCATCGGCAATCGTACCAATGGAAGATTCGCCGGTGCTGATAATGGAGTGGAAGGAAGAGCCGCTGTCGCCCATCTTTGCTGATGAGCTGACGGCTGTTCCTTCCGACGAAGACGCGCGATTTTATTGGACCGAATCATCGGAGCAGTGTGATGTCGAAAAAAACAGCTTACAGTATGCCGAAATATTGCTCGGCAACGCTCCAGCGATCGCCGCACAACGTAACTCTTCTTCTACCAAAGCGGAGCCGATTGATGACTCGTTATTGCAGAATTTGGAGGAGCTTGAAGACCTATCGGAATGGATAATTGAAGGTAAGATGAAGTTAATGTGGTTGCATACATTTTAATGTTAGATTGGTTGCATATGGTTAGTGTTAAATATTTAAAAGTGTTATTTTTTTAATCAAGAACTGACCTAAGATTAATTACTTGACAATAAATACCATGATTTTCGTTTACGATAAATTTAAAATTCTAATGTTGTTTACTCGAAATGTAAATTACCGATTGTGAGTAATTGAAAAAAAAATGCACGTCTGGACCAAATACATAGATAGCAATCAAGAGGGTCGTATAGGTGTGCACATCTAGAAAAAAAATACATTCGCTTTTCATTGTAATGAGTTTTTTTTTATTGTAATTAATTCGTCTGGAGAAAAAAAAACAGGAGAAACCCAATGATAAAGAAAATGTTTACGAATTAACTTTGTTTTCCTATTAAATTATAATCAAGTGGGAAATGGGGAATCATTCAATTTTTTCCTATTAGTGTGGGTTACCAGTTCAAAGATAAATACAATGAACAGTTACGCAGTAAACAAAATGAAGATACATAGATTAGCAAATTCCAAAGTGCGTGCATGCAAGGATCAAAATAAAATCGACTTATCTATTAAGAAATGCGAGTGAAATAATTTAGTTTTGAATTGCATTAACGACTTATTCTATAAGTGAAATCTTATAATGCTACTCAGAATACCAAATAATCAAGAAATTCAATCCAAAAAATTTTTGAAGATGTGTAGGGTTAAAATTTTCGAAACTTCCAGGTGTTGTGATTCTAAAAATTGTGTAAAACCGTTATTTAAAAACCTGAAATTATGTATTGAATATTTGATATAACGTTTATTATATGTGTATTGTGATTCAATCAAAAATAAGAAAAATAAACTTCTTCAATAACAAAGAAATAGATATAGTTAATCTTGACATTCTTGTTTTGTTTTTCTTTGATGCTTTGTTAATTCTGAAATATCAACATGAATAATAGCACATATTTTGTAACAAATGATAAATAATAATTTGACAGTTGCAGCCAGTATGAACACTTTCTTTAAATAATATTTATTTCGAATGGTAACTAACACATTAAAAATGTTTTACAACAATTGACAAATTCTAATATCGATGATAATCTATTAGTTTACAATCTGGAGTTGTAATAATTTATATTCACCCATATTATGCGACGGAAGTTGTCATATTGTACTGCCACGAATATGTTATTCTGTGAAGGTCACTTCTTCACGTTCATTCGTTATTAGTGCGCAATTGGAAGCTGTTTCAGAAAAATAAATAGAGATATAGAAATGAGTTCTTTTCGCGTTATTCAGAATGAATGTTTAGATAATTTTTAAAAATATGTATTACTTCTATATCTTATTTAGATGCCATTTAAAGATAAACATACCTTATAAAATTTGTGGAAAAGTTTGGTAGACGTATCAAATGTATGCAAAATTGTATGACGAACTGTTATCAGATCCATAAAAAAGAAAGGATTTTATGAGAGCTAATCGAAGATGACATCAATTAATTATATTAATCATCGTCTTATAAAACAAACGTACTAACTTTCGTGTTGATATAACAAGAGTGAACAACGTTATGGCAGGAAAATGAACCCAATTTACTTACTTTAATTGACCGTGATGACATTTTCTTCGCAGCTAAAACATTTGTGATGCTGTGATTTTGCGAGCGAATAAAAATTTCTTTGCAAAGTCGCGAAATATTGACGATAGGTTTTGCACCTTCGCCCATATTAAAGGATTATTTTATACTTCTTTATACAGTCCGTTTCATAACTAAGGAGTTTTGGTGAACGTATTTTAAAAATTTGGTAATAAGTTGGTATAGATAAGTACTGTAGGAATTACGAACCTAAAAGGTTTTTCTTCAATATCTAATAACTTGCATTGTCTAACAGACTTATATTTAACTAAATTAAATCTAATAGAATCAAACAGGGAAAATAGAAGAATAAAATTTCTCTCTACTAGTAGACTAACACCAACTTTGCACTCTATGCAGCTCTGTACATATTAAACATAATGCTTTTTCTTCAATATTGGTAAAAAAAGTATGTTTCCGACCTCTTTTATTAAATATCAGGCAGTCCAAAACAATTTTTTACTTTCGTGATACATTTCAATCGATCAATAGAATTAATTATTTCGGCTTTTTTTTTTAGCAGCTTTTACGTTAATTATTTCGTACTCTTTTTTTTCAAGATTGAATAAGCCCTGAACAGTCCCATATATATCATAAGACCTAAAATATTAACCAGCCGGGGTGCCACGCAGATCATTAAGAAAATTTTGGTAAAAGACTTGAAGATGTTCCCTTAGAATGTGCGAATACTCCTAATCTGTTGGGTATTGTCCGTAAATCATGTCTAACATGCGCTCATGGTGTTCTGAATAAAGTAAAAACCATTCAAAATGTCCTGAAAAGAGACTAAAAGAATGCCACTGATATTTTCAAAATGATGAAATTGTATGTCCAAATAAACATGAAAACAAAATGCATTAGTTTTCTTTGTTTAATTTCAGTGGTATAGCTTAGATCTACCTTGTGTCATCAACTAAGAACTGCTAACTGATTGTAGCGCATTTATTGAACTAACGTGGTTCTAGAAACACAATAGGTTCTAAATTTAGGTGAAAGTACTTCGCGGGCTGGATAAAATATGTAGTTAGGTCGTGGGTTAAGCATCACTGCCCTAGTGGATAAAGGTCTATAGTTATACCGTGTACAATAAACTTAATAATAAAAGCTCCATGGATTATTTCCGACAGTGTGAAACCAGAAACATAAAACATTTTCTTTTGTATGTCTCAACTGAATCGAAAAAGAACCACGTTATTCCAAGAATAAGATCAAAGACTTATCCAGGCTCTCAAGAAGTTTCAATAAAGAAACGAAATATTGGCGATGATGAATTAGTTCATATAATTTTTCCTTCATCCTATTTCTAGAACAACAACGAGGTTCCTTTTCGATTGAGTGGAGATATAGAAAAGAAATTTTTTTATTTTTCTGGGCTTTGTCTGCCGGGAATAATCCTTTGAGCTACTAACAGGATCGAACAAGTTTCTCCTTTTTAGATTTTAATCAATAATTATAAAAGTGTACTACGTTTAAGTAGTAATGTGATGTAAGTATATTTAGGGGTAATAGAAAAAATATTTGTTCATAAGCATGGGTTCTAATCATAAACGTCACCATACCTTGTGTATGGATTTCAGTAAAATATCTGGTTCGGTATCGTTCGTTGAGTTATTTGGCTATCATTACCACCTAAGGAATGCATTTACTTTGTTACACTTGTATAAGGATGTATTCATACAATACTTTGCGTAAAAAGTACCCTTCATCACCTTGGATTGATTCTGATCTGTTATTACACTACTTTCTTGCATATTATAGGATGATGTACCAATAGGGATTTACGTTAGAAATGTTTCGGGTAAATTTACTTACGTATACTGATCTTCAAATATGCCCAAATCATCCAGTTCAATATCGATATCACACGTACGTATCGATACGTCTTCAAATATCTAGGTTTATTTGAATTATTCCACTAGTCTGATTCAGTATTGTATTATAAAACAACAGCTTTATTGAAAACTACCTTAACCAGTTATAGATTAAATATGAGCGAGATTCATTTCAATTAACTATCTTGGGATAAAGTTGTCCAACACTCTTTCCGCTGCTTAGAGCACGCTTTGACCATTTCTAGCTGTCTTGACTAATCTGTTGTTATCCACCTTGCATAAATCGTCGTTCAAAATCTTCTTCTTGTCCGCATCCATCACACTACATCCATCAACAGATTTGTATTGCAACCTTAGCCAATTTGAACAATTTTGTATTACAATTTTAGTCTTTCGGTTGTTTCTATTTCTTTTGACTTCTGTCCAAACGGCGATAGATTAGTTCACATTTTCCTTATCTTGGAAACATTTCAGTGCTTTTGTCTAAAATTATTTTTTTGTTTTTGGATGTTATACAAATTACCTTTTGTAACAATTAAGATCCAGTTAGAAATTAAGTTTGTTAGCAACAGCAATGGAATAAGGAGATAAGTAAGTTTATCAAAAAGAAGAACGTTGCGTGTCACAAGTTCATTAAAAAGTGGTTTATTTCGGTAACAATTTTTTCCAAATTTTATCCAAGATAACGTGACCTAAATAAAATTACAAGAAGAAATAGGTGCACAGTTTGTCATCGATATTGGAAAATGTAATAAAAGCTAAGATAGCAAATCGTGTACAACTTTATGAATAATTTCCATTAATGCAGTAACATGTGTGTGCCTATCTTTATTTGCGATTCAAAATGTTTTTAAAATTTTCCACTGAGACGGTAGCGCCAATGTGATCTGAGCGGTGCAACCTCGAAGGACAAACGCGACGGCCACGATGGAGTAGGAGAAGGAGAAAATTATACTTTGACGGCGTTCTCCATGACAAAACGATCAGTAGCAAGTTGTAATTCGCGAATCGCGTTGCGTTCGGGAAATTTAAACCAAAAAATAATCTAGCTGAGAAGCAACAGCTAAGAATTAAGCTTTTGTTTTGAAACCCGTGACACTGTTTTTTGATCGAAGACGCCATCCGCCGCTGAACACACCGTGTTCTCGATGCATATCCGTGCAAATGTGCGGCACCGTATGCGTGTTTAGCATGAAGTTCAACTATCATTACACCTGGAACCGCGAAATCGTGTTCAATTCGCAGAAACTAGTGAAAAGACGTTGAGATCGATATTTCTTTTCAATTTGGATTTTTCGTCGTCGACCACAAGCAATAATTATAAAAGAATACTAGACGTTTTTTTTATTTAAGAAATAAGACTGCGTAGAATAGGAAGTTATCTTTTTCTTTTTTTGTACCAACACTAGATAGAGATTATTAATAACAATCATAATAGGTAAAGACCTTATTTTTTGAGACTCTTGGGTTTTGTTGAATCGAAATTAATAAGAAAACGAAAGGGAAAGACGACCTTCGATTTGTAAAGTGAAGATATGGCTGCTGCGTGTTATGGTATGTTTATTTAAAAAGAAATCTATAATTTTCGTTTATGCATATTTGAAATATATATATTTTTTTTATTGAAAATTTGTGACTGGAGAATTTGTTTATACAAAGATTGTTAATCACGCTCTCATTTATTAATAAGTCTTTGATAAGAAAAAGAAATGTTTAAAAAAAACCGGTCCATGTATTTGCAATAAATATACAAGATTGCATTAGACACTCAACCTCTTGGTCGATACATTACCATTCCTTCCGTTGTAATAAACAGTTTATGAATGTTTATGAATCAAGGTGTTCTAACGTTTTGTAATTATCATGAAAATCGATGTAAAAACAAGGCTTACTAATATTCACTAAAAATAGTGAACAGGATAGAACAGGATTTTTCTTATAATAGATTTATGATATTAAAAAAAACTCACTCTGCCAAAAGAAAGAAAAAAAAACATATATAAACAGTTTCTAAACACATTTAGAAATAGACTTTTGAACCTCATGAGAGAAACGAAAAATCAAAGACGAATCGTATATTTTAATTTTTACAAACTCGTCCTCGTCCTGGTTTCTCTTCTATGTTTGCTCAGGGTCCAATTTCTTGATTCGTTATCATACAAATGGCAGCAGGCAAAAAATCAAAGACAATTATTGTAGAGTGAAAATAGCGCCATCGATTTGCGCTCATAGTTTTCATCGTTAATCGAGTCTGGAGGCTGTGATTCTTCGAGTTCTTGGGGTCACGCTCTTTGTATATTGCCTTCTCCGCCGGGAAGATAAAGTTAAATGCATATCTTTCAATACGTTGAACCGTCGGTGAATTAACTATGCGTCAACCGGTTATATCTGAAATATTTTTGGATATAGGCGTTGGAGTTTTTTCTGTCAACATGGAGTTTAGTCCAAAGTCCAACTTGTTTGTTGAAATTTTGGTGTCGTGAAAAATATTCACCTGGTCTAAAAAGGATTAGATGTATTTTTTAACTTTTGTAATACTATCTTGAAAAACTTTTACGTATATTAACATATTTTTAGATCATAGACGCAAGAAAAGCTATAGTATCTATAGCAGTATTAAAAATAAGAACAAAGGATTCATTAATTTATTCGCTTATTTCAAAAATGAAAAATGATATTGAAAAGTGGTAGCCGTATATTTTTATTACATTTCTTTTTGAAGAAAGAGTTATTGTAGTTAATGGGGGTTAAAATTAACTAGGTCATCATCTCTTCTATATATTACGTTCTAACTCTAGCTTGCATCTTCGTGGTTCTCTAGATATCATTAATATTTTGTTTTTTTTTTTTTATGGAAATCCTCATATTGTATTTTGTTGATGTTTTGCAACATTTATGGAGGAACTTTTGGAGATCATCTTTGTTTTTTACGCAGCACATTATGTTAATGTTGTGATTTCATGGAAAACCAAGATTTCCACAGTGACATCGTTGGTGCTTTAATCTTTGCTTTATTGTCTGTAAGTCTCAAAGGACTTTTCTAGAATTCAGTATATCGAGTACATCCTTTAATTTGACTCTATCATAAGCTGTTATTTAGGTTGATGAAACACACGTGCCCTGGGCAAATGAATTCTATTGTAGTTCTATTTGGTCGGATTCCCTGCTGTTCGTTCAGAATTTCTATCATTGCCTGGAGTTTTTAGTATATAAGCGTGGTATTTAATAATGTATTTAGAAAGGAAGATAAAAAGAAGCCCGACAACTATAGAGGTGTTTCTTTTTATCTCACTTTTTAAACGTTGGGATTGTAATGTTTCCGAAATTTACAAATTCATCATAACTTCTTTAAACTTATTTAAAATCTTGTGTTCTGCGTAAGCTATAAACCAGTGGTGTCCACTAATTTTTGATCAACATCGACTTTTTATATAAATGTCTTGGCAAAGATCGACCGAAGGGTTTCAAATCTTTTTTTTACATTTTAAAAGTAACTTTTTTTTTCGACTCAAAACGGCTTAATTTGAAACCCCTTACAAAATTTATTGTTTTTTCATTTTTTGTTTATTCAACTCTGACTACTTATTTCCTTCTTGTTTATCTTTTAACATATTTGTTTTATTTTATTTTTTTTTATTATTATTTCAACATTCATCTTAGATAACATTTTTTTGTACTTGTTGTGTCAATAAATTTGTTTTGATGTCTCTAAAGTGAATAATGTACAGAAGAACAGTAAAAAATTCTGGTTATAATTCTTAACATATTGAGACCTATCACAAATTAATGGATCCAGTTTCAGCGCCCAATAAATAATATAGTTCGTTTTTTTTCTATAATACTTGTCAATGTAAATTTTTTAGGGTTTCTGTTGGTATTATCTAGGACCCTTATAAAATTTATGTTGTTTTCCTGATTTTTAGTAACATTTTCATTGACTAAATAGTTAAGGTTAAAATACTAATAAATTTTTAGATTAATACGATTTTAACGAAATACATATTTATTGTAAAAACGTGTTACAAAGTAATTAAATAGAACAAAACACCTTTTCTAGGTAAATAAATGGCAAATAAACACCCCACAACATTTTTATGCACCTTTTCTTTTTAAATAACGAAAACTCAAACGTCAGTGTAACATATCTATTTCAAAATATGATAAAACAAAACTCCCTGTTAATTTTGCCAACTTTACAACAATTTCATAGGTATTATAGAAAAAAAAATGAAGTATAGTTTAATCACATCTATAACAATAACCTCGAAAATGACTTACTTACAGCTTATCACACCGGTGATGCCACCGATTTTAATATATTATTATTTTCTTCATGGTTTTTGAGAAAAAGAATCCAAAAATTTTGCGTTGTAATTTTCAGTATGTCAGCTAGGAGATTGGAAGAGTAAAAATACTTTATGTAGTTAATTCCCGAACTACTATCAGTTTCTTAATTTTTGTAGTTTTTTTCCCAAATTATAAATATTACATTAGATGACCAAAGAGAACATTCAATTTCCTGAATTTGCTGACTTGATGGCATAAAATGAAATCTTATCATACCTCTCTCTGTAATTTAAAAAGTAATAAGATAACTTTATTCTTCTGCAAATCTTTTATTTTTATAACCTCAACAAAATATAATTAATTAATTAAAAAAAAGAAATATAAAACTGCACATGGGATAGAAACCGGTACATCAAGTACATTAAGATATCGAGATATTCGCTCAGCAGCTGTGGGTTACTTTAAGTATAATAACTCGTTCAATCTCTTAACCGATACTGAAAAAATCTGAACTAGGAATGTTTCTCTCAATTTCTGAATGCCAATGATAACTATAGAATATTTTAGCCTTCCTTATCACAAAAAAATCATTAAAATTTGCCGTGAGTCGTGGTTATACTTATTAAATTACACCTTCGAAGTAAGGAAAAATTTAAGAACGAAGGCTTTCACGGCCGGTGTTAATTGAACTAAAATTAGAACTAACACTAGAAGCTTTCGGGTTTTGCTGTGCGTCTTTTAAGAAAAAGTTTGACGTTTCGGATGCCATGTTGCAACCTTCTTCAGAAACTGGTTCGAAGTGAACCAGTCCGAAACGTCAAACTTTTTCTTAAAAGACGCACGGCAAAACCCGAAAGCTTCTAGTGTTAGTTCTAATTTTAGTTCAAAGAAAAATTTCTTATCAATAATGATGCAACTAATGGCACAGGTCAAATTAGTTGAATTGTCAAAATCTTTATACATATCTAATTAATATCATGTCAAATACAAATATTAAACAACAATTGTTTGTTCTTTTTTAAGATAGGACTTTAATTGTCGAAGATTTATGCAGGGTGTTTTTTGCCATGTTTAGTATGGAGATCTCGAAAACTAGCGGAGATAGAGAGACGATTAAATAGGGAAAGAATTGCGAGCTTTGAAGCTTTGAATGAAGAGTTTTTTGTTTTTTGGATGAAATGTATGGTTAACTAGATATCTCGAAAAAACTGTTTTTTTGTTATATCGTTCGATACCTATGATGGCTCCGCTATTATTGATTTTAGGAAAATGTGTAAAGGAAAAATTTGTAGGGTATTACATGTGTATTTCATTTTACATGTATTTCATATTGATTACAATTTACAAAGCCTTAATCAATGTTAATTAGAAACTAAACGAAACATACGTTTGCCTTAAGCTGTCATAACCAAACGTTGTTTCCATAGCATACTACCTGAACAGTTTCCAATTAAAAGAATCAATGTCTATAATTTATTCATTAATAAAAATATCCATGTCAAGTGGTATATCATTAAAATCGTTGAGAAAAGGCCTTTTTCATAAAGTCATGGCCAATTATGGTTTCCATTAGAAAAATTATAAGTTTGTGTCATACCTCAAACATTATTGCTTAAATAAAAAAATCAGTTAGACTGCTTTATTAAACATGTAATACCCTACAAATTTTTCCTTTACACATTTTTCCTAAAATCAATAATATAGGAATCATAGGTATCTAATGATATAACAAAACAACGGTTTTTTCGAGATATCTAGTTAGCCATNAGTCATGGCCAATTATGGTTTCCATTAGAAAAATTATAAGTTTGTGTCATACCTCAAACACTATTGCTTAAATAAAAAAATCAGTTAGACTGCTTTATTAAACATGTAATACCCTACAAATTTTTCCTTTACACATTTTTCCTAAAATCAATAATATAGGAGCCATAGGTATCTAACGATATAACAAAAAAAACGGTTTTTTCGAGATATGTAGTTAACCATGCATTTTATCCAAAAAAACAAAAAGCTTATTAAATTGAATTCATGAAACTGCAATTCTTTCCCTATTTAATCGTCTCCCTATCTCCGCTAGTTTTCAAGATCTCTATACTAAACATGGAAAAAAACTCACCCTGTATTTGTGCGTAATAAGACATACTTACTGCCACTTTTACCACCTCTTAGGCCCAGTTTATTCACCTTTGGTTACATTTAACTACTGGGTTACTATGGTTACTGGAAACATTTCACTTGCCATGATTGGCGAGTTGACCAATAACTATGGTAAATATCCGATAGTTAAATTTAACCAAAGGTGAATAAACTGGGTGTTAATAAATTTATCTGATAGATAAATCCAGCTCATAACCAATACGAGCTCTAGATAGTTTATCAGACGGATTGTAAAAGTGTAAGGCCTACACTGACAATGAAATATTATAACTGTTGACAATGTTGAAAGTCATCTAGGTTCATGTCCAACCACAGTTTTCCGATGGCTCTTCTGGATGTAAGACTCAATCAACGAACTTGATACTATCCATGATTTAACGATATTGATTTTTCCAATGCTTTTGATGTGCATTTCTTAGATTGGCATTGACATTTCTCAATATTTGCAAAAGAAGTATCAATTCATGCAGATCAATCAAGTATTTTCACGTTCTTTGCCAATACCATTTAGTGTACTATAAGGCAGTATTCTTATCCCTACATTTTCAACAATTCACTTAATTATTTACTAAGCAGAATGTGATGTCAGTGATTTACTATACCTACTTCCTTGTGTTTGATTGCTCTAAATTTGAGCAGATTTCTCAATACTTACGCCCTGCTGAATGCTTATTTATGGAAAGCTGGCAGTTAATGCATTAACCACTACAGGTTATACAGGTTGCGGCCTGTAGTACAGGTGGTTGTAGTCTCATCCTGTTCTGTTGGTCACCCTATTTAGTATCCAATATGGTTTGGACACCAACCGTCGAAATGTATGTAAGCAAATACTTGAATACTTAGCAAAGATGAAGTGCGTTTTTACCTCACTGGGGCTGTGAATGAACAAAATTTTCACTACTTGGGTGAACATAACCCCAACATTTTTCACGAAAGATCGCTAAATTCCCTAAACTGTGAGCGAAAATTCGAAATTCATTGACAGCTATCGGCCATTCTCATTTACATATACCTAATTCACAATGCGTATGATATCATTCAACAAATTTTCCATAATTTGAATATAACGTTATGAATAAAAATGTAAAATTTAGAATACGTATTATGTCTGATATTGATCAAAACTTCATAAAACAATCTCTTCAATAATAAAGTTACCGCATTTAGCTTATCACATCTTTTTTATGTTATAAGTCCCAAGGCCATTGTTATTCTATTGTGCATTTATTAAAATAGTGATAACTTTTTTCATTTTAAAGTGACTTCATCTGATTTATGTAAATATAGATATGCAGAAGTAACTGTGCAGGGCGTGAATTCAATCAAGATCAATGAAAACCATCGTTACCAGCGTTTTCTCGGTGGCACAGATTCCTGCTCACCCTTCTTGAGTAGTTAATGTTGGTTCTGATGGTTTCGGAGCGCCTCGATCCTGAAAATCTTCTCATCAATGAAGAGAACTTTTGATAAACAAGCACCGGCGATCAGGACAATCATTCGATGAAAATTTTACAATCTTTTTAGCTTGAAATCGTTGAAGAAGTGGAGACGACTGATCTTGTTTAGATTTTCTGACCATGTTCCAAGTGCTACCGATCCTGACGCCAAGCTTCCTTTTCCTGATCAAACGCTCCGTCTTGCGTTGAACGGAACAACATAGTTTCTGCACATTCTTTGGAGTCGTGGCAGTGATTGGACGCTCCTCAGTTCCTCCAGTCTTCTTGACAATTTGTTTCTTACGATGTCGATCATTTTCATTCTCGATTTGTACAGCTATTTATATGTATTCCCTTCAATGTTAACTTTCTTTCATATTTTTGTAGAATTCCTCATTTTAAAACAAGAAAGTATTTAGAACGCTATATGTATTTATGCGTGGTTAATAGCTATATTGATTATGAAATTGGTCTGAAAATCCTAAACCTACTGCGTTATTTTCTAGAATTTCTTGATCGAAATCAATAAAAACCAATTAAAGGGGATTTAAAAAGTTTCAGATAACCGATTTCTTGTTAACAAAATAATCACAAATTTGTGGAATTGAAATGTTTCGTATAATTGATCTATTTAAGAAAGTGGGAAATCCCAAGGAATTTTTCTGGTGTATTTCGTTTAATTTTGCCGTTAACAAATATCAATAGAAACAAATTCATCTCAGCATTTACAGAAATTTTATGAACTTATGATAACTTACGATTATCAATCAAGCAATGAAAAATAAGAATCTTCTCAGAATTTTGCGCGATAACGTTAGTAAATAATTTCAAAATTAATAATCGTCCTAAATAAACAAAAATTTCGAAATAACACGCTATTTAAGAAATAAAGAAAGAAAAAAATCCGTGTGGTACTGACCACAGTGAAAGTCCTTCGCAAAAGATAAAAAATAAAACAAAAAAAAAACTCGATTATAGAGAACGAGTCCAAAGTCCGCGACTATAAGGTTATGAATTTAAATTCCTAAAATTACTCACAGCCGTTGAAACTAGGTAGTTTTTAGAACTGAATTAAAAATTATTGCATTTAATACAAAATTATTTATGTTTATGAATTTTAGCAAAAAATTCAATAATTTTTTTTACTGATGCAAGAACTATAAGAGAAATCCGATTTTGAATGTAGAGTTTCGTAAGTTATTGAGAATTTAAGTGGATTCAAAAATTATTGGTTCCCCACTTCTCCATTTTGAATGAATTTCAGTAAGGTCGCGCAAAAATAATATACGATACTTTCACTTGAGCAAAATTCTTCTAACACTAAAAACTCCAATTCAAACTATTAAACAAAATACTAGAAAGCAAATATTTTTTTGTACTAAACACTTAAACACTATCCTGTTTAAACTACGACATAATAATTACACCTTATAGTCATACATATTTAAGTAAAATTCTTTATGTCTAGACAAAAAGAATATTAAGTAAAAAACAGGTTTTCCTTTCAAGTTTACATAAACCAAGAGCTTTCCCGTTAACTCCTTCTCTAGTAAGTAGTAATATAAAAATAGAAAAATCACGGGCTCACAGAGTGATACTTTATACTATACACCCATTTTCTTTTTTTTAAAACGTCTTAATATATTCAGAGACCGCGCTTTTCTTGGCCGGTACGTCCTTGGCAAGTGGACAATTGTCGCACAAACCAAACCCGTCGTGTAATTGACAGCTTGTTCCACTAACTGGAACAACTATATTGGAATCTATAAACCATTTAAAGAGGATTTAATTCGAAATCGTATCAATAAAATATTTTCTTTTGTTGAATAAATCCCATAATTATGACCTTCATATATTTGATATATAAATTACCATTACTCACATAGTCAATTTATCCTAGATAATTTAAAAAAGCCTTTTTTATATAAAATAAAAATACAAATAAGTGAAATTCCCCTAACTCAAATCATTAAGGGACCGGAAGAAAATTTACAGCTAGGGAGATTCAAGTTAGAGCAAAATTAGTTGAATTTCAGTTCTAAAGAAAAAAACGAGAAATGTACTTTTCTAATAGGAATATTCTTTAACCTTCTAGTACAAGCGCCTATTATAGTCACACGCGGCGGACTGTAAGTTCGCAATTGCCAATAGGAACGATCAACGGGCAAAAAATGGCGTTAGTTAGAAGTTCATAGGCTCAAATATTTGCGGGACAACTAAAACTCGAAATAACACTAGCACTAGAACTAACACTATACCTAGAACTAGAATCATTTGGGTTTAGCCGCACGTCTCTAAAGACGGCTAAACCCGAATGATTCTAGTTCTAGGTATAGTGTTAGTTCTAGTTTTTGTTCAATAACAACTAAAACCAAAGCTAACACTAGTAGTACTAGTGTCAGTTCTAGTACTAGAAGTGACACTAGACCTAGAACTAGAAACATTCGGGTTTAACCGTCTTAAGAGACGTACGACAAATCCTGAATATTTCTAGTTCTAGAGTTAGTATTAGTTCTAGTTTTAATTGTTATTCAGCGCTACAATGATTGCATAAAAATATCATATATATGTATAATTATCATTTCGTTTCCTATTTTATTAAAACTAAAATAAAAAACGTTTTATTTTATTTTCAGAGTCTAGCTTCCCATGGTTGGAAGATCAGATCGGTTTTACAACCATAGAACAAAAATACGCAACAGAAGACTTACTACAAGAGTTCGAAAATGTATTGGAAGCGGTAAATCCAGGAGCGTTAACACCACCGCAAAGCCCCCCACGCGAACCACAACCACCACCAATCCTAACCACCCTCGAGCCAATAACTGTCGGCCAAATCTACCCGGTTTATACGACCACAGCTCAAAAACTCGATGATTGTCCAAAAACTCCTCAAACTATCGCACACGAATTGGCAGTTGTTGATGAATTAGTTCGAGCGAGAGCAAATGATATTTTGTGTGAATCACCGCCATCTCCGAGTACAAGTAATTCAGGAAGTTTCGATGATTCTTCGTCGTCGTCTGAAGATCCGGAGTGGATTCCGGAAACTGTAATCGAATCGGAAAAGTCGTCCGCTAGACGCAGATATAAGCCGTATAAAATTTCACCGGTTGATAAGAAAAATCGGAAAAAGGAGCAAAATAAAAACGCGGCGACTAGGTATCGATTGAAGAAGAAGGCGGAGGTTGAGGAGATTTTGAATGAGGAGAAGGGCGTGTTAAAGGAAAACGAAGATTTGACGAGTAAAATCAGCGATCTTCAAAGGGAAATTCGCTACTTAAAGGGGCTTATGCGCGACCTTTTCAAAGCTAAAGGAATTATTCAATAAGAAAAGAAATATGATTTAAAATAAATTAGATTTAATTTGTTTCTTTTTATGTTAAGGTGATATATTACAAATTAAGTCACACTGCTTCAATGTTTGTTTCAATATATTGGTAGCTTTAGGGAAGCTGTTATTTTAATCAATTTACTTAGTAAGTATATGCTTATAAAGTGCTTTCATTAAAAAAATATGTTTTTAAAATGGATGACGCCCAAGGCTGATGATTTTTAAGAACACATTTTTTAAAGCACTATTTCTTTAAACTCTTTCATCTTTCTTTTTTCAATGCCACATGTAGTTGTAACATTTACATTTTTATTTTACTAATAAAGTTTATGAATTATGTTTTAGGTGCATTTTTGTGTTTTATTTCTGATGATAAATATAATGTCGCAGAGTAAAGAGCATAAATAGTAAAAAAAATTAAAATTATTTAATGCATTTAAACAAGTCACATTAAAAAATTTCCCTGTTCCAACCATTCGTAATTGAGATTTACTATACAATAGCAATTAATATATAATAACCATAAACTACAAGGATGATTATATCAGATTTTGTCAGAAAGATTTCGCAGTAATATAAGCTAAAAAAATCAAAATAAGTCATCATATGCTATGCTGAATCCTTTAATTTTCAGTATCTATGCTATTAATATTGTAACCAAAATAACTAAATTATAACGTGAAGATAAAATTAAGTAATGGCAAGCTTTTGAAGTAATGCAGTGACTAACAAATATCATTGATGGTAGGAAATAAGATTGAAATTAATAGATATGAATTACTTAATAAGCTGAAGATAATAACGACTGGTTTTTGACCCTGTAATATTATTACCACCACCTACATGTTCGTCTGCAGAAAGGAATTATACACAATTAGAAACTATCAGTTTCTGATTTCAGTGAATATGAGTTGAAACAACAATGAAAAAGAATCTGAAGCAGAAGGTAGAGATAAGTTTGACATTCCTAATTTTGAAAATATAGATATTGGGGATTTCCCTCTTAAAAATTTTGAAAAGAAAAAATCTGTTGTTCATTATGTGGCCAAAAATACTTCTAAATGTGTTGTTGTTTTACACTTGCCTAATCAAAATTTTTTAAAAGGCACACTTTGAATATGATCTATTTTCTTTATTTTGTGAGATAATATAATTCTAATGATTTTATGACTAAAAATCAAAACTGGTTGAAGGTAAATAATAAACAAATATTAGGAAAAAGTGATAAATTATATTATTTTACTACTTTCCAACATGATAATAACAAAAGTAATCCCAAATATCGATTTGATAATCATCCATTTAAGATCCATTGTCTATAATTCATTTAAAGTAACAATTTAAAGCTTAAAAACAATTCTTTTTAATAAATATATATTATTATATTTAATTTTATTCATCCACATAGGGAATTTTTAATGGACTTGGCTCCCCAATTTCAATCCTATCATCTCCATCATCACTTTTATAAACTGTCACTGCTACAGAACCAAACACAACCTTTAAAAATTCAATAAAAACAAGATCCACAACTTTTTCCATTGTAACTTCTTTAAAGGCTTCACTTCTTACTGTCTGAATAAAACCTAACTTTTCAAACAATTTTATACTAGCCACATTATCATCCAAAATGCGTACAAGGAAATGTTTCACATCTAATTGCTCGATTCCGTACCATAACATTATGGCCATGGCTTCAATACCACAGTGTTTTCCACGAGCCCATTCTTCAGCAATCATTATTTCTGCTTCTGCTGCTAATGTTGTTTCAGTATCCATGAAATACAAATTTGTGTCACCAATCATTGATTCTAATCAGATTTGTGATGGTTAAAAAGCATAATATGAGAAAAATATTATATGTATTTACCTATTTCGTCTCTGGTATGTTGGTATTTTTCCTTATCAAGAACTATAAAAGTGCACTCTAAAAAATAAATTTGCGTTAAAGATTGAATTGAACTCCGGTAATCTAAATACTATTAGCATCGACCATCCAAGAATTCTGCATTTCATACTCCTGTTGTAATGATAACGGTTCTGACCCAGTTAACCGCAATAATTCCGGCGATTGCATCCATCTGTGATACCTGAATACAAGTAAAAGTAAAATTATTAACAATAATGTGTTTTAGTAACAAACAAAGATAACTTACTTTTCTACGTGTTCCTTTTTATATGGTATCAAAATGACTTTACTGCCAATTATTTTAGTATTTCTGTTAATCAACATTTCTAAATTTACAACGATTTCAATGAAAATTGATGAAAATTTATTTTACAAAATTAAGGTTATGTTTTTACAATTGAACTAAATCCCTTTGACGTTTATGAATTAGAATATTTAACAATTAGGATAAATGAATCGTATACTATTTGAACCACTGATAAGTGACAGTTGTCAAGAAGCCTAAATGTCAACATTATTATTTTCAAGCTAAGATTACATTAATTTGAAATCGTTAAAACGTTGATTTCACAAATCAAAAATGGGTAGAAGATCGATAAATACCACGAAAAGTGGTAAATACATGAACCCCACTGATCAAGCAAGTAAGTATTTTTAATTATTTCACATAACCTTAAATGGAGAAACTGCAATTTATAATAATTAATAAATAGGAAAAGAAGCTAGAAAGCAGGAGTTGAAAAAGAATAAAAAACAGCGACAAATGGTTAGAGCTGCCGTTTTAAAAGGAAAAGACCCCCAACAGTTGTTAGAGGAAATGGAAAAAATAGATCAAATGGGTAAATTTGATACTTATTAGCACGATCATAGAACTAAACATATTGATCTTTTAGAATTTAATGTTCACCAACCATCACCTTTAAATGAAAAAGTTTTAAAAGATAAAAGAAAAAAGCTTAGGGATACCCTTGATAGGGTTTTAAGTATGTATGTAAGTAAAGTGTTGTATTTTTTACATAAAATGTTAATTCATATTTTAATTGATCCTACTTTTAGCATAAAGATGATCCCGAAAAATGGGTTGAACTAAAACGAAGACAAACAGAATATGAACATAAAAAAAACCAATTGGTTTCATTTTACGAATCAGTTAGAAGTGCCCAACAAGTCACTGTGGATGAAATTCCATTACCTCAACAACCTCAAAATCCATCTTTACAAATTCCTTTACCTATTGAAACAAGAAAAGCTCCAGATATCCCTATTTATTCCATTGCCACAGCTTTAAAGTTACAAGCATTGGGTAAATCTATAAGGGAACCACCCGGTTGTCCCCCAGGGCCTCCACCGGACATTAACAGTGATGGAGAACTTGAGGAGAATGATTCAACAGAAACTGATGATATCCAGAATGATTTAGACTCTTCACAAGATGATGATAAAGAATCACCAGTAAAACCAACCTCGTTACAACAAAAAATGGTGGCTATTTCTGGTCAAAACGTCGATGACTTTATGAAAGAAATGGAAACTGTGCAAAAAAAGATGGAAACGGATAAAGAAGAAGACATTTCTAAATTAAAACCATCGGTAACCGTCGATGTTCCTACTTCAACTACTTCAATCATGGAACCTTTAGAACCACCACCAACCAATAAACCAATTCAACCTCCAATTCCTCCATTAGTTATGTTCCCAGGTGGTCCATTAAGAGTACCTCCAGGACCTCCCCCAGGAAGACCGTTATTACCACCAGGACCTCCCCCTGGTTTACCACCACCAAGACTACCTTTGAGACTTCCACATCCACCGGCGAGAATGATTAGAATACCGGGACCACCACCACCTAATTTGGCACAATTAGGAACACCGAACGTACTATCCGCGGGACCACAATTAATTAGCAGAATGGAGGCACCAAAAAGTATGGGAGCTACGATTATGGCTAAACCGCAAATAAGAAATTTAAGTGCTGATGTGACGCGATTCGTACCTTCAGCCTTAAGAGTCAAGAGGGAAGATAAAAAGATGAAGCCATCGCGGACCAGTTTAATTAATGAATTACGCCAAAAGGACTATATCACGCAAAATATGCAAAAACAACCTACTAAGGATGATGCTTATATGCAATTTATGAAAGAAATGCAAGGGTTATTGTAATTTTATTATTAAAATAAAAAACATCGCTGTCTTTTTTCTTTATTTATAGCATAAACCTAAGATCTCGTTTCTTTAAATTAATTTCATTGTTTTTATTCAATTTTAAATATATGTATTAAATTTTGTAACATGATGTGGCAGTTTTTTGTCTAAAGTGGAAATAGTGGCCAAAATTGTTTTAGTCATACCTCCATAGCTTAAAAACATCGAAAATTGAATTTTTTTATTGCTTTTGATTATAATTGAATTAATAAATCGAATTTTTATTACTATTATAATAAATTGTTACTTCTCTTTGTATTACATTAGCAAACTCTGACGACATCCTAATTCAAAATAACTTAGGCGAAAACATTCCATCAAATCATAGCGCCTAAAAAATCTTAATGTGCTCTACAGAATAAGAACACTAAGCTTCATAGTAATATAGAAGGAATAGCGAAAAGCGTGGTCAATAGGAAATGATAACATTATCTACCGGGCACAAAAAACGGATGTTGTAATGGAAAATTATATTATAGATAACGGACAACTGAAAAACCAAAGTGCGATCATCTTTCTATCTTGGATCACAAGTAAACGCAACGTGTAGATTCAAGAGGACACCGGGGTTCTGCACATAAGTGGCAATTTAACTTCTGCAAGTGACTTGAAAAGAGCGTAAAAAGGCCTACAACCCTGTAAGTGGTGTGTATGATGCACTCATTTAAGATTAATGATAACCAAGTGTTTTAATGTTGGACTTGACGTGTACAGTAGGAAAGTGATTTCCAAGTATAAGTAAGAAATATATATAACACGTGAGGATATAAATATTGGATACAAATTCTTAATATAAGCTAACAAATAATGCAAATTTAGGTTTTTTCCATTCTGACATCTATCTAAGGATCCAATGAGATGCAAACTTCCTCTGGAAAACAAAGCAAAAGAGCAAGTTATGTTATTTGACTATCTAGGCATATAAATCACCTCATATCAAAATAGAATAAAGCAAGTAAAAGACCAAGCAAACAAAACCAGCCAAATATCAAACACATTTTCTGAGATTATCTGGAACAACACTTTTTTTCCGGGACAATATGAATAAAAAGGCAAAAGTAAGAATATACAAAACCTCTATTAGACCTCTACTAATATACGCTATAGAAACAAGAGCGGACAACAAAAGAATGAAAAATATCCTTCGAATAGCAAATTTAAAAATACTCAAAAGCTTTCAGATATGTGCTTATGGTGCTTAAGCTGTGCTTAAAGGTATAACCCTAAAACTAAAATAAACCTAAAGAGAGTAAAGTTATATATCACTCTTAGAAGACATCTGCCAAGTAACCTCATTTCTCATGCTTGCTAAAAAGGTAAATTCCAGGCGCTAGTGTTGCTCAGATTTTCTCTGTAGAGAATACGTCGACCAACCAAGATGTGCCATATGCAGATACATAAGCAGGTCATACCATAACTTTGCTGCGGAGAAGAACCCAAAAATATTCATCGACGCGATAAATCCAGGTTTAAAAAATACTCCATATGGTTAGTTGATTTCGGTCTACAGAGTTAAAGGTAAAACTTGTCAAAACTTCACTGGGCAAGAAAAATAAAAAATTTATAACATTAATATTTATAATTTCATTCATAAACACCAACTTGTTCAAATGAGATAAAATTTCTAAGTATCTACCTAGGTTGAAAACTCACCTGGAGTAAATACTCATATCATATACAGGGTAATTCAAATTCGACCAAATAAAACAAAAAAATTACTTTTTCGTTTTTTGCCTATAACTTCTTTATTTTTCGTGTTTTCGTGAATCTGAAAAAACATTCTTAAGGCAACTTTTTATGATAAATGATGTTACTGAAAAGAGCATATTTTTAGCTTTCCAATTATGTATCGCATGTATGGTGTGTTTGCAAAAAATAAGCGTTAATTTTCAATTCCAAACGGTTCAAAATTTTGATTATAGTAGGCGGGTCCGGACAGTAAATACTACCTAGTGGCTATATGGTTTTGCATGAATATGACAGAATAAAGTTGGTTTTGTACCATTATTCAGGATAAAGTTGGTTTTGACCAACGAATAAAAACTTTGAATAGTTAATTAAATTTTTCAGCATCTTATTTATCATTTTTTATTGGTGAACAAAGTCAGGGTTTGTTCACCAACAAAAAATGGTTAGCAAGTAAAGTTTATCTATTAAAAATACAAGCAATGTATTAATTAATGAATTATTAAATATGAACAACAACTTCAGGAACTAAACAGTCACAGACTGCCATCTTCTTCTACTAAACTTATTGGTTGTAAGGTTGTTCGGTATCAATGAATGAAATCTTCGGTAGTATTTTCCCAGTTTTCCCCAAACATAAGATTTAGAAGTTTTTTGATATCACCAATCTTTTCTTTTGAAATTGGGTGAAGTAGAGGAAAATTAGGGATCATAAACTGGAAGCGGACTTTCCATTGAAACACCGTTTCAATGGGGATATGATGATTTATCTATCATCTTCAAAGCGGACTCCAATATATTCTATATTTAATTTTATCGTTTTATTTAAAAATAATGCGGAAGTTCTTAAACGGGAAACTCGTTTCGCAAAATTCATGAATGAAATGACAAGTAAACTCACGTTTCTATAGTAACAAAGTAGGATTTAGCGTTTTCCTCGCCTACTATAATTAAAAAGTTAAATTGTAATCTTTAATATTTTAGAATTGAAAAATAACGCTTATTTTCCGCAGATACATCATGCGTGTGATACATTATTGGAAAGCCAAAAATATGCTCTTTTCAGTAACATCATAATCAACTATCTTATACTACTTTATGTTATATCTCAAAAAGTATCAGCTATGTTTAAAATTTTTCAACGGCAGTATATTTTACTTAAGAATGTATTAACCCCATTTCTATAATTTCAAAAATAAACGAAATATGAGCATTTTTTGAAATCGCTAAAATTTGACTTTTTGGCTATAACCTCAAAACAAAAGAAGATAAAGATTTGATCTTTACGGGATTGGATTAGTCTCGGAAAAAGAGGGCGGGACATGACACCTATTTTTTTTGTATTTCTTATAGTTTCTCAGATAGCCTATAATAACACCCAAATTTGCCCACCCTGTACACTAATTTTTCGTTTATTTGTTTTATTTTGTATGTAAATTTAATTTACGGTAACAATTCGAGGTACTTGACAATCTCGGATATCTAGATTAATTAATTAATTATTGATTAGTTTTTATTAATAAACAACTTTTACATTTTTTCAAACATTTTCTAATGTAAGGGTATAATAATTTTACGTCATCGTAAAGAAAAAAATAATCTCTATCAAATGAGCCTACAAAAGGGTACATTGTCATTTAAAAAAATTTAAGTATTATGCGTTACTTATTTGTTTTCTGAATTAAAAACAATTGAATGCAATCTTATTATCGCAAATAAAATATTAAACAACTTTTGTATAAAATTTTTTATAAAGTCAACATTTACCGAGATATATACTATATTCCATACAAATGGGCACCCTGTATTAAAGTACCTTTAAAATTCAGTAAAGAATCACCCCTTGAAGTTTGTTGCAGTCATTCAGATACACCTGTATATATATTTTTTTTACTTATGTAATAGCATAACTTATACATACCTCTTTTAATTCACCTTCCATGGATTGACACTAAGCTTCTAGAATTTAAATCGTCAACATGCCATTCCATGGTTGACTGCATACATGATGTTAAAACAGAATTTTGGCAACTCAAAACGCTGATAGTGCCGGAGACCTTAGAGCGTCAAATTGGCAAAGTTCTTGCGAAAAATAATTGTTAAATTTCTTACAATCTTGCTCTATAGTCGCTAGACCAAAACTTGGACTTTTTTCAGGTAAGTTTCTCATTAGATAGAAGGAATTTATCATTATACAAGTCTTTCCATATTAAGACAATACAATTCAAGAGCTTTTTCAAATAGAAAATTTTAACATAACTGGGTGATGTCGTCAGTAATACCGCAATACGTTGATATTTATTGTCTTCAAGTGCCAATGTAGTCGCAAGGAAACAAAAGGAATGATCAGACCAGGATACAATGGACTAATTTAGGTGTTATTTTATTTATTATAACAGTCAAATCGACATTTTTAAGATAAAAAATGACTTACAATTTGACCATCATTAAAACACCACAATTTCAATTTTTTATTGAGGTTATCTTTATTATTACTTTTTTTGTCCGATCTTTACAATCCTACTTATTTTTTACGCGCCTTAAACAGTATCTTTCAGAAATAGAGAGTCCATTGAGTATTAAAAAAAATAATAAACTTAAAGTTATCAACACTTCCAGAACATAACCTCATTCTCTAACACATATGCGTATTATTTGATTCCAGTTTTTTTCTCAATCTGACGTTTTCGCATCCTCATCCCAGTACTAAATATGGTACATAATTGTATTTTGTGCCATTCTCCTTCATCGAAATCAAGTTCCAATTTGACGCTGTGATATCTCATGACTACCTTCCGGAAAATATACTCATCGATTTACTACTCGTGCGTTTCCGTAACAATCTGGTGCATAAAGTCGTATCTTGAAACGTTAATGGCCGTTCCAAAACTCTTTCGATAACTTGTATCCAACCGTCTCGTTCATCTTCGGTCATTGCCGATAAATTGTACGTACGTTCAGGTGTGGTTAAGGTAAATGCGAAACCGAGGTCTTTCACTCCTGCTTGAGCGCCGACTCGAATCGCGTAACCGTCCATGTTGTGTCCCAAAAATATTTCTCCTTTGGGGTTAGCGTCTAATGGCTCATCGTGGTACATCAATTTTCGATTTTCCAAACTAAACCAACGTTTTTTGAAACCATCCGTGTTTCTTGGTCCTGTTTTGTACAACCACCCTTCTTTGGCAAAGTCTTGCGTTAAAAAATCAACCAGCTCATCTTCGCTGGCCGATGGGAATGCTACTTGAAGACGATGTAACTTTACGCATCGAATCGCCATGTACCAATTCGTAATAGTAATGGGGTCCTCGTGATAAACGTAAATATGTCGCGTTGAACCGTCCTTTAAAAAGGTTATTTGTAAACATGTCGGGATACCAACCTTTTCCGGAGCAAAGATTACGTTTAAATCGGAAACCTGTAATATCGCTTTTGGATCTTTATTTTCTTTGACGAAATATTTTAAAGTGTTATCTGATTCGGATAACACGAATTTACGTTGGTAGAAATTGCTGTCTTCTTTTCCACGTTTTTTTAAAAATCCTTCCATGTAACCGCTTACGTATGCTTGACGTTCTGGATGACAGAATTCTTCTCTTTGGTATTTTGCTCTTATCCATTGTTCTATTAAAACTCTAAAGAATAATACAATTAAAAAGTGATCACAATTTACTAAAGACAATGTGACTGTAAAAAACGGACGTTCATGAATTATTTACTAATTTTTCGCACTTATAAGGGCTTAATAGGCTCATACCAATATGAATCTGTTGTACCTAAAAATAACCAGTTTGATCTCAAATATAACTAAATTATTGTTGCGCATAATTGTAAAGTAGTTCGTATTTTTAAATAGGACGCTTGGTTTCGTTTTGCGCACCTCGCGTGCTTTTTCTGACATCAGTGTGTACAAGCCCCTGTTTTTGATCTTTGTATTGTCCAAATTGGAATATGGTTCTGTAATTTGGCCATCACAATATGTGTGTCATAGACTTATATTGGAAAGAATTCAGAGGAGATTTCTCAGATATTTGTCTCTACGCTTGGACGGATCATACCCGGATCGTGGAATGGATTACGCATCCCTGCTGCAACGTCACAACTTTAACTGAAATATTTTTGCATCATCTTTGGACATTACAATTCAAATAATTAATCGCCTTGCAACTGAACAAGGAGCAACCGCTGATGGTAAGAGGATTGTTTAAAAAAATAAAGTTGTTATTAGGAAGTCGGTATGTTCTGGAACAAAGATAAGCACAAAAATCACTTCATCTCACGTAGAAAAAATTTAATTTTTCTGTAAGTACTGGTTCCAACATCAAAATTAAAGCCGAATCTGCATCTGCAGATGAATTGTAAAAATTTGCTAAAATTATTGAAATTGCTCAGGGGATACACCCCTGGTATTTGTGTATGATCAAGCGTTTCGTATCTGATCAAATTTTTAATGTAGTCTCTTTTGGGAAAGAATGCCAAATAGAATTTGCGTAGCAAAATCACAAAAAAAAGCTGTTTTATATGTTATTTATGTTGCTCCAACACATCAGGAGATCGGTTCTTGAAATCTTTGCCAATAATATATGAATGTTAAAGGTCTCGAAGTTAAAGTTTTTTTGATTCTGGATAATACGCCTGAACATCCGGTCTTAGAACATCCATGTGTATAATTTTGTGTTCTATCACTTAATGCTACGTCCTTGATCGTAAAACGATCATTTGAATACGGTGTAAACAAAATGGATTGAGTCAATCAAGTAGGATAAGCGTTAAATGATTTAAAGTCATTAACTTTGAATGCATGGTGAATGCCAGAATGTGTCAAAAATAGAGATTCCGTCATCAAATTTCCTAACATAATAACAGTGGCACATACAATTGGAGGAGAAAGGTTTCATGATTTATCGTTTGTAGATATCGAGGAATTGTTATTTGAGAAATCCTTAAGTGAAGATATAGGTTATCCTTCAAACTCCTGATCCCAAAGAGCATAGTGACAATGACGAAGAGGATCTTGTTCTAACTACAGAATTAATTCAAGAAGGTCTTTAATTGGCCAGTAAATTAGATAATTATTTTGGTAAACATGACCCTAATGAAGAACGAGCGGGAAACTTTCAACGTGAGCTGAAGTCATTAATGGCACCTTACAGTGAATTATATAAAGGCCTAGACTAACCGGGAACGAAACAGTTAATTTTTAATCTTCCTTAGGGCGTGTTTCTACAACGACAAAATATCAATTAAAAAACAATTATTAAAAAATTAATTTTTTTAAACATACCTAAGTTCTTGAAACTGGCAAAACGTCGTATTTCGATTAAAAATTTAATCGAAATATTGGCATGTTAAAATAGTTGTTTTAATTGTCCAAGATCCTACTCCTGAAACAGTTAGTAACTGAATTTCCTAAACCCATTGAAATAGTATCAGCACCGCAGAAGAACAACACTAATTTTATTCCAAGGTCATAGAAAAATATGATTACTAACAATAAAATGTTTATAGTGATAATAGTGACAAACTTTTATATTTTTTTATTTTTAATTATTTTGTAAACCGATAGCAGAAACAAAGAAGACTAAACAGAGGATGAGGGTGATGGAGATGAAAGTCTTGAGATTGAATGTGACACTGCGAGATAGGCAGACCAACACCTCTCTCAGAGAAAGATGTAATAAAATGGACAAAAGTAAGAAAGAAAAGGTGGAAAGAATGGATGAGAGGAGATTGGCCAAAATATGCATGTCAGAACGACCGCCCAAGAGATGGGCACAGAGCTGCTTCTCCTCATTTGCGGAGTAAAGTCCAAACATAAGGCTTGTTTGTCAAGCCTTATATTTGAAGCATCCCTAGTCGAAAGTAGAAGAAAAAGATTTTGTAAACCTTTTGTTTTAATGAGTTAATTATTTTTATTATTAATTATTTTATGCAATCGTAGGCTCGGAACCTACGCTCGGAATCTTTCATTTTTCGTATATACAATGTATTTTTTATACGAATTCTTCGAGAACGTATTTATCGTGTAAAAACAGAAAGACCATTTATATAATTTATTATATTTCTATCAGAAAAATATTTGTTCTTGAATATCGAGCTCTGATATGTCATTTAATTGTTTTATGTCTTTTACTATCATCTATACGTTTATACAATAAATGACTTCATGACAAACTTGTAATTTTTAATATTTTTAACTTTGCGGTTAAGTAAAAAACCATTTTCAAGATGACGTCAATTTGTAAGATTCTGATTTCGCAAAATTATGTGGGATACAGTAAACGATATCTCGACAATTATTCAACGAAAAAGATTGTGGTAAAGTTGATTAGAATCTTTCCGTATAATTACTATAAAACGATAACAACATTATTTTACACAAGAAAAGCTAAACAAGTCAATTTTGTTTGATAAAGAGCTTACCTTTTCTTTAGGGTTTTAATTAGTTTTAACTTTAGGAATCTTTTTAATTAGCACAAAACCATATTCAAACAATTTTTATTTGAAAAATAACTTTCCTATTTTATTTCTCCTATTTCAAAATTATCATGTAAATAATGACGTAATGTATTGTAATCATGAAAAAACTAACTTCAATAATTACGACAGTCTCGTCATCGTTAAAGTAATCTCTTAAGACAATTTCGTCTTCTTAAAAGAAGCCTATGTAAAACATGTGCCATTTTCTGCACTTTATTTTTCTAATTGCGAATGTTGGTACCGAGTAATTTCGTCAGATTTCTCCTCTTCTCTATTGGAACCATCTAAATCGGCTTCCTAATTTCCCAGAATTTGGTTCCTAATGTCCGTTTGTACCATATAATAAGAAATTAGTAAACCAATACAGTTAATAATAACTTAAGTTTCGCGTACAATACACCAACTTTTCATATACAAAGTTTAACTAACAATAAGTAAAATTTAAGTATTAGAATTTTTACAGCAACAACAAATTTTAGTAATTTATTATGATTTTTCATATTGTAAAGATGTTAAAATAAAATATTTCATAAATTACTGTAGTTATTATGAACTAATTGCTTAACTTGTTTATAGCAATGGTTAAAAACCATCCATATTCATTGTTGTTTATTTAAATTTGAGAACACCTTATCCAATTTTAAGAGCTTACATTTAAGCAGTCTTATCGTTTTTAAGAACTACTTATTGACAGTACAACACTTAACATTTAAAATTGTCTTTGACATCTGGTAGAGCGTTATGTTAGTGAAAAACAAAAATATGTATAACAGAAATCTCTTAAAGTAAAACAAATGTAATCTCTAAAAAATCATGAAAATCCCCTATTTACCACTGCACCTTTTTATTTTGGTACTGTATAATTTGTTTTTAAGATTAAAAGTAAATAAATTAGATAAGCAAAAGTTAATATGCCTTAGCATAAGACGATAAAATATTGTCGGAATTTTTATTGCATTATTATGCAGTTTCAAGAAAAGCTGTTGAAAGGCTTAATAATAACGTTCTCATAATCAACAATATTCCAGAGTTGTATTATGATTTATATCTTTGGATTCTATTGTTTAGTCTGCGACGTAAATCAGTTTTATTTAATATCAACGTAAATTAAATAAAGTAAAGTAATTTTCAACAAAATAATATAATTTATTTCGAAATATAATAAAAACTCAACGCAAATATTTGTTTATGTATCAGAGCGGCGAAGTCATACGTTTTTTAAACGAACATGTTAGATAAAACGTGTTCATACATTTTTTGTAAAATGATATTTGTACCACTTCTCGTTAATTGCATAAAACAAACTAGTTTATTGTGTTTCATTTAACGATACGCGATCACAAACGCTATCATAATAGAGTTCAAAAACGTGTTTTTTTTCTATTATAGTGCCATAACATAACTATATAAGTGTCACAGAATGATTATTCAATAAACACTATCCAAACATGTTTCGAATCACAGTAACCTTTCAAAAGCAACAATCATTTTCGTAGTTGTCATTCGAAATATATGCCCATTTTTTTAATTAGAAAATTAGTGGTTTGATTGAAAATGTATCATTTTACAAATATGTATTGAATTAGCAAACACACCTTGCCTACGGAGTAGATTACGGTAATTCTAACGAAGCAAGGAGAGCTTCCTTGGCGTCACATTCCCTGTCATACAACATTTTCAAGATTGGATCAGCGTATTCGAGTTATTGGTGAATTCCAAGTACGAAAAGGATTTCGTACTGTGCGAAATGGTGACTTTGAGGACCAAATTCTGCAACAATTTGAAAATAACCCAAAAACAAGAACTCGCACCATTACCCCGGCGATGTGTAAAAGTCACACATCTGTATGGAGTGTATTGAAAAAATGCTAGAAGCATCCGTTTCACATTCAAAAAGTGTAAACGTTCTGATTATTCCAAGACTTCAATTTGATGAATGTTGCTTGAATAAAATTAACGACGACGCAACATTTCCTAGTGATGTATTATGGACAGATGAGGCATATTTTACAAGAAATGACTACTTTAATACACACAATAGTCACATTTGGAGAGAAGAAAATCCTTGTGGCGTTCACAGGTCATATCATGAATGGAAGTTTTCTGTTAACACTTGGGCTGACCATTATGTAATTAGATGGTCATATGTATAGCATTTTTCTGAAATATCCTACTCCACCAGAATTGCTTGAAAATATATCACTTAATATTCGAAGTAAATATTGTTTTCCAGCATGATGGTGCACACTTTGGATTAAATTGCCGAAATTATCTAAATGCACAATTTCCAAACAGATGGATCGGAAGAGGGGACCGATTTCTTGGCTGCACGTTCACCAGATATGACTCCAATTGATTTTTGTATTTTCGCACAATTTTTATAAAGTTTAGTGCGGTATTATTGATAATAAAATGTTCCTTAACTTAGCTCTTTTCTGTAATAAATTGAGATTGTATAACTTAAACTGAGATTGTTTTTAAAGATTTCTAACGTACTCTTTCATTAGGAATATTTATTCTGTGACACCCTGTAGATAAAAATCAAACATTGAGTTTCTACAGTAGTAAAATCGACAAAGGGGGAGTTCACCTGTAAACATTTTAAAATTGTAAACATTTTTTGCTAAATTAAAAATGTAAACCTCGGACTTAATGTTTTAATAAATATTGTCAAGACAAAAGTGACAAAGACATCAATAAGTCGAAACAAGATAATTTTAGTGTATCTCGTCAATGTTTTACTTAGTAAGAGAACAAATATTATCATAAGCATTTGGTAAATGAAACCGATAAAGAGTTAAAATGAGATAATAACCAACAAATTGTTAAGAGTTTTTAAGAATAACAATAATATATAAGATTTAAATATTACCCTATAACACTCTGTCGGAATGTGTTTGGCCTACAACTGCAATAGAAGGTAGTTTAATTCTTTATCAAGGTGACCTTGCGATCATTTCAAAAATATTTTAGTTTCTTGTTGATATACATACGCCACGACATTGTAATTCGCATGCATATCGCAGCCGGCATGCAACTCTGGCGGTAAAGATGACTCACAAATCGCGTGCGGTATATAACGTAGTGCAATTCATTTTGTGGTACCGCAATTAAGGTATTGAGCGATTTATGATAATGGTTAATTAATAAATTTTCACTGTCATCTTTGTGCGTATGATAAAAATGCGAGCAACAACATTACAATGGTTTTTATAATACAAAGTAGATCAAGTTCAATCTACTTTCCCATTCATCTCCATCATAATCAAAAACACATACAATTGCGATTTGATTTTTCTAATTCAATGTAAATTTCGTTATCCAACATAAAAACGTCCGTTTCTTACAAGTCACCTTTCAGATTAAAATTATACTTACTGAGGATCACTTTCTCCTGGTTTTCTATAACACGGCGGTACTCTTTCTTCGTACTTCATTTTTGCGTTATAATTTCCAACTTCCCTCATTCTTTTCACTTGGCTATCTTCCCATCGATCTAGTTTTAAATGTTTTACTTTACTTATATGAACACCCATACTCCTGTGCACGCCTGAACATCTCTTGCAAATAAAAATTCCAATGTTGTATGATGCCCATTCTGGATCTGTAGTAAATATAAAAAATAAAATTAAAAAAACAATAAAATATTTAAAACATGTTTAAATTGGTATGTTTTCTCGCTGTAGTTGTTGCCGACTACCTGCGGAATTCGATACCACAATTCTATGTCAATAACAATGACATTTGAAAAAACAATTAACCATGTCTACAATTAAATAATTATTTAAAGTATTTAGCATATTTCTATTCCATATAAAACAATATACAAACATTGTTCATATTTGTGCGCACGTTTGATACGTTTCTATTTTTATAACCGATATGGGTTTACGGAAAATGCATCAAATATTACAACCGTCTTAACGATTTTTACGATCAACATTGAATATTTCTTTTTGAATTTGGTATGTTAACAAATAACATATGCATTGAAATATGCTTCATTTTATATTTCAAGTAGATATTAATAAAACCTACAGCTAAGCGAATTTGCCTTACAAGGAAAGGTTTCTTACAATTAATGTGGTACTGGCCTTTACTCGAAACTTTAAAAAATGAATTTTAGTCACCTACAATGAACTGACAAGGTACTATGGCTTGGCTATCCAAACACATTCATAAAAGTTCCTCGGATGAAAAGCCACAACATCAAAACTATCCTGAAGACTGAGAGAGTTGGTGTACGTGACGTAAAGAAAAATCCTTTAGCACATTTAACAGTTTCGTCATCAAATCCACCACTAAATTTACACATATTAGAGAAAATTACGTCCATTTGTCAAGACTTATCTCGTAATGAGTTTCTTAAACGTTGCTTGAATGCAGCATTACAAAATAACAATGAGTGGTTAAATTCGCTATGTTGGAATTTCATTCCGAAACATTGTAACACAATAACACTTGAAGGTGTAACTTTTTTGGCTGTTATAATCTTTAATAATGGATTTATACTAATTTTAGAGATTATGGATGTGACGAGAGTAAAAATTGACCAACAGGTGGAATTGTAAACGCACGGACCCAATGAGATTTACGTTAGCCGAGCAGAAGTACGCTCGCCCGATTTCGCAAGAAACACACATCACAGAGACGACAGCCAATTTCATTATGAGGTGATGAAATGTTTTTGTTTTTCCTGAAAAGTCAAGTAATGTCGTTTATGCCGTTTCAGCTTGGTAGTATGGATATGTGCTGTAAATAACTTTAAACATTTTTGGTTAATTAAAACATTAAAGGCGCATAAAATTATGTAAAAAGATGCTTCAAGTATGACAGTTTCACATTGTTGATTTCCAAAACTATTGTGGCCTTTAGCGGTCAGATCCATAGTTAATTTTTTCTGTACAATCTCTTCATTGTGTCATTACGTCCTGACGTCCTATGGGTTGAATCAGGGCCCATTCTCAGCTGACAACGTTTTACCGTTTCACTACTTTTTGAGGGAAACCTTGCCGTCCATATATTTTTGTATATGTGGAACAATTACATTAGTATATACACAACGGTGGATATAGTATTTTTAAGTCTTTGAAAGTAAGCAACTTTAACTTTTATGCTTAACCGATCTTGTCTAATTTTATAGGCAGAAGCACATTTTTCGTTTGCAAAGGCTAATATAGGAGTAAGTAACCATTGCACGCCAATAGAAGCTGGTCTCATCTGCATTATATGTTTTGGCAGGTACTAAACCCCTTTCTTTAACCACGTTAGGTAACGTGTCACAGAAAATTGTATCTTCAACTTCGTCAGTACTAAGCTGTTCTCATTGAATTTATAGTTCTCTAATCGTGCTTTTCCTTAAAATATCGTTGCAATCTCTATGTCTCACTTCGTGTTTTAGAATTTTTTCCACTTTCATCCTTGCCACACGTCCTGCTCATTGCAATTTCTAGAGCTTGATGAAATAACTCTGAGAACATTAGCACAGTAGCGTGTTCCAGTACCAGATTAAACAACATGTCAGCTCATTCCCTTATTTTACTCTTTGAAAAATAATAAAAGTCCAAAATATTTTATATCCATTACTCAAGAGAAATATTCCACAGCAATTCATTCACGATAGTTTTTCACCCTCCTTGTAAATAAGGCTATTATATAGACTTATTCAACACTGCTGGTATTACTTCTTTGTCCCATATCTTTTGGAGTAGGTTGTGAATCCCCGACGCCTTTTTGAATCTTAGTGCATTAATGGCATTCCTTATGTCCCAAATATTTAGCGGTGTAATGTTTATTGTAGGTTTCTTCTTTTTATTCCTGCCATTAAGGCGCACGGGGAATGTTCCAACATACTATTTTTCGAATGGATAGTCAGGAGCCATTTCTTGTTAGTTCAAGTCTCTCTTATCTTTCGATGTCTATAAAACAAGATAATAAAAGAATGTTTGAATACCATGTTAGTCTTGGTTGAATCACAAGTTTTTTGTGATCTTGATTTATCTATTGTATACGACATAATTTGAAAGAAAAGTAATTGCCACATTCTAAATAATAATTTTGTCTCACTCAAAAGTACCCGAAAGATAAAGACATGAAATTTTGGAACTTTCTATAGGTGGGAAAATCCGTATAGATTAATGATGTTCCTTATCAGGAGAAATAAAGTTACCCGAATACTGGGGGTTAGGTGGTCTGATAGGCCGAAAGTCTTTCTAATGTTAATTATAACCGCAATACAAACAGAAATTGTGTCATTAATAAAGATATTTCAAAAGATACAACAATGAAGTGAATTTTTTGAAAATTTTCGCCAAATTAACTATTTTAATTTTATACCACATCGTAATATAAAAGTTAAACGCCATGAAAAAATCTATCAACCAACGAATTTTGGTCAACAAATTCATAAGTAGTGCACGTGTAATACCAAAAATATGGTGAAAATATTTCCCTTGAAATATCTCATGCACGTGTCAAAGCATAACAGAGTTGAAAACTTTATACACGCACTGTATAAATAAGCGAAGTTTTAACATTTTAACAGTTAAATATAATATCTGGTCGTTAGACTCATTAGGCAGATACGACAGGATGTTACATTAAAATGGCGGGACCGGATGTTGTCGGATGCGACTTTCGTTTCGTTCTCATTTCTTTTTAAATTTACTTCCTCCTCAAAACTGAATCGTCAATAACTTCCGAACAATAAAACGAATCGATTAATTTCTAAGAATTAATATCAACTGTTTCAAAAGTTTTAATCGTACAAAAACAATGTACACAATATCTATGCTTCTAATCGTGTTGAACAGTAAAAAAGTTGCAATGTTGCCAAAACATAATCCCCACTGCAAAACAGCGTCCTTACAGATTACTCATCGTGAGAACTTGTTTTTCAATATTTATTTTCGTCCGGTTCGCGTGTCAATGGCATTCATTCATCTGAACATTTCCCGAGTAATTTACGTTGAATAAAAGTGGAATCAATAAAGAAATTTGAATAGTATTGTAATTGTGTTGATAGCAAAATTTTACAATATATCTTCGATTGTTGGCATCTATCATAGTAGACACGCGCCGCACGCGAAATTGTTTTTCTACAGCCTATCGCGTAACGTAATGATCATTAATTAGTGCCGTCCGCCGCCGTTACACGGCCTTCTATACACGCCGCGTGCGAGACGCGAAACGATCACGACGGCGTATTTATTTCGGTTTGGCGCCCGAGGTCGTCGACTACGTATCGTTTTCAAAACAACAAATAATACTATCCTAGCGCCACCATATTATGTTACTACTTTTGTAATACCATCGTTTTTAATTTCTTGGTGTCGGTTATTTGAACTTTATGACTTACGAAACCAGACTTCCATTTGAGCTCCTTCTGGAGAATTTAATGATTTTTTTTATAGGTGTCATTGACTTCTCTAAACAATCATAATCTTAAAATTTTAACCTTTTGGAGACTGATTTATTAAGTCTTATCTTAGATGTGTTTCGATAGTCTCCCAAAGGTTAAATGAAGTTGGAAAGATCCTGATGATTTCGAATGATATTTTTGACAACCACAATGTAATGCATCACTGAAAAACAAATACACGAAGGGAAAAATACTGGCCTAAAAAGTATGTACGTAACAAATAATCGATCAATACCCCATCATCAATATTACAAACATGTTTGCGTCTTGAGGAATAATATACAGCAATAATTGATTAGATTACATATTATTGGATTGCTTTAGCAAAGCCGGTTTGTTTGCACAATGAGTATTTACTTTTTATTGCCCGAACAAAGTGTGAAATTTTACAAAGGGTCCGCGCGACCGAGTCTTTGTTATTGCGTATAATAAAACAATTATTTAAATTATCGTATTTATTTTACCAAATAAAAGAACAACATTATTTTATTTTGTATTTTTGGAATTTTGTTCTATTGGGAAAAATTATACTTAATTCAACCACAAGATTAAATTAAAAATAATGTATTTATGGTATGATTGCATGACTTAACATTTCATTAAATATGGCTCAATCATAATAAAAAATATTTCAAACTGTATAAACACTTTAAGGACAACCGTCTTATGAAAGAATACATAAAGTTTATCATTGTTCAGATTTCAAATTAGACATTTTCCAATTAGACCAGAAGCTTAAGCTTTAGTGGTTCTATTATAACTTATAGATGCTCATCTCACTTTCTACATTTTCTTTGCAAAAACCTTGAAGTAATTAAAGTTAAAGAGCATATGATTCAAATTGTGAAATATTTTAAAAACAATCACCTGGTTAGATCTAAGTCTATGGCTTGTATATACTGATGGAAAAGTTTTAAACGATGAGAGGTGGAGCAGTATGGTGGATTGTCTACAAATACATGTAAGTCTATAGGAAAAACTGTCAAAAGTATGTGAAGAAAATAAAAAGGAAATTGATCCTACAATATATACCAAATAATATACCTATATATCCAAAGGATCTGCAGAAGATTACTTAAATATGTTAAAGCCAATATTCCGGGGACTTGACAAATTGCAAAAAAGATGCAATGATGCTGTAGAAATTGTAGAAGAAATTAGGAAGTTTATTTGCCGAAAAATTTGAATTATCACTGTCTCAAATATAAGTTTATCAAAAATTTTACAAACAAGGACTTACGCCTTACCCTTTAATTGTATTTATTTTAGATGTAACTAAAACAAAATATAAATTAACGATAGAAGAGTAAGACGAAGCTATGAACACACTTAGGAATACGTACGCTAATACTGGATTACTACCACTAATAGGTAAACTAGAGGCGAAAATGGACCATTTTCTGCAAGGAAGTTGCATCAGGAAATCTTTCTGATATTGAGAAACTTCTTTCAACTTTAAAACAATTTTTATGTATTGTTTGTTCTTCAGCTTCAATAAAGATGGGTGTTCACAACATTTGGGCTCGTCCAGAAGCCCAGATGTGATAGCTCGACGGGAGCAGGATGCAGAATTTTATATTTCTTGTACTACGCGTAAAGTTGTAGTTTACAGAATGATTAACTCGCAAATAGTTGAAGAGGGTGGTTCGAACGGCAGATATCTATTACTCTTTGAGATTAAACCACGTAAACAGTTTTTCAGAGATAATAATATTGTAAATAATATTTAGCAGTAACAAAAAAAATGAACTGAGGAGATTAATAATATTTTACTTTGTAACGCAGTTTGATTTTAACCCTTCATTTTTTTAATAACGTCTCTGATGATGGCCGAGTACGTAGTTAGACCAAAAATAATAATTAAAGACAGCTAAAGTATATAATAGTTTATAGATTTATTTTTCTCCTATGTAAATTCAGTCAAAAAGTATTAAGTAAGTGTGAAGGGAGTTAGATATAATATTTTTCTTTTAAAATTAAATTGACTTTTGCCTCTGATGATAGCANACCAAAAATAATAATTAAAGACAGCTAAAGTATATAATAGTTTATAGATTTATTTTTCTCCTATGTAAATTCAGTCAAAAAGTATTAAGTAAGTGTGAAGGGAGTTAGATATAATATTTTTCTTTTAAAATTAAATTGACTTTTGCCTCTGATGATAGCAGTAGCTGAAATTAGTTAGACAACAAGCATACAATAAAGACTGGTAAAATGTAACTTATAACTTCGATTACAATTTACTTAATAACATTTAAGAGAAGATTGTCCCTAAATTAACCGTGTGCATTGAAATCTTGGATTTTGCTAAGTAAAATCGTGTAAAACAAAAAAAAAAACAAAATGTGCACGATTGAGTCATTTATTTAAGTAAAACAAAAGTAAGACATCTTGGAAAACTCAAAAGTGTACTTAGTTCTTAAAACAACAAACATATGAAAGTAGTATAAGTACATATATAATTTATTTAACATTAGAAACAAAAAATTAAAATTAAGACACTCTCATCACTTGAGCTTTCTTGGTGCGATTCTGGCTCAATGGTTGACGAATTAGGGAAGATCTCGGGTTGACAAGACTTTGTCATGAAATCTTTATAGGTCTTTATAGGTTTTTTGCTAAATCTTTATAGGCTTCATATTGATTTAAACATTTACGAAGGTCCCGCTGGAATCGGAGAGCTCGATCAACATTTATGTCATATTGTATGAAATGATTTTTGCTGTGAACGCAACTGGTTCAGATTGCTCTTCATCTGAATCATTGTCTTCATCATGTTTGTTTGTCTCATGAATCATATTAATTAAATCATCTTCATTCAATTCTTCATCAGCCATTATTTCTTCAATATCTGCCTCAACTATATCTTCAAAATCTTCTCCTCCTATGGTATGGGCTAACTCAGTAATCTGCAAATATTCATCATTTTCACTTTCAACAACATCCGGCCTGCTTTCCAGCAGGCGTTGATCGTTGATTATTTGATTTGAGTGTATAAAAGACCAACATGCTTAATACAATTTAAAATTTTAATTTTCTTCCATGCAATCATCAGAGTAAGATATTCATCATTTTCCATTTGTTCTAAGATAAACCTGAAAGTTTGCTTGATGTACAGTGCTTTAAAAGTTGAAATGATCCCTTGATCTAACGGCTGTAATAACGAAGTTGTATTCTTCTGTAAAAAAAATAACCTTTACATTTTCGTGTTGTGAATCTGGAGGATGACCTGGAGTATTTTCAATTAATAGAAGAGCCTTAAACGGCAATCTCTTATTAATTAAATAACCTATGCTTTTTTATTAACTTTCCAATAGACGGGAAGATTTTTGTTGTTCTTTCTTGTATTTTTTTCCAGAATAATCCTGACTTGTCAGCAGAAAACCTTATCAGAAGTATAGNTAATAGAAGAGCCTTAAACGGCAATCTCTTATTAATTAAATAACCTATGCTTTTTTATTAACTTTCCAATAGACGGGAAGATTTTTGTTGTTCTTTCTTGTATTTTTTTCCAGAATAATCCTGACTTGTCAGCAGAAAACCTTATCAGAAGTATAGGAGTGTGTTGCAACCGAATCACTTATACTGCTGCAGGTTTCAGCTGCTACACTTTTTCAGAGGATGTCTTCATTTTTTCTTATCGTCCTTATTATGGCTTCATTCATTGAGTAAAATTTAGCAAAACTCTCTATTACGTAGACCGTCTAATATTTGAATTTTTATTTCTAAAGAAATAGCTTTTCTTTTTCATTTGATTTTTGTATAGGCGTATATGGAGCGGAATATACATTTTTACTAGTTTTTTGAAATTTGGTAATTTATAAATCGTGTAAAAGCGAAATCGTGTAAAACAATTGCATGATTTTGAAAGAGAAGAAGTGGCGAAGCCACGAGTTTTTTAATAAACGAGTGCTTTAAGTCCTATGCAAAGTGCTTTTTTTTGCAATTTTTTGTAATTCGGGTTTTTATCCTTTTTTTTTAACAAAAATAAAATAAATTTTGACAATGTAGGGAAATAGGTATGTAGCAGTTGGTAACACCGTAACACTTGAAAATAGAAATTTGAATTGACAATTAGAAATTGTCAAAATACAAAATGTATTCACCTGAAAAAAATCTTTCTTGTACACCTCCCAAAATAAGAGAAATTGCTCAGAGTTCAATGTCCTCATCATTGTGGACCTTGTATTCGATGCTAAGAAAGTGTTTAAACCATAGACAAAAATTGTCACATTGACAACTAGAAAAATTAATGACCCAATGTCACCAACTTGAACTGGTTCCATAAAATGTTACTAAAATCTCATTACAGCACCCGTTTGAATACTGTAATAGCTTTCATTACCGTCGCGAATTGCAAAAAATAAGATTAAGGTGTTTTATATCTAAAATTATAACTTATTCGGCATTTTGAAACAATTTCGTAAAATACAGACCACATTACTCAACAGTTAATAATATTAGGTGCTATGCAACATATTCTTTATCATACAAACCGCAAGATAATTCACATTACAAAATATTTTTTATTTTTTAATTCAGTACATTGAAATAATCATTAAAAATAATCCGTATTTTGAACTTCTATAAATAAATTGAATAAAAATCGTTTTAAAAAATTCTTAGAAAATTGATTTCTAATGTTTTTGTGATAGTTCCTGATAAAACGTTGCTTTAACTAAAAGTAAAAGCTTAACAGGATTGTTAACATTAAAACATTTCCATGGCCGTAAAACTTTGTACAATTCGCAGTTTATTGCCCATTAAGATACCCGCATATATATCCCGACATTCTTTCATTTACTGTTTCCAGTTAGCGTTTTAAATCGAAACAAATACCCAAACAATTTTATAACCAAGTTTTTTTTTAATTCTTCAAATAAAGTACAGGGAAATCAATCAACTTTGATAATATAAAATAAAACTTACTTTTACTTCCACAATCTGCACAAAAACTATTTCCGGGCGCCTTCAACAACTTGAGGAGTTCCTTTTCATTTCTGTCTGCCATCGTGAAGACCGATCGATCGTTAACAGCCCCGTCGTTTACTATACCAAAGACACTGTCCAAAATTCCCTTCAAAACACTTTGCGTTCACGTATTTTATGAGACGAGACACACTCAACTTTAACTTGAGTAATTGTATTAGTTATAATAATATTGTTGTGTGCAGTCAATTGTAGTTATTTGCCATCATCGTCCACCATTTTTAAAACGATGCGCTGTTGTTTTTAAAGTTTCAATCGTTGTTTTCCAATGAATTTACGAGTTATGAAGATTTCTAAGAAGTTCGGGGTGCCCGACGGAGAAATTACACCGAGAACGGCGAACCACCGAGAGTTGCTGCGCCCCGCGACGTAAACAATCGTTTATTATTTGATATTTTGACCGACGTAGTAAACAACGCCATCTCTTACAACGAACGTGTGCGATGCTACTAGGTGGGGGTAAAATACATACACGTTTAGTATTGTTTTGTAGTGGGGGGAAGAAATGAATGAATTTTTAAAACTTCTATTTATAAATCATTTGCAATTAATTTATTAATTTTATGATAAAATATTGATTTAAATCAAATTTTTTAATTATAAATAAACAATAAAAACAATTTCTTTGTTTTATCTAAAACATTGAAATCCTTGTAAAAGTTATGAATAGTATGTCAAGTAAACAACCTCTTTACCAACATTAGAGTTGACATTGACATTTGACATTTTGTTTTTTATCGTTCCGCTTCGAAATTTTTCATTGATTTTATCTTTCATAACCGAATTAACTAAAATGTTGAGTGTACGTACGACCGCACTAAAATTGGCAAATTTATCTGGTTGGAAAAGAAATTTTTCAAACACTTTATTAAAAGCGGCGACGTTCAAAGTGCAGGATGACAAAGATTTTTCCGAAAAGGTCGAGAATAGTAAGGATCCCGTTATTGTTGACTTTTTCGCTACGTAAGTTAAGAAAATAACCGATTATCAAAGATTTATTTTTATTTCCTTTATTTCCCCAGATGGTGTGGTCCTTGCAAAGCACTTGAACCCCGCCTAGAAAATATTGCTGCAAAACGTCAAGGGAAAATACAAATTGCCAAGGTTGATGTGGATGACTTAGGAGAAGTTGCAGCCAAATATGAAGTATAATCTTTATAAAGTGTTGTCAAATATAATGAAAACTTTGTTGGTTATAGGTTGGTACAATTCCTGCTTTGGTTGTGTTTCGTAATGGTAAAGTTCAAGAAAGATTGATTGGATTACAGGACGAAGATAAATTGAGCATGTGGGTTGATAAAGTTATGGATGGTAAAGAGAAGTAATAGTTAACGATGGTTAACATTGATGAAGTAGATCCATAGGAATGTACATATAGGAAAAGTGTTGATTAATTCACTTAATAAATCCACCATTATTAAATTATTTTTGTTAAATCTTGAATAAAAGAAAAATGGAGTCATATTTTAGTTTTATTTCTAATACACAAAAATAGAGTTGTTTTTAATTCCATAGATGATTAATACACTTTTGTTTGCTTTTAAGCATTCATATCATTCTAAATTTGTATTTTGATTAGAAAGACTTTATTTTCATTAGATCTTCAGCTTTGCAGATTTGTTATAAATAAAGAATAAAACTCTTCTTTTAGCATGGGACCCAAATTATGCCAAGAAAAGGATTTAGAAATAAATATCTAATAGATATAAACTTTTAGTCAAGTATATCATTACTACTTAAGTATCACTTTGTAACCAGAGTTGTATTACATAAATAATAGATTTGCAAAGCAAATAAGAACAGATTAGGGCGATAAATTAAAGGCAGGTTAGAAAAATATGCTTTACATCTCCTTTTTACTTCAATTCATTCTTGCTTCTAGTCTTTACAAATTAGTAGGCAAGTATATCTTTAGACAACCATAGAATATGTGTAAAGGGTCAGACAATATAAGTATTTGGGCACAACTGTGAATGAAGAAAGCAACAACTGTCAAGAAATACAAATTAGAATTAAGCAAGTAAGGAGTACATTCGTAGAAATGGGATTTCCTATGTTGCTTGGATTTAAACCTTGACTTGAAGATACAATTGTGGAGATATTATGTTTTGTCGGTGCTGTACTATGGGATGGAAGCTTGGACTCTGAGAGGGATCGATTGTAAAGAGACTGGAGGCATTTGAGATGTGGATTTATTGGAGGATGCTAATGCTAAGAATCTCGTGGACGGAGAAGTGCGATGAAAACTGTTATATTCGGGACACATCATGAGAGGGGAAAAGTATTTAGCATTCCAATTTATTATGCAAGGGAAAAACAGAGGAAAGAGATCCATAGGGAGAGGATAAAACTCATGGTTAAAGAACCTGAGGGCTGCAATAATAGCCAGCTATTTAGATCTCCGGTCTCCAAAGTGAAAATCGCCTTAACTGCTTAAATGATTGTATAAGGATTATAATAAAATAGTTTTCCATGTAAATATTGCAAATTTGGTTGCCTATAACATTAAGGAAAAGATATTCCATTTGTTTGTTGGATACCAAAATTTTCTTTTATTTACAAAAGCTTTGAGTTATTTCATATATGTATAAGATATAATCATTTAATTTAAAATTAATTTGTAAATCCAAACATTCAAAAATTATTGTAAGGCGTTTGAATTTGGCGCGCTAGTAGCTATATAGAAATTCATATAGATATATAACAATTAAATGTAAAAGAAGTAGTAAATTCATGAGCCCTACAGTTATTGTTGAATATACTACTTTTTCCCTTTCATTTTTCTTTAACGACGTTATTTTCCTACACTTTTGTATAACCTCAATGCTGTTAAATATTCTGTGTTATTATCGTTATTATCTATTCTGCGGAATTTATGACATTTCGTGACAGTTTGCATCTGGTACACTTAACCTAAAAAGAAATCGAACTCTAAAATTCTTTTAAAGTTCAATAAAATAAGTTTACAATGTCAGATTCGGATGAGGAATCGTTTAGTTTTTATGGAAAACCACTGGAACAATACGATGAAGGTTAGACTTTTTAAATATTAACTTTAAATATTATTTTAAATCATTATCTAAACTAAAATGCTATTTATTAGATTCGATTCCAAAGCGAAAACCAATCCCTGTAGAAGATCAAATAGCAACAGATGACCATGGAAGAAGAAGATTTCATGGAGCATTTACCGGAGGGTTTTCAGCAGGATTTTTTAATACTGTTGGTTCTTTAGAAGGTTGGAAACCCACAGAGTTTAAAAGTTCCCGATCTGAAAAGGCTGAAAGAAAAGTAGCAAAACCTGAAGATTTTATGGATGATGAAGATATGGGGGAACATGGATTTGCCCCACAAACAGTTCGGGCTACAAAAGATTACTCCACATCTAAAAAAAGAAAAAAAGCAGTTTTTTCAGAAGGTCCTATTCCAGGTATTCCTGTTTTACAATCATTAATTGAAGCGGGAAATGAAACTATCGGATATTTGTTAATGAAAAACATGGATCTAAAAAAGAAAAAGGAAGTTTTAGAAGCTTCACATGAAGATGGACCTAAAGTTTATGGATGTGTAATGCCAAAAACATACGAGATAGAAAGAAATATTGAGAATGATGACATCATCCCAAACATTTTCCGTGTATATATAAAATCACCTAAAAGTAACACTTTTGGATTAGGTTATAGTGGTTTAGATAAATCAGAATTGAGCTTAAGAAAGTCAACTCAACTGGTTGTCAAAGATCAAAATAATCGTAAATTAGCTATTTCCGGGCAAGCCTTTGGTGTGGGGGCTTTTGAAAATGATGATGAAGATATTTATGCTAAAGATGATATGTCACAGTATGATTTTGAAATTACCAAAGAAAAAAAGGGGAAAAATGAAAATCATAACTTTAACCATCCTGAATTTATTAAAGGATCTCAATTACTTAATAATAAAAAATATCCACCTCCCACAATTCCACAAAGTTTTAGTGGGAAACATAAAATTCGTAAATCACGATTTGAGCCTATTCATCAAGAAGAGGATAAAAAAGAGATTAAACGGAAGGATATGAATGCAGCTATAAGAGCTAAATATATTGGAGAAGAAGTTCCTGGTACTTCAAAAGATTTATTTAAGGAAACGCCAAGTGGAAGCGCAACAATAAATAAAGAAAATATTAAGAAAACGGAAAATGTTAAAATAAAACAAGAAAGTTCAGGATTTTCAAATTTAATTTTTGATAAATTTGTTTCTGCAAGTATTAGTGAAAATCCACACGATATTTTAGCAAAAGTTGAGCCAACATATACAGAACATGGAACTAAGGAAATGCGAGATGCTGCTAAGTTAAAAATGTATGGACCATTAACAAGGGTTATTATCGATTGGCAACCTTGTAGTTTGGTTTGTAAAAGATTTAATGTTAAAGAACCTGTGTATGATGAAAATAGGAAAGATAGAGGTAAAAAGAAAAATCAAATTTTCTTTGAATATGAAAAACATAAAGATGAAGGATTAGTATTAAAACCTGGTTTAATAAACACAAAGGAAGATACTATAATTGAAGATAAAAATATTGAAGAAATCAAAAGTGTTGAAGAAATTAAAAGTATCATGGAACCAAAAAAAGAACAAATTCAAGACATAAAACAATCAATTACCGAAATTGATCTTGTAAGGAGGGAAGAAATAAGTGAAGGACTTTCATTAGATAAGAAATATGATGAGCCAAAACAAATTCAAGAAACAGATAAAATAGATGTAGCCAAAAATATTGATCTTTTTAAAGCGGTGTTTTTAAGTAGTAGTGAATCAGAATCTGAAGATGAAGTTGAACAAAAATCCCAAGAGGATAATCAAGATTCTAATCTAATAGAAACTATTACAAAGACAGTTTTAACCGAAGATTTAATAATAAAATTTAAACCTAGGAAAGAAGGGATTTTATCTAATATTAATTTTACGCCTTTATCAAAACCAGAAACTAGCGAAAAAGAAATTCCAGAAATGACAACAAAAGACACTAAAGTGAATCAGAAAGAAGAGACGAAAGATCCGCTTCTTTATGGTCCAGCATTACCTGTTTCAGTTGAAAAAACTTGTGTTTATGTTCCTCCTAAAATTAATTCAAAACCGGCGGAGGAACAGTGGGTTGAAAAAGAGTTGATAGAGAAAATACAAAAACATAAGAAGAAACATAAGAAGGAAAAAAAGAAAAGTAAAGATAAAAAGCATAAAAAGTCTAAGCATAGAAAATAAGAAGTATTTGATTAATAAAGTTTTATTCTGTGATATATTCTGTATAATAATATTTTTAGGTGTATATATATTTTAAGGAATTCAATTAATTAATGGAATCATGATAAATGTAATAACTAAGTGATTAATAACAAGATTATTTGATTTAAAATTTAACAATCAAATTGAGAATTTAATAAGATAATTTTTTGATATATACAGGTGTTTCTGTAAGACTTACAGAAACGCCTCGCCTGTATAACAAATTAATCGCATTAAAGGCGTTCAGAGACACTGTGTCAACTGAGTAACAAATTGTAATAATGACGATAATAAGATCTAAAGTTAATTTGTCATAAATTGTTCCCATTAAGGAATTATATTCTATACCAACTTATGCTCTCAATCTACCGCAAAATGTTTCACTTAAATTTAAAATATACTTGCAAGATAATGTATGCTTGGTAGAACTATCAATAGAAATTTTGTAAGAAAAATAAACTAATCTACTTTATTTGTTGTTATGTCAGGTGACAAATGAATTGTAGACAAAATAGAATTATTATACAAATTAGTATTAAATATAATAATCTTTTTTGTCATAAAAGTCCATAGCACATAAAGGCATGAAATTACATTTATTCAAACAACAATGTACAACCAAAGTTCGAAGGATCCACGCTTCACACGGGATCGCAGACACCCTGGCGGAAAGGTACTCGACGTCGAGATCGTCCCAGTCTGAAAGGCGCGCTTCTGATTGTCGAGACATGAAAAAGTGCATACTCGTCTGATTTAGACGAGTAAGTGGGCCACTCTGTGGAGGTGATTATGGCTAGAAAATTGGTGCAAATAGCATTAGGAGCAGGCGCTGGGTCCTGATGGAATGTCCAGGGGCGCCCGTTGAAGTGAGACTTGCTCCAAGAGCACTTCCTTCATCAGAATCCACTTGAACTCCTTGATCCACAAAAGTCAATGTTTTTCCGGTCAAAGTCACTCCGGCCCAATTCATGATCTGCCCCTTTTGATTGGACGCTTCCTGAACCGTTCGCGTGAGAATTCTGTCATTTTAGCTCAATTGTGAATAACTTCTCATCAATGAAGAGGATGTCTTTCAGCTCCGCCGGTGAGAAATGTTTCAGACGTTCGTGACATTTCTGAAGACGAGTGGTCTTCATATGTTCCGTCAAAATATGAATCTTTTACGAATCACGAGTTTATGTACCTAAAAAATATAATATAATTTTTCTATATTTGATCAATCACAATATTTCCTATACTGGTTTTCTTCACAGTTTAAAAACCCGTTTGTATTGGCCCCACATGACTAAAAATATAAATTTATGGAAAAAAAGGTGAAAAAATTCATAAATATACCAAGTCTCATCTTCAGAAAATTCTTATTTTGAGAGGCAGATTTGAACACATTTACCTGGGCATGAGGCCCCTCTCATAGTTACTGAGCGCACTCGTTGGCCTGAAGTTTACCCTCTCAAAAATATTTCTTTCACTATGGCTCACAGACTACTACATAATTATTTTTTTACATTTGGTATCTTCCACACCACCACTCATAACCAAGCAAGACAATTCAAGTCACAAGTTTTTCGGCAATTCAATAACTTTTTAGGGTTAATCAATTTTGTACTTCAAGCACTACTCTTAAAATGATGGTTATTTGGAGAAATTTTACAGAATTCTCAAAACAGGTATTACTATCAGCGGAGCTGGTAATAAATGGAATAGGGATCTTCCCATTTTTCTTTTAGGCCTTCGGAGATCTTGGTTGCTCTTCTGCATAGCTATTGTCTGACCAGCCGCTAAAGCTGCTCCACGATTTTTTCCTGGATTCACATTCCTCGGCAGAAATAGAACCGTTCTAAATCTGCACTTACTTGTAAATACGAACGACAGTTCTTGAACCTCTGAATATTCTTTTTCATAGGAAGGAGGAATAGTTGTAGTGTGCATTTTTGTTAAATTATCAAATTACCTTTTTTTTGTATCCAGGTTATCATGATTTATTATTATAAACAAAAATAATATATTATATATAAAATATCCTATAAAAACTGAAATATCTTTTTAAATTGATACCCTAAGTTTTATAAATATAGTTGTAGTGTTGTAACCCACTACAAACTTAATTGCTAAATTCTGTTATCATTCAGGAACCAAAACATCAAACCAAACACCATTTAACAAACATATTTTTTATTTGCTATGTCAAACTTATTCCCACAAACTGATGAAAGTTGTTCTTCAGCATTCATTTTGCTAAACCTTCCAATAATTATGATAATTTGAGTATCTTGGTTTACATTTTCATCCATCATTGATTGATCTACATGCTTATATTTTGTTTTGTCATCATTTGTTCTGCCTCATCAACGCTTCAGTTCTGTTTTGAGAGAAGGCGGATGAATTATTGCAAGAAGTACTCTTCAATTGTACTAGAAGACAAGTTCCGTAGGCTTAAGTCTTGTTGTCGTATTTGGTTAGGACAAAATTGGAGAGAGTTTTTCAGAATTCTTTAGTATATTGCTAAAATGATAAGCGAGAGATTTTCGTGCTTCAATATCACGCAGATTGGGTGAGTATATTGACGCTATGATATTATTAATACTTTGTTCTAATAATAAATTTATTGCTGGGGTTAAACTTTTATTGTATTCAACTATTATACAAATGATATCTACTGTAATTAAATCTATCGTAAAAACAATTGATTTAAATTACTTGTAGATTTCTACATTGTCCAGATCGTAGTAATAAATTAAACTCACTAGATGGCATTAGCAACTATCATTTTGGCCGAAACCTCTTTTTTTCTGTTTGGTCGATTTTTCTTAAATTCCTCTTAAACCTTTAATGGGTTGCGGTTAAAATTCGGTGAACTCGTACGGAAACCGCAGCCTCATCGAAATGAATTGCCGGTAATTGATTGTAACTGTAAATACAATCTCTTTGGCTCTTTAGACGGACAAGAAACGAAAAAAAAATATATATATACCACGATCCATTCTACAGGCTTTTATGAATGTCAAGGAAGTGGAATTTGCTATTGATACAATTTTATTATTAATAAAATCCACGTGGAAATTCTAATTGGCACAACAAATCCTATTATTTTTTATATACTTCACACGCGTTCCATATAGATTTATAATTTAGAAAATAATAGAAAGGTGGTTTAAGTGTTTTGTTTGTGTTTTTCAATTAAATGTTTTGCCGTTTAATATCTAACTTTAATTTGTTGTTGTTGTTGTAGGTGTCGTAATACGAAATTCGTTACCAAATCTTTTAGCAACCTTGCGCAATATGTTGCCATTATTATTTTTAAATCGATGTGATTCACTACTGGATGAGTGCAGTGGTTATAGACGCACATTATAAAAACAACAATAAAAACAATTCGAAATAATACGCAATATTGTATCAAAATAATAATAATAACAACAGTATATTTTTATATTTATTACGTTACCTTAAAAATTAAATGATGTTCAGGTTGGCGTGATACTTCCATAATAATAAAATTAAATAAACTCGAGACTATATGGATATATCTATTACCATTTTATATTTTATTAACTCTTTAGAAAATTTTATCAAATCAAGTTAAAACTTCAGTACAATATGAACCACGGGCATCCAGCCAGTCAGTGTATTTTATTCGACCCGAAAAGTATCTTTCTTTTCAAATAGGGTAAATAGATGGTTGTGTTATGGTTGTTACTTGTATAGAAGATGGTTATAGCTTTTATTTTTCATGCTTGACCTATAGAGAGCAAAGAAAATGTTAAACGATTTTGGCGTCTTATTGTAAAGATTCTTGGAAACCAATTTGTAAGAAATTTTACATTTATAATTTATTAGCTAAAAAGGAATATTTTACGAATGGAATAATTTTAGGAATATTTTTTTATTATTAATTGGCAAATAAGTAAATTAATCTCTGGTGAAGTACTAGGTTATTATTTTATTTTTTTAATAATTATCACATCAATCAACCATTTTAATCAAAATACTATAATTAAAATATTAGCAATTAAATAGTAATAATATAAATTAAATCTTATAAATAACTAGTTTTATGTATTTTATTGTTTGAATAATATATCTTAGAATTGAGAATATTACTAGAACATGCAGAGGCAATACAATATCGAATATTTTGCTCTCATGCAAACAAAATGGTAATTTGGGGAACCTTTAAAGGCGAATAATTAAATTTTCGCAATATTATGAAAATAGAAGCAGTCCTTCCTTTGGAATAATGATTACATCATCGATTCTCCAGTACATATGCGAAGTTAGTTCCAACTTTTTCATGTCTAGTAAAATAATAAGTGAACATCTAACCCGATTTATTTCGATGAACAATATCTCATTCGAAAGTTTAATCCATGGTTAATACGGAAATGCTCAATTCGATAACGACGATAACGTAACACGAAGATAACACAAAAATGACATTTTTGTTGTATTTCGTCACAATGTACTCGATTATAAAGATGTCAAGTCTCAATTCTTTCTCGTTAACTGTGTACAGCCTTTAGAATGACACCGTTTTGTTCATTTAGATTAAATCGACTACAATTAGAGAATGATTTGATGGATTTTAATGTTTTAAATCGAAATTTAAAACATAGGTCTGGCTAAATGCGTATGTCGAACTGCTCGATTAAAGGACTACTTCAAACTTACTGAAGTCGAGTCACATTTAAAGTCGTACAAATAATCGAGGGCGCACTATACATACATATAGGTATATACCATAGACTTTTTATATAAATGTCTTGCCAAGATCGACGGAAGGGTTTAGAATCTTTTTTACATTTGAAGACTAACCTTCCTTTCTTTTTTTGGCTCTGAGGCCCAGATATAGATATTTCAGATTCATGATTTTGTTGGCGATCGAATGAAAACGGCTTCGCCATCGACGTTATGGACACCATTGGTATATACATACTTCTAAGACAATATAATTATAATTTTGTTTTTCTAGATATCTACATTTTGATTCTTTCTAGATATCCAATGTAATATTCTTGATGATATTCTTTCTGAATGGCCATGCTATTCTCTGTGCTTTTATGTGTCTCCACCATCCTTGAGGTAGCCCAATTTGCGTTTCATTCTTATCCTTCACATTCCAGCACCATCTTGTATCGGTCCATATATTTTGTGCAAGATCCGTCATTCAATGACTCTCAATTTGTTTTCATCTCATATGTTGTTCAAGCTCTTATAAGATTATAGTTCCTATGTTGAAATGATTTGGGTCTCTTCTTCGGAATCTTGTAGAGTCTTTTTTTGTTATGGATTCGTTAGTTATGAGTCCTACTTTGAGGCTTCATTTTTTCTGACAGTTGCCTTCGATCTAAGGTGTAGGTTTAGCAGTGTGATACCTCTGTAATTTGTAACAGTTTAGTTTGCAAATTAGTATCTTTTTTGGAATTTTGTGATTTCGATAGAAGAAATGATGGCAAATCATGATGATGTATAGATCTTGATAATCGAGTACATTCCATAATATAGAACTTATAGCTTGGAAAAGTTTCTTGCAAATGCTTCTG